TGCCTGTACCTGAAGGGGTCAGGAGAGACACAGGAGGCAATTCTGGTGTTCGTAGATGATATTCTGTATGTGGCACAGACAAGTAGACAGGTGCAAGGTTTTGCCAAAGAGCTTGGTAAGAAGTTTAAGCTCAAAAACCTTGGTCCCATTCAAGTTTATCTAGGCGTTAGGATAGACAGGTCTGAGAACGGGAGTTTCTTGCTCAGTCAGAAAAGCAAGATTGAGCAGTTGCTTGAGAAGTTCCGGATGTCTGACTGTGCAGGGGTCAGAACGCCCATGGAGACCAACTTCGTGAAGGACAGTCAGCTTGGGGAGCGTTCTGAGTTCCAAAACCCTGAGGTGTTTCAGTCAGCGCTAGGGAGTCTGTTGTATCTCTCTCAGTGGAGCAGACCAGACATAGCGTTTGCTGTGAATCTGCTCAGCAGGGAGGCTACAAATCCCAGTGTGAATGCCTGGCAAGGCATCAAGAGAGTGTTGAGGTATTTGCAGGATACCAAAGAGTTTTGCCTCACGTTGTCAGCTGAAGGTGACGCACGGCTTACGTGCTGGAGTGACAGCGATTGGGCATCTCTTGGGGACAGGAAGTCTGTGTCTGGGCTGGTGGTAAAGTTCGGGGAATCCCTGGTTGGGTGGAAGTCCCGGAAGCAAAGTCTTATTGCACTTTCTTCCACTGAGGCTGAGTTCAGTGCGTTGTCGGATTTGTGCAGGGAGTTGGACTTCTACCGGTGCTTGATCCAAGAGATCTGTGAGGATTGTTGCTTGCCCATAACTGTTTGGGGAGACAATCAACCTTGTCTTAGGCTGGCAGAATCTGGACAGTTCAAGTCCAGAACCAAGCATTTGGACATACATTTCCAGAATGTATGTCAGAGTGTCCAAGCAGGTTGGATACGGCTCAAGTATTGTTCGAGCCGGGAGAACCTAGCTGATGGGTTTACCAAACCCTTGACCTTCCAGCGACATGGGGAGTTCTGTGAAGGGTTGTGTTTGGGGTGAGTTATACTCACAGTTTTCCCTCAGGATGTGAGACGAGAGGGGGGGGTGAGGAGAATCAGAACTTACAGGGTTAAACAGTTCTGTGTGACGTCTCACATTCTGAGGCGTGGTTTGGTTCACATACAGGAATCTTTCTTTGTGTGTGAGTTTCCTTTCGTTTTTGGCTGAGAGACGAAAGAATGTCCGCTCTCTCGCCGGGCTGATTTATGATGTTTTTCTTCTCATTAAAGGCTGTTAGAGATTAGCAAGAAGCCTGCGTTCAGTCTGATTTATTATCCACACACAAGGCAACACTTTCTACCGCTGCTAAGAACTCTGCTAAGAGCTAAGAGCTCAAATATTTTCCTATCGGCACAAGCGTCCATCGGCACAGGGGAAGTGTGCCGGGCGCCATCTTATCTCAACAACCTGGGACAGCAGACTGAAGGATAATGCTTTGCTCCTTCAAGCTTTTGCACATCCTGAATTCAAGCTGAGTCTGTGTGCACCTGTGCTCCATGGCTTACGTATCACATCCATGTGAGTCTGGGGGTATAAGAGGACCAGCTGGGTGATGGTGAAAAAAAGGCAGCCCTGAGTCCAAGGTAGATGCTTACAAGGGCAGTGGACATGAGCCTTTGACTCTTATTTAAAAGGAGCACAATCTGGTCCAAAGAACACAGTTTTCTACCTGGGCATAAAATGTAATTGCAGTTGGTAGATGCTGAACAACAGTGGGCCCAGGACAGAACCCCGTGGCACCCCACTTGTCATTTTTTCCAGGATGATGAGGAACCATTAGTGAGCACTCTTTGGGTTTGGTCAGTCAACCAGCTACAAATCCACATTACAGTTACCAGTTGCTGGAAACCACAGGAGGGGAGAGTGCTCCCTGTTGTGCTCCCTGGTTTCTCAGAGGCATCCAGTTGGCCACTCTAAAACCAGCATGCTGGACTAGATGGGTCATTGGCCTGATCCAGCAGGCTACTCTTATGGTCTTATGCCCCCTGGATGTTGTTGGACTTTAAATCCCATTAGCCCCAGCCAACATGGCCAATGGTAATTATAGTCCAACTCCTTTTGAAGGGACACAGGTTCCTCATTCATGCCCAAAATAGTCTTTACAGAGCATGGCAGTGGCTAAATAATGACAAAGGCATTGATTATTACAATATCAGTGGTGATGCTGACTTCCTTGTTCCTTTCAGCTTCTGCAAAGAGCTACCCTTGTATGAGGGTGGTCCCCTCAAGAGCTCAGCAAAAGTCTGCTTTCTTGGGCTGCAGAAAAGCTCGCCCTGAAGCGCTCTGTGCAGATTATTATTCTGTGGATAATCAGAGGATGCCATCCCTCAGCTCTGTAATTTCAGCCCATTTTATGATCATTATAAAAGGAACTGTAAACATTATTAAAACGAACAGCCAGCTTTTCAATTTACTTGGGTGGACACAGCAAATAATTTCTCAGTGTCCCTGGGTTGCTTATTTGAATTGTTTTAATTAAATTAAAAGTGTGACTTGATTCTGCATCAAAACAAATATTCAATAAACTAAAACCATCATTACAATAATATGTAACAGCACATGTGAAAAGGATTGAGGGGTCTTGGTGGACCACAAGCTTAACGTGAGTTACTAGTGTGATGCAGCATCAGAAGAAGAAGAAGAAGAAGAAGAAGAAGAAGCAGTAAAGCTAAGGCTATTCTAGGCTGCATCAACAGAAGTATAGTGTCCAGATCAGGGGAAGTTATAGTACCACTCTATCCTGCCTTGGTCAGACCACACCTGGAATACTATGTCCAATTCTGTGTCCACAATTTAAGAAGGCTGTTAACAAGCTGGAACATGTGCAGAGGAGGGCAACCAAGATGGTCAAGGGTCTGGAAACCAAGCCTTACGAGGAGCAGTTGAAGCAGCTGGGTATGTTTAGCCTGGAAAAGAGGAGACTGAGGGAAGATATGATAGCCATCTTCAAATATCTTAAGGGCTGTCATATGGAAGAGGGAACAAGCTTGTTTTCTCCTGCTCTGGAGGGTAGGACTCAAACCAATGGTTTCAAGTTACAAGAAAACAGATTCTGACTAAACTTATGGAAAAACTTTCTGACAGTAAGAGCTGTTTGACAGTGGAACAGTCTCCCTCAGGAGGTTGTGGACTCTTCTTCCTTGGAGGTGTTCAAGCAGAGGTTGGTTGGCTATCTGTCATGGATGCTTTAGCTGAGATTCCTGCATTGCAGGGGGCTGAACTAAATGACCCTCTATGATAAAATAGAGAACAGGCCATACAACTGACACAATAAATACGGTATAATTAGAAAAGCTTATAGTTTTTTTCGGCTAAATAAAAAATAGTTTTAGCCTTTCTCCAGAAAGACAACAAAGGACAAGTACTAGCTGAGGACCTCAGGGCAGTGTTCCAGGGGTGTGGAGACAAAATTCAGATATGACATGTGGCATACTATAGGATGCTGAAAAATCCAGTAAAGACAAAATAGTTGAACTGTATCTAAATATTTTGGCTTACCTGATTTACAGATCAAGCTTTAGTCGATTCTGGGATACAATCCCTGCCACAATCTTTTTTAAAACAATCTCTATAAGAAGCAGAAGAGGCACACCGGGGGAAAACACACTCAGTATTCCACAAGTATTTAAAATGCAAATGGTATTAAAGGCCAGCCTGTTTAGAATCTTTGTGTGGATTCCCTACAGTGCTGGCTTTAAGACATGATTTTACTACCATGATTTTACTACTTTTGGTACAGAGGATGACTTCAGATGTTCACATATGACATCAGATTCCACATCTGTGTACACCTGTTGCTGAAAAACACATCTGAAGCATTTCATCCCTACAGGGAACTTAAGCAACTCTGAAAAGATGTCCACTTTAGAAGGGATCAGTTTGAGCAGCCAAGTTTTTGCTATATTATAGTTTGGATTGTGATTTTATTATTTGTTTTTAAAGATTGTTTTTCACTGTTCGCCGCCTTTGGGTGCAAGAAATTGTCTGTATATTTTCCCATTCTTTTGTTGACAGCACAGTTTTATGCATAGTGCAGGAAATTCCCCTCCTATTCACTTCAACAGCAAGGGGGAGAATTCAAAACAGATCAAGTGTTGAAAAGTGCCCCAACCATGATGTCAGGCTAGAGGGTAAGATATTGTGTAATTCCACACCCAATCACAGCACACCAGCATATGAACTTCTTGTGACCCCCGAGTTACAAAACCAAAGGTTGCAGAGACCCCAGCTAAGAAGCTGGACTTTGACTCTGAGCCTGAGGTTGGTAACCAGGGGGCTGCTAAATCCAAAACTGGTGTGCAGGAGCCCCCTGGACCAGATCCCACAGCACTAGGGCCTATAGAACCAGAGCTGGGGCCCACATGGCCGTCTTCCCCTGGGCTTGAGGAACTGGATGCCTTCCAATCTACCTCATCAGTCCAACAGCACACCAGGCAGGAAGTGATGAAGAAGTGGCAGTCTGCAAACCAGAGGCCTAGCCCTTTATAGACTGCAGTTCTCACAAAAGGGGTGCAGCCTAGGAGTCTGGACTAGAGACAGGGGCTCAAAGGCCTCAGTCCACCTCTAGTCTTTGTTGGAGCAAGTGGCTCACTCAGAGCTCTCCATGGTGCTGCTACACTTCACCCTGCCTTGGGCTCCTTTACCAGATCAAAAATAAATACAAACTATAAAGACCAATTCAGGCAACAGGGTGCACAGTATGAGGCTGTCTTGCATTATGCCATACACATTTAGGGCTCACAAAGGGTACTGGAGATGGAAAACCTTGGAGAAAGGACACTTTTCACAGAAAGGCTGTACTTTGCAGAAAACAGCCCGGCCTCACAACACGCATGGGAACTTGAGCACACTGATGACGTTTATCTGCCTGGAATCTTGCCTTGGGATACCCAGCAGAAACACCCAACACAAGCTCAGCGCCAACAATGGGGGTTGCCAAGACAATGCATACACAGGCAAGTGAAGGTGGGGAGCACATATAGCTGCTGCCACTTCCTGGATCTCTACCTTGACTTCTGTTCAATAACAGGTGCTTGTTTCTCCTTCTTGCTGCCAGTTGATTACCACGTCCTATTGCCACCTCCTGCCTGCGCCTAGGAAACAGCAGGGGGAATAAAAGGACTCTGGAGCCGATGCTTTGCGAAAGAGCATGTTGTATAGCCTGGGCCAGCAGCTCCCTGTTCAAAATATTGCTTCTATTCTGGCTCTGCTTCTGATTCACTCTGGCAAATTTCACCACTATCTGGAGACCTGGTAGAGACAGCAGGAAAACAGGTCTGCATCAACATCCTCAAAAGTGGATCAATATTTTAATCACATCACCCCAACTCTTGGTAATGTTGCTGCCCAAGTGAGCCCAACCCCTGGGGACTGACCAGGGCAATACCTGTTGAGAGTCTCACCCTCCACCAACTTGCCTAATGAAATCCCTTAAATCAGGGATGGAGATCGTGTGGGCTTCTCTTGGAGCACGAGACGCTCAATCTAAAGGTTGTGGGTTCGAGACCCACTTTGGGCGAAATATACCTGCATCACAGGACTAGATAATCCTCCTGATCCTTTCCGACTCTACAATTCTAACCCCAGCCAGCATGGCAAATGAGTGATGGGAGTTGTAGTCCAGTGATATCTGAAGTGCCCCCCCAACTCTGTAACCTTCCACGAGTGGCAGCGTTTTCCACACGTTGCGTGTGTATCTAAACTTTTGTGAGGAACAACCTCCTGAGAGGAGGAGGAGGAGGAGAAGCCATTGCCTTTGAAACTGACCTGCCTCCTCTCACCGTAAAATTCCGGTGTGAGAGAGGACTCTTTATTTTTTAACCGTGAAGCAGGAGTTTGACTGGCATTCCCCCTCAAGAGCTCTCTCTCTCTCTCTCCACCATAAAGGGGAGGAGGCCGAAGGGGGCGGCTATTCTCTCCTCCCCTCGCCTTAAGGAACAAATGGGATATTCACGGCGAGGGAACTCCTCCAGGGGCAGCGCCGTCTCCTGCCTCAGCGAGCCGCTTTATAAAAGTGCATGCCCCCGAACCAATCCCCAACCACGCCGCCGTTGCCCAGGAGCTGACGCGGCGGCCCCGACTGCGAGCAGGACACCATGAAAGCAGCCGCCTCGTGCTCCGTGGCCCTGGGACTCCTGCTGCTCGCGGCCGCGCAGCCCGCCAGCAACCGGCAGGCGCAAAGACCCAGGTAAAGCCCGTCGATGCAGGCGCGCGCGGGAGAGCCGGCGAGCAAAGAGCCCCCCGACGGGCAGAGGATCTCCCGCCGCCTGTCCGCTTCCTCCTCTTGCTTGGTTGCTCCTCTTGGCGCCGCGGCGCCGCCTTGCGAGCACGCGACGCGCGCGGTATCCATCCCCACGTACGAGCCCACCCAGTGACCGCGCGCGTCTGACTGGCCTCGCGAGGCGTGCAGAGTTTTCCGGGCGGTTAAATTGCCACAGGTTTATTAATTTGCCCGCTCTTTCCTGATGTTCGTTCTTGTTGAAATGTGCTGCGCCGACGGGGAGGGTCTCTTGCCGCGTTGCCCTGCCCCGTGCAAGAGCAAAAGTCAGGCTTTGCGCTCTCTCTGTGTGTGTTTTCAAAGCATGGGAGGTCTCGCTGCCTCGGCCTCTTGTGAACGCCCGGGATTTGTTGGTTTGCATCAGAGTTAGGAACGCTAGGAAGTGACCAAAAAGGAGTGCTTCTGAGCATGTGCAGATTGCATTTCCAGACCCTCCGAGTGTCCCTATTTTCCAGGGACGTCCCTAATTTAGAGAAGCCGTCCCTATTTCTGATTTGATCCTGAAATTTCCCGCTTTTCCTTAGGATGTCGCTATTTTCATTGGAGAAATGTTGGAGGGTATGGAGTTATCCGACCCACTAGCCGTTGGAAGGCAATCCTATATAGGGAAGGGGTTGTCTTTTAATGTTTAATGCTTTATTATGTTTTTATATATGTTGGAAGCTGCCCAGAGTGGCTGGGGCAACCCAGTAAGATGTGTGGGGTAGATATAGTAAAATTATCATTATGGAATGGGAGTCCCTATTTTCAACGGAGAAATGTTGGAGGGTATGCATTTCCAAGTAACCCCAACTGCCCCTCCTGTGCATTCCTTAGGGGGAGTAAGGCGAATGAAAAAGGCATGGTTTCTATGCAGTCTGTTGAGATTCTTGCAAGGCAGAGGTTGGAGATGACCCTGGAATTCCTTTCCAGCTCTACAGTTCTGTGATTCCAGGAACCACAGCACCTCTTATTTTAAGCACAGCCTTATTGGCTATTGTCCTCTGAGATCATCATGCGTTTATAAGTATTCACAAACAGGACTGTTTTGAGAGGAGAAAATTACAGCGGACTAGTAGGGGCTGTCTCTGGTCTTTGCTGTGTACCAAAGCCGTTTTTTGGGGGGGAGCTCAGGGATATATACCGGTAAGCTTTAGTTCTTCTTTCAAGTTTTCTGACTGAGCTATGTTTCAAAGTTTTGTGCAAATAAGGAACTGGGAACTAGTAACCAACTTCTGAAGAAGAGCCCCACTGTTCTGTTCCATAGAATTAGAGGTGATTTACACTTAGATGGTATCCAGGTTTGCTACTTTGTTCACCACAGTGTCACCCAGTAAATATGGTGATGTCTGAATGGGATTTGAAAAAACACAAGTCTGCAAAGACCTGAGACACACAGTGGACAGATACCGCTATGAACAGCCACAGCTCTCCAGAGCATGCCAGCCACATGTTTAAGGATGCAGTGTTCTGTTTTAAACATATACAGCACACTGATAGCCACTGCAAAATATAGGGAGTAAGAAGTTTTACATATGCCATATATATATGTTGGTCTAAGCAAAAGGAAAATTATTTATTTTATTTATTATATTGATATGACGTCCTTAGACACACACACACACACACACACACGATTTAAAAGGGCATAGATTGTTTAATTAGCCAAAGGCCAACTCGTTAATTAAATAATGAGTTTACAGGTCTCTTCATCTGACCTTTTTCCTTCACAGCTGTAATGAAAACCTGTGCATTTGTGAAGATTGCAGACAAATCTGTTTTGCTGCACAATACATTTGGCAGCCAAAGCTGTCAATCTGTTCCTAACACACACACACACACACACACACACACACACACACACACACACACACACACACACACAGTGTAAAACAGACATGTGCAAATGGGGCATGCAACAAAATGTTGCAGCGTCTCCCACCCTAATAGGAAGGCTCTTGTTTTTCACAGTTCTAGGTAGCCACGTCCTCCTGTAGGATGCATACTGTGTTCTATCCTATGCCCCAGTTTTCTGTTTTTCTTTTTTCAACTGACATTCAGCATTCCGAAGTTTGCATTGAGTGTGCTTGAAGGGCAGCTTTGCTTTTGAAACTATTATTTGAACATCAGCAAACCCTGGAGGTTCCATCAATGATGCTGAGATCTCCCTCTTGTTTCTGGTATCCAGTTTTAGCTACAATTCTGTCAAAGCCACCTGAGTTTGCTGTTAAAGTGAGTGATGCTATCTACAAACATGATGGTGTGTTGTCATTTTCTTACACCATTGTAAGGCAAAACACCATGGTTGAAGTGATCTAACTTGTGTCAGTGATTATGTGAAGGACTCCCATCTAGAATCTGCAGAACTCCCAAGTGTGGTTCTCTTATTACAATGCAGCAACTTGAAGCCTTTTTGTCAGGAATGGGATGCTTTCATGGACTGCACGCAATCCCTGCAGAATCCTTCAACATGGCCTGATCCTTTCCTGATCCCCCTTTCCATCTGTATGGCAGATGGAAGTAATAGCAGGAGACAACTCAGGTCCTTCTGTGTGCAGAATCCAAAGTGTTATGATAGTGCAGGATTTATTTATTTTATACAGAGTGCTGCAGTTTGGGGAATAGATTTCTAAAAGTGACAAGTGGAACTTGCCACAGAGTGTTGCAGTATATCACAGGGATGTTCCTGTTTGGGGTCCCAGCCAGCCATGTCCTTTCAAAGGATACTTCATTCAGTTCCCCCCACTCTCATTCCTCTCTGCATTTTCCCTTTTCCAACTGCACTCAATGTTACATAGCTACTAAACATACTCATTCCTTAGTTGGCAGAGGAGGCAGGGGTTGTTCCTCTTAAAATATTATTGTATATCTGCAGAGCTTATTGTTTCTACCTCCCAGAGCCTGCATTTTGGCTCCGATCCTGTTGGCACTCACTACCTGAGTTTGCTAATAGAGTGAGACAGTGATTGTCCAGCCTATTATTATTCTAAATTGCTTTTCTGCAAGATAATGACAGGCAACAATTGAATTGTGCAGGCAACGACTGAACTGGTGATATAATACTGCTTCTGAAGGTCCGTGAGTCTTTATATTCAAGCTGATGAGTAAACCCACTGAGAATCGAATCGGTGCACCTTCACATGAGCCTTTTTCAAGGAATGCTCGATTCATCTGCTTAATCTCCACAAGTTACATGGAGCCTTAAGCTCTGTCTGCCCAGCTCCTCTTCTGTATGGATGGTAGATGTTGCCCAAAGCAGAGATGCTAGAGTGGAAGTCCCCTGCACCACACCATATTTATTGGTCTTTGTTTCTGCTTTAAACAGTAGGCCGAGAATTCATGAACTATCCAGTGCAAAAACACTTCTGGGGAGCATCAGAGCTAAATTTTATTAAATTTGCCACCTCAGTAGTTCAGTGACCTATCTGAATCTTGCACAAGGATAGGGAAGCCCCAGAAGCGGCCTCAGAACTACTGTCCGCCCTTCTAAAATTACAGTATTTATCAGAGACTTAGGGATACACCCTTTGACACATGAGACTCCAAATGCTTTTTCTTAAATCCATCTGTACGGTACATGTAAATCCTGGACTGAGTAGACGATTTAATTTTCAAGTGTCTGTCCTCTGCATCCTATTCCTCATGAGTCCATTCCCTCATGGCCCGAGAAACACAAAAAGAGGCTCCAGTAAGTTATATTCTGGGGTCAGCCTAGTGATATAGGAATGAATCTAAACTTCTGTCTTTTTAAAGCCTGTAATATCTGTAGGATGGGACGCGGGTGGCGCTGTGGTCTAAACCACAGAGTCTAGGGTTTGCCGATCAGAAGGTCGGCAGTTCGAATCCCCGCGATGGGGTGAGCTAGGTAAAAGGGTTACTGTTAAACCGCTCTGGTTTTTCAAAATGTAATATATTCTCATTCAATTTTGTGAGTAAACCAGTCGCATAAGATTTTCAAAAACCTATTTACTACTAAATTGCTGCTTGCTAGTTATGCCTTAATTTTTCAGTCATTCTGAGTATATAGCCTTGGTTTGTAAATTTCAAAAACGTAGGTGAACCACAAGGCTTCTGGTAAAAAAGAAAAGTAGGCCATGCAAGTGTGAAGTCAGTCCATTGCTGAATCTAGGTTATTCCTTCATTTGGCATCGTTCAATTTTTTCAGTCACTTTTGTGCCATCTCCTATTCCAAGTTATTCTAGATGGAGATGAGTCAACGGGTAAGTCTTGGCCAGTGACCTTGCTTTTGCTACTCCACCCAGCCATGAGGTCTGTTGGGTTTTTGCCTTTTGTTTACTGCTTGAAGACTTTGGTCTCATTTGCCTGCCTGATAATCTTACTAAGTCGTGTCTGTACCATCTCTTCATTCTAATACATAGGATAATGGTCTTTTCCCCTCAGTACTACTGCAGGGGCAGTTATCCATCGTTCCACGTTACCTAAACACATTGAGTGCTGCAATTATAAGATATTTCCCTTGCTCTCTCCTACCTAAGTCCTGAATTCCCAATATATCAGTTTCTCATTATACAAGAATCAGATCTTATAACCTTCCGTAAATATCCAGTTTCATTATTATTCACTCTGGCTACTTTAAATAGTTCTCCACCATTTATCTCCCTTCTATGTTAGACCTTTTCTGGTTGTCCCTAAAGGTAATGGGACCCCTGACCGTTAGGTCCAGTCGTGGACGACTCTGGGGTTGCGGCGCTCATCTCGCTATATATTATCCATACACATTTAATTCGTGATTAATATTAACAGTATGCTACTCTTCACAAAGTGACGCGGGTGGCACTGTGGGTTAAACCACAGAGCCTAGGACTTGCCGATCAGAAGGTCGGCGGTTCGAATCCCCGCGACGGGGTGAGCTCCCATTGCTTGCTCCCTGCTCCTGCCAACCTAGCAGTTCGAAAGCACGTCAAAGTGTAAGTAGATAGATAGGGACCGGGCGGGAAGGTACTGTAAACGGCGTTTCCGTGCGCTGCTCTGGTTCGCCAGAAGTGGCTTAGTCATGCTGGCCACATGACCCGGAAGCTGTACGCCGGCTCCCTCGGCCAATAAAGCGAGATGAGCGCCGCAACCCCAGAGTCAGTCATGACTGGACCTAATGGTCAGGGTCCCTTTACCTTTACCTACTCTTCACAAAGCAATTTAACCATAGCTAATCTAAAACAGAAGTGGGAGCTTCCAGTCTCCTCTCCTTGAGGCCATACCAGAGGAGGAGAGGGGAAAACAGGGAGTGTGAGAGCCTTGAGTGGGGCTAGGCTCATTCTCCTACTAAACTATAGTCTAGCACTATGTCTGAACACAGCTAATGCATGTAAAGCATTTTTAATACTTTGGGGGGGGGACTGCTGTATACACACATCAAATTACCACCAGAGACAACTGCAAAGTGCTACTAGACAACTGATAAACATCCTGTAGTTCTGCTGACTACCTTGGCAGTGGTGTGCATGAAAGAGCAAGATAGAGATGGGTGTTAGTTAAGTTTTTCTTGGAATTCAGCTATTTGGCATCTCCCTATGCAGAACAATCATTCTGTTCCTCCACACATACCCCCATGGCATAGACTTCATTACCTACCAGTAATGAATTGCACTCTATAGATGCCAGTTATTTTAGGCAGCTGTATTGTGTTACATTTTAAATAGTTTAATTCCTTTACACGGATGTTCTAGGAATGGTGTCAGCAGTACATATTAGATAACAGCCATTCTACTCCGCCTTTATAATACTGTCTCAGAAGTAAAGCTTTTCTTTGTTTTCCAGGTCTTTTAAATGTGGTGGAATTCTAAGCGGAGCATCGGGGTTTATTGGCAGTGAAGGATTTCCAGGAATCTACCCTCCAAACAGCAAATGTACTTGGAAAATCACAGTAAGAACTTTCACTGTCACAAAACACATTGAAAAGAATAACATGCAGTCCTTCTCTTGTTATGAAGTATGCAGTATGCATTCAAATCTGCAGTTCTCACATGCAACATTGACACTTAAATTTTAAGACCTTTGAACCTAGGCACAATCTGGTTTCGTCATTTAATGTAGTTAAGGTCAACCAAGATCAAGCTATCTAATTTAACAGTTCTAGAAGGAGTCATTTGTCTCCTTCTGTTTAAGTTTTACAAGTGGTAAAGGAAGGCTAGAAAATCAATAAATTCACCCAATACAGGGATTGTAAGATAAATTGGAGGGGAATCAGGCTCTATACAACTTTACTCCACTCCTTGTATCCCATTTTTGTCTCAAAAGAACGGAGACAGGCAAAACCCAATAGTTGCTGCAGAGCAGTAGGCAAGCAGCGATTTAGTAGTGTTTTTTTGAAAATCTTATGAGACTGATTTACTCACAAAGTTGAATGAGAATATATTACATTACAGTAAAAAAGCTGGTTATTATCTTTTTCTAATTTTAGAAGTTGGTCATTCAGCACATTGGATTGTAGACATGACACAGCCTATGAGTTGTAGTGCTACTACAGCTGTTACTCTTACCATCTCTCATAGAGTAATTTATAGAGCACAAAGCATCACATACCAGTGGTTTTAACACAATCCCTCTCCTTGACGGTACTCAGTGATTTAAGATGAGTAATCTAAGAACACTCAGTACATACAATATATAGGAACATGACATAAAAATAGCATTCGAGTCTGTCATAAGTCTTTTACGTAGATAATTTAATATGTTCAGTAGCTGAAGTCCATTAAAAGGTTGGTGACAAGAAACCTGTTTTGAAAAATGTTCCCTATTAACTGGAGGTACTCGGTTCATTTTTCTTATAATGTTCTTTTATGGGAGGAATAAGGAATGAAGCATCTTCCAAGTGGGGAAAATAACCTTTTAAATACAAACAAATGGTAGGATTTGCAGTTATGAAATACAGTACATATTAATGGGTTTGTTGTTGATCTGTGGCCATATACCACAAAGCAAAGGATGATGGTTTCTCTGCAATTATATGGATACGTGTATTTACTGATATATTATTATTATTATTTATTGAATTTATATACCACCCTATACCCGGGGGTCTCAGGGCAGTTCACAGAATAAAATCAAGATATAGAAGCACAAAATACATAATAAAAATAAAAACAACAACCCAATAGCTCCCCTCTCCCACAAAAAAACACATTTTAAAAGGGCATAGGATGTAAATCAGATCAAACAAATGCCTGGTTAAAAGGAATGTTTTTGCTTAACTCCTAAAGGTGTATAATGAAGGCGCCAGGCGAACTTCCCTGGGGAGAACATTCCACAGATGGGGAGCCACTGCAGAGAAGGCCTGTTCTTGTGTTGCCACCTTCTGGACCTCTCAAGGAGGAGGCACATGAAGGAGGGCCTCAGAAGATGATCTTAGGGTCCGGGTAGATTTTGTTAAGGGGGGCTGAGAGGTATTAGGAGACCCCTGTTCCACTCTGAGAGCTACCATTCCCAGAGCGGTTTAACAGTAACCCCTTTACCTAGGTAACTCTGAGAATTGTAGTTCTCTGAGGGGAGAGGGGTCTTCTAACTACGCTCGGCAGCTTTAACAAACTATATTTCCCAGGATTCTTAGGGAGAAACCATGACTATTTAAAGTGGCATGGTACTGCCTGCCCTAAAATGTATAATATAGATGGGGCTGTAGATGAGAATAGAAAAATATTTCCTTCCCCAATAAAGTTTTTAACCTTAACACCCTATAGCTTAACAGTTATTGTTGGGGCACCATAGCAGAGTTTCATACAGTGGCATCCAGCAGAGTTAGCATTGAACCAAATTTATTGTGGTGTCATAATAAGCAGTGTTAAACTTTAGCTCTGTTGCCAGAAAAACTCACAGCCCATTGAACTCCTTAACAAGGTGTGGGGAAAAGCAGCTACCAACAGTAATCTAGAGACAGTGCTGTGATTCTGTCATCTGTTCACTTACAGTTGTGAATGCAGTTGGAGCTGCAGATTAGGAACTGGGAGTAGGAATCAGTTACTTCATAAATGTGAATGAGCAGCAAGAGATGTTTTGTTGCCTGTAAAAGAAGAGAGTTGACATATATGCGTAACAAGATATTAAGCTGACTGGCATTTCTCTGCCTGTACTCCAGACATCAGAGCATGGGCAGATTAGAAGCAAATTAGTCATTACTGTCAAGAACACAGACAGAACATGAAAGTCATTAAATTAACCCATTGAACTGAGACATTATCCCCATTATGACTCAAATGGGAGCAGAATCAGACCCTGACTAGCTGAATTCAACACCCGAAAAAAAGATTAGTTGGGTGATCATTGGGTGAGGTTTGCTCACATAGATAGATTTTTTTTTCTTTTCCTGCTGAGACAGCACTAGAAATAAATATTTTTGTGTGAAATTTATCACCACAAAAACTGCATTGCTGTACCCCACTCACAAAAACAAATCCTTGTGCGTATTCAGTAATAGTGTTTTTGGAACCAAGCCAATATCTGCACTTGCAAGTTGCCCATTCATAAAAAAGTTACAGCATATGGCTTTCTGCAAAACATTTCAGACTTGGGAAATGTTTATATACACTCATACATATAAAGGTTTCTTTAAAAGTCAAGCAGTGTGGGGTAGAGAATGGGGCTGCATGTTGGAAATAGAGAGCTTTCACTTTCCCCCCCTATCTCTTTTATGGTTTTATTAAGTCATATCCATGACCTTTGATTTCCCTTCCATTCCGTGGGATTCACTGGAAGCAAAGTTTGAGATAGCTCAAAAGGTTTTCTCAAGTTAGTAGTGTGTGCTTTGACCTCTACACATCCAATTTGTTCATGCGAACCTCCACTGCCAACCACCCCACCAATCCCTGCAATACCTATCACAATTCTTAGGTTAACACCTTATTTTTAGAAGCCTCATAGTATAATGCATACATTTGTTTTCAAATTGGCTTCACTCAAAACATGCTTCACTCAAAACATGTTTTCAAATTGGCTTCACTCAAAACATGTTTCCCTTATCGTGAACCTAAGAGATCTAAAAATAAAAAGTTCTTAAAAAAAACCAGCAGCTTAAGATTTTGAATTCACTCTCACAATTTTGTACTCTCTGGATGTGTGCTCTCTTCCATTCTTTGGTTCTTTATACTCTTCCCTCCACCCAGAAGCCTCTTCTAGTCATTGAAGGTAGTTGTCAGCACCTTGGGTGAGCAAAAGCAGCGGTCAAAGGATCATGCTGCACCACAATTTCCAGCTGTGCAGCAGCTGTATACTGGTGGGTGCACTACCAGGGAGCAAGAATATAAAGCGGGGAGAGGAACTATGTATGCACAACAGTCAGGGAATCTGGGAAGCTTTGGTTGGGAAAATAGCCTTCTTTTCCCTGGAAAGGGAGGAATTGGTTCATTTGTTCCCTAGAGAAAGGGTGGGGGAGAGAGAAAGAGAAACTGCAGCTGTTTTATATGCTTCTTCTGTGGCTGGCAAGAAAGGTTGGCAAAAAAACTACATTTGTTAAATAATCAAATGGGATCAGTGTGTATGTGGGGTTGTGGGGAGGACATCTATCTAGTCAACATTGCCCAAAAGAATTGGTCTGGCTACCTTGCTGCAATTGTCCCATGACTCAAACCTCAGCTGTCTGACTGTGGTGAAGCCAAGGGGTCATGGTTACAACAGATGCCTCATCCAGTCTGGGTGGTGGTCCTACTCTTACCATCTCACATGGCTGCTGAATACAGGAGCCACTGGGTAGTTCTTTATAAATGCATGTAATCTAAAGGATTGCATCAGCTCTACAGATGTCTTTTGAAACTTTTTGGCAGGGGCCTTCCTGCTGCATCCACTCATCAGCATATCATTTTAGATTTGTGCATGCAAAAAAAAAAAAAAAAGAATAGCCTTAATATTTATAGTATTGTGATAGCAGCTTTCAGAGTTCTAAGACAACATTTATGGTTTCCTTAGGAAACGCTTTATTACTATTTCTGTTGCAGCTGTGAAGTTTAATAACTCATTTGGTTCCTTAATTTCAGTCATGCAGTTTCACACATGAGCCTTTTGCTTTTACTACAGCTCTATTTGAAAATACTTAGGAAACACAAAATCACCCCCAGTTAGCAGATTAACACAGTCGTTAATGCTGTGGACATAGGTAGTCCAGATAAGAGGTAATAGTTGAGCATGATTTATTCTCTTGAAGGAAGCACAAAGGTATTAGCAATTGCTTTATCTTGTGGGTCCCCGTGGCTGCTGTGATTTCCCCCCCACTAAGCAGGGATCATTCACAAGCAATTATGCATCTTTACATTCAGTAAATACTGAACCATAGAGCACCCAACTTGGATGGAATCTCCATGTATTTAACAGTAAAGCATGGGTGCTTGCATATCTCTATCATACCTACAGAGCCATGCAAAGACACAAGCCTTATGCAGAAACATGGTGAAATCTTTCAACCCACACAATCAGTCTTTCAAGGGCAATGGAGGTATGCAAGCACAAATTCTGTTCAAAGTGCACACTAGAGAAGGTGAATTGGCAATGCTCTGTAGACTTGGAAGCTAGGGAAGAGGAGAGGAGCAGAATGTCTTATTTGTGTAAACAGAAGGGGAAACATTTGGGGGATGTTATATGAGAAGAAAAGGGGTTTGAGAAGGACTTTATATTATCCTTGTAAGATATAAATATATGTAGAGAGTAAAAGTTACACCATAAGGTCAACATGTAAACCGCAGACTGTTAATCTTTAGCTTCTTTTCTTTCTACAGGTTCCCGAAGGGAAAGTCGTGGTTCTTTCCTTTAGATTCATGGACTTGGAAAGTGATAACTTATGCCGATATGACTTTGTGGATGTGTACAACGGCCATGCAAACGGGCAGCGTCTTGGCAGGTTCTGTGGCACGTTGAAACCTGGTGCTCTTGTGGCCAACAGCAATAAGATGCTGGTGCAAATGATTTCAGATGCCAATACAGCTGGGAATGGCTTTGTTGCAAAGTTTTCTGCAGCAGAACCACATGAAAGAGGTATTCTGCAAGTTATTGAAGCTTAAGGTGATAGATACACTGAGCTCTGTACTTTCATGTAAGAATCTTCGGGGGGGGGTTATAAAAAAAAAAGTATTTTATTATTTTCTTACATTATGAAGGAACCTTTGTAAAGCCAAAGGGATTCATCTATAATTGGAAGCCATTTGCTAGCCATCTAAAAAGGTGAACTACATAAAACAATGCATTTGCTCTATAAAATTTGAAGTAAAAAAACCCCCCAGTAATATGGAAAGGAGTGCATTGTGTGATACGATTTCAGTGTTTCATCGAAATTTAACATTTTGCAGGCTGGGATTATAATGTTCTTTATATGAGAGTTGGGCAAACACCACATGAAACTCTGGTTTTTGGCCTAGCGTTATGTTGTGTATTTTTAGGAGACCAGTACTGTGGTGGACGACTAGACAAGCCTGGGTCCTTTAAAACTCCTAATTGGCCTGATCGAGATTACCCAGCCGGGGTTTCCTGCTCATGGCACATTGTAGCTCCAAAGAATCAGGTGAGCTGTGTTCACACATATGGCGTCTGCTTTCATCTTTCCTATTTGCAAAAGCCCTCTGATTCCCATCTTTCCTTCTGGCTCTTTTCCACCTGAAGAATTTCTAGCATTCACCTCTTCCAGATGCTTCCTGTCAGCGACTTTCAACCCCATCTTAGCTCACAGTCACAACCAGACCTACAGCATCTATGAAGTAGAGCGGGGATCAGCAAACCTTTTCAGCAGGGGGCCGGTCCACTGTCCCTCAGACCTTGTGGGAGGCCGGACTATATTTTGGAAAAAAATATGAACAAAGTCCTATGCCCCACAAATAACCCAAAGATGCATTTTAAATAAAAGGGCACATTCTACTCGTGTAAAAACATGCTGATTCCCAGACCATCTGCGGGATCCGGCCCCCGGGCCTTAGTTTGCCTACCCATGAAGTGTAGTAGAGCAATCAGAAGACAGTGGCTACTTACACTCTGATTTAGGCTCAGAAAATGGCTTACACTCTGATTTAGGCTCAGAAAATGGCTACTTTGAAGAAAACCCTGCTCACCAATTAGCAGAGCTGAACATCTGGGTATTATATTGATTGCTGAGTTGCCAGGTGGCATGAGAAATAATGGTATTAGCAGCAGCACAGTGAGTTTCATGGGAGATGTTCTGAGCATTTATCTTCTCCTGTTACGTTGCACTGCAAGTCCCACTGCATAGGAACATGTTCAAATTCTGATAATACATTTAGCCTATTTAATCCTGATGATAATTTTTCATTTGTTGTGCAGCTGTGTGGCCCTTGTAAATAAGACCTGCTTTCATCAAACATGTAACTGAGACACACACAAAATACAGCTAGGGTAAAACTAGGTTTCATTTTCAGATTTCTACGTCTTATGAAAACTGTTCTCTTTTTAGGTAAGTTATAAATTATGCCTATGCACCTGACAAGAGAAATCATATTCTCACTGTTCATTTCCCCCTCTTTACCTGTTTCCTTTACTGTTCTAGTGCACCTTTGTCTAATGTTTTTTTTTTGTGAACATTTATTTCCGTTGACTTGCTCTAGTTCAGCCTTTTAAAAGATAAGATTTTGTAGGAAAGGAAGGATTGTTGGGTTAAAAGACAGCAAGAAATACAATATATTTTCTCATTAAATGCAGTGTATATGAACAATTTCTGAGCACCAAAGTGAATAACAAATGCTTTATTTTCAGTTTAAGAACATTATGGATTTTCTGTTCAAAATGATTGACTCAATATTTCCTCTGCATGCCTACCTAGAACCAAGTAGGGGCACTTGCTACACTCCACGGTGTCTAAATATTGCCACACTCATTCAATTCCCTTTGCTTTTTCCACTTTCAGGTTTTAATTCCCTAATCTATTTGCTCATTCTATCATTTTCTTAATCTTAAGGATGCTACCATTTCATTTCTTAGGACTGAAACCACTTTGCCTTGTTTCATATCCATTTGTCAGTCACCCCATATTAGTTCTACCTAAGTGCCTTTTCACACTATGGCAGGCTACTCAATCTTTGCTTTCTCTCTTTTTTGTTGTTGTTGCCTAGGTTTCTGCTCCATAAAACTATATTATGGCAGGAGGCACTTAGTGATTGAATACCTTTATCTTCAAGCATATTTGGTAGGTTGGCTGCTTTTCATATCTACTTTCTGAACCCTTGTCCATGCCACTTTGAGTTGCCTTTTAATCCACTTCTCATGACCATAATCCTCCAAATGAAAGAGCTGGCCAAGATAAATATATTCTTCTGATCCTTAATTTTCTCCCACCCCCTGCATTGATCAGGATAATATTTTCTTGAACTTGGGGCTGTAGATCAGCTTAGTCTTTTCCTGTATTCATCTTTAATCCACATTCCTTGCTTGCTACATATGGCTCATTTAACAATTTATGGATAGCCAGCGATTTAATTGAACGTGATAAATTACAAAGCATTTGTGATTGCTCTCATTATTGCCAAACGTGCCTGAAAATCTTTTCAAGCTCTTACTGAATTATACCATCCCATTAGTGTACTCTTCACCTCTTGGGTTCTTATTCTTGAGAAACTGTATTTGCAAGTGCTTAAAACATTTAACCATGTACTTATTCTCAGTATATTCCAGTAATGTACTTATTCTCAGTATATTCCAGTAATGTACTTATTCTCAGTATATTCCAGTAATGCTTCTTGTGAAGGTCAGTATCTACCAATGAATCAATGCCTCGTTAGCTCACTATTAAACTCTTGCTGCATTTTTATTTCACCTGGATAGCATCAAATATTTAAACGAATCAGGAGAAAATGGATCTCCCAGCCTGCTTTGATTTATAGAACTGTTATTGTTCAGTTAGGGTTCTGCCTTTCCATTAAAGCCATTATAGGCACAGGGAAGGAAAACATCTTATTATTAACATGGCATAAGTGTAAGCTTATAGCTATTCCTCTCAGCACTTGTACCCTGTAGTTGATGGGGCGTTGCCTTAGTACAAGGGGTAGCCACACTCCTGTTCACTTTTACAACAAAAATAGTAATTGGGACATGGAAAGCCTAATGGAGAAAGTAAGACTCTTTAAATGCTATGGCATTGTTGTCAGCAGAAAGAGCGGCACTTGGTAGTATTCACCAACTTTTTTTTAAAGACAAGACTAGTTTACTCATCCTTTGGGGGGGTGCATTTTCTAAAGAATTTGAAATAAAACTTTACAAGAGCAAAAAAACAGGATCAGTGGAGAAGTGGATATTGTGTCACTTGCACACTAGTAACTACCAAACTAGCAGTGCAGCTTCATGAAGAACCTCAATTTTTCCGTAACAGCAATACCTCTTACAGTGCTAAGAGAAGTGTTAACTTGATGGTCCCACGCAAGAAATGAGCAACTAATGCACAATAAAAAATCAACATCTGAAAGAAAAAGTGGGTGGGGGCTTTTATTCCTCAAACAGTTCCCTTTCAGCAAGGCTTTAATCTGAAGGGCAAACTATGCTTTTGCTTGGTGCAGCTGGCAAATTTTACTTTTTAACATGCACCTGACTGCTTCTATTTTCTTTCTATTCTTAATTTCTATTCTTAATTGAGCATTGTTTCAGAATATCAAGGGGTCTTGATGCAACATGAGATAGTCATGATAAAGCAAGGAATTAAAAGAACGGCCTATATATACATAAAATGTTTGGATTGAAATTACATGGAACTAAATAATAAAAAAACACACAGGAAAAATACCAATAGAGATTCACATTATTGTTTGGGACAATACTGTGGTAGGCTGTTCTGTCACCCAACATATTATGCTCTCTGAGAAACATGTTATCATCTTTGTTCTTACTGTCAATATAGACACATCCATTACAGCTATTCATTCACTCATTTATCATCTTTGTTAACCTGCTCTTCTACTAATAGGTCAATAAAGTTTCTTGCAAACCAGTAATTAAAATTTGTTTCTACTAAGCATAGCACAGATTAAGCATGGTTTGTTCAGGTTCAGGCAACCCAGCAAGCAGCAGTTGATTTTAAATGGAAGCAAATTATTCTGAACTCCTTGCAGCTGTGCTTGAGGAAGAGGGAAGACAGGAAGAGCCTGAGGCGCCCTATTGTTTAGCATTATGTCCAGACCAGGCTATTATATTAGCATTTGTCTTCCAGGCAATGTGTTCAAGTAAAATCCCATGAGATGTTGTTAAGAGGGGTTAGAATTCCATACACAGTATTCTCCTAAATAAGCAGCAGGGTTGAGTTATTTTTATATATACAGCCTTGGAAAAAAATTATAAAACCCATCTAATAACCGTGAAGCATTCCACTGGCCATGCCAATTAGCTTGCCGGACATGACTTTCATTTTGTTTTGCTTTGTACATATAATTCACTTAATATGGATATTGCCTTCAAGGATTTGTGTTTTAATTTTTGCAACAGTATTTGAGCGGCAATATCATAGCAGCTTTCTGTTAATATTGTTGTTTCCTCCTTCTTCTTTTTAGCAACCAAAATTCATCCTTATTACAAATACTTATCCAGAGTTTGATCTTATGTGGTGTTCAACCCACTAGTCTGAATTCTCTGTAGCACGTCCTTATTCATTCACAAATAGCAACTGTTATGAGGCATGCCAGGCCTTGTTCAGGTCCCAGGCTGTGCCTACAAGCAAGAAAGCAGCATTCTGATGTTGCTTTGTCCACAGCCTGCTGTGGACTGAGCCTTATATAGGAGCAGGAATTCTCTCTCTGTGGTAAGATCTGCCTTTATTGAAAGATGCTGCATCAGTTAAAGGCAGAGCATGTACCTAGGGTCCCCTGTGCCCTTGCAGGGAGCTGCATCAGCACATATACACCCCAGAAAAAAACACTTTACCACAACAGCCACAACAGAAATTACTGCATTTTATACACCCCAAGTACTTGAAGGGTCTGGAGTGAGGGCAAGGCTAGGAGGACTGGCCAAAAAATCTGCCATGGTGTGTGTGAGAAGTTGGGAAGCTTCTCCTGTGTCTGATCTCGCTGCAACAATGGTATCTCATTGCCACACACATATGTATGCCATGCACTCTAGTCTCCAGCGATCTCCCTTCATACAGCCTTGCCATTTGTCCTTCCACTCAGCTCCCAATTCTTGTCTAAACTCATGACCATATGTAACTGGAGACATATTTCTGGGCTGATTTTTTGTTCCCCACCCGCCTGGAGGGCAGTTTCACCAATCTCTATGTCTGCCTCAGGGGCTCAACCCACTCCAGCAGTCATTTACTCTGACAGGTGGAGTCTGATCGGACTAGGCCTTCTGTGGTGGAGCCCCTTGCCTTAAGAGAGCAATGCGACATCCTCAGTTTGGTGGGGCAACAGTTCCATGGGCTCATCTTGCAGACTTGTTTCTGGGGCCAGCCCTGCCCTACATGCAATTTGCGTTCTGACACAAAGCCCTTGATCTCCTAACTGGAGATGGGGAATCTGATCCCAGGGTCACGGCAGCTTTAATGTACTACACGAAATGTTTTAGGACCATCTTTTTAAGAGTCTTTGAGATGCTGATTAAATCCAAGGTGCCAAACTGGAGGGCCTCTGAGGATCTTTGTGGTTTTAGGGTTTATTGTGAAAAGAAGTAGGCCTTTAAGTAGATTCTTAATTTCCCTCCTTGCAGCTAATAGAGTTAAAGTTTGAAAAATTTGATGTGGAGAGAGATAACTACTGCAGATATGACTATGTGGCTGTGTTTAATGGAGGCGAGATTAACGATGCTAGGAGAATTGGGAAATACTGCGGAGACAGTCCACCAGCGTAAGTAATGGTATTTGTTTCATTTAAACTGCTGTTTCTATGAAAAGATGAAAACTGGATAGGCATGGTTGTTGTTTCAGTACAATCCCATCCATCCTGTCCTTTCATCCATTCATCTATTTATCACTTAGATTTTCATAACTGATTTTCCTTTCCTTAAAATTTACTGTAGCTGCAAATTGGAACAACAAATTGCAGCTTTATTATGTTAAATAGCTTTGCTGGCTATTTAACAACCAGTTTTACCACCCTACATTTCTCTGGGTGGAAGGGTGGGTTAAAATTTAATAATAAACAAAAATGATAGTGTAGTTTTTTAGGAATCCTGAGTAAGTATGCAAGTTAGATGACATACGAAGATTTTCTTTTATTGTGCGTTGTGTCATATTGATGTATGCAATTGCATTAAAGCACAAGGTTTTTGCTAGCATTTTTCTTGCTGTTTTATACTTGTGTATTTCAGTGAAGTTTAATAGAGAAATTATTTTTTTAAATCTATTAGTGGGGAAAGTAGAAAGTCCTCATGAAGATAATCTCAGTACCATGGGGGAAATAATTGTACATACAGATCCAGGTAAAGGTAAAGGGACCCCTGACCATTAGGTCCATTCGTGACCGACTCTGGGGTTGCGGCGCTCATCTCGCTTTATTGGCTGAGGGAGCCGGTGTACAGCTTCTGGGTCACGTGGCCAGCATGACTAAGCCGCTTCTGGCGAACCAGAGCAGCGCACAGAAACACCGTTTACCTTCCCGCCGGAGCAGTACCTATTTATCTACTTGCACTTTGACATGCTTTCGAACTGCTAGGTTGGCAGGAGCAGGGACCGAGCAACGGGAGCTCACCCTGTCGCGGGGATTCGAACCGCCAACCTTCTGATCAGCAAGCCCTAGGCTCTGTGGTTTAACCCACAGCGCCACCTGCGTCCCTTACATACAGATCCAAGCAGCATATAAAACTCCAGATGGGAAGGTTGATCCTTAGCTGTGTATTGCAGTGCTGATGGACATTGTATTGGGTGGATGGCCTGCACACATTTGCATCTTGATGCTCATGTGCCTCCAACCTCCACTGAGTTGCACCATTTTCTGTGTATATCTGTCATCTTACTAGCATGCATTTCATCTATTATGGACACCTTTTGTGAAGGGCTTCCTTTCTTCCTTGCACTGCAGAGCTCAAATTAAGGTGGCAACCAAGTTTTCCCGTGTTTCCCATTCCTGTGGACTCTGGGGCTAGTTAGGAATGGGCTCAGGGTTCCAAATGCATGAATTTATTTTCCAAACTTGCCATTGTGAGTTTTGTCTTAATCACTGATGCAAATTTATGAAGAATTGACCTGATGAAGTTCTACCAAGGGAGTATTTCTGAATTAAATCTTAAATCTACAGGACCTACTCCTGTTCCTTAAATTTAGCATGTGCACAAAACATTTCCAATGTTGTAGAGAGTCAAGACAAATCGTATACAAATCAGCAAGTGGACTAGTGGATGTATTATAACATTTCATTTTAGATCTGCTTGTTTTTTGCTTAACATATTTGAACGTTACTATTTTCCTGAGAGCTTAAGTACATATTTACCTGGAAAAAGGTTCCTTAAGGACTTGTGCTGCTTACTTCACTCTGAAAACATAGCCAACTGCATATTTGGTAACAGGAATCTTTATGCTCCATGTGGGGGGGAAATCAGATTAACAAAGGCAGACTCAGTTTTCCATTCAATTTTAGTAAGGATATTTACACATATAGTCTGTTTGTGTGGTATGCAGTGCTACAAAATCTGTTGGCTGCATATAGTTCAACAAGCAATAATATAACAACTACAAAAGACCCTCCTAACATGAATGATGCATTGTTCTCTTTCAGGCCTATTGTATCTGAGAGAAATGAGTTACTTATTCAGTTCTTGTCTGATTTAAGTTTAACTGCTGACGGCTTTATTGGGCACTACAAATTCAGGCCCAAAAAAATACCTACAACCGCATCACCTACTACCGCAACCCTCCCTGCCACCACAAGTAAGTCTAAACTCATTGTTTAATCTTTATTGAAGGTGTTGGTAGAAAAGGCAGGGAAGCTTCAGGATCAGCCTTAATTCTTTTTTAATTTTTAAAAAATCATCTTATTGTAAAGAAGAGGCTGGGGGAAAGGGTTGCTTTGATTAAATCAAAGTAGGAGGACCTTCTATTCTGAATGCTCATGTGTGTAGTGATGTCACATTAGTCTGGAATGTTGTGATTTTAATGAGCCCTGTTGTCTTACTTGCCGAGGTGTGTATAGATTGTCATAAACAAAATGAGCATAAAGAAGGCTGATGGTTGGTTGGTTACTTAGAAGATCTGGGAGTGTAGCATGACTGATAAAATCATATTAGATTAGGGACCTCTTTTCCTCCTTGACTGCAGTTTGTTTCAGAGTTAGATATCCAGAATATCATCTGTGCCACCATGAATGTGAGGTTTGATCACTGACACACATTGTACAACTCTGTTAGAGCTGGAACTGCAGCAAACAGCAAAAGTACATGGCGCAAATACAGAATATTGGTTTCTTTGAGGTACGGTGTGTCTGGATTATGTGGGGTTTTTGCTTTGGGAATGTCAGTTCTCTCTGCATTTAATAGAGTAAACACACAGGAAAAATGAAAGTCTCTTTTAAATGACTTCTGAAACACTTGAACTGACTTCACTAACTCTGCTTTCTCGACCTCTTTGGAGAAGCGGTGAAGCCTACAGTTGCCCTGTGCCAGCAAAAATGCAGAAGGAGTGGAACTCTTGAGAGCAGTTACTGTTCAAGTAACTTCGGTAAGAGCAGCAAGTATCTTTCCCCTTTCAACCAGTGACTTGGGCATGTATGCTTAGTTTCATGGGAGGGTCAGAGCCACTTATTTGTAAACTACCATTAGTGCACAAAGAAATTCTTTCAGATCATAGTACTTGCATCTCTTATACTGTGTCTATGACTCAGTTATATGTCTTCAGATGTTTTACAGAGAAGACAGTGTGGATGTTTGTCAGGGAAAAAAACTGTTCCAGTCTAAACAAAACTGAACAAACAGAAAGCAAACTGTTGCTCTATGAAAGTGTTGATTCAGTGATGATGCTGGCATGTTGTCTTCTTGGAACAGCCTGTATTCCTTATTCACTGTGACAATTTTGTTGTATGTACTCCTGTAATTCTGGTTTCATAATACTTCTTGGAAATCCTCTGCAATGCAAAAGTTGTTCATTATGGTAAAGGCCTGTGCATCTTCTCCTTACCTATTTAGATATAAAACTGTGATGATTGATAATATTTGATTCAAATTGTTAGTTGCTTTAACTTGCGCAGGGCAACCCAAGGCAACTTACAACCCAACATTTATATGTGGTTGTCTCAATGCAACCGGGCAACGCAACTAGCATAATACTTAGGGGCCAACCCAAACTCTTCTAACTCTGTAGCCCAGCAGGGCCTTGCTGCACATTGTGGCTGTGGCAGAAGTTGGTAGGAACATGCAGATCACTATGCCACCCTGGACCCACCACCAAACTGTACCTAGCCTACTGCAAAGTGGGGGTTGGGAGACAGAAAGATGAGTGTAAGATACTGACTCCACTTCATGTTAATGTTACAGCATCTCCAAATTACAGTCCTTTTAAGATTCTGTGAACCATCAAGGTGGCCTTGTTAATTTGATGGTCAGTCAATATCCCAAACAAACAACTCACAATAAAAAAGGACACTTGTTTAACTTACATAGCCATAGCCAAAGGACATACTTGTTTGAGACTTTTATCTTCTGTGCACGTAAAGGTGAAGTGGTCATGTAACTGTTTCATTGTGTTCCAATCACATTCCAGTGTATTAATCCTATGTATTTCTTTTATCTAGTAATAACTGGATCCATTATCACAACCAACATTAAAGGTGGAAGCTTGCATGCAACGGTATCAATTATTAACGTCTACAAAGAAGGAAATTTAGCGATCCAACAAGCAGGCAAAAATATGAGTGCCAAGATCATTGTTGTTTGTAAACAGTGTCCTCTTATCAGAAGAGGTAAGTGATTAACAGAATTCTGCTTTTTGCAAATTACACTTATTTTCTAATTACTTCTTTAATTTTCAATAACTTTCTCAGGACACTTTATTCAGAATCAGATTGATCCTTTATAGAACAAAATGTCAAAGCAAACTATCCAAATATTACCTACTGATGGGTGGTTTTTTAAAAACATACTGATGAATGTTTGAGAAAATTCAGAGACCATAACAATTTGATTATAGAATTGCTTCTCTGAAAGCTCTTCAGTTAATCAAAATTAGTAAAATAGTGCAAATGAGTTGAATGAGAAGAGAGGATTGGTTGCTGAATCTGCTATTATAAAGGTCATACCTCTGTAAACCAAGACAAATCTAGGATAATGGTAGACATACACACACCTTTAAAACTGAAATATGTTGGGGGGGGGGGATTTGGATTCAATTTACCAGTTTACCATCTACTTGCATTAAAGCACTATTTGACTCCTATAGGCAAATAGAGAAGGCTTACTGTTTTTCATCCATATCAATCAAACTCAATGTAGAAAAGCATACTCAATGTAGAGCAGGCATTAGTGGGGCATAATGAAAATTAAATAAAAGTCGTTTTTTTCCAACATTTTAGTGAGCACCTGCTGATTAAAAAAATTAGACAAGGTTTAATAAAACAGTGATTGCACTGCTGTTAACTTTTTAACAGTTAGCTTTATGCCTCCTTATCACCTCAAAGTGAAAGGACCTGTTCATAATCTCATCTCAATATATCCTAATATTCCCAAAACATCCAACCCTATGCCGTGGATACCTTCCACAACTGAACTTATTCTTCCTTAAAGGTAAATGTTCAGTTTCAAAATTAATTAATGTTCACTCTAATCCAGGAATACTCTATATGGTGTCTTCCTGATTTTGTTGCACTCCAACTTCCATCAGCCCCATCTAGCATGGCAGTGTTCAAGGATGGTGGAAACTTTGGTCCAGTAAAGTTTGGAGGACATCACATTGGCAGTTCCCTGGTCTGGTGTTTACATTTCTGAGTAAAGTTTGATCTGTTTCCCTTTCTGAGAGGAGAAACCAAAAGATATTACACCCTGAAATCTACATATTCAACTGAGAGATTATAAAAAGCTATGGAAGGCCATTGGCCATTTACAACACAGATATACAGGTTTATTCAGTGATTACACTATAAAAATTGCATGAAATAATATAGCTGTATTTTCCAAATTGTAGAATCTGTTCCACTATTTTAAAAACTCTTCCCCTCTCAACAGGTCTAAATTATGTCATTATGGGACAGGTAGAAGAAGATGGCAGAGGTAAAATCTTGCCCAGCAGCTTTACAATGAGTTTCAAGACGAAGAACCAAAAGATCCTGAATATCTTGAAAAACAAGCAGTGTTGAATGTGAATTTTTGCAGCTGAGTCCTGCCATCTATCCTCCAGAATCTCTCTTCATGCAAATAAAATGGGAGATTTTCCAGGAACGTAGTGTACTTTCCGGAATTTTTCAACCTTGTTTTCCCCATAGACTGGTGTTGCAAAAATCAAAAGAAAAATACATGATTGCCAATTTTATCTTTCAAAACCTTCAGCAACATCAGCCAGCCTGTACCATACCAAATTTTCACTACCGTGAATTTCTTAATTTATACTTTTCTCAGAAGGATTTTTTTTTAAAAAAATGACTGATGTGATGAAGTGCAATATTTATAGTAATTCATATTAACTTAGTTTTCCTGTTTCCTTGCAGAATAAGCTACACTTAATAAACACTTCTAAAAACTCAGTGGCTTCAGTGTTGGGATTGGATATGGAAGTTCCAGGTTCAAATTCACTTGGATATGATGTCCACAGCGCGACAGTGTTTGCACATCGTGGCAAACCATTATTAAAGGGTTACTGTGACTCAAAACCATTCCTTCAATTTTTCCCTGGTGTGAGCAGGAGCAACAAACCATGATCCCCACATCACAGCAGTTTATTTTGCTTCCAAACGAACTGCATTCTAAAGCCAAGGTTTGCTCTTCACTTATAAGGATTGCTAATCTGGGTAAAACAACTGTTTGTTGCTCAAACATGTCCTAGGGGAAGAGTAAGGGAGGAGCAAAATCTGCATTCAAAGCAATCCATTAACTACCATTTAACATGACATTAAATTGGGCATGTGTAGCTTTGTACAAGACATGATCTCAGCCAATCACACCTCACAAGGACTTCGAGAGGAAAAAATGATGTCCTGAGCTCTATGAAAAAGGCAAGATACAAATGAAACAAATTAATCACCTGAGCTTTTAGGCAACAATTCTTTAATGTCAAAAAGCTTATTAGGAAATGAAACAACTCTTTAAAAAAGCTTAAGTTACAGAAGTATCCAATTCAAGAATGATATGAAATGAAAATTCACTTTGAAACACAATGAAGTCTGGAAGGATTACCCCAAAGACATCCGCTGGCTCATCAGCAGAAAGCCATCAACTGCTGTCATACCTTATTGGATTCTGCATTGTATACAGTATAAATCCTGAATTCTGCAGCAAAACACATTCTCATCAGGTTTTCTTCTGAGTTTTTTCCTGCATCACTTATTTTGTGCTATTCATGCTGTGTGCTTGTGGAATGATAATGGCAAGATTTTTTTAAAAAAAACAGAAACATAACGTCTGAGAGAAGACTAGATTTGGAGCAACTCATTTGTAACTACTCCTTAAAAATAGTTACAACCACATTACCACAAGATAAACATTCTGGAAAGGGCCCCTCAAATTAGTTGTAAGAACCTGGAAAACACAGGTTTTGTCATTTATTTCTATAAAGCCTTTTTAAAAAGCAGAAGCACAGTTTATAATCTGGTTGCCTGAAAAAGGCAGGAAAACGGGGGGGGGGGGGGGAAATAGTGTAACAAAAAAAGTAGCTTTTGTTCCGCATTTTACAATTAAGATCTCCAAAGCACACAGTTTCATGTGATATACTGTATATGGTATCAATGGCAACAATTTTTCTGAACAGATTCTTAGATTATCCATTAGGTCAGCATTTGCCTCCCCCTGCAAAAAATAGTTATTTATTCTGTTTCTCTAGTGTTTCAGGAGACAAGATATAACATATGGCACAAAGCATTCAAATATCTTAAGCCACCAGCTTTTTCATAAGTCTGGATTGAGTCATTATTTATATTGAAGTCTACATACAATTAAAAAAAAATCTTTAGGTAATCTGCATTCTTTCTAATGAAGTCACACATATATCTTTTTAATATACAAAATATATTATTTTTTTCATAAAAACATCATTATAATAAATAGGAGGAATACTGACTTAAACCTTGTTCCCTCATTCATCCCGATTTACGCTACAAGGAGACCAGCACCTTTTGCCCTTAAATTCTGCAAGCTAATATAAAGTCAGACAACAGCAATTCCTACTATATTTACACCGCATGACATCAATGAGACTTAAGCACACCAGTGCCCTGTGCAGAAATAACATTTTGTCACCATGGGTGTGCTAAGTATTAACCATGGCATAGAATTAAGGGTTTTCCTTTCCAAGTAAACAGAGCATCAGTATTCCGTACTAACAATCCCTAGCTTATTCTTCTTCAAGTAGAATGAAACAGCAGATAATGACAATACTTATTATATAAATAAGTGATAAAATGCAAAAGCAAAATGCATTCAAAACAGGAAGTATAAGGACAAAACCATTAATGTCTTCATAAAGTATTTCCCATGAACACACAGGACCCAATCCCATTAAAATCTGGGATGCTTCCGATTAAATCAATGAGTTTTAAGTTCACTGCATCTACCTTGACCCACTGATAACTAGAACTGGTGCCGCCATAATCTCTCAATCCTTATGCATAGGTGTAGATATACACGCAGAGAATTTCCATTCTAAGAAATGCTTCAGCATGACAGCAAGGTGTCATTTCATTAACAGTGTTATACCAAAGAGTGCTTGCCTATTGCAGCTTTCCCCAACCTTTCAGCATAACTGTCGGGAGCTGTGGTTCATAACATCTGGAAGGCAACAGGTTGGGGAAGGCTGCTGTAACAGCTAATGCTGTGATCTCAGAAGACCAGCTTTAAATTCCTTTCGTTGTCATCTGTAGGATATCTATATAGGTCCCACACAGGTGGCGGCAGCAGGTGCCTGCCTGGCTTCACCGTGGCCTGGTCGAACATTGCTTCCTCCCCCCGCAAGCTATGCTGACTGCTGGGGCTCAGCCATGGTCTCAGCCAATCACAGGCAAGCTTGTGGGTGCAGCTTGGGGGCAGACCAGAAGGAAGACTTAGTCTTCTTGGCTTCCATCTGGTCTGTTCCCATGGCATATAAAGGAGCCGAGCCTGGGCTGTTTTCAGTCACAGCTTGGTCTCTGCCAAAGAAGGACATTGCCAGGAGTCTCCCAAAGAAGATCCTGGGCCTTGGAAATGTCTGAAACTGAAGCTGGGCCTCCCAAGTGTTTTCTTCAGTGAGTGGCAACAGATTGTTGAACAAAAGGCACTTTTAAGTGCCAATCCTTAATAGCAGGGTAGGATTTCGGGGCTACAGGAGGCAGCAGCGGCAAGTGTAGTGGGGTGCCAGGAAGCACTCAGTGCCAGGGGTTCTCCTCACCCCCTCTCCCTCACACCAAATGCCTATGTCCAAACCTGTTGACATCTGTAATCAATGAAGTTGTGGCTTGTTTAAATCCCAAGTGGTTGCCCTGTGTTTACTGCAATTTCAACACTGAGTCTGGGGCCCACAACTGAAAAATCTGTATTTCATGTACAGTACTGTGCAGTAAGTGTGAATTTAGGAACTCACTTGAAATCAAATTGATTTAAATAGAGCCAAAAGGCATGGACACAGATGACACCTTAGAATTATCTATCAGCAATTTACTCAACTATTTTCTAAAATATTATCATCGTTCAAGTTCCAAAATGATATCTTTGGTATCATTCAGTAGAGTGGAGTACAAGAATGACAAATATTATTGTTATAATGATATGGCTTTTCATAGCTTTTTAAAAATGTATTATGTAATCTTTATTGATAGCCTTTTCACAAATGTGCTCTTTTAAAGTATTCCAATATCTTCCTCACATATATACTTCTACTTGAAAGGATAACAATTCTTTTAATATTGTAAATATAGTTATTTGTACTGCCTAACCTATATTGGTATTGGGGATGGAGATTCAATTACTGTTTCCTTCTCAAAAATGCAAATGTGTGCAAATAAATCATAATCTTAACCATGTCTATCTACTCAGAAGTAAGCCCTATTGAATTGAATGGTGCTTTCTTCAAGGGTTAGGAATGCAGCCTAAATTCTGAGATCCAATTCTTAATGACACATTACAAACTCTACATTTGCATTTGGCAGACTATGTACAAATTTTACATTTTGTATACTTAATAAAAAGCCTCAAAAGAACAAAAAATAGTTACTTTCTTCACCATTGAGTTTGGCTGCATTACATGCAATGGCATTTTAAAAAATGTAACAAGAAGAAATTTCCATCGTTTATTATTTGGGCTGAAAATAAATATATTCCAATGATTGTGTCTAAATTTAGGCATTTTATTTAAAACCTTGATTCCTAGTTTCTTTGATAAAATATAGCATACTTTGAAGTCCGGAACCCAAGCAGGTCTCTCATTTCATTTCGGAATTTTGATAAGTCTTGCCGCAGCTCATTGAGATTTTCTACAGTCGCTTGATCAGTGCTTTGCATTCTCTGTCTCATGGAAGTCAAATAACGATGAACTAAACAACACATTACCTTTTGGTAATTCTCATCTCTCTTTTGCTTCAGATTTCTCCACTCCTGTAAGCAAACAGTGACATATTATATATAATGTACAGATGGCTATGATCCGCCCCCCCTCCCGGTTAAAAAGCTTGTGTATAATGGTAAAATAAGACTGGGCATGATCCACCCCAATGTTCTATTTTGCACAGTCATATTTGTGCATGCATGCCTGCTAGACAGGGAGAGAGATCCTGGAAGGTTGGCAGGTGACGTCTTCGTACCTTCGTGAAGGCGGTGACGGTCCTGTGTGAGTGTCTGGAGGCGGTTGGAGGATGGATGGCGGCAAACAGATTGAGATTGAATCCTGACAAGACAGAAGTACTGTTTCTGGGGGACAGGAGGCGGGCAGGTGTGGAGGATTCCCTGGTCCTGAATGGGGTAACTGTGCCCCTGAAGGACCAGGTGCGCAGCCTGGGAGTCATTTTGGACTCACAGCTGTCCATGGAGGCACAGGTTAAATCCGTGTCCAGGGCAGCTGTGTACCAGCTCCATCTGGTACGCAGGCTGAGACCCTATCTGCCGGAGGACTGCCTCGCCAGAGTGGTGCATGCTCTGGTTATCTCCCGCTTGGACTACTGCAATGCGCTCTACGTGGGGCTACCTTTGAAGGTGACCCGGAAACTACAACTAATCCAGAACGCAGCAGCCAGACTGGTGACTGGGAGCGGCCACCGAGACCATATAACACCCGTCTTGAAAGACTACATTGGCTCCCAGTACGTTTCTGAGCACAATTCAAAGTGTTGGTGCTGACCTTTAAAGCCCTAAATGGCCTCGGTCCAGTATACCTGAAGGAGCGTCTCCACCCCCATCGTTCTACCCGGACACTGAGGTCCAGCACCGAGGGCCTTCTGGCGGTTCCCTCACTGCGAGAAGCCAAGTTACAGGGAACCAGGCAGAGGGCCTTCTCGGTAGTGGCGCCCGCCCTGTGGAACGCCCTCCCACCAGATGTCAAAGAGAACAACAACTACCAGACTTTTAGAAGACATCTGAAGGCAGCCCTGTTTAGGGAAGCTTTTAATGTTTGATGTATCACAGTATTTTAATATTCTTTTGGAAGCCGCCCAGAGTGGCTGGGGAAACCCAGCCAGATGGGCGGGGTATAAATAATAAATTATTATTATTATTATTATTCCTATACTGGATAGTTCATCTCACCAGTGATCAGTGCGGTGGCAGAGCAATATAGAGTTTTCAGCAGAAGTGGCAGCTATGGGTCTCAAGTGGCCAGCAGTGAGCCAGTGCTGAGCTCCCATTCCCAAACTGCTCTGAGTGTGTGTGTGTTTGCCTTGTGCTCTCTCTCTTATCTGTTCCCTGCTGTCTCTCCATATTTCTGCCCCATATTTCTGTCTATTAGTTTTAGACGTAATAGCTCCACCATGGATTTCAAATTGCTTGGCTGAGACTATATAATGTGTATTTGTCTACAGCTTGACTAGCTTTTCTAAGCTCTCTGCCATGAATTGAAAGATTATACTTATGGATAATACTCAGTGTATCCCATGAATACAATGGGTAAAAGTTTTGTTTCCTAGAATGTCCTCTAAATGCTTAACTCCTTAATAATATGCTGCACATATGCATCTTATGATGTGTCTTGAAGTGCAATCTGCATTTTGACTGCTTCAGCCTGTATAGCATGCATACACATACACACACACACACACAAAACCATCAACAAATTCTAATTTCTTCTCATCTTTAGCAATATACACAGCAGAAACTAAGAATAGGATACACAGTTACTATAGAGCAGGCATGGCCAAACTTGATCCTCCAGCTGTTTTGGGACTACAACTCCCATCATCCCTATCTAACAGGACCAGCGGTCAGGGATGAGGGAAATTGTAGTTCCAAAACATCTGGAGGGCCAAGTATGCCTGCTATAGAGGAACCGATGATCTATCTGGATAAGAAATTAATGGGCTACGTCTAATTACGCCCACCAGCATGTGCAATGGAAATCACTTGCAGAATGGGACTTCCACTCTGTGCTTTGCGTTCCCACCCAGAAAAACCTCTTCAGGGGTTCACTAAACCCTCTGCAGCATATTTAGGTGTTGTGTGGGAAGCAGCACAATAGGGGAAGGAGAAGCCTCACTGAGCAAGAGAAAGCCCACCCATGCTAGTTTTACATGCACAAAACATGCCTTCCCTTAAAAAAACAAACAAACCCCAAAACTCCTGCCTCTGTACCAAGGTCTGTATTAAGATGTGGGATGATTCTTCAATTATTTTTACCTGCGAAAGGAACTCTAGTAATCATGACACCTGATGAGAGGGTGCCCTAGATATGTTTATTCAAAGCAGTTGTAAAACAAAGAGGCTGCAGTGTTTCCTTTGGGTATTTTGTTTTGACATGTCACAGGGCATGCTTAAAATTAGCACATGGTAGGGGAAAACTAACAAATATGCATCATTTTAGAATTAACATCTTGCTATAGAAAAAAAACTCACTGAATTTGCACTACTGTACTTTAAACCCTTAAATAATGTTATGAGAGGGAAAAGCAGAAAGGACTTCAGAGGTTGCACTCAAATAGCTTGCAACTGACTTGTGGAAGATACTTCATTGATGTTTGGATGCCAGGCACCGTTTTGAATCAAGGTGGTGGACAAAAACATGCCTTTGGCATGACTTCACCCATTTTGTCGCCTGGTTTTTGGTTTGTTTTTTTTTGCATGATGGGTGTAAACTCACGAATTACACTCTCCATTTAAAAATCACTGTATCTTTTGGTTTCTAAAAATTCCTGGGCACCGCTGGGCACTCCCTGTTAGTATTTTATAACTATTTGCAGGGGATTGGACTACATGACCCTCATGGTTTCTTCCAACTCTATGATTTTATGGTTCTATGTTTCTATTTCTTACCTTTAAACTATTCTGTCGCTTGACTTTGCCAGATGATGTATGAGAGCCGATCCACTTACTGAGGCTGTTAAATAGGTAGCATATAGTCTTTGGAGATGGAACAATATTGAAGGGTGGTGGTAGTGTACATTTATCATCGAAATAGCTAAGCCAGAGCTTGGCACGAGCAAATTTCCATTCTTTATCTTCATGATTCTAAATTAATGGGGGGGTTGGGAAAATAGATACCAAAGGTTCTGCTGAGCGGTGATTATAAATTACAAAACTAAGTGACAGGGAATTAACACACGCAAAAGTACAACCCCCACACATGCACAAAGAAGAAGATGCCCCCAATATTTAACCATGTGCATGAAGCTTCTTGTCCATCTCCCCTTTGTAAGGGTGCTGCAGGTGAGAAGAGATGGTTGACAACAAACCCACCAAGAACCAGGCTCAAACTTGGGTAGAGGCTTGGGCTCAGTTCATAATGGGGCCAGAATTCCCGACAATACCTATTTTGCCACCATGTATTTACATGTCTATTATTTCTTTCATAAAATTTATACACTGCTTGATTGTAAAAACAACAACTTCAAAGCAGTTTACAAAAAGATAAAACAGTAAAATCGCGTGAAATCCACAACCACACTTTAACACATACATTCCTAAGTCTCTGGGTAGGCTTGTCCAAACAAGAATGTTTTGGGCAGGTGTTGAAAACAGTACAGTGGTACCTTGGGTTACATACGCTTCAGGTTACATACGCTTCAGGTTACAGACTCCGCTAACCCAGAAATAGTACCTCGGGTTAAGAACTTTGCTTCAGGATGAGAACAGAAATCGGGCTCCGGCGGCGCGGCGGCAGCAGGAGTCCCCATTAGCTAAAGTGGTGCTTCAGATTAAGAACAGTTTCAGGGTAAGAACGGACCTCCAGAACGAATTAAGTACTTAACCCGAGGTACCATTGTACAGTGAAGCCACCTGCTTGATCTGAATGGGCAAGGATTTCCAAAGTACAGGTGCTGCCACACTAAATGATCAAGCTCTTACAAATGTGGAATGGGCATTTTGTGTCACCTGATGGAGGGACAATTCCGCTGATCAAAGTGGCTGAGTGGGCACATGTGGGGTAAAGCAATCTCGTACATAAAAGGGTCCCAAATTGTTAAGGGGTTTATATCTGCTAAAAATAACAGCCTGAGCCCAGCCTGGCAGCAAACTGGCAACCAGTGTAGATACCTGAGCACAGGTGTTATATGCTGACAAGACCCCACTCCTGTCAGCAATTGAGTTCTAGCATTCTGCACTAGCTGCAGCTTCCAGATCAAGCCCCACATTATTGTGCTATACAGAATCAAGAGCACTGTTGACACTTAAAATACAATAAATCTTGTTTTCAAAACACTTACCGCTATCAGCTGAAAGCTTTTATGGAGCATCGCCACCAAGAGCTTGGTAAGGACAATTACAACTACTACATTGTATGTGCCAACAATAACAGCACCCACAAAAGACTGTAGTTCTTCGCCATAGCTAAATCTCGTGACAAAAATGGCTACATGTGCAAGAGAGAATATGTACCAAAACAGGGCAAAGCAGGTGCCAATAAATCTGGGGGGAAAAGAAAAACTGTAGTTAGATCAAGTAGTTACTGTGCATTAAAGGCCAGATCAATGGAATCAATGCACTCATGTTCTATAAAAGAAAAACCGTGATCTCAATCAACACTAAGAAACTCACGAGTGGAAGGTATCATTGCTTTGCTGCTCACAGAAAATCCCAGCACAGTCCTTTTCTTCATCCACAGTGAACCCTTTATCATACAGTTGGGTCAACCCAATGGTGAATGAGAACAACACAAGAAGAAACATTCCAAGAAATTTTCCGAAGTCCTGCAACATCTGCCCCATTGAAATCTGTAGGAACATATTGATTTGTTCTCAGTTTTAAACAGCTATGAAATATCAAATGGTGATTGCATATGAAGAAGGCATGCTAGAAAAACTATTTCCAGGACAAGCAGATTTTCCTGACCAAATTCACGACACTATAAAAAAGTCAAGCAGCTGTTCTGAACACTGTTGGGAGAGAGCTGTGATAAAACCACAGACTACAAGAATTAAATTTTATTGTACTGTACTGTATTATTCTCATAGTAAAAGTAAAATACAGACTGTTTCCTTAACTCAAATGATATATATGAAGCAAAAATAATAACTATAACACGTAGAATCAATGATAATCTGGGGTATTGATTAAGGAGTTATGTTGCTGATATTATTTTTTGTATCTTTATTTTAGATCTTATGATTTATGTGGAAATTGTTCAATTTGGTTTCGTACTTTTTGATGTTTTACTTATTTATGACAACTTTTTGTTATGCTTTAATTAGGTACTTCATTTTTTTAATTAGGTAGTTCATTTTAGAAGCCATCCTGAGCATGGTTTTAAACTACAGAAAGGCAGCATACAAATAAAACTACGTATGTATATACATATAATCTTTAACAATTTCATGACTGAAGATGGTATGAAAACTTTAACTATGTTCCATGAGGTTTACATGCAAACATGAGTGCAAAGGATTGCGGACTTATGAGTAAATATGCATAGGATTGGGTTATGAAATTAATAAACAGATTTAAAGCTCTGATGTATAATTTCTATAGCAGGGTTAGCCTATGTGGTACCCCTCAGATGTTGTGGCCTACAGTCTTCATATTCCCCAGCCAACATGGTCAATGATCAAGGATGATGGGAATTGTACTCCACAACATCTAGAAGGCACTATGCTGGCTATCCCTGTTTTACACTAACCCTAAAACAAAAATGGGAAGGGCTATAGCACTTTCTCTGGAGTACTGCACAGATACTAGGGGTACCAGATTCTTTTTTTACTGCCCAGAGAGATTAATAGGATGACAAAACAAATCCTGTTAAGGGTAGCTATAATTTAGGCACGGACTTTAGTAGTCAGCGTTACACCTACAAAGTGTTATACATTTGTAGAAGACACTTTTTTGTGAAAATCTGAAGCGTTTGTTACACAAAAACAATCTTATTGTAAAGATTATTGTAAAGACTGTTTTTAGTAGCAGTAAAGTTAGGATATATCCATCCCGCATTTTGACCCGTGTATCCACAAAACAACTTACAATAAATATAAACATCAATTTATTCAGCTTTTCAAATAATTTATTAAAAGCGTTCATAGTTGGAGATAAAGGAAGATGGCAAACTGCTTTGAAAGTGTATATAAAAATATAAAGGTGTTGCATTAATATGTGTTTCATTTCTCTGATGGGGTGCAGTTTATGGGCATTTGAAAGTCATGACGTACTTTTGGAAAAGTATGTGGGTCAGTCTATGGTCGCCAACAAGAACAACGAAAGCTCCAGTGTGCCATTGAATGGGGTGACTGTTGGCTGTTTATGTACAACTGGATTTCTGACTTCACTACATAGAGGGCCAATATAAATGCATGTTATAGTTGCAATACGTAAATAAATATGTACGTTACATAGTGAATGTCTTCAAAAATGAATACAGACTTTTTAATGTTTAATATGTTGCCTCCCTGTACTATTAATGAGGAATTTGCAATAGAAAATGAGATTAAGTTGGTAAGATGGAAAGGAATAAAAACTGGAGAACTCTCCCTGCTGTGACACGAAGAGTCTTATGGGTAACATTTGATGTTTTTTCTTATATGTCTCATGTGTTAACTGTAATCGGGGAGGAACACAACAATAATATGGCTCTTTGAGCTGTGTCTAACAGACAGGTGTGCACTCTTTTATATTACCTTCCTTGGTTGCTGTTGTCACACAACTAGATCTCTTTGGAACTAGGCCTCTGAATTATTTCCATAATATCTGGCACTATAAATAGGGTGTGCTGCTAACGCTTTGATCTCAATTCACCTTCGAATGGCACATAAAGCAACTTCCTTTTTAAAGGATGCTGCACTCTTTTGTGTACCATGTATAATGCCATTTTTGTTTCGTTTCTAAAGTTTCTAGCCCAGTGAAAGAACCACCACTTTATATGCCCCAATAAGCCCACATAATCAGGTCACTATCCAACCACAGAACGAATAACTATCAATACACACAATGATGGATATTTAAACATAAGTACAGAGTCTATCTGAAAACCCAGAGGCAATTACACCTAGCCATTTTGCCCCTAGGACAACTTACCTGAAGTGGCCCTAGGACAGAGCTTGTTGTATACATGAAGAAAAGTCGAAGGTAACTCAGAACGTTGGCAAAAGCAAACAGACCTTCTGCCACCAGGGTAGGGTGGAAGGCATCCCAATCCTTCCTCTCAGCAAAATTATGGAACTAGAGTTTTTGAAAGAAGTTGAAGTTAGTTTAAGTTATAATAGATAATCCAGTGATAGCTTTCATCAACCAATGACACACACTATCTGATTGTAGCCTATCTTCCAACCATGAACAAATCGCAAACACCAAGGGTCACACATTTCCTTTCCCCCTTTTAAGTTGTGAGAGGCAAAGATCAGCAGTAATGGTTTATAATTTCCAGGATAATGATATTTTGCTGTTATATCCAAATGCAGTGAACACTGATTTGCACAAACCAATGCTCAGTGTATTTCGGATGAAACAGCAAACTATAATTTGTTACAAATCCGCCAGCTCATGTTAAAAAAAAGAGTTGGCAAGACAAGGAGGGAACACACCACCCTGAGGCTTGCTCATAACAAAGCATGGCTTGACATTGCTACTGAATGTAGCCAACAGGAGGCTGCAAAGAAACAGGAGTATTCTCCAGCTGCTAACAATCCAGGACAAGATCCAGAACTGAATGAGGTAAAATAATGGACCAATGATCAAACAGCTGCCCTACTGACTTTTTTTTTTACACTCAATTTATTTCTGTCTAAAATATAAGCTAGCTTTATTTGAATGAGATTTTCTGACTCGAGGCAATATTTTGTCAGGATAGATATAAGCCTATTTAATCTGGAAGGTTCTTACATGACTAGCAAGCAGAGCTAAGAAGATACAGCTTTATCTTGCATTCCAAATGAATACCAGACAACAAGAAAGGCAGCCACATGAGGAAAAAATATCTGAGTGGTTCAGATTAATACAGTTGCAGCAAGACGATTTCTGCCATCCATTAAGGCTGGTACAGATTTGTTTTCCCTCCATTAGTCATGACTGGGAGTGGGCAGTAGATCACATGCCCCCGTCTACAGACCCTTCCCTCAAGAGCACCTTTCCTTGTGACTCTTGGCCATTGTTCAGTATCATGTCTGTATTAACATTAACAATGATTAATCCTAATCAGGGTACATTCCTCACTCAAGATTCATAACCTGGATTCAGATCTTGGGTTGGGAGCAAATTGTAACTAATATCTACCACAGTTAACATAGATGAAGGAACACTGTACTGCAGAGACTGGTAAGATAGATATCACACCAAACCAAGGGATTCAAAATTAAAAAGCTGCACATACATTATTCTCATGAAGAAAGGCCCATATTATTATTATATATGGCATGATTAATGCACCCAATACTTTAGCGGTCTGCATTTAAAAATAAAAAGGTCCCAAAGAAGCTTGTAATCTAAAGTGAAGTGAAAACGAAAGGGAAGGGAAGCACAAAGGATGGATGTATCAAACGCAGCCACACTCCCTTAGGGCCAAACTGCACAGTACAATAAATGTGTATCTGCATTTACATCTCTCTGTGTGTTCCTCTCTACCCACGCATGCTTTAAGCATCAGCTGCAGAGACCCCAATCCATATCAGGATAATGGCACCGATGGAAAGGCCTTAAAGCCTTTCTCCATGCGGTCCTGATGAAAATTCCCCCTCTTCCCCCAGTCTCGCTTCTGCCATGTCTCGCTTCTGCCATTGGCTCTGTGGCCTTCAGCAAGTCACAATTCTAAGTCTTAGTGCCTTATGGGAATGTAAGCAGCACTCCACCCAAAGTTATTGTGAGGGAAAGCAGGATACAGGCTATAAAGCACTTTATTAATTTGCAAAGCGATGTATAAATTAATCAGATTTGATCATCATTAGGAAAACAGATGATTTGCTGATCATAGCAAATAAGCCAATGTTTCACAAATATTCTCCAAGAAAATAAAGGGAATGTTTATTCCTGCATTGCAGGGGGTTGGACTAGATGGCCCTCAGGATACCTTCTATCTCCACAATTTGATGATTCTAGGCTGTAGCTAAAGCTTGTAACACAGCCTTCACTGGAAAAAAATGTGTCTAATTAGAATTAGTAGGTGTCTGATGTATAAGCCTCTGTATTATATACTCATATGGCACATAAATCCCCAGTTTCATTTTATAATATGTGCACAATATATGAGACTTATGAATGCTCTGCTTTCCTTTGGGTCACATCTGTGAGGTCAAGAGATAGTGGCCTTGTCATCTGGGCAGCCCAGGACTTCCATACACACTAGCCAGGCTCGCACCCCAGGGAGTCACTTTGGTGCTGCTACTGCAGCAGAAACAAGGCAGGAGGCAGCAGTTACCAGTCTCTGCAGCCACAGGAGGCGCTGTGATTCTCCAGCAGTTTGACTTCACCCCCAGAGTCACACTCCAGATGGATGACAACAATGAATGCAACTAATTTCAGATAAGACTACAAATCTACTTGGATGAATAGTAACGTTGCTGTTGATTCACATCCTTTTTTTCTATAATAGAATAAAAACACTCGAATACACCATCAAACACACCAAAAACATAAGAAAACAGAAAGACTCAACATGCGGCTAGATCTTCACATGCTTACTTTCTCTACTAGTGCTAAATATATAGACTGAAATCAAAGACATACTTTGAGGCTTTAAATTAAGAATGAGTGTTCCTAGGACGCCCTCCATTTTGAAAAACAGCGTAATTTTATGCTGGTGTCAACCACCAAGAGTTTTGTTGTTTTAAAACATTTTTTTTACTTCTTTTTTTAAAAGGTTATACAGGATTCTGTACAACACAGTGTTATCAAACACTGAGTTGATGTTTACCTTGTTATGCGCAACTACTTTGAGAGCAAAAGTTGCCAAATAGAGAGAATTCATGACAAAACTAAGTTGATTTCGGGATTCTTCTAAGAAGTCTTCCAAGCCTTCATACCAGAGCCTTTTAACATCTGACCACACCATTCCTTAGAGCAGAGAAACAGAACACAGTGGGTGAGATATACTAGATTCATTTCACAGTGATTTCAGTGTATTCTAGGTTTCTTTCCATCAACCACAAAAGTACCTCCCCCCCCCCCCAGTAATGGGGAGTTGAGGAACGTAAGAACTGTGTGTACTGCCAAAGAAGCACTGGGTTTAAACATGCAAGAAGGGATCCACACCTTCTAAAAGACAGTGGGAATTATGCTAACAACATAACTGCAACAGCCAAGCAAGGGCACCACTATAGCGGCTTGGGTAGATAGCCACATTTTAACCTGGAGTCAAAACTCAAGCAATGTTGGTGCTATCCTTTAGCAGCCTTTCATATTCTAGTCTCTCTTTTCAAAGTCATAATCAGTGTGGTTAAAAATAGCAAGAAGTGAGTCTCAAAAGCAATGTCTGTATCTACATCTCTTACTAAGGGAAAAAAAACTCTTCTATGTAAATGACATACTCTTATGTCAATAGTAAATGTTAATAGTTTTAAAATTTCTAGTCAATGTCACATTATGCTCCCCCCCCCGCAGTACATTCTATACTACTTTACTATCAAACATTTGTAATAGCAACATACACAATTCCAAACTGAGCATAAAGAATATATAGGGCCATTATTAGTTAAGCAGTATGCTTCACAAAAGATTAAGTTACGGTTTAGTGCCCTAAGTACAACTGTAATTTCATTTGCATTTAGAAAATAATAGCAAAGGTTGCTGAATTCATTTTAACAAACAATGTTGAAAAGTTGTGATCCATGCTCCCTCTGCTGGTTCTGTAGTTACTTCAGATAATCTGCAAACTGTTTCTGGAAAGACAGCTGACATACTTCAAGGAACAGAGTTATCTATAAACATGGTGAAAGTCTATGGATATTTAAGTTCTATTTTCATAAAACTTGTTATATGGACTGTAGGAATGATTTACACAATCCTTCCTTCCATATAAAGGGGGCAGGAATAGTACAAAATAACAACATCACAGCTTTGCTGTGTATGGACTGAAGACACACATTTTCATGCTCCCACACCTTGCATACTCTAGCTATATGTGAATCAGCCCCACAGGGACTACTTCTCATACCTGAAAACTTCTTACAAAGTATTACTTTCATGTATGAAAATGGAATGTGCAACTATAATATATGACAATTCCAACTTTTTTGTTGTTGTTGTTGAGGGATAAAATAGATGTGACAGGCAGCCACATCTGTATTCATAAGTCTGTGTAATTCCATTTTTTTAACAATCAAAGTTGCAACCTGGTAAGAACTAAACTCATCCCCTTCCCTTGCCTTAACCTGCTACACTTTTATTACTTCAAGTACTTTTCTCCCCACCCTGACTCACTTCCAGTACTGAAGGTTGGGAAAGAGAAGAAAGTCTACAACAATGGCACATAAAGCAACTTCCTTTTTAAGGTATTCAGCTTCTGTGATCTGACATCCACCTTTTTTTAGACCCCCTCACCCTACAGTTCATATATGAAATAGAAGAGTTGCATGAACCAACAACGAACATGCCTGTCCACATTTAAGTCTTTTAATGGTAATTTGTTGTTTGGCTGAATTCTTACGAGACTTTCACCTCTGGGATCTTTTTAGAAACCTGGGATCTTTTTAGAAACCTTAAGAATCACTGGGACATTATTTTTCCCTTCAAAGGTATGGGGTTCCCCAGTGACCACAGAGCCTTCTCCCCTTAGCATAAGTAAATACACTCAAAGGAAACTAGTAGAGGAACGTAGACCAGGAGAGGGTTTAAAAGATATGGGAGACCAAAAGAGTTCTCTCATTTTCCTACTGCAGTGTTACAATGTCTGTGCACACAAACAAAACTCCCAACTCTTATGCCCTATGTAGATCCAACTACAGCATAATCAATCACACCCCTATATAGTAATGGCACCTAAGCCTGGTAAAATAAAAATATATCCTTCAATTATATTAAGACTGGTATGCTCCTCCCTGTCAAAATAAGATTAAATATGTCTTTTTCCATTACTAGACAATATTGCCAGGGCTCCAATGTTAGAGTTGTAACAATTAATTTTATAACCATTTTATACTTACCAATTAGCCAAAATAGTAGAAGATAGTCTATTCTCTCCAATTCTGGCCCCATGGTATTTTTTTTATCTTCATTGTAGACAAGTGAGTACAAGTTAAGCAAGAGCAGAAATGTGAAATATGATGCTCCATGAATGATAAACTTCATAAACGGAGTGTGAATTATTCGGCCTATTTGAGATTTTGGAGCCAACAAGTAACAAAGAGACAGTATTGGCCAAAATATGCCAACTGTCAGGACAGTCAAAATCTTCTTAAACGTGTGCTTGCGACGGTAACCAGCCATTTGTCCAAACCAGACAGTATTGAGAAATTGCTGGCAATTAGACTGAGAAACAAACTGCAATAGAAAAATAATTTTACATCAATAAATACTGTCCAAAGTAGCCAATAACTCATTACTCAAGCTTTATTTAAACCAGTCGGGAGAAAACGGGGTAAGATTACAATTGTACTGTACAATTTATACAGTCGTACCTTGGTATTCGAACAGAATACATTCCAGAAGTCTGTTCGACTTCCAAAACATTCAGAAACCAAAGCACGGCTTTTGATTGGCTGCAGGAGCATCCTGCAGCCAATTGTAAGCTATGGAAGCTGCGCCAGACTTTCGGCTTCTGAGGCAAAGTTCACAAACTGGAACACCTACTTCCGGATTTGTGATGTTCAAGTTCCAAGTTGTTTGTGAACTAAGCTGTTCGAAAACCAAGGTATGACTGTAGTAAAGGTAAAGGGACCCCTGACCATTAAGTCCAGTCACGGACGACTCTGGGGTTGCACACTCATCTTGCTTTGCAGGCCAAGGGAGCCGGCGTTTGTCTGCAGACAGTTTTTCCAGATCATGTGGCCAGCATGACTAAGCCGCTTCTGGCGAACCAGAGCAGCGCACGGAAACGCCGTTTACCCTCCCGCCACAACGATACCTCTTTATCTACTTGCACTTTGACATGCTTTTGAACTACTAGGTTGGCAGGAGCAGGGACAGAGCAACGGGAGCTCACCCCGTCACGGGGATTCGAACCCCCAACCTTCTGATCAGCAAGCCCAAGGCTCTGTGGTTTAGACCACAGCGCCACCTGCGACTGTAGTGGTAAAAGGTAAAAAGGTAAAGGACCACTGGATGGTTAAATCCCATCAAACGTGACCATAGGGTACAGTGCTCATCTTGCTTTTCCAGCTGAGGGAGCCGGCGTTTGTCCTCAGACAGCTTTCTAGGTCAGCATGATTAAACCACTACTGGTACAACGTGACACTGTGACGTAAGCCAGAGCACACGGAAATGCCATTTAACTTCCTGCCACAGTGGTACCTATTTATCTACTTCTGCTGGTATGCTTTCAAGCTGCTAGGTTGGCAGAAGCTGGGACAGAGCAATCCGTTCACCCTGTGCGGGGGTGCGGATTCAAACTGTAATTTATATGGTTCTGCTTTTAAGAGGTAAAATTTAGAATAATTATTCAGGATCAAGATAACAAACAGAACTTCACAACTAGGGATGAACAAGTCTGTCATTTTAGTTTCTTCTCAATTCATTTCTTCCCCAATCCTAACTTCAGTTCTCCACATTTCTCCATCAATTCATGAAGTTTAAGAAAGCTCATCAACATTATAGAGTAAATTCCTCCAAATACACTTGTTTTTGTATGCAATTTTGCCCAGGATACATAGTTCTGCAAGCACTTTTCTCCACCATAATGGATGTTCTCCATTTGATGGGACTAGTATTGGATACAACTCTTTACCTACCTAATGCTGTGGTTCTTGAAACTATTAGAAGCAGTGTGCTTATGAATATTTTAATTGTTGTATTTTAATCTTGTTTTTAAGTTGTATTCATTCAACTTGTTTTTATTATTGCTTGTTAGCCACCCTGAGCCCGGCCTTGGCTGGGGAAGGCGGGGTATAAATAAAAATTATTATTATTATTATTATTATTATGAAGATATGGATCTATCATAGTCTGGTCTATCCCATCAATTAGTCGGACACCTTCATAATACATTAGTAAAAAAAGAAAGAAAGAAAAAATACATACCTCTTTTTGGTTGTATTTAATAGCAAGCTTTAGGCGACTCAAATTCATTCTCTCTTCTAACAGCCCCCTTTTATCCACATGCTCATCACTTGCTGTATGGTTGAGTATAACTTCAAGCTCCCGAGAATTCCGTGCTTGTGCAAGCAAATCTTTAGCAAAGGTTTTGCACTGTTGAGCTAATTCTTCATAATCATTTCTAGGATATAAAGATAAAAGCATACTAGCATACAATGGACATGATGAGTATATTTTACTTTAACTCTTGGGAGGCAGTATGCTGCAGAATATCAGCTGCAGGGAATCACAAGTACAGAGAGTGCTCTTGCACTCAGGTCCTGCTTGTGGGCCAAGTAAGACCAAGATGCTGCACTTTATGAGCCTTTGGTCTCACGCAGAGGTCTCTTACGATCTTATGTCTTTTTAATGTTTATTTCACCAAAGAAAGGTCCTTCCTCTATTCAAACTGAATACAGACTGGAAGGAGTTAAAAATGAATGTGATTCAAATGGATGATTTAACTCATTGACGAAAGGGGACTGATTTAAAATCAATGGGCTGGATCCAGACTAAATCAGGCAAGCTTCAGTCTAATTGAAATCAATGGGACAAGTTAGTCATGATTCATTTGATTTTAGTAAGTGCAACTAACTTTGTTCTAGATCCAACCAATAGACTGCAATCAATTTTTCCCAGTGTGTAATTAACATAGTCAATGACGCATACAGATCATTTTTTTCCAGCAACTGAAACGTATTAGTTTGCAGCTACATTGGTCCTTTATGAAACTTAGGAGCATTAGCCAAAACCAATCCTAAGCACAAATCCATAGGATTCCACTGTAAATTCTTTGATATCATTTACAACTGATCATTGGGATTTTGTTGATTCACTTGTGAAGTGCCTGCATCCAATTATATTTAGAAGCATAATACTAAAAAGGAAACAGTAGTAGAAATTAATTTGCTACTGATACCTGAATTCAACTTCCACAAGGCTTAGTTCTCTTAAATCTGCACTAAGTTCAAAGGCTCTCAGAATTGGATCTTCCTCCGTCAACATTATTAGGGCAGGACTGGCCAAACATCGATAAATATCAAGACGAAATCTGTTATAAAAATATCAAAGAATACATCTTAAGTCAACCAGTTTTTATTCAATAGTATTTTCAGCTCATAGTTTGTTTGTAATCTGTTTAATTTCAGGTGTCTGGTATATTTATCTACATTTAAAGCCATTTCCAGTATCACAAAAGAAACAAGAAATGCCCTAGGTACTCTCCAAAAGCATGTGTGCTAAGGCAAATTACTTATTTTGGCTTCAGCACTGAAGAAAGCTTATTAATTCAACTTTGTAGTTAGCAACTCACCCGGTAGCCACCAGGAGCAAAAAATTTCTTGTGGCAACTTCATGATCAGGCTGACAAATGAGGGATGGATTGCTCTGTTCCTATTCTGCCAGCCTGCTTGTTTTCATGCTAGCCATTAAGGAAGGAAACTTATTTTCTCCATGACCAGCAGAGAAATGCAAGTTACTAGCTGTTTGGCAGGCTACTAACAGTTTTGCACAATAGCAAATATAGAGAGAGGGGGTACATTAGCTATTTCAAAAGGATAAGCACACGAATATTAAAATGAAAACTGCAGCAAATACTTGCAGAATTCCCATTATACTGGAAGTGGAACCCAAACTTTAAGTCTGAGTACATAATTAGAGACATCCTGTACAATTCAGCTGGAACATATTTGGTTGCTATGCTATTTGCAATCATACAATAACTCACTAATAGGGGTGTCTGAATGTTAACGGGTTCCCAAATGGCTAAAAAGCCTCGAGGCTGGGGCACAGAAAAGTCTGTCTAGTTTTGTTTTCATCCTGCCCTGCCACATCGCCACCCTGCCACCCATTTATGTGCTGAAATACAATCTTGCATAAATAATATCAGAACACAGTACAAAGAGGGGAAAACCTCTTACGTCCCTCATGCTGAAATATGTGGCAGTCTAAAAATCTTGAGAAAAGGGACAATCCTCTTCTGAGTTTAGCAGAAGGACATGCAATTATCTATTTCACGTCTGTGGTTTATAATGACCTGAAAGGAAACAAATAACCAACCCTCTTTTATAAAAGCTTCTCTCCTGGGTCACCTGGAACAAATGAATCTGCCTTACACAGTGTAAGACTACTGGTCCATCTAGTTCAATATTGCCTACACTGATTGGCAGCAGCTCTCCAGAGCCATTTCCCAGCTCTACCTAGAGATGCCTGGGATTGAACCTGGGATATTTTGCATGCAAAGCATGTGCACTAACATTTAACTTCAGATTTTCTCTCAAAATGATTCTTACTCACTACAAGTGATCAGGCAAGTGGTTGCTTAAAATCTAGTTCTTCTAAAAGACAGGAAGGAAATTACATGCATTAATAAACAGCTAATTACTGTAACCTGGAGTGCCGAAGGCTATCTTTTTTGTTCTTGGCAGTACATAATGTACATTCACAGCCAACGGCATGAGGTTTGGGTAGTGACACATCTTGCTTTAATAGCATAGTGAGAATTTCATAGTTGTTACGATGAGCAGCTAAAATGACTGGTGCCACATCCATTGTTGTTGAGTATTCTGGATTCTGAATACGTTCCATTAATTTCTGAAACAGAGAGAAAGAAGCCTGGCTTTATGAATTGTTAAATCAGCGATTAAATCTAAAAATTGTCAAATCTACAGCCAAAAATAATATATTTATTGCAGTCTCTCACATTTTAAAACTTTAAATCTTCAGAACTGAATGTGCTTATGGCAGAAAATATAATTCACCTTGTTAATTTTGTACCACACTGCCATTTAACAGCTACATCTCTTTTAGCTAGAGCTGCCGGAACTGAGTTCTGGCTGAAAAAAGCCCTAGTTATTGCTACTCTACTTTTGCTTAAATCTAAGATACCCCTGGCTCAGTCCAAGTCTGAGTATTGATAATGATAGCTACAGGGTACAAATAATTTTAAAACCCCACCCATTCCTCTCCCAAAAAGGAAAAAAACAACAAAAAATACCCTGCTCATTTTCAGATATATAACCAAAAGACACTTAAATGTACTCTCCAAAACTTCCACTATCAAATACAGTGGTATCTTGGTTCTCGAATTTAATCCGTTCTGGGAGTCCGACTCCTGAAGGAGCTTCCTGCACTCAAGCGGAAGCCGCGTCAGACATTTGGCTTCTGAAAAACGTTTGCAAACCAGAACACTTACTTCCGGGTTTGCGGCATTCAGGAGCCAATTTGTTTGACAACTAAGCCATTCAAGAACCAAGGTACCACTATATGTGCTTAACACAACAATCTGAGCAGAGCAACAGTATTAAGATGGGGAATAATACTTTTAATTTATGTAATACTAACAACAATTGTTGGTCTACTGGTTCGTTTGGGTCGATGATTAAGGAGTATATCTACAGCTCCCACAACCTCTGAGTCAATGGCCACCAAGAGTGCATCTGTAGACTGAAAAAATGGAACATTAAAGCAGAAGTAATAGCAACTCGCATACTGGGGAACAAAAGAATACTTTTCAAAAATGACAAAGATAGGTTCACTGAAGGAAAATGTTTCTTTTCTGAAACAATAGGTAAAAAGAAGTTAAATCTCACGATTATTCCAATGGCTATCATCATCATCCAGAAGAAGAAGATTATAGTACCTGACAGCCATAATCCAGGAGCAGCTGTAGTATGTCTAGATTTTCATTTTCAATAGTTATGGTAACAGCATTTCTCCCAAGCACATCCACACAATTTATGTTCATATCACCAGAGCTATTCTCTTCTAAAAGTTTCTTCACCATGTAAAAGTCACCTAAACAAGTAATAGACAAAAGACCTATTTTAGTGCTTTTTATTTGCTGATATTCTATCATATTATATTATACAAGATGATATTTATTTCTCTTGTCATACAATTGTTAATTGTCAGGTCCTAGTCCAACACTCTAACCCCTGCACCACAAATAAATATTACACTTGCTTTTAAATTCAGTCATCCCTACAAGCTTAGTTCTATGTTCTTCTGTGCAGCAGATGCTTTAACACTCTGACTTAGTGACACCACACTGCTTTTTGAAGTAGAGATTTTAAAAACCTACATCCTACACTTGCAATGCACAAGCACTGATCCTGCACCTTACATGTACTGCCTAGCCAATGAGCAACGCTTTCAGCTGTCACATTCCAGTGGCAAAATAAAGCTTAAAGGATCCTTCCCTCATCCTGCTCACCTAACATACTATTAGCACTAATCATATCTTGTAAGTAAAATAGATGCATAGGAACCAGTGTGGTGTACAGTAAATATGTGGAGTATATAACATTTTTATCATGTACACTTAAATACTTTATTCTGTTTGCTATGTTCCAGTCCATGAGAAGAAACTCAGGATCTGGAATAATATCCTAGATAGAAGAACTATGGTGGCAACAAGTGGTGAACTGGAAGAACCACTATCCTTTGATTGAAAATTAGTATACAAAAATACTTGATCTATCTACGAAGCAGCAGGTAATACAGCAGGTGTAGGAAACTAGAAATGGTTGATGAATTGTGAGCAGTTTTATAGGAAAAAATTAGCTTCCCACCAAGTAAATTTCTAGAAATGAAACTCTTTATCTAAAAATACCCCCCCCCAAGACAACTATACAAATATGCTTGAACTTCATAGTTATTTAACATCTCTTGATGCAGGTGCAACCCCACAAACAGAATACTATAATCCTGCTTCTCTCGCTGAAAGAATAACACCCAACCTCTGCCACCATCTTCTAAAATTTACCTTTCTGTACAAGACAGCAGAGGTGACATATTATAAAAGTCACATATTGTTACAGGTCATACCATTTCAAATATTTCCACAGGACCAAAGCCACACAACTCACAAGGAAACCCCCATGTTAGTTTTAAAATATGCCAAAAATATTGGGCTCCATATTTCTAGGTAAGTTACGTCTGTTTCTTCCTATTGTGTACATATTTTTAAAATTTAAATGAAACAAATTATTTGGATCCAAGTGGGAAAGTGAAAAAAGTCAGAATGCCTTCAAACATTTTGTGTATTAGACAGAAATGTTGAATTTATAACATGTGAATGTCTTTCTGATATTATATATTTTTAATTTTTAGTAAGGCAATGCTTCAGCAAGAGAAATTGGAAATTAAATTAGCATTAATAACATAATGCGTGACAGCAATCAAAATGAGAGCAGTTAATAATTTTTGTACTTATTACATACATTTCTAAATCTCAGTAACTTTTATGTTGCCCACATATATAAAGAATCACTTCCAGATTATTACTGTTCCCCCCACTTTTTACATGAATGCATGTGAAATAATTAATTAAAACCAACAGGCAGGGCAAGCCTGTCAAAAGGTATAATGAGTTAGCCAAGTCACGTGCCAGATGACTGGGGAAGGCGGCAGCATTGTTATGGTCCCCTCATTCATTCCCCATGTCAGCTGTTTAGTGGAGCACCCTGTAAGTGGTGAATCTGTCTGCCCTGCATAGGCTGAGTGACAAACTAATGAAGAAAATGACTGTGATGGGTAGGCACACAGTGCTCTGTTGACTGCCCTACTGCACATCCATAAATGGCAGGAGGAAAGGCACAAGGCCAGAACAAGCTGCAAACGGGGGGGGGGGGGGGATACTCAGGTGGTCAGGGCCTGCCTCAGTTAAATGTGTTCACTGGTTCTCCCTCCCTTCTACCATTTTACCCTCACAGCAACCTTGAGCAAAGGTGAGGCCACAAGTGTGCAACTTGACCAAGTTCACCTAGCATGTTTCACAGCTTGAGTGGGGATTTGAATCCAAGTCTCCTGAACCCTCGCAACTCAGAAGGTGACTGCAACCAGGAGCAGGCAGTGCATCCCATGAAAGCAAACTAGCAGAAATGCAGTACTTGGACATAAGAGAGCTCAATTGATTACGCAGAAAGCCACAGAATTTCAGGTGAACTCTCTTCCCAATAATGGAGGAAAGGGAGAAAGGCCCTATTCGTCCTCAGGGACAGAAGCCAGCAACATTTTCACCCTTGCGCAAAGGGTAGACCAGTGGTTCCCAACCGTTTTTTGTCCATGCCCCATCTAAGCATCTCTAAAATCCTGACCCCTTCCAGCCTGCCCCTGACATATAATTCTTATTATTCTAAAAGTGATCTCCTTTTCACACAGAGGAAGCCTAAAAGGCCATTAACTGTTAATAACTCATTCTCGAATTGCCTTCCTTCAAAACCAAATTGCCCCCCGTGGGGCATGTGCCCCACGTTGGGACATAGCTGTCAACTTTTCCCTTTTCTTGCGAGGGATCCTATTCGGAATAAGGGAATTTCCCTTTAAAAAAGGAAAACGTTGACAGCTATGCATTGGGAACTGGGGGGGGGGGGTAGACAAAACACCCCAAAAGATGCTTATTCAAGGAGAACATTTTGCTGCCAAGTTAAATCTGACTTCCTAAGAAGGCGCTTCATCCACCTTGCCCCTGCTTTTGCGTTTTCCCTGTGGCATATATATATATATATAACCACAAGGCAGTGCGAGGAAGGTTGGGTTTGAGAGGTAGCAAACAACCTGTGCAGGTCATCATCATCCCGTGAGGAAGTAGGTGCGGGTGTGAGAGGCAGAGAGGCTGAGAAAGAGCGAGGCATACATTCAAATCCAGGGCACAGCTGTCAACTTTTCCCTTTCCTTGCGAGGAATCCTATTCGGAATAAGGGAATTTCCCTTTAAAAAAGGGAAAAGTTGACAGCTATGATCCAGGGACTGGGAGATCCTGCAATCCTCACGGGCAGCCTCATCGGCTGCTCAGCATCCGTTAACACACTTCAGCCACCAATGTATAGCGGCCACAACCATAGTAGCAATATAATATTCCCGGTATCCATCACTTTTCGCGCAGCGGAGGGGGGCACGGACTCCCTCTCTCCTCAGAGTTCATGAGACCCTTAGGAGCCGAGTCGGAGGTTTGCGCGCCGCCACCGCCCTAAATCCACGCCGGGCCGCTCCTCTCCATCCGAGGCCCGCAACGGCCCGTCCTAAGCGACGCCCTACCTTTGTCGCAGGCGAGCAAGAAGAGCTTCTCGTCCAAGGTGGTCTCCTCCTTCACCTGCCGGACATCCTTCAGCGCCAGCAGCTTGTTAGGGGAGGCCGAGGCCGACGGGTCCGCGCTCTGGTAAAGAGCAGCCATAGCCCCGCCAGGCGGAGGCCCATCGGGAGAGGCCGCGCCGCGGGAAGGGCCCTTCCTCTACTCCCTCACGCAGCAGCTGCAGCCGGGGATCCGCCGCCCGCCAGGCCGGCCAAGCGCGCCCCTCTCGCGCGCAAGAGGCCGGAGAGCAGCCGAGCGGCGATGGAGATGTCAAAGCGGGAGGGAGAGATCTCCGCGCAGGCGCAGGGAGGCTCCGCGAACTCGAGGCTGTGCTCCGCGGTGGCCTAAGCAGCCGCGCGCTCTCTTCATTCGTGCCTCGTGAGGCAGCTGGGAAACATCAGCATGCAGCGGAGGGGGCACAGAGCAAACATTCTCATCCCTCCTCCGCCGCCGCCGCATTTTAGACCATATATACAGCTATAATTCAGGTCACTGGGAGGTATTTTGAAAGGAACTGCCGCAGGCCATTAAAAGTGGATTGCATCGTATTGCATTGCAATGCAATCCCCCTTCTTCTCCAAAAAGGTCAAGGTGGCAGACAAGAGTTCTCCTCCCCATTGCATCCTCGCAACAACCCTGCGAGGGAGGTTAGGCTAGGTAAGTGGCTGGTCCGAGGTCACCCAGTGAGCTTCCTGCCCGAGTGGGGATTTGAACCCTAGCCTCCTAGGTCCAACGCTCGTCCCACTGGTTCTGTTTTCTAGAAACTTAACCTTGAACATGCTTAAGTGCAGGCATTTGAAGCTTGTTATCAATTGCAGGAGAAGTAACTTGCCGGGTTGGCCCAAGCCATTTTGCAGCCTATGGGGTTTTTTTTAGAAAAAGAACCTCAGTGAAATGTGGTTCAGTGTGTGAGCTGTGATGACCTGGGTTTGAATCCCTTCTCCCAAGAAAACACCAAAAGGGTGAGGAGATACTTGCCTCCCAGCTTTCCTCCCTTTTTCCTGCTCCACATATTCACAATGTGATCTTTCCAGACCCCTCTATCTGTGGTCCTCTCAACTGGCAATGCTGAGGATTAAGCCCGGAACCTTGTGCACAGAATGTAGGATGCTCCCTTTCCCCCAGTTTTCAAGTTTGAGGAAGCTGTTCCAGTCTGTCCTTGCTATTTGCCCATGGCTGCTGATGCCTTCTCCTTCCGTGTTGACCACAGGAGAAAATCCCATCAGTTTCCAATGGATGCCGGTATTGGACAACAAGGAGAGGAAGAGGCAGAGGGAAACTGGGGACTGGGAACTGTAGTTTGTTAAGGGTGCTGAGTTGTTAGAAGACCCCTACTCCCCTCACAGAGCTACAATTCCCATAATTCACTGTGAACAGGGATTGGGTTAAACCACTGTGAATTGTGGCTCTGTGATGGGAGCAGGAGTTTCCTAACAACTGTCAGCACCCTTAACTATGTTTTCTAGGATTCTTTGGTGAAGACATGACTGTTAAAAGTGGTACAGTGCTTTAAAAATATATGGTGCTGATGTGGCCTCACTAGACGAAGGGCTTCTACAGGAGACTATAGCGTATACCTTGCTGGCTATGTGGCTTTTAAAGATATGGGAGATTTGTCATATGCAACCCATCATAACATGCTCCTCTACATTAAGCTAACACTGGTTTGTAATGTTCAGATACAGTCCTACACTCCTTGAATATGAATGACCAATTCTTTATGAGCCAGGAGTGTGGTATGTGCCTACAGTAAACTGCTTCAAAGGTTTTGCCTCTTGGATGACAAAGCCACCCACACTTTGAACCAACAACTGTAGGCCTATCTTGAACTGGCTTTCCCCCAATGACATATTTATCAGAGACTTAAACTGATTTATCAGTCATTGGTTGCATCAGCACCATACAGTTCAAATGGCATCATACCACTTTAAACAGTCCTTGTTCCAGCCCCACCAAGAATCTTGAGAACTGTAGTTTGTTAAGGGTGCTGAGAACTGTAGTTATCTATAGCATCTCCTAACAACTCTCAGCACCCTTAACAAACTACAGCTTGCAGAATTATTTGAGGGAAGTCATAACTATTTAAAGTGGTATCATAGTGCTTTAGATGTATGGTGTGAATGTGCCCAAAGTCTAAATGTGAAACTTTTTACCAATATATAGTCTGCAATAAGGAGCCAAGTTAATGCAACTTTCCTATGAGAAATCGGCAATAGGAAGTACACACATATTAAAAACATTTATAAGAAAGCTCATCACATGTAAAGAGAGGCCTCAAACTGGACCTGTCATCTCTCTTTATTGCTTCTTAATATAACATTTTAGCTTGGATATTTTCTCATTGAAAGCCTTACTACGTACATAATTTTCATTTTGCTTATTGTCCTTGTTATACTTGTGCTTAGTTTTATTCAATGCCACAAACGACAACCAATTGTTAATTTTTCTTTAACAAATTACTTTAAAAAATATGTTGAAGTTGTTTCAAATTACAAGCATTTCTACAGAACAATATTGACAAGAGGGGATGTTCAGTTTTAAAACATAGAATCATAGAACTGTAGAATTGGAAGGGACCCCAAGGGTCATCTAATACAATCTCCTGCAATGCAACTCATAAATAAACAGCAAGTTCCATCTTCAATACTACGTTTGCAAATCACTTTTATTTTTTACATTTGCTTTAACCAGCTACACTTTCTACTAATCAGATTGACTCAGGGTGCAATGCTATAATCAAGATGCAATGGCTAAGGAGCTACAGGATATGGCAGAAATGCCACCACTACACCATAATAACTCTATATCAGCTTATCTTCCCCATATTGTAAAAAGGGTATAGGCAGTGCTATTTTTCTAGAAAAAGAGGTGCCAGAACTCACCACAAACTCATCCCTTGTTCTCTTATAATGGCAATGGCGCCCACCTGAGAGGTGCCGGAACTAAGTCCCAGTAAGTTCTGGCTGAGAAAAAGCCCTGGGTATAGGGTTGTTGACTGTTCCCTAAATTTAACTGAACCTGCATGCTACACTAACCTTAATACAGATGTCTTTTAAATACTGAAGTTTTGGTACACAAAAACTACTGCTCAGGGACCACTGTAAATGTACTGGGTCTCATTATTTGACCAAATTTAAGGGATTAGAGAAGGGCTGATTCCACAGCAAATTCCCCTGATCCTTCTCTCACCAGTCAAAACCATGATTAAGGCCTACAATCAGCATTGGTCTCTTTATGAAGCCAGCTTCCAATTCTTGATTTCTAAATTCTAATTAACTGCAAACTCTGGTTAGTATTAATCATGTTTAACAAAGGAGGCTGTCATATAATTGTTAACCATGGCATAGGCCTGCAGAGGAAGAGTGAAGGGAGACTGTGCAGGAGAGGGGATGGATTTTGATAAGGGACGTCCCAGTCTCGCATCTCAACCTTAGTTTTTCAATGAAGGCCAAGTATACATAAGAACCAGAACAGCCTAACCCCTCCCCCCTTCCCAAGATCTTACCTTGCAACTCCAGCAAATTAAATTCACCCACAACAATTAAAATGTACATCAATTAATCAACTAAAACTTTTGTTGATTGCAAGCCTAACCATGTCTACTCAGAAGTAAGCCCCAAATAATTCTATGGGACTTTAGGATTGTAGCCTAAATCAATTAGTACTCAGAACCTCAAATTTTTTACTTAGAAGTCGGTCCCATTCAGTGCAATGAAAATTACTCCCTAGAAAGAATCCTTATGATCAGAAGCTTTTAATTTGCAGCCCAAATTCCAACAGGAGTTTGGGTAGTCCCTTATAATAAGGCAAGGACTTTCAAGGTCTTTCATGTGCAGACTACGCGTTAATAACACACTGACATAAAAACTTAATTTCACAGCAGTTCCTAAAATAGCACTTTAAAATCTTGATAATTTGTGCACTATGAAAACAGCATGTATCATATTCATTTAAAAACGCTATATAACATTGTAATCTTATTGGTGATTACTGCATTACATTAGCTCACAAATTACTGATATATAAAACTTTTCAGATGAAACCTTAAATATAAACAATTCTTATATTAAATAGTCTCTCTATACATCTCCACATTGGTTTACATAAATTATCTCTGTTTTACAGCTACTAAATTCCATTAGTCTGTAAACAATGAGGCATTCATTGTGTATATCATGGCAGAAAACATTTGTAAAAAAATCTTCTTTATTTTATTTTGTTCAGTCCTCTTCCCATCAAGCAAGCAAAGACAGTCATCACCATTTTTGGCTTCACTTCTACCAAGTCATCCGGCAGGGCATATATACAAGCACCAATTTTCCGAGCAACTGATATAGCATATCTTGGAGAGAGAGAGAAAAAAAGTAGCATTATTCATATGGCATTAACTAATGAGATATAACAACCTTATTATTGTAGCATAGCCATTATTTTGTTCTAAAGATGTATTGCTTATCAAATTCAGGCTACAACAAACAATTAGCATATCCATTTCCCTTGCCTATAAACAATTTGTAGCCATAGATGTGAAACAAAATATTACACAACTGCTGTTTACTTACTATAATTATTGTTCCACCTTCCGGTATAAAATTTACTGTGGGGGTGGGTGAACTGTGGTCCGCCAGATGTTGGCTTACAACTCCCATCATCCCTGACCATGGGCACCACTGGTTGGGGCATATGGGAGATGCAGTCCAACATCTGGAGTGCTGTGATGTGTAGTATAAAACTACTATACTCAAATAATAAAACATAACATGATTGTTCTACCTGGACACTGAGGTCCAGAGCCGAGCGCCTTCTGGCGGTTTCCTCACTGCGAGAAGCCAAGTTACAGGGAATCAGGCAGAGGGCCTTCTTGGTAGTGGCACCCGCCCTGTGGAACACCCTCCCACCAGATGTCAAAGAGAACAACAACCACCATACTTTTAGATGACATCTGAAGGCAGCCCTGTTTAGGGAAGCTTTTAATGTTTGATGCATTACTGTATTTTAATATTTTGTTGGAAGCTGCCCAGAGAAGCTGGGGAAGCCCAGCCAGATGGGCGGGGTATAAATAATAACTTATTATTATATTATTATATTATTATTATTATAACATGCAGTAAAAGCCTAACCAATAAACAAACTAATAGCGTAGCAGAGTCAAGCATGTTAGCAGCTTATACTTAGAAAGTATAAATAAAGTCTTAGCTTGCTTCCAGAAAGATAAAGACTCTCAAAGGGCCTACTTTCATGAGAAAGAGCAGCATATTATTGAAACCATACCACTGAAAATAGCATTTTATGTGCTTAAAAAAAGTCAAAAGGTAGGATTTTTTTGTGTGTGTCAGCATTTAAGAAAACTTTTAAGACAGTTCCTATGTGCAGCTTCCTATGACTGATTTAGAGCTGTGGCATTAAAGGGAAAGGCATTCAAAGAAAAAGGAAGAAATTAACACATTGTATTTGAGCAATGGAACCCATGAAAACTCTGGTATCCCCTTCTTTGGATGAGCAAGCTTTCTCTGAGCTGACAACTGTTCCAATATCATTTGTACATATAAAGCATGCTGAATCAGTGTTCCTAACACTTGATACATAACTCAGCAAAGAGAAATGGGTTGACATGCACACAGTAACACTGTAATGATGATCTGGGCCCCACTGAAGAGGTTTGGATGCATCTTTTTGATGTTTATGAGCCTGAACATATACCCCATCCTCCCAGTCTCCTCATCCCTGATTGCACTGACAACAGTACACTTCATTAGACACATGATGTTAAAATATACAGGCAGGCAGATATGAAATAGATGGCATTTATCTGCCAGCTGAGAATAACTCTTCATGGATCTGAAAAAGAAGGCTCTTGTCCACAGTAGCTTACAGCACAAACACTGTTAAGTCTAAGGTGCCACAGACCATTTGTTCTTTTTTTCTGTAAAAGAGTAGGAATTAGTTGACAATTACAACTAGCCATGTACATCTGGGCTGCATCAGAGTCTCCGTGTATAATAAAGGAAGAAATATTCTGCAAAGACTTACTTAGCATTGTTCAGTTTGTCTGTTTCAGAAAGATCTTCCCTCTTGACCATTTCTGGACGGATTGCTTTTGGCGCAATAGCATCTATTAAATCTAGTACAGGTAAACTAGTGCTTATGGATTTGTCCTGGAAGGAGAAGGTGTTGAAAAGTTTCACTATCATTAATGAATGGATTTTCTTTAATACTCTTACCAGTATTTTCACCATGTATCTCCCTTCTCTTTATCTACTATCTCATTGATAAATAAATCCTAATATAATGGTGTGGCAGCTAAAACACAGTGTATGTAATAACTGCTGAATCATGAATGGTCAAAGTCATGTTTTTCAATACTGTTGAATTTTCTCCTTTTTGACAAATGACCTTTTATAACCACCTGCTGCTTCTTTTCCCATGATAAAATATCCGTTATGACTAAATAACATTTTGTTATGGAATCCTATCAAAAGGTTTTGGGAAAATCTCTTGCATCTCCCAGAATAATTCTGCACGTTTGTGGATATTTTTTCAGGTTGACTTTCTTCTGTGAATAGGATTTCCTTCTACTGATTTGCAAGTGGCATGATCTGCCTATTTCTAGAATCCTAATACTACTTTGAGCTTGCCATTGAGCACTGCATTTTCTTCCTGGTTACTGAAACGCACTTCCTCTCTGCCTTAAAATAGACGACCCTGCTCACCTCCTTCCAGCAGTTAAAGCAGATGGGCAGTCAAGTGCATGACATCAAGGAATCAGCAGGAGGCACCACAGAATTAGCTTTTCTCCTCCAAAGTCTCAGCATGCTATTCCTACCAGGCAGATTAAAGCTATGATTTCAGACTTGCTCAAACAGCTTCTAAGCACCACGATGCATACTGTGCCCTTAAACCCAGCAAGGTTCTCCTATCTCAACTAATTAAGCTGATGTATCTTAATAAATGAACTGGCCATAAAATCCCATTCTAGTGCTAATAATTGTGGATTACGTCTGTCCATTATTACTCTTCTGTCATTCTGTGTACCCCATGTTCCAATGCCACGAGACCACTTTCTAAATTAGAAAGAGACTGATCTGAACTCTGAAAAATATTGGCTAAATATTCATGTAACATTTATTCGACACTTTTATTTTCACTGGTGAATGGCCAAATCTTCAGAGAACTACACCGGCTCAAGGCCTAATGAAACTGATATTGCAACCAGGCCATTCTCAAATATGTCTTAAAACCTTATGGAAATGTTGATATTTTATGAAGCAGAAACAGTTTTATTCTCAACCACACCAAACAGATTTCAGTCTCTTTGTTAGGTTTGCTCCCTCTAGTGGTTTTAATGCAACATCATATTACAAAAATGTCCCAAACGGCACTCCTGCCTCAAAAGGGGATGGATGTTTAATACTGTCTTCTAAGAAACCCATCCTGAGGTTTTAGGATTACTGGTTAAATTGAAAGCCTCCTGTCACATGCTAAAATTATTCATTTCCATTAAGCAAAATTTCTGCTAGTTACATAGTGAAAGTTCATTACAAATACGGATCTACACACCCACCATCTTGTATCTATATTAACATGTGTTACTATTATTTTGTAATCTAAATGTGGTACTGTTTTTCATGACATTCATAATCTACTTGCATTCATAATCTATTTGCGGCTATTTATACACAACTTATATACAATAACTAATGCAGAACCTTTGCTATAGATCAATTCCCATCAAAATAATTATGTTTCTGATTAATTCACATTTCCTTTCTCTAGAGTGTCTTCATTACCTTGAAGCTAGTTATTGAAGTACTCTTATTTGCATTTGCAAGTGTCTGATTCACCCATTTAATAATAACCGCATCGTTTACTTTTTCCCCTTCACCAAGGTCCGATAGTACATTCAAAGTGTACCTGCAACAGAAAGAACACAGTATTTTCAGCTGATAAGGAATTTAACAATTCCTCCGTATTTTCCTGACAATGTGTTAAAACAGTTGCAAAACACAACTTTCATACAGAAAAAAATTATAGAAAATGTGCTTGCATTGAGTACAGAAAAAGCAGGAGAGTTAAAAGCAAACTGCAACTTTACTGAAATTGACACAGCACCAGGCAGTATAGTAAAAGGTAAGGTAAGGTAAAGGACCCCTGGATGGTGAAGTCCAATCAAAGGTGACTATGGGCTGCGGCGCTCATATCGCTTCAGGCCAAGGAAGCTGGCATTTGTCCGCAAACAGCTTTCCGGGTAATGGGGCCAGCATGACTAAAACGCTTCTGGCGCAATGGGACACACTGTGATGAGTGCCAGAGCGCATGGAAATGCCATTTACCTTCCTGCCACAGTGGTACCTATTTATCTACTTACACTGGTATGCTTTTGAACTGCTAGGTTGGCAGAAGCTGGGACAGAGCAACGGGAGCTCACCCCATCATACGGATTCAAACCGCCAACCTTCCGATCAGCAAACCCAAGAGGCTTAGTGGTTTAGACCACAGCGCCACCCGCTCCCCAGGCAGTACAGGGCAGGGCATAAGCCAAGTGAAGCACAATACGGCCCAGCTGCTTTGTGGCAGATAGAGCCAAACAAAGAGGAAACATGAGAGAGAATCAGAGGCAGGGCAGGCACTACTGCCACTAGTCACATTGGGAAGCATCTTATAGATCACCCTCAAGGGCTTAATGGTTTGTCTGTTTGTGCATGGTGGGCGGTAATTTCAAACACAAGGGCTGTGGTATGAGTTGAGGAGCTTCATTCTTCTCCTGCCTGCTCTCTGCTCCAAGTTTCTCCAGTTGCTTACTGAATTTTGCTGCTAAATAATTTTATGCTGTGATTCCTAATTCTGTAGCATATGACTTGTGCATATATTCCAGATTGGATAAAGTCAAGTTCCTAAACTGTACCTATGAATTTTCTGACAACACAAACTCCTGAAAATAATTTATCTGACTTTAAAAATAAAACTGCAGAGTGGTTGCAAATAAATGAAGAACATATATTGGTTTTGAAAACATTTTGGTTTTGTGAGCTATAATACATCCTCACCTTCTCATTAACTGCCACACCAGTGCCAGTGTCAACGTTGGGTTGCCTTCATTGAGGTCCTGTCCACCAATCCCAACCAATGAGAATCTGGCCTTTGACTTCCCCAGTTCCACTGCATAGTTACAATTTTCAATCTAAAAGAAATGACAAATCAAGGTCAGAAACTATTTGGAACCATGGGCGTTGCCAGGATTTATTGGAGGGGGGGGGCTGGCTTTATGTTGAGGCAGCAGAGCCGAGTTATCTGCGATGCAATTGGCCAGTTAGTTAAGTAATTTTATTTATTTACTTGATTTGGGGGAGGCAGCTGACTACGCCCATGTTTGGAACTATCGTTTATCAAAATATTTTAATTGGAGCAAACCAACCACAACACCAGTGCAGCAAGAGCACCCTATACCAGCAGATGAATGTGTTTATAAACATATGTATGGTGTCATGCTTGCTGCTTAGGCATGCAGTTAGACAAACTTCATCCAAATCTTCTGAAAGTATTAGCTTTTATTAATATGAATCAAGGCACAGAAAACCTAGGCATACACTCCTGGTGAAGGACTACTAGGCAAATACGATTTGGCTAATTTAATACTCTCACCTCTGCTGGCAAGCATTTCCAACATTTTTTCTTAACAGAACTGTACAACACACCTCCATTTCCTAAGAACATTATCTAGCCATCTGTAAACAATAATAAGTAAACACAGATCTAAGCTCAACAAAAAGAACAACATCCAGATCAGCTAAAGTAGTGGCACCAGAGGTCACCAGTACTTGGTCCACCACTTAGGATGCAATTACCAGAACCCTTCCTCAAAGCACACAGTTCTTATACTGGCAAAGTCAAGGATCTGCCTTGAGATGTCACATTTATGGACAGCCCTCCCCCAGCAGGCAAAGCACATGCCTCAGAGGTCACAATATCACCTTCAGCAGTGTCACCTAAAGGAATGTCAAGTGGGTTATCCAGATGGTCGTCCTGTTCTGCAAGACTAGAACCATCTTGCACTAAGCATGCACCCATGCTGGTTTCAGATACTCCACTTTTGAAGTGTTAAATGGCACCCGTTGTGCTGGTACCTGCAACCATGGTGAGTCACCACTAGATACTCTCCTCATGGCCCATCAACAAGCAGAGTTCACAGCTGCCCCCTCCTTATGGATATGTGGGTCATGGCTTGAAACACCTCACCACCAATCCCTGGGGATAACTGAGTGAACATGGAAAGAAGTTCTAGACTTGGCCTCACTGGCTAACATTTTCTTCCAAGTTCCCATTTGGTTTAGTGGTCTTCAGATGAAGTTGCAGGAACGATTAGTAGAGGCAGTTGCTTTCAGGTAAGGAAAGCATGTCCCCACTAGGTACAGCCTGTCCATTTGCCTTCCATATCAGATTAATATTTATTAAATTTGTATACTACCTTTCACCTGAAGATCACAGGGTGATGACATAACACTGGCCCTAACATGCCTACTTCCAATGACTGTAGAGGCCATAGAGTCCTGTAGTTGTATCAATAGAATGCTTCTACCCTGGCTTTGTTTGTATGTTTAGAGTGTCTGTATCCTGTTCTGTGCAGGTGACTGAGTTTTGTATGCTTCATATGTATGCTCACCTACCATATGCAATGCAGAGGGACTTTTTTTACTAGCCTTGTAGACGGTGGTTTCGTTTCACTTTCTTGCATAATCTGTTTTGCATTATATCTGCCTTACATGTGTTTTGAGTAGATGCATTCATTATTCCTGACTTTAATAGAAGCCTTGAGGTTTTCAGTCTGTCTTCTACATAAACATGCATGTGTGAAACTTGAACTGTGTGGTCTGTGATGTGGTTCACTTTTCTTGTGTGACCTGCCCTACATGTGTTCTGAGTTTTCTGCCACAGATTCACTGATTGATATTAATGGCAAGGACAATCTCAATGTTCCCCGATGAAACATGCAAAATTTCTTAATAATATCCTGCATGTATGTGCAACTTGACACATGTTCAGCAGCTAAGCTCAGCCACTTTAGTGACCTGCTCTGCATATACTTTTAGTTCTGGCTCCCTGCTTGTGAAACAGCTCTAAATTCTGTTGCATTCAACTGATCTGTGTTGGCCATTTATCATGGTTATATTGCTCAATGTCTCGAGACTTGTAAGTTCATTCAGTACCGTAGGTGAAAACTGCATTTTCTGTAGGCATGTATGCCTCTGTGACATGCATGCTTCATCCCAACTGAAGTATTTGCTGAGGTCCAGTCTAAGGGCCACACCAAGAAACTTATTTCAAGAGTTGTAACCATATTAATACGCTACCTTAAGCAAGGGTGAATAATTCAGGGACACCAACACCATTCATGATAATGCGGCTTAAGCAAATGGCTGAGGAGCCACTGTGGTTTCCAAAACAGACACTTTTACAAACCTTTTTCATGTTACCCCCAAGTGCAGGATATGGTGGTTTGTTGACGTGGTTCCACTGTACAGGTACACGAATCATCTCATAGAGCTGGAAGATTACTAAAGCATCAGCAAGGTCACTGGTCAGTGTAGGGAGAGGGAGAGAGAGAAAACATATATATTTACAAAAATAAATTATATGTTTCCTGAATGCAGTCAGTAGTGTATCCAAGTAAATTTCTGAGGCTTTCATTGCTTGGTAATCCTCTCTTTTCCTCCAAAATTATTTACTTACTTATTTACTCACTACCACAGTCACTGAGATTACATATATATATATATATTTATACCCTGTCCTCCCCGGCCAAGACCGGGCTCAGGGCGGCTAACATCAGGTATAAAAACAATTGATTAAAATACAACTTAAAAACAGGATTAAAATACAACTTAAAATGAAGCCTCATTTCAGTGGAAGCCCAGATTAAAAACTGTTTGGGAGGAGAAAACGTCAAATCTTCACCAAGGCCAACTATCCAGACTGGTCCTACGTGGGCCAGAAAAAAGCCAGGGAAGTCCCCAAATAGGGGTTCCATCACAGAAGGAAAAGGAAAGAGGTGGAGGGGATCAGGCTGATTCCAAGCCAAAGGCCAGGCGGAACAACTCTGTCTTACAGGCCCTGCGGAAAGAAATCAGATCCTGCAGGGCCCTGGTCTCATGAGACAGAGCGTTCCACCAGGCCAGAGCCAGTGTCGAAAAGGCCCTGGCCCTGGTTGAGGCTAATCTGACTTCCTTAGGGCCTAGGACCTCTAGAGTGTTGCTATTTATGGACCTTAAGGTCCTCCGGGGGGCATACCAGAAGAGGAAGTCCTGTTCTGAATCTGGCAGTCGCAGTTCTGAATCATAGAAAGAATAGAATCATAGAATTGAAGAGTTGGAAGGGACCAGGGGGGTCATCTAGTCTAATCCGGGACCGCCTCTCCTGGTATGCCCCACAGAGGAACTTACGGTCTTCAAATAAAAACATCTTGAAGGTCCCAGGCCACAGAGAGGTTAGGCTGGCCTCAACTAGAGCCAGGGCTTTTTCGGCTGCGGCTCCAACCTGGTGGAACGCTCTGTCACAAGAGACAAGGGCCCTGCAGGACTTGACATCTTTCCGCAGGGCCTGCAAGACAGAGCTGTTCCACCAGGCCTTTGGTCAGGGTGCAGCCTGACTCCCTCCTTTGGCAATCTTTACAAAACTTTCGTTTATGGTTGCCATCAATTTTGATTTTAATTAATTTTTATAATGTTGCACTATTTTAGTGTTGTTAGCCGCCCTGAGCCCGGCTTCGGCTGGGGAGGGCGGGATATAAATAAAATTTATTATTATTATTATTATTATTATTATTATTATCCCCTACAATGGAGGCATCTTTTGTAAGGCTCAAACCCACAACTCTGAGATTAAGAGTCTAAGGCTCCACCAGCTGAGCTATACCAGCCTATCATCTCTAATGATCAGAAAACAGTACTGTGTTATCATTGATCCAAGCAAAACTAAGTCCTATCAATTACAATATTTTCCAGTGAGGGTTACACCACGGATCAGTTAAATGGCCAGTCAAGAATAAAAATATTACCTGTACAAATGGTTAATGTAAGGAGTTACACCCAAAGAATTCATCCAGTTTCGGAATGTTCTTTCTTCCTTACTTTCTCCTATTGCAAAGGGTACAAAATTTCTTAGATAACACATTTTATATGTGCCATTACTCTGAAAGAATATAAAAGCAATGTATCTTTTCCTGAGAAATAATCTCTTCTGATCTGGCTTTTAAAAGCTCTGGGTACAAATGGAACAGGCATCACAAGGCAGAAGAGGTGTTTCCTCTTTCTATTAAAAAATAGTAATTTCTCATGTCTGGGTGGGCAGTACTATCCAAAGACGTAGTTGGTGAGGAGTGTAAGAACTTAAAATCATAAAACCAAATTAAAAGTACTTAACATATTTGTATATCAACACTAGTCCACAGAACTTTGGAAAGTATATAGGGGTAAACAGTATTTCCTACTCTGCAAGCGTAATTTGAGTTTAGCAGAGATACAGGCTACCTAACGCAATATTACCTAATGAGTACACTGAGGGGGCATTTGAACCTTGATCTTCCAAGTCCAAGACCCCTACTTAATTCACTATGCCACACTGACATTGCTCAATACCATTTTCATGTTAAAGTTATAACTCTGTTTATATGGCATACATTTAGGGCAGATTGACTTTGGGATTTCTGCTGTAGATGAAATTATGTGGCGTTTGATTTCCACACTGTCCTTACTGTTTTGATCAAAAGCACCTGATTTTGGCTGTGTACACACCATGCATTTAAAACCCATTTAAAGCACATGACTTCCCACAAAGAATCCTTGGCACTGTAGTTACACACACACACACACACACACACACACACACACACACACACACCATTCCAAGTTACAATTCCCTGCACCCTCAACAAAGTACAGTTCCCAGGATGCTTTGGGGAAAGTCATGTGCTTTAGATGTATGACATGTATGCAGCTTAGTATTTCTCAGTGGGGCTCTCTGTGACCTGCATCTATTTAGAATCAGGATGGAATGAGATGGTTGAGACCCAAGGTGGGAAAACACAGAACGTACCACTTCAAATTGCAGGCAAGGGATTCCTATATGAAGAACTCCCTGAAGATATAAAACTAGTATTATAGGGAATGATCTGGTCAACAATCTGTCTCACTGATGTGCAGTTTTTATTGCAGGGTGATGTTTTTACAAGGGTGAACATTCATAACTAGTGCATCCCGCTGTTGCCTAAAATACTACTACAGCCAATTCTATCTTTTCTGTATTCTTATCACATTTTGCTACATGTGTAGACATAGCAACTATTTTTCTCTTTATTCTGTATTACTCTGCCCTTCTCTTTTATTTGTGCTCATTAGGAATTATATAAATATTATACTATGCCACTGTATATAATCTTAATTATTACTTTTTTTAAAAAAAACACAGTGACATCCTATACATGGCTACTTATCTAAGTCCTACTAAGTTCAATGGGGCTTTTCCAAGGTAAGTAGGTAAAGGATTGCAGCCTAATTCAATATGTGATGTGTAGAAATTAAATATTTAAACAATGCTGCCTAATTTCAACATATTTTAACCAATTTCACGTTGTGAACAGTGAGCCAAAAAATAAAAACTGCCTTATGTGGCAACCTTATACAATTCTTTCCTCAAGGCTGTTTCTGCTCAAATTGAGAAACGTTACATTTTCTCCACATGCTTACTTAATTGAGAAAACCTTGTGATTTTAAAATTTGGACTACAATGTATTTTGGGATCAATGATTAAAATGAGCTGTGTTTATATGCTTGAGATATTTTTTTAAAAAAACAATCTCTAACTCAAATGTATTTTGAACATTTCACAGACAACTAACAAACGCTTCCAGGAAAGCTTATTACTGAAAGCATAAGAAAGGAAATATGTAGAACTTCACTCAAAGTAAGAATTTAAAAACTGCATGCTGAACAATGCCAGAAAAATCCACTCTAGACCAATAGCAGCAATAGCGTGCAAGTTGAAAGAACGTACTTCTGATTAAAAGGAACCGAGGAACTAAGAATAGCACACTGTATTTAATATGCCACTCTAAACAGGATTATTCGTTAAAAAGGAACCTAAGAATTCTTAAGCTTTTCACCTTTTTGAAAACTGGCCAGCTTTCCATTACCTCCCCCCCACTTCCTTTTCATTGTTCAGAATATACCTTCTGGAGACACAGACTGAATTTTATGTAATGGAAGGGACAAATAATAGAAAACAAAAACTGAGCTGGAGCACCATATATATAGCCAACATGCCCTATGGCACTTCTCTTTGTGTGACTAAAATATTATGCAGTAGCATTATGCCAATAGAATAAAGAAGAGAGGGCATGAGTCACTGAACAATATGGCACACCTCTCTCTCTCTCTCTCTCTCTCCCCCCCCCCCTCTCAGTGGCACAATGCTAGGTACAATTTAATTTATCAAAAGGCTAGTCAGTAACAACACATCCCACAATCTTTCTGTGGAAACAGAAATAAGAATCTTCGGGCATAATTGCCAGCTCTTGTTTCTCTGTGACAGCAAAAATCCTTGTTTATCCATCACCAATACAAAATCTAAAACACTAGAGCAATAGCTTGATGCATGAAAGGCCCCAGTGTCTAAGCAGTGTGGGAGAAACACTACTGGATGCTAAACAGTCTCGCCACCAGTAAGGCAGACTATTTTCCCTTCAGTCAATTGGTCCTATTCACAGTTGTATTTGTTGTCTTTTTATCATGCCCTTCATCACAATGTGATGACAAGGTGGGTTACAAACAAGATAAACTAAAATAATAAAACAATATAAAATATAGCACTGCTACAACTGCTCCTTCTCAATGCAAATACCAGTAACGTCACACTTCTATATCATTAAATGCCTGGTGGAAGTGTGTGTGTGTGTGTGTGTTTTTAACAATAGAGAGAAGTTGCAGTAGAATCCTAATGCCTTGGAAGACGATGGCATTTAGACAGGACATAAAGACATACCCAGAGTATAGCTCTGGACCAGAGGAACTCAAATCTGTATCATTTTACTGTATTTCTAAAAGAGTATTCATGAAATTAGAATTCGAGCCAGCTGAGAGAAAGAAGAGACACTGTATTGTTCCAGAGGATGAAACTGTCCCTATTTGTGTGTCTAAAGTCTTGACTCTCCTTCAGTCCTTATTTGTGAGACTCCCAAGTCACGGCTCCTAAAACAGCCCTGTTATGTATGAAAACAGCCTTCAACCTTGCATTTATATAAGAATGAATATTTTTCTTTCAATTGTAACGGCATATTAAAAAGAAAAATAGGTTATATGACCAGTGCAGGAGGATAATTAGGGGGGGAAAGCAGTCATAGAAGGGAGGGAACGAAATCAATCATCTCAAGATAAATACATTTACAGGCTAAAGAAAAATACTAAATACAGTACCTACATTAGGAGGAGTCAAATCTGCATTTCATGAAGAAAAATGGGAAAATTATAAATGGTCAAATTATGAAAGCTCACCTCAGAAATAACTATAAAGAAATGGATGTGCTCATCATTCATATGGTAATATTTGACACACACAAAAACCCACTACAAAATGCAGGCAATGAGGATAAAACTGGATGAAATGCTGGAAGAACAGTGATCAGATGTTACACAAACACTTTCTTCTTCTTTTAGTTCAAAGCAGACAGAAAAGCTTGAATCATATTGGGGAAAAGGTGTTTTAACAATTTTGCTATTCAGGGTCTCTTGAGGGACTCACAACAAAGGACTCACACAGAGACAAGATTATAATATTTGAACATCAAACAATAACAATATTCTCTGTCAAAATATATAATGTACATAAATAACCCAAAGCTATAAAACTGAGCACCGTCCTCCCAAGTGCCATTTCTCAGGCCATTACCACAGAACCTTTCCACCTGGTCATTATCAGTACCAGTTGCTTGGTTTTAGTGACAAGAGAGAGAAAATGGTTGCTGTTCACTTGTCTCAACTCCAACAGCAGTCTTCTTTAAAGGGCTGCAAGTGCCATAGCCCAATGTGGAAAACAAAACTCGTAGGCCCTTTGTAACAGAAAAAGAATATAAGCTTATAGTTTTGGGGAACTTCACAACTCATCTTAAATTTTTAAAGAAGACCTCACTACTAATCTGCTCTTAAGATTTTAGGGCTTTGTAGAGAGGAGGTAGCCAAGCATCCTAGCTGCACTGAGATAGTATAGCTTAACTGCCCATAATGCTGGTTGCTCCTGCTAGGGAGGCCAGAGAATTTCAATGAAAGGAGTGGTGGAAATTTTGCTTGTTCAGTCTGTGGTTCTTCCTCATCCTCTGTTTGAATCGTTGCTTCATCAGCTGGTTCTACTGCTAACTGGACTTGACTCCATGTGCATACTGGCTGCAAATTTATAACCAGTAATGAAACCACAACATTTCTACAGTGTCTGCTTGTAGTCTGTAAACAGGTAGGTCTCCCTCTTATTGTTCCACTGTTATATGCACCACTGGTTCCCGCTGATCAGCAAACTTTCATTTTCACCTAAAACTAAGGGTCACCAGCTTCCAGAAATGACATACAGGATGCCAAAGTGGTTATTAGTCAATTAATTTTTTGCAGCTTGTTTGGCAGCAAGATAATACGTGTATCACAGTCTTCACCTTAAATCTTTTACATACTGTTGATCCATCATCACACCTTGTCCTTTTTCTTTAACTCCAAAACACAAATCAATAGGCAATAAAGATGGTCTCCGCTTAACATTTTTCTGGTCCTCCAGTGTTCCCAACATGTTCATTCAGGTATGACTGCACCTTTTCACTGGATGTCCACTTGGGTAACAGGAAGCTGTGACTACTCCTGAGATTTGACCCAAGTTTGATGCAAAAGTAGCACCTTAATCACTATGGCTTCTTTTAGAAAACCCATAGCGACTGATGAAGATGTTCTACAATACGTTAGCAGCTGTTTCGGGCATTAACTGATCATTTTGCCACTAATACATTCCCTATTCCTGCACAATCTGGCTCCAAAGTTAAGTTGTCTATTTGAATGAAGCCTAGCAGAGAAAAAGTCTGGATATGTACCAGCTATGCTGCTTTTTCTATGTTAGCCTTTCTTTTACTAGAATGCTCACAGGTCTGACATTTCTCCTCTATACTCTAGTGACCCCAGGCTAGTAAAAATGGTCCCAAGCCAGTTCTACAGTTCTTTCAAATCCACTGTGGCCTATTTAATTATGAATTTCCTCTGGTGCTCTAGCATGATGAGTGTAAGGAACTACCAGCTGTTCAATTGTCTCTTCCCTCAACTGTACTTTCCTGTGTAGGACTCCTGGAGAAACAAAAAAAAAAATGGCTACTCATGTAGATGTAGTCTTGTCTCATACTCTTCTCCTTTTTCTTCCTCTAAAGTAGTTTTACACCCAGTTTCCAGGAAATGAATCACATGGGCAATATATTTGTCACTTCCCTGTAGCTCCTCCAATTTATAGGTCTAGAATCGGAGGGATCAAGTTTTTCAGGCCAAGTATATGGATTCTCAAATGATGGTGCTATACCGTCTTCTTGTTTTACTAACCTTGTTTTTCTAGATGTTACTGCTTCTTCATTAGAATTATCTGTCTGAGAGCCTATCAGCACTTCATGAGTTTGCATTATTGCTTTACGAATTTCATTATTCCAGACAGTCTTCTCAGTTAAAATACTTTATTGGGCTCTGCCTAGCAACACACTATTGTTTTACATTTTCCTTGTCATTTAGTGGCCCTTAGTGTGGCTTTCTTGGCTCATATTTGCCGTTTCTGATTTATAGGCAATATTGAAGTTGTACAGTGACAAAGCTGCCACCCACCTGCATCCAGTTTTGCAGTCTTCACATATGTCATGAGACTATTATTTGTCATCAATCTAAATTCTGCACCATATTTAAAAAACAAAGAAACTGATCACAAATAGCCCATATTAAGGCAAGAAATTCTAATTTATGAACTGGATAGCTGCATTCAGTAGAAGTCAGTCTTCTGCTAGCATAAACAATGAGTTGAGGTTTTCTGGTCTGTACCTGTCAGAGAGCAGCTCCTAGTTCAGTGTGTCATGCATCAGAATGAAGAGTATATGGAAGTTTTCCATCCGCAAACCCAAGAACTGGTGCAAAAGTGAGATTCAGTTTTAAAGTTTCTCAAGCATCTTGGAAATTTTCATTCCATCTATCTTCAAGTATCTGTCCTCCATTCCATTTCTTCCCCTTTCCATCTCCAGCAAGAAAGCAATAGAAAGGTCTTGCAAAAATGGAATATTGGTCTGCAAACCCCTGGCAGTATCCAGTAAATAATTATAATAATAAAGCTGTGCAATTCTTTAATAATTTGTACTGGCCATGCTGTGATATCATGTGTTTTCTTTTTATCTAGGTGGAATCCATCCTTAGAAGTAACATGTCCCAAATATTTTATCAACGTTTGAAACTGTTTACTGTTTGAAAGTGCTAACTTCAATCAACATTTCAGAACTTTCACACTTCTTTACTCACAAGTGGCTGAAAAAAAATCATCAAATCATCCAAGAGTGCTACTGTCTCAGTGAAATGCATGTCATGTATGACACTTGGCATAACTCTCTGGATGGTAGCAGGAGTGTTTGTCAACTGCCAAGCCAATCCCAAATGGTATGGTGAAAGCTATCACTTTGCCCAACTGAGATCTGATAATATCTGCCTTTGAGGTCCAACATGGAAAAGCACTTTTGCCCACAAAGCAAATGTTTCTTCCATCTGAGGCAGTGGGTAAGTGTCTTCTCAAGCCATGCTGTTGAGTTCTCTGCAGTCCACCACCATCCTAATGAGTCCATTTCTTATGCTGCAGGAGCACTGGTGAGGCATATGAGCTGCAGGCTTCCTTAATCACACCCAGTGGCACAAGCATTGTCACAAATCTTCAAAATCATAAGGTGATACCTTTCTAGCCTGTCCTTTAAAAAGCACATCACTTGTGAGCTCAATTTTCCCCAGTGAAGAAACTGAAACTCAGAGGTTAAAGCTGTTAAGCGTTGGGGCTTTATTAGAGAGGAGACAGCCAGCCATCATCCAAACTGCATGCAGTGCTATAAGCTAACTGTTGACAATGTTGGCTGCTCCTTGCTTCAACTCTCTTACTGGGCATATGCAGGAACATCCTTCCACCAGAATTCATAAAGAAATATGTATCAGTGGATTATATTTACATACCACACTGTTCTAAATTGTTCTTGAGGCTGCTATTTGCCATGTTGGGGAGAACCTACAGGCACCAAACATATTTCCCCCCATTGTTCAAATAGCTTCAGGGCAGGCAATTTAGACCCCAAAAGGGGGGATAAGAATTAGACACCCCCCTTCACATTGCTGCTTCTCCCCTTGACCAGTCCCACCCTGACAACTGCTTTGAACATAAACAACAAGCAAAAAAGTAGGAACAATTATGGTTCTCTGAGTATCAACTTTAATTTGGCCCTGAAGCTAGAAAAAATGATGCTTTGCTTTAGATAAACTACATTTGTGTAGATGGCATAATCTGTAGAAGGATAACTACTGTATTACTTAGAAGGAGTAGATAACGACCACATTTGGATGATCATAATAAACTGAGATAGGAAAGAGCCTCTTTGCTCCTTTCACTGTACAATCCGGCAAACCACCCAGGAAGTCTACTATTAACTACACTTTCTCATTTTGTCCAAGCCAGGATACTCTGATTACCGGTAACAGCTTCAGAACTGTTAAACCAGTTTCAAAAAGTGGCTTCATAACCTGGTTTTGAAGTAAGGAAATATTTCCTCCCAATGCAGCCACCACCAACTAAAAAGCAATATTCATTAGGACCACAATGGAAGAGGATAGTGCAAAACCTCCTCTTCCTACCCGTTGTGATCTCCCCAGTCCTTAGCATAAAAACTGCATATTAAATGCAAAGACACATTTAATACCATATCTATTTGGGCCCTCACTTTTAGCATCTGAGCTCCGTATTCCTGTCATGCAGGGAAGGAGGGAGAAAGAGAGAGAGAGAGAGAGAGAGAGAGAGAGAGAGAGAGAGAGAGAAGGCAACCCAATAACAGTTCAATTAGTACTGGGCAGTTGTGCCATGTTTTTCTCAAAAGTTGGCCAGAGCACAATGCCGAATGATCAGCCACAGTCGGTTTATTAAAGGATAAAAGGCAGGCAAGAGAATCAAGACAAAAAAGAAAAAAAGAAAGAAATCACTTCACGCAATGCACAATTAACTTATGGAATTTGCTGCCAGAAGAGGTGGTGGTGGTGCCTGGCTCAAGGCCAGACTACACAAGATGCTATTAACATGATTAGCAATTGTGTGGATGAATGTCTTTTTAAAAGGAAACTCCAGGTGCGGACTCAATCCAGATGGAAACCTGGCGTTGAGGGTATTGGGCTTCAGGCTTTGCCCCCTCACCTGCTACAAGCTGGGAGTGTGAGTTTGAGTGCAAGTGAATGAAAGAGAGAGAGAGAAATCTAGCTGAGAACACAGCAAGGCGCAAAGGGGGTTAAAGGCTCCTTCCCACCCACAGCAAGGCTCTCATGTCTTCAATGGAAAAACAGCCATTCACACAATTGCTAATAGCATGGATGGCTTATCATCTGGGTAGGGCCGTAGGATGGCTTTGAAACAGGACTAGATAAATTTACAGAGGACATATCTATCCCATGCTACTTGCATTATAAACGAATGGGACATTCAGGTTTAGAGGCCTCTGAATAAAAGTTGCTGGTTGAGTAACAGCTGGAGTACATTGTGGCCTTCAGGCCCTGTATGCATGCTTTCCAAAAGCATCACACTGGCCACTGTTGAAAAGACTATTCTGAAGTGGCATCTGTTGCACCACAGATCATCTTATACCCATTTTTATGTATTTTACCTATGGACTGCATTTATACAGCTGCCCTATCACTGGAGTAGATAATTCAATAGGAGTTAACAGGTGGCTTGTATTTTCTGTGAAAACATTTTGGAAGAGAAGAACAAGAGGAGATTGGATTGGATTTCCCGCTTTATCACTACCCAAAGGAGTCTCAAAGCGGCTAACATTCTCCTTTCCCTTCCTCCCCCACAACAAACACTCTGTGAGGTGAGTGGGGCCGAGAGACTTCAGAGAAGTGTGACTAGCCCAAGGTCACCCAGCAGCTGCATGTGGAGGAGCGGAGATGCGAACCCGGTTCACCAGATTACGAGACTACCGCTCTTAACCACTACACCACTCTGGCTATATATCAAGGAAATTCTGAAAATCTCAATATGAAATAATTGAGCATTATTCATCATTCTCTAATGTCACTATCAGTGTTTGTTACGTTAGCTCACCTTCCAGTAAATTGACATCATAAGAAGAGCTTTCGGGCTTCTGCAGGGCAGGGTACGTATTAAAGAGATTTGCAACGAAGGCCATGTTAAGTTTAGGATTGCCTGCAACCACATCAGCAGGAGTCACAAACTGTTTGCAGCCCAGTTTGTCTGCCTGTTGAAGCATATATTCAGCCCTCCTCAGGTCATTTTTTTCCTTGAAAAACAATATAAAAAGTAAACCTCACACTTCAAAAAATACTAATTCTGACATTTTATACAAAATAGCTACATCTTAATATAAGATTGCACTGAACATAAATTAAAATTCTAGATCAAGTTGCAGACCAGGAAATTGTTTAGAAACTTATTTTATTTCAGAACCTTTTTTTGGTTTCATAACATTTCACTGCACAGAAAAAGCTTAGCTAACAGCTTATTACAACCTAAGCCAACCAGGTACACCGTCCAGATATTTCAGACTACAACTTCCATCAGTCCCAGTCATTACTGCCACGCTGGCTGGAGCCAGTCCAAAAAAGCTAGAATGTACAAGGGTTGGCAAATGTTGACCTAGTGAATCTGCCAGGCTTAAACGTAGCCCACGAACAATGTATTGAAACCTGCCAGAAGCTTAGCAGCTGCCCATTTTTACAATGCTGGCCACTTAGCAAAACCAGTAGGTTTGTCAATATCTTGGTACACAACAATACATGACTGTTGCACTGCATTCAACCTGGTGGGCAGACTACTTGTTGGGCAGGTCTGAATCAAAGCTCAGTGCAAGGTTCAGAAAGAAAGTTTGAAATTACACCTTATTGGAAACACTGGAAGCATACAAAAACCTAAGTATTTCTCTTTTGGAAACTTCTGATTTTTTAATAAAATCACCTGAACAATTACAAAATGCTGTCAACAGAGTTATGGCTCAGGTCAATTTAGTAGATGGCTCATTTTAAAAGCAATATCAACTTAAAGTTCCAAAAGTCCAGACCTTAGCCAGCTATACACAAGATCCATTACAGATGCTCTACGAGTTCTGTGCACTCTGTTGATCTGTGCTTGTAATTCAAAATGGTTTGCACCTGCTTGGTACAATGACATTCTGCAAACACACACACACACACAAACTTACATTGAGGCCTGAAAGATCAATAACAATAGCTGCTTCTCCATTGTTGCTTCCTTTTGGTGCGATTTGATTCAGCAAATGGTAGTAGGCTCTTGAGTCCTGAAATGAACAATTGAAAAAACCTGAACAAAAGTCCTTGATGCACTCTGACGGGCAGATACTGAGAAAAGGAGAGTCATATTGACATCAGCTGCAATAGTATGTTTTAGCTCTCATATAAACTCAACAAGAAAACAAGATTAATTTAGTTCTTCCTGCACCAGAAAGGAACAGGAGAAGCAAAAAACTAGTATTATTTTCTGTTGGGAGCCACCCAGAGTGACTGGGGAAACCAAGCCAGATGGGCGGGGTATAAATAATATATTATTATTAATTCTTATTATTATTATTATTATTATTCAACAGATAGCTACTTGAAACTCTTGCAGAAAGCAGAGAATAACAAGGGTGAATGGCAATGCTGTGATAGGCCTAAACAGTATCTCTCTAATTTTGATTGAAATGCAGCTATAAAAATATTTCTTTTATAGTCTTGGCTAGTTCCAGTTGAAAGGTTCTGATTCAAAAGTTTTTGCTTTTATTTGAGAGATCAAGCTATACCTTAATGTCTTGACTAAAGTTGCTTATTCTCTTCCATCCAGCATTATCCAGGTGGTAGTTAACCCAACGTAGCAGGAGTTCTTCTGGAGACAGTTTCATTAATTGTTCTAATTCTTCCCCATCACTTAGCAAACCAATAAGAGCTGCAAAAAGTTTTCAGGAAAGCTGGTTTACTTTTTAACTTTTTAAAATCATTTAAGATTTCACATATATTTCTCAAACTTTAGACACAAATCAGACAAAAATGCATGCTTTATCATGTATTTCAGACATTATATATTATTACCTTCATTTCTGGAGATTTCTATATCAGCAAAAAGCCCAACTTTAATGATTTGCCACAACAGTCCTAATACCAAATGTGGCTTCCCGTCTTTTAGATCTTGTGATCCAATATTGACTACTGTACAGCCAATAGCTGATGCAGAATTTAGTGCAAGATCTAGGTTTTCCTAAAAGGAAAAATAAAAATGCATTTTGACGTTGACAATAACTACAAATGCAAAAACATACAAGTATAATAAAATGGTAATGAGGAAAAACAAAGGATGGGTGGTATCAAAGTAACATGTCCCATCCATGCAAGTATTTATGCTTGCACACATCTCAAATCTGCTCTGGAGGATTGGGGGAACCCCTAGATCAGATTTAGGGGGTGCCCAGGGAAGTTCCCATTGTCCAAGCAGAAATCCTTGTGCTGATGGGAACGTGACTTAGTTCTACTTTGCACTGACGCGGATGGGGCTTCTAGCAAAGATTTGTATGAGTTTTTCAGAAAGTCATTTGTTGTTGTTGTTGTTTAGTCGTTTAGTCCTGTCCAACTCTTCGTGACCCCATGGACCAGAGCATGCCAGGCACTCCTGTCTTCCACTGCCTCCCGCAGTTTGGTCAAACTCATGCTGGTAGCTTCGAGAACACTGTCCAACCATCTTGTCCTCTGTCGTCCCCTTCTCCTTGTGCCCTCCATCTTTCCCAACATCAGGGTCTTTTCCAGGGAGTCTTCTCTTCTCATGAGATGGCCAAAGTATTGGAGCCTCAGCTTCAGGATCTGAAGTCGTATCTCTCCTTACCCTCCTTCTCCAGGCACCGTTGGTCGGATAAGCAGTTCACAGTTCTGTCTTTAGACCTCTTCTGTCTCTCTGCTCTCAGTTCAGGCAGCAGCGTTCTCTCCTCTCTGGCAACCTTGACCGGGCAGCTGATAAGGAGGGAGGGAGCAGGCTGGGACAAGCTGAAGCTCGCAGAGCCGACAGGAGTTATAAAAATGTTCAGAGTCTTTAAAATGTTTTCCGTTTGTTAAAAATTGGCATCCGGAGGGCAATTAAGATAAGGTTTTTTAAAAATAAAAGTGAGCGCCGGAGAGCGTGACTTGCCTCGGCGCCATCTTGGTCAACTCCCCAGGAACCAAAGCAGGCCGATCTGTCCTTCCAGTGAGCGCTCAGGGCTGATTTCCTTAAGAATGGATAGGTTTGATCTTCTAGCAGTCCATGGGACTCTCAAGAGTCTCCTCCAGCACCATAATTCAAAAGCATCAATTCTTCGGCGATCAGCCTTCTTTATGGTCCAACTCTCACTTCCATACATCACTACTGGGAAAACCACAGCTTTAACTATACGGACCTTTGTTGGCAAGGTGATGTTTCTGCTTTTTAGCTTTTTAGAAAGTCTTTTTAGAAAGTCATTAAGCCTTTTAGAAAGTCATTAAGGTAACTTAAATGATGGAAATCAATGGTATCTGAATAACTATTCCAGTATTATCTTCTGAAACGCCTATCCTGATCACTAAACCAGATGGAGCATAGGCACAATCTGTTATTGCTACTTTTACCTTGTTAGTCATTAAAAGAGCCATTGTCAGAAGACCCCAGAGAACATGTACTCTAGGGTTTCCAAATTATTTCTATAGCAATAAAGAAATTAGACATGCTTTGCTCTGTAAATGTAGTATCCATGTAACAAAACTGCTTATTGGAGCAATACAGGGTCATACCACGTGGCACAAATTCACAATGGCTTTGCAACAACAAAAAATGTAGAAATGTTCCGAGAAGCTATCTATAAACAGAGGTTTGAATATCTTAGTTTTCGGGAAGTGGTAGTTATAGGGCTACAACAACAGATGCAAATAAAAGAACTGGAAATTTAAACTACAGTGGAACCTAATTTCCCAAACGCCTCAGTTGTCGAACATTTCGGTTCTATTTTTGAACGTTTTCCGGAACTTGAACGTGTGACGTGGCTTCCGCTGAGTGCAAGAAGCTCTTGCAACCAATGGGAAGCCACGCCTCAGTTGTTAGTTTCAGAAGTCGAACCATCTTCCAGAATGGATTATGTTCAATAACCGAGGTTCCACTGTACCACAATAATGCACTGTTCTCATTTTTTATTTTGCAAAGTACTTTCAAGCAGTCCTTCTGAGGTAGATTTGAAATACTTAGGTTAGGGTTGTGCTGTACTCACAGATATAGTGAATGGAGTAAGCTTCTTCTTATTAATAGCTCTTTCATCAATTGTATCTGGTTGGGATAAGTTAATCATTTTGCTAGGGAAGAAAAGGGAAATATTTAATTACAACTTTCTGAATTTTTTTTATCAGTCTCATGTAAAGGACAATTTTAGCCTTCAGCTACTTCAACAATTAAAAGGGATTTTGGCATACCAAACTGGGTGATTATTTCTCCATCTATAGCATAACATCAAAATCTACTACTGGGAACTGTAGGAGTACAAGAAAGTAGGAAAATGGAATATTAACAGTGAAGCCATATATGACTCTCTGTAGAGTTTGGGCAACTGCACAATGGATTGTATATAATGAAGATTAGGTGACTCAGTGTCTGGCAACATCCTCGGGATTCTTATGGCACTTTCACAGCATACAGAAAGCAGAAAGTTATTCACTTAGAGTTTACATCGTGCTTGTATGTTTAATGCTCATTGACTGTAGAATCAATTAATGACTAACATACTCTGATAACTACAATACTTTCACCTGACTTCTTTGAAACCTAGGACAGAAAGGCTGCCATATAACAGCAATCACTTTTTAGTATAGAACAAGGCAAGCTACAGATGGGGTGAAATATCAGGCTGTGGGGGTTCCTCCTTCACACACTTGAAGCAACCTCAAAGCCACTTAAATTGTGCAGAAATGACATGTGGTATTACAATTCTTTGTAGCCCATGCCAATTCAGACTGCAGGTTGGGGAACTGCATGTTTGATGCTCCTCCAGCTTCTCATATATATATCTATATATACACATGTATATTATTGCTAGAAAAGAAGGCTTGCATTTCTTCAGTTAGTAAAATATATTTATATTGTTGTTTCTAAAAATTATACCCTGCTTTCCCCCTTTACAAAGGAGCAGATCAAAGTGGCTTACAAATAAAAAGCAACAATCAAGTCATTATAAATACATTCACTCAATCATTGAAAAATGTAGGTTAACAAAACTGAACGTGCCAGAAAAAGCAAAAGCAAAAACACAAAACAGTACTAAGAAACCAATGCATGAAACATCAGCTTGCAATTTGAGCTTTTTTGCTGAATAAATGCAATCTACCTGATTGTCTCAATGGAAAAAGTGAGACCAGCAGACACTATGGAACATATCACCACGGAGTGTTTGCATATTATGTTTTTTGTAAACATTATGTGAACAAAATGCATGGCTGACTCACTGCTCATGATAGGAGAGAAATAAACCATGAATGCAAGCTTATTTATTTGAAAAAGCTATACACTGCTTACCTACAATAGTCTATAAGTTACAATACAATTAGCCCTAAGTCAACCACTTCATGGTTTCTTTCTTTCTTGGTCATGACTTACTGCTACATACGAACAAGGCCACTGTCATTTATATGTAGATACAAAAGAGACTGATACCAGCTAACAGCAATTATTTATAATTGCCTCTTCTTGTGTTTATGAAACCACCACTCATGCAGTGAGTGCCAACAGCTATATAACAAAAAAACAAGCCTTCTAAGAAACCAGAAGGGTATAATAGCATGTTCAGGGGAACCCCGAGGCTTGTAGAAATACAAAAAGGAATAATAAGAAGGAAGAAAGCACGAGGAAGCAAAACAAAAACAAAACACAGTCCAATAAGGACCACAGAATGCACTGTCTGTTGTCTGGGGGACAGGGAGGGAGTGATAAATTGGGAGAAAGGGAAGCATTAGGTGCCCTGCCTGGAGGAAACAGGTGATTGCAACCCTAAACAGGGGCATTCTTTTTAGCCTGTAACATTTTGCTGCAGCTCCCACCTTTTATATTCTATTAAGGAGTATGTGGGGCAGTGCAGAAGCTTCAAAATGAAGGCAACACAGGCTTTAATTCCTATTCATTTCATCGAGAGAAATAAGAATGCACTTAGCTGTCTCACTGAAAATCAGCGAGTTCTCATCATGCTTAACTGGATCATGCTTCATGTGTTTCAACATGAAAACTCACCAGTCAGCTTGGTTTTTTGTGATCTTTTTTTTTTTTTTAAACCCACCGTAATGCTAAACATACCAAAGGAGGATGCCATCAGCAAGTGACTTAAAAAGGCTATCATCTGTTGGATCCATAGGGAGAAGGTGCTTACAGTCTGGGTCATCGTGAAGAGCCTTGTTTATCCAGTTAACAAAAGCAACCTTTTCCTCCTCTGGAAAAAGAAAGAGAAAAATCTTAATCTAAAAACCAGGACAAGTACAAAACATAATCACAAACTGAAACTGAAAGGGACTCAATGGTCCATCCAGTCCAAGACTTGAGGAAAGAGATTCTATAGCACAGTTCTTGGGCAGATTGTCCCACTTCTGAACGAGTGGTTAGGAAGTTGTAATATTTCTCATATACAGCTTCTCCAGTCTATCACAGGGTTGCCATACGTCCAGAATTTCCCAGCCATAGGCAGTATTCGGCCCTCGTAAGGAGCATCCAGGCGGAAAATGCTTAAATGCCCAGGAAAATCAGGGCATCTTATGGCCCATGCTGGAAGTGTAGATTTTAACAAATTTCATTAAAAAAATAGCTTAAAAACCTCAATTGATGCATTCAGCGTCAAATGACCACAGAATGCTGGCCATTTTGGCTGGTGCTGATGACAGCTTGAACCCAACAACATCTAAAGGACATCTTGTTGCCTATCCCTGATGTAGACTTTATCATGGTCCGAATAGCCTTATGCACCAAGGAATACGTGTATCCAGAGAATACTTTTAAATTATAAAACTATAATGTTACTCTGAAAAGTGAACTTTAGCATATAGTGATTTAATTTTTGTTTTAATATTTGCTCTGGCATACATATCAGATTCTCCAGAGAGTGCAGTAAGAATTATTGAGAAAATCCAGCAGGTCAGCCTTGAAATATCAGTGCTTCAGCCATTTTCTACTATTCAATATAAATGCTACCTTTACTTCTACAGGATTTTTTTATTTGAACAAATGACAGGTTATTTACCTGAATAAGAGTGTTGGGTCCCTTCGCTAGAAATTGGTGATGTTCCTCCAATTGCAGTAATTCCCTTTTTCTTGTTTATGGATTTCCGGAAGGATTTGCTAATATCTTTACTTTTCAGTTCCTGAATAACCTGGAACAAAACAGAGAGGAACAGTTTCTACATGCCAGACTCAACAACAGAAAATATGATGCACAAGAGCTACCTATGTACAGAGGCTAGGGGACTGCATTGAAAAATTCAGAGAATTATGAATTTTGAAAGATAACTGCGTATAAAGTTGCATATTGCTCTGGAAATTTCTAATTAGGCAAGTTCATATTTAAATGCAAACAGAACTTAATTTCTCTCACACTCCTTCCACCTTCCAATCCTTTTCCAACCAGTCCAAATAACCACTTAACCCAACCACAGTATGTTTTAATAAAGCTGTAATGTCAAATCAGCAATGTAGGAAAAGGGAAGAAAATAAGAGAAAGGAGAGGGAGGAAATAACTAAGCGGGGTGAAATAGAAAGAAGTGGGCAAGTGTACATCTTCCTGGAAGGGACTCTATAGAATAAGGAAATATATCACTAGTGCAAAATATAACACCAATTTCTTCTCTCTCTCTCAAAAGTGCATGCAAAGATACTGTGATTTCAGATTATGCTAAAGCAGCACTTTGATTTTTTTTTAAATGATGCAAATATGTTTAGGATAATTTTACATTATCGTTATCAGCTAAAGCTGCATAATAGAAGCTGAAGCTGCATAATAGCCAATCAACTATGTAACCATTAAGCTCTTTTTCCTTTCAGACATTACTGGAGATTGCTAATTGCAGTCTATATGGTATATTCACCCATCATCCCGTTCAATTATGCAAGCTCTCCCTATCTTCCGATGAGACACTTTGAAAAGTTCCATCTTTTAATAGGCTACATCACTCCTGCATCATTAATCTTTAAAATGCACTACTTTCAAAGTGCTTTTAAATACTATTAAAAAACAAAAACAGCACAGGTTAGCTGTCACCTTGTAAAAACAAAAATGCTCTGCACCGCTTTTATGAAGTCTGAAAATATTACCTGGTTGATAAATGTTTCTGTGTTAGTCCTGGGCTCTTATAACACATCTGTTAAATGGCTAGTATCCAGAACCAACCAAGTAGTTTATTAATACAAAAAGAGCAGCAACACAAGTGATACTCTTATTCATGTCTACTCAGAGTTAAGTTCCACAGGCTGCAATAACAGCTTATTTCTATGTAAGTGTGTACAATGGTACCTCAGGTTACATACGCTTCAGGTTACATACGCTTTAGGTTACAGACTCCGCTAACCCAGAAATAGTACTTCAGCTTAAGAACTTTGCTTCAGGATGAGAACAGAAATTGTGCTCCAGCGGCGTGGCGGCAGCAGGAGGCCCCATTAGCTAAAGTGGTGCTTCAGGTTAAGAACAGTTTCAGGTTAAGTACGGACCTCCGGAACGAATTAAGTACTTAACCTGAGGTACCACTGTACAAACCTGCAGCCTTAAGGAGTAATCCAATACGCTGCCTGAGGGGCTGTAGATGGTGGAAGCCCCTCTATTCCCTTTGCACGCCATATATGCCACCAACGTAACAGACCAATACACCCCCTACCAGCACATCTGATGTGCTGGTTAAAGTGTGCCAAACAAATGGATGAAATAGAGTTATGGGGAAGATCGGGGCAGCATGGGCAAAAGCATTGTGGTTTCCAGTAACTGCTTTCCAGTTCCTGCTGCTAACTGTGGAGGCAGAGCATAGCAATCATGGCTAATAACCATCAATAGATCTCTTCTTTATCTTCTGAGCTAAGTGCATGTAAGATTTGGCAGCTATTGCATCCTCCCTCCCTCCCTCCCTCCCTCTCTCTCTCTCTCTCTCTCATACACACACACCCTGCCAGCAATGCTTCTTATATAGGATTGCTCAGTTTGTTGTAGCAAAAGCAGTAAAATATTCTTCCACCAGGTTGAAGATCAACACATTTATTGTGGCATGAGCTTTCACTGAAAAAAGTCTATTTTAGCGGATACATTTGATAAAGAAGTATCTTCCATTTATTATCAGAACTATAAACCTTTAAATTGTTATTCTGAGTGTGTCTGGTCACAAGCTTTTTCTTCCAAACCCAAGAGCATTTATGAATACCAGTGAATGTTATGGAAGCAGGAACCCCTTAGCTATTCCTCAACTAATGTGGCAGGCAAATCCATTCTTTTACTGCTCACATTCCTGGTGTGCTGATACAGTACATAAAGGTGTGTTGTGTAAAGCAAAGCTACAGTATGTAACCCAATATGCTTCTAAAAGCACAGTTTAGTAATGGCCTCATACTTCATTTATAACCAACAGTACTAAACTAGTTTACTATGGGTAAACAACAAAGCCCGAGAAAGTGGTTCACTTACTGATACAAATTCTTCGAAGTTGATTTTGCCATCCTTGTTGTTATCAGCCACTGCTATAATTTTTTCTACAATTTCCCGGACTTTATAGCCAGGCAAGGGAAGGCTTGCTTCTTTGAAAAGATCCTGAAGTTCGTAATCACTGACATATCCACTGTTATCGATATCTGTAAAGATAAAATATCATACCTGAGGAATCACATGAACCTACCCAGAGCCCGTATTCATCATTCAAGGCCCTTAGTTGTGTGCCTCCCCCAAGGGGAGCTGCAGAAGGTGGCAACATGAGAACAGGCCTTTTCAGCAATGGCTTCCTGGTTGTGGAATGCTCTCCCCTGGGCGCAACATACATGATTTTCCCCCCAACCTGCTGTTTTGTACAAGTCAGGTATATTGGAAAACTTGTATATCAAATCTTTTTTTTAAAAAAGGCTGTGAATAGAATGGATCTCAGGCTTCTGGAACTTGTAGGAGCCACTACCTTATTTTTGGGTGACCCTGTTTTCATTCCAGACTGACAGCAAACTCAGGTGGCTGAGTGCCTACTAGAGAGAATGGCAGCCCCTTTTCAACAGTCAACTAAAAATGGGGAGGTGGGGGGATCCAAAGTTGCTGTCAGCTTCGTCACTCCTGCCAGAAGATTGCCTAGCTGTCTCTTGAGATACTTATGCCTTCCTATATTGACAATGGACAGCTGACTGTTTTTTAAAGAAATGAATGTTATACTCTTTCTGGGTACCTTATGTTGCCTTATTCCAATTCTAAAAGCTCAATTTTCACTGAAGTATAAATTTTCAGAGGCTATTTAAAAAAAGAACACAGCATGCTTGTTGTCTGCAAGCCTTGTGGATAAAGGGAACCTAAAGAAGCCAGAAGCTTTCTGAAACCATTTCAGAAAGCTGAGCCCTAAAGGTGTACGAAAGAGAAGAGCAACAATTTATAGCCTCAGTTAAGCATGCTATTGATTTTTCTTTTTTTCAAGTGACAAAATTATCATAACCTTTAGCTGTAGAGTTATTTATTAACAGTGGCCTCTACAAAATAAGCAAGTATCACAAAGTACAGTTCTCTTGAACTACAAATGAAAAGCAGTGTGAGGAAGGAAGGGAATCCTAAAAGATTAATCCATAGACCTTCAATTGCTTCAAAATATTAGTTTACATTCTATTATAAATATTGATGGGAACTGTGGTCTTTAAAGTGAAGCTGGATATAATCAATATTATTATTCGCAAGAAAAAGCAGTGAATTGGGTTGGATCTGAAGGTTCCCTTCCGCTGATGGAAGCTGTCCTTCCTCTGGAGAAATGAGAACCTAATCCAAATTGACATATTTCAAATAAATGCAATGTTATGCATTCAAAATCAGTCCCCCCCCCCCCCATTTTTAAGAAAGAGAGAGGATATTTCTTCCCCTCCCCTTTGGCATGTGTAGCTAGCACATTCAAATGTCTTTAAACTAAAGGGACAGAGACAGCCTATGAAACACTCGGGGCGGGGACTATGGCATGCTTCTTTAAGTGGCAATCTGTTTGCCCATCCCAGAACAGGACAGCTCAAAGGGCCTGCAAAAGCTCTGAACACATACCTATTTTACTGAATGCTTCTTTTAGTTCCTCCAGTTCCTCACGAGAAATGGTTGTTATGTTATTCTCCATCTCTTGATTTCCACTTGTTTTCAGTTCTTTATTCCTGAGGATAATCAACAATACATGTAACAAAGTATACTTTTAGATAGAAAACACAAGCAACTGAGCAATGGCACTGTGCAGTAAAAGTACTGTATTCTGTAATTAATATTATATCAATTAGTATTTCCAACCTATGCTATTTTGAGTACCTAGACACCACTACCAAACCAGGGCCAGTACATGCTTTATTCCCATAGTTCTCACCATGCAGATACAACTTTATCAGTAACAACAGGTGGCCCAATGAATGTCTCCTGAATGATGACAGACGCAGTGGTGTAGTGGCAATGCAGTGCAGTTCAAGAGCTCATCATGACAGCCCCTATAGCCATGACCCCACAGACAGTCCAAAAAAACAGGGAAGGGTCATGGCTCAGTGGTACAGCTTCTGCCTTGCATGCAGAAGGCCCCAGATTCAGTCTCCAGCATGTCCAGGTAGGACCAGGAATGTTCCCTACCTGAATCCCTAGAGACCCTCTGCCAGTTAGTATAGACAGTAATATGCTAGATAGACCAGTGGTCTGACTCAACATAAGGCAGCTTCCTGAAAAATGCAGCAACTGTGCTGATCCAAGATATATTACACCACTCCTAAGAGCAGCACTAAATTGCAGCTGAGTTACAGAACAGTAAGTTGGCAAAGGGCCATACAGCGATTAGCACGTTGGACTTTGGCTTGGGAGCCTGGGCTCACACCCGTGAATAGCCATAATGTTCACAGTCGCACCTTAGGCTACTCACTGACTCAACCAAGCCTATCCCAGGGTTACTATGAGAAGGGGTGGCGCTGTGGTCTAGACCACTGAGCCTCATGGGTTTGCTGATCAGAAGGTCGGCGGTTCGAATCCTTGCAATGGAGTGAGCTTCCATTGCTCTGTCCCAGCTCCTGCCAACCTAGTAGTTTGAAAGCACACCAGTGCAGGTAGATAAATAGGTACTGCTGTGGCGGGAAGGTAAATGGCATTTCCATGCGCTGTGGCTTCCATCACAGTGCTCCATTGCACCAGAAGCAGTTTAGGCATGCTGACCACATGACCCGGAAAGCTGTCTGTGGACAAATGCCGGCTCCCTCGGCCTGAAAGAGAGATGAGCACCACACCCCATAATCGCCTTTGACTGGACTTCAACTGTCCAGGGGTCCTTTACCTTATGAGAATAAAGTGGGGTAACCCACACTCAAGTGTGCCAATCTGACCTCAAAAAGAACATAAGAAGAGGCTGCTGAATCAGGCCAGTGTCCTGTCCTCTCAGAGGTCAACAACAAGTGGGACATGGGCACAACAGCTCTCTCATTTGCTGCTTCTGACAGAAGAGGTGGAGCACATCCATCATGCTTAGCAGCCAATGAGAGCCTGATCCTCCTTATTCTCTCTTAAAGCCATCTAGGTTGGTGGCCATTGCTGCCTCTTGCAGGAGTGAATGCCAGTTTAACTATACACGGTGTATAGGGAAGGGACAAAAGTTTTTCTCCATCGACTTTCACCGTACCAGGCATAATTTCCATCATGAACGATGAGCAAGATAAAGATGCGTATGTTAAACTGCAAAGTAGCGCACAATCTGCTATTTCATACGCTGGTGAAGCTCATTACAAACCGACGACAAGAAAGCAATCTATATTTCCCAACATATCTTTTAATATGACACTTTTGTGTCTCTTAAAATAGTGCAAGAAAGGCTTTCACCAGGTAGATGAATAAATACAGCAGATGGTGTAAAACAGGCACGTCTAAAGTCCGTTTTGGGGGCCTAATCCGGCCTGCTGGTCGGTTTAATCTGGCCCCTGTAGCAGTTTATTTCCTGGGGTAAAATCCCCAAAAAAGGTCAACAACTTCAATCCTAAGAAAAGCTCAGCAACTTTGGGGTACAATTGTAAAAAAAAAAAGCTCAACAACAACAAGGTTCACTTCATCAAATCTGGCCCTCTTTTTAAAAAGTTTGGGCACCCCTGGTGTAAAATCAAGGTCAGTGACTACTGCAACATGTCCTTGATAAATAATGGTCATAAATAGCAGATTTATTCCAGACTCTCCCACATATAACTCCACTTTATTAGTTACTCTGCAATGCTTACTCAATGTTTTTGAATTATTGCGACCAAGAGGGGCACGCTTGCACTATTGTACAACAAAGGCAGGAGTGGGGGGCAGAGATCTGGAACTTTTGTGGCATGAAAAGTTACAGCAGGAAGTTAAAAGACATTTGCTGATGTAAAACAAGGCAGCATGACTGCCCCAAAACTTTCACAGGGACCATTGAAAGCAGGATCACATATAACTGCCCCAATCCTACTGTATTGGCCATTTACATTTTTTAAAGCATGGTAATTTATGCAATTAATATAATATCACATCTAGCCTGGCCCTTAACTGCCAAAAGCTATGGAACAGAAAGATTAGCTCTAGGATGCTTTGGGAGCTTTTATTGCAAGAGAAAACTGGACAGACCACTGGCAGTGATGCTTTATGTACACAATGGGGTGGAGGAGAAAGTACAGGCAAGCTGCATAATATGAACCAATAGTTGCCTCCCAACAATATTATTCTTTTCCTTCCCTTTATGCAAACAAAATAAAACAAAAATAGTAATGTTAATATGCACATGGCTCATTGTCTACTGCAGACACCAAACTGAACACAAATGGTGAATAGCGTCGATGATTATCTCAATCAGTTTATCTATAGAAAAACAAAACAAAACAACCACCCGGGTAATTTAATTGTTAAAGTTGTTATTAGAGACCCTTTTCCAGATGACCCAACACTGAACTTTAGGCAGGTAGTGAATGGGGAAAGGGCTTTTTTGTGGTGGCACCCCTAATTCTGGACTGTTCTCCCAAAACTGTTCCTTAGGCACCCAGCTTGAGGAACTTTAACTGGCAGACTAAAACTTTTCTGTTTGTCTAGGCCTGGGATGCCTAACATGGGACCCGTGGGCTGCAAGGCACCCTCTGACACACCACTTGGTACCCAAGGCCACCTGCCCCTCCCATTTAAAAAAATAATAATAATTGAGGAGGTATGTGGGGTTGTTCAGCTGAGCAGCTTGCCTTCGTTTTTCCCTGAGTATTATTTTTGGGAGTGTGTGCAAATGTTAGTAAGCATTATACAGGTAACAATCCAAACAGCAAATATAATTTTTTGTCTAAATAATATTAGAGCTATTTGCAACAATTTTTAAGCAATGATCATATAACACTATGCTCTGACCTTATTGGGATTAAAAATACATTTTCTAGAAATCACATCTTGGGGGAGTTGTGAATTTTCTGTCCCATTATTCTGTCATTATTTTGCTACTTACACTCAAATGATTCAAGGTGCCATCTTGGAGTATGATTTTTAAAAAGAAAGAAATGAAAGGGGGAGAACACAAGTTGCAAGCCTACGCATTTCCACTTGGAAGTAAATCTTATTGAATTTATTGGACCTTCTGAACATACATTCTTGAGTTTGTAGGTGTTTTCTGAATGGGCAATAAACCTAGCTGCAGAAGTAGGGTTTGCTGTAAGTGTTCTGCAGTTTGCTTGTGAAAAGCAGAAGTACTGCAGTTGGGACAGGCAGGGAGAGAGAAAGTGAATGCAGAGGGACAGAAAAAACTGCAAGTTGGTGGGAAATGGAGTATTTTGCAGTGCTGGGCATCCTTCTGGGGATCTGATGCAAGTGAGCAAATCTGCAAGTTTGTTTGTGCTAACATGAGGATTAGTATTAGTGCAAGGGGATTTATTCATCTCTGAAAAACCAGGTGGGCTGAAAACAATACCTTTCCAGCATCTAGTGCTATGGGCAATGCTCACCTGAATTCAGAGAACAGAGAGTGAAAACTATGGTAGTTCATTTATTGCAGCTGTTCACAGAACAAGGACCAGGAACTGTGCCATCTCATCCGATACTTTAATTCTGCAGAAAGTACTTTAATAACACTTTGCATAGTTTACGAAGACAAGACACATTCATCTCTTATGTTTTAAAGATCTATACTACACTGTTATTGTCAAAAGACGATTATTCATATAAATAAAACTCAAGACAAGCAAAAGAATAAATGTTATTTGCATCCTGTTCTTTGCATGACACTCATCATCTGTAGTGGCTACATTTTAAGCATGCTTGTGAGAAAGTTCCATTATAACTGTGCTTCCTGTAAGTAAAACTTGGCTGAATACCACTCACTGGCTTTAAACTCCCAGGTCCATTTCCACAGTCATAAAACACTCAGTCCAGAGCAGGCCCATTCAGCATTTTAATGGGTTATCACAAACTAGCTCTTAACTTTCACCATCAGCCTCTCTTGACTTACACCAGAGAGGTCAGCAACCTTAAATCTGAGTCTTAAAAGAAGCCAGTTGGAAAACACTTATTTATTACCCTCAATCCTTAAAACAAATTTTGAAGAATATTCCCTGTTTAAAAAACAAACTTAAAATCTTGGGTGGCCTACAAAGACTTCTGAGACAATAAAGCCGCTATTAAAAGGGGCGAGGGGAGAGAAAGCTTACAAACTAGAGACAGTTCAAGCACGCAATTATAATTGGCAAAGCTGGCTCAGCAACCAGATTTTTTAGCTCACATTTTAATGGGCATGAGCAGCCAAAATTTAGGACAGCTTTCTCATAGGAACATATTTCAAACAGGTAGAAAGCATAGTTTTGGATTATTCCATATCTGTGGCAATGTGACCACACTTCTCTCACCAGTGCTACATTCTGAGAAAGTTCCATATTTGAAAGCCACATTCTATATAAAATTATGTCCAGTTTGTCGATTTTGAGCTCCTGGAAATACTGGCTCCACAAGTCAGTGAAGCTGCAAGTATAATCAGTTCAGTCCTTGCCAAAGCAGGACTAGGCCATACACGCTAATGCTAAAGATTAGCACAGCAGATCAAGATACAGAGCCACTGACTATGCTATTTAGTCTCTCATTAGTGAAATCTAAAATATAATTCTCAAACACAGATTTGCACTATTACTGCCAAATCTCACTGTGTTGGGGGCGTGTGTGTGAGTGTTTCCTTCACACTATGTTTTAAGAAAGTCAGCAATGCCTATTTCATGAGATGTAGGTTACTTTCACAACTAAAAATAGAAGTCAGTGCCCTTGGATATAAAGGATAACTCGCCTGACTGCCGGAGTTGGGGGAGGCTAGCTAGAAGTATAAAAGTTAAGCACCTGTGTGAGTTTAGCAACAGGACAAGACGGCAAGGGAGGTCAATCTTCCCCCTTCCTTTTCGTTCTTACAAAGCCCTGCTTCCTACATGAACAGACCCAACAAACAAACAGTAGTTACGAAGGCTATGGATGGGTGAATGTGTCAGTTTTGTTTTATCTCATTTTCTCACTCTCCCAGCCTTCAGTTCAGTTCTCCACATTTCCACATCCATCTGTACTATATTAAAAAATAATAATAATAATCCTTGTGAAAATTCATCAGCACCATTTCCCCAAAAAGACACCTATTTTGCAAAACAATTTCCCCCCAAATAACGCATTTCTGTATGTTATTTTCACCAATATATGCATTTATATGCACATGCTAGCCTAGTATGTGCGTATTTGTACACACTGCAAAATTTGGAGAAGTGTGAACTCATCTGCAGTTTGGTTCCTGCTTTGTTTTGCAAAGTGTGAATTCAGCAAGTTCACCTTTAAGTGTGAACTTAGTCAGATTTCTCCTCCATCCCTAATGAAAGCAAGGAATATTGGTGGAAAAACTCTTTTAGGTCAAACCCTTATGAGTAAGCTGGTGGGGACCAGCAATTGGCAGGGCCAGAACAATATCCATATATACACACCAAATCCATATGCATCCAAACATTACCACCCATTCACAAGGGGGAGGGCAATTCAGATATGGAGCATAGTGGTCTGAATCCACTGGGATGGGGGCTGCACTGGATATTTGTGTAAAAACTATGTAGTTAGAGGAACAGCTAGACAGCAAAAGCAATATATAATTAGACAGCTTCAAAAAGGCAAACAAAATCATGGAGGATTAAAAAAAAAGGGTTGCCATATGTCTGGAATTTCCCAGACATACCCGGAATACTTTATCCGAAAGCAGGGTCCAGGCAGAAATCGGCTAAATGTCTGGGAATATTCAGACTTATGACAACCAATGTCAGCAGTGTTATTTTTGCCAATTTCCCTTAAAATTACAAACTAAAAAATGCCCAAATCCTTTGTGATTTTGAAAGAAAAGCTCAACTACTTTTCTCTTTTCTGTCTGAATTTTCACTTTTTGAAATACAGCAACCCTAATAATAAAGACCATTAATGCCTACTAGCTGTGGTGGCTTTAGGCTACTTCCAGGATCAGAAGCTTACCAGTTTCTGCATATGAAGAAAACCCTCAAATCCTGTTTGAGATACTCTGTCCAAATGGCCAATATATCCGATTTCATACAAACATTTCAATTTGGATACTTTTGGAAATATTTCAGTTTTATTAGCTTTCATAAAATTGAAACCAAATAAAAACTTACTGGTTTACAGTACAGTTCTGAACTGGGTTTCTTTACTATAAGGTAACACTGTTCTATGGCAAATGGATGCCGGATTACTGTTACAGGAGAACATCTCCGATCCAGATTTGAAGGGACATAAGGACATAATAGCAGCCCCTCTGGATCAGGCCAAAGGCCCATCTACTCCAACATCATGTTCTCACAGTGGCCAACCAAATGCCTATGGGAAGCCCAGAAGCACAACTTGGTCCAACAGCACTCTCACACTTGTGTTCACCAGCAACAGGTATTCAGAAGCATATTGTGAATTCGGGGGAAACATCTTGACACAGCCCACATTTGCACTGCCACTAATATTTTGGTTCCATCTTTTTACTGGTGCAGTGTTTGTTTGTATGGCTCAGTACAAATGTCACTACTCTAAGGAGTCGCAAAGCGGCTAACATTCTCCTTTCCCTTCCTCCCCCACAACAAACACTCTGTGAGGTGAGGCTGAGAGACTTCCGAGAAGTGTGACTGGCCCAAGGTCACCCAGTAGCTGCATGTGGAGGAGCGGGGAAGCGAACCCGGTTCACCAGATTACGAGTCCACCACTCTTAACCACTACACCACACTGGCCGATTGAGAGGAACTCAGTTAATTCACAGATCCATATAAACCCCTAATAAGTCAATACTTGAGCATGTATGTTGCCTCCTCAAAATAGCATTGTGCTTGAGGCAATAATAAACCTCTGTGGTGTTTGTTCTTTGATGGTCTTTTTCTACACACAGGTTATCTCACTTGAGGTGCAAGTCATAGAGCAGGCATGTCCAACAGGTAGATGGTGATCTACAGGTAGATCCCTGGGTGTCTGCGGTAGATCACTGGCGCCCCCCAACAAAGCTCAACAAGTTTGGGCCCCCTAAAAAAAGTTCAACATTTTTGCCCTGCACCCCAAAAAAGGGGTAGATCACTGCCACTACTCTGTGAGTAGATCGCAGTCTCTTGGGAGTTGGCCACCCCTGTCATAGAGAAATGAACATACAAATGTGTACTTACACGATCAATTTTCAGTAAATCCAACTTTGATTAAAATTAAGTTTATAACATTTTAGCCACTACATATGTGTGTGGAAGGAAAAGTGATCACTTGACGATAGCTACCTACCCCTTCACTCCTCCCCCCTTAAGCATTGTGCCTCAAGTATTCATACATAAAACAGTCACCCAAATTCATCAATAGTATCAGTTTCACAGTTTGCTTAGCCTGCATGATTGAAAAGGATCTTAGCACACATGTGCTTTGTATTGTATTCCGCTTCAGTAAGAAAACACTACAATAGAAAAACTGGATGCTATGGAACAGGCAGCATTAAGATAACATTTTCTCTGAAATACTACAGCAAGCAGAGCTAGCAGCAGCACCAATATATGCCAGTTTGTCTAAAAAAATGCCATTATAAGGACTTCCTTTTTTGTTGCTGGAGTTTGCTTGACAGCCTTCTGAGATATAGTATTGTATGTCTTTCCCTAGGCGGTTATTATATCCTGATGGTGGGATATAAATAGCTGCAATTGCAACATTAGGTTTTCTCAGTCTGAAAAGTTAGAGCCTTCTTTATTTATATGTATATAGGCTGCTTTTTCACCTGAAATTTTCAAAGGGGCTAGACAACCATGAAAATTTGAGCCACAAAAAACACACAGAAGCAGAACAGAATAGCAGTAAAACCACTACTAAGGAGCTGGGAGGTGGGATACTTTAAGGAATCATCTGATCATTTTAACAGACAGGTGGGCTCCTAAAAGGAGTGTCCCACTTCTCTTAAACCAACACCTGCTTCCTCCCCCACAATCCTTCAGCTCCAGCAGTGGAGATCTGCCCCTCCACAGGACTAACTACAACAATCCAGAGAAATATGAGAAGAATAAGCATTTGGTCTGGCAAACAAGTAGGATGGCCACTTAAACAACGCTCCCGCAGAAAGAAAAGAAAGATGCATCATTAAAAAAGGAAGACAAAAAGCGAGCATAGATTGCATGTGCTAATTTATATGTACAGATGTACTGTAATTTAAATAGAAATAAAATACATCTTAGAGTAGAGAGAAGGTCTGTGACCAGGGTGACTGCTCGCTCTGGGCATTTGTTTCAGCTAAGGCTTGGTCTACATGCACAGCAAAATGACCAGGCAGAATTCTGAGGCAGTGAACCCTATGGCTTGTGAGTAGACTTGTGAGTTGTAGAAAGCAGTAGACTTTAATACAACAAGTATGGGATATTATTTTGAATATTCCCCCATGTTTTGAAAAAAACTCATTTTAAGTTTAAAAAAAAATCAAGCAAACTTGGCCATGAGGTGGAAACACTCCTTGCTGTGCAGGCTTTCTAATTGCAAGTTTATTATTTTTAAAAACAGGGAATATTCAGAAATGTCACCCACCCGAACTGTCACCTTCCCAAACCCCTCTCCCACTGAGCTTTCATCAACTGGTTTGGTTTCTGTGACAGAAAAGTTGTAAGCTTGTGCTTCAAAGTGTAGTGTGGGAATAATCAATGTGGTTGTCTCCAGATGTTGTTTGACTACAGCTCCCATCATCCCTGACCACTGGCCATGCTGGCTGGGGATGATGGGAGTTGTAATCCAGTAACACTCAGACCGCAAAGGGGATGACCCGGGGAAAGTACCAAGGTCCAGACAGAGAAGCCTGATGTGCTACTTTCAGCCTCCCTGACCTGTGGTTCTAAACCTTGGCTTACAGTGTCAAACTAAGACTAGGAGACTCAAATCTCCACCCAGTCACATCAGTGACCTGGGGCCAGTAACTATCTCAGCATAACTGACCTCAAGGTTCCTGCAAAGATACAAATGGCAGTGGAAGCATGCATACCACTTGGAGGCTCCTTATTCGAAGAAATAAAAATATAGATGCAATAAATAATAGTAGTAGTAATTCTAGAACTTCTTTGCAGGTTATATTTGCAGCAACATCACCTGCAGAAAGGGAGCAAGTGAGCCAGACACAGGTTTACCACTTCAGTAAGGGCTAAGCCTTCAGAGGCCAGAACTCCTGCAGTGAAACTGGGGGCTAATCGGCTATTTTAAGGCTACTCCAGAAGCTAATAATGTAGTGCTCAGCATAAATGTACAAAAGGTCCCAGCTTCAGAAACAAATCTTCTACTCCCAAGTGCAATGAAGTTAATTAGTTACCACAGTGAGCTTCAGGAATTTGTATTATTGAAATATCTGAAAGACATTAACAACGGTATTTATTACAGGGAATATGGCCTTCTGTTACCCTGCTAATTCCTGGCACAACTCTACATGGTTCAAAAGATTATTAGATTAGATGACTAAGATACTATACTACAACCAAGACAGGATTTTCCGTCATGGAAAGACTTTCCGCCCACAGTATTGATGTTCTACCTAGATGTATTTGTCTGAAAGAGAATGTAATCTACATGGCAAGAATTATTAAATCAGGATACACTTTCCACCTCTGTCATTTTCTTAACAATAATAAATAACACCTTCAAAAAGAAGAATGATTTTAGTTAAATATTTAAAATTTGAAAAGAGCTGGATAAAGCATTTTATTAGAGATCCTCAAAGCCCTTTAATGTGTACAAAATATTTTATCTGTTGGTTCAAGGAAAAATTGCTATAAAAGGAGAATTCCCTGGATGTCAAGATCCAGGTTGGGGACAAGTACTCTTTGGTGAGAAAACCCCAACAGAGATTTAAAATGGCAAAATACGCAGCAAAGTAAAGTGTGGAAATATACGCTATTAGATCTTCCAAAATTTCCCATTGCCCCTTGCATAGGAAAAAATACACACACTTTGGTAAATTAAAGATTGGTTTACTTAAAAATTCTTTGAAGATCTGATCCATATGCTTCAGAAAATTGCTCAGCCAGTGAAACCTGGCTTAGTTACAAAGTGGTGAATGTTCCTAAATTATTGGTATAGCAACACGAGAATGGCTTGTGAGAGCCATGCAGCTAAGCTGGAGCAACCAACTTACACCTCTTCACACACTGAGCTGCTCAAGTAGACTGGGGTAGAACAAAGCCTTGATTACCTAGTTCCTCCCAAGATGAGGGGAACTGGACATAGCTAAGCCTGACAGTTTACTTTATGGTATTAACTCCTTCTTGCCCTAATTAGACTTTAGCAACTTGGTGATAGGACGCTTACCCTATCAGCATTTTGTGTACCACTCATTACTCTGAAAAACACTTGTAACATTCACTTGCCCATTCGCTAGACTGGGCTGCAACAAGAGCCATTGTGGAGTAATGGTTAGAGTGTTGGGCTAGGGCCTGGGAGACTGGGTTTAAAATCCAAACTTGACTGTGAGGCTCATTGGGTGTCCTTGGGCCAGTCACTGCCTCTCAGCCTAACCAACCCCACAGCCCAGTTGGAGGGATTAAATGAGGAGGGGGAGAAAGACATACGTCACCTTGAACTCCTTGGATTAAAAGCTGGGATAAATGCAATAAATAAATAAATAAAATAAATACCGATCTGGTAACGCTACATGTGAATGGGCTGATCACACATGTCAAATGTATTTGCATGTGCTGGGCATCGATAGTGCAGCTGGAAATTTTTAGATCGTGGGCTTAATGGTCTGCTGTTATACTGGCACTTACATGAAAAAGCTACAGAGAGATGACACGTGAACAACTTTTCCCACATTAAGGGGAACTTGTTTTAAAGGTCCACACATTTCTGATCATTCATTCATAAAATACCTTCGGGGAATACAGCACTCCCTCCTTTGGTTCCCTTATCTCTAAATGTTGCACACTTTGCTGTAACATGCGCAACTGTTCTCTTCACAAAAGGATGAGTCTTCAAATTCTATTCTGCAATCCCCAGCTAGCAGAGACAAGGAGAACCACAGAAATAGTGCACTCAGCTCTCTTGGGGATGCAGGACCTCATGTTACTCTCTTTCTCTCTCTCTCTTGACCTACTTTGGGAAACAACAGTAGCGGCATTGACAGGCTGTGATCAAGAAACTGCCATAGGGAGTGCACGGAGGGATCATAGTGGGGAAGTAGATGTAACAGATACAAAAGGGACGGGTAGGGTGGAAACATCTGTGGTTCATAATAGAGCATGAAGCTTCTAGCAAGAAAACGTGTCTATAAATGTAAAGCTATTAGGAAAATTACAGGCTAACATTTCTAAACAGAGTGATTTTGGTGAAGAACACATTTGGCAGCAAAATTAAAGGATTCCAGAAGCAGTGATAAAAGAAAAAAAAGCTTGAGATAAAGGGAAAGGATGCTAATGACAGGGGAAAGAAAGAGTGTGCAAAAGCAATTCAAAACGGTTTGCACGTTCAAGTAGAAATTACACATTGAACACATCTAATAATGTGAGCTGAAGGGCAGCGAGCCAAAATTTGAATTTATTTTTAAAGGACTGAATTACTCAGCAGTTCATATATAATTGTACTGATGTCAGCACATCTGAAAACTTTCCAGTGTGTACTGTGGCTTCTTTTCGGTTGAAAAAGTCTTTCACGCTTGTGCTACAGTCTTAAAAGTAGTTGAATGCCACTCCTCAAAATTACTTGCCTTGTTACAGAAATTGCTTATCAGTCTTGTCTGTAATTGAACTCCCTCAAAGAAAAAGATTGTACTAGTATTGAAAATTCTCTATCAATTCTTTATCAAAACCACTTAACAGTGTACCCACACTTTAATCTGAAACGCAACTCTATAGGACTCAGGCCCTGAACCCATTTCCAATACTGGGGCTCACACTGGGACAGTGTAGGCACTCTGAGCACACACAAAGGACATTCTAAGCCAGACTGTTATTTGACACAGCAGTAGGTTATTTTAGCAGCATCACTGAAACAACCTGTGATATTAGTGGGAGTCCTCAGAATCTGTTATAACCAAGTACACATATAGAATCCAGTGCTTCCACATCAGGTACACTTGCCTCCAGGCTATGATTTATATATTACATTTATATCCCACCTTGCCTCCAAGGAGCTCAAGGTAGTGTACATAGTTCTCCTCATTTTATCCTCACACAACCCTGTGAAGTAAGTTAAGCTGAGAGTGAGTGACTGGCCCAAGATCCTACAGTGAGCTTCATGGCTGATTACGGATTTGAACTCTGGTTTCCCAGGTCCTAGCTCAACACTCCCAACTACTGCACCGCAAGTGTGAACTCTGGCACTTCCTATTTTCCAGACTAAGTGGTGCTTGACCCTTATATCATTCTGCTGTACTAAAGCCTACCTCTTGGATCCTGAAGAGTCACCAATATTCTTTACCCTACCCTTCTCCCAAGGAGCTCAGGACAATGGACATTCTTCTTTCCCACCGCCACCAGTTTTAATTCTCTCAAGAATCCTGCAAGAATGAATCCACCAAGAGATAAGCCCACTTCAGAAGTGACCTACCACAAGTTCTAAGAACAAGTGGAGGGAGAAGCAGCAGCATGCCTGATGGACATCCTGTTGGCTCCATCCACAGACCTCTTTGTTTGTTGGGTGGGAGGGACCTACCTGCATTTGGTTGAATGCATATAGACTCCTCCATAGGACTGGGAACCCAACAGAAGCAGGCACTCTCCCTACTACATGTATCCCTGGAATTCATGGGATAACGTCTGAAGGGGACTATAGTGACTGGCTCAGTGTCACCAGTGAGTTTAATGAATGGGGCTTCAAAGCTTGGTTACCCTCAGAGGAGTCTGGCACTCTATCCTCACCACCATATCTGTCAGTTCATCTCTCAAGCATTTGTACTACAAACTTATATTTCGTTTAGGGTGTTTCCAAACTGGTGTTTATTCTGGGTTTGATGCACTCCCCCCCCCCCAGTGTCCACACCATTGGCATCAAAATTAAGTATATTTAAAAAGCATATTGACAACTACCTGTTTGCAGTATCTGAATGACCCATTTGCAATATTAAGCACCCATTGTGCCATCAAGTATGACATCCTTAAGAGCCTGCAATTCTAGTCACAGTTACTTGGGAATAAGTTTGATTGAACTCAATGAGAGTTCCAAACAGCCTTGTGCTACAGTTAGGTAAAGTGCTGAAAAAACTCTGTTATATATCTTTACTGCCTCCCCTATTCCCTCCCTTTTCCCACACAAAATTACAAGTATCAGAGTCTTCTGGGAAGAGGGAATGGATGTGGAACTAGTTTAAGTTTATTGTATAAATATGCCCTTGGAATTAACTGGAACAGCTCAAGTTAAAACCTGAAACAGCTTGTGACGCAAAATGTAGCATTCAGGTATATACCACCTTTTTGTTAAACAAGTTTATTGCTTTATTATAGTTACTGCCCAATATACAAAGCTATTAAGTAGGCAAATTAATTCTGAAAAACTGACATTGACAGTGGAACAGATTTATGTATTTGGCCTGCACTTATGGCTAGTAATAGTAACTATATCTGGTTAAAGTTTCCTAAGTTGCCCTTCATCACACAAGTTGTTTAAATATTGCAGAGACTTCATGCATCCATAAATCCTTCTTATGTCTTACTGGCAGCATCTTCCTCATTCTATTTAATTTTAGAAACATGTATAAGGTCAGAATTCCTCACAGTTAAAGAAGAACAAGTAGGAAACAATGTGGCAATTCTCAGCAGTAGTAAACAGGCATATTATTGTAAAAAGGATAGCCACTATTGTCCAACCGGATCAATAAGGATCAAAAGTGAACTAATGCTCAAATAGAGTGATGAGCAATTACGTAACTCAGAGAGACACTCAAAAACAGAACATGCAAAGCTCACACAGAAGGCCAGTTTACTAAATACGCATTGCAAATATACAGTATCATAAGATAAGAGAAGTTTCCTTGCCCCTCCACCCAAAAAGTTTTTCCAGAGAAGCTGGAGAGGCCCTCCTAAACATTGTGGCGTGGGCAGAGGTCCTCCCAGTTTGCAAGTGATTCCTTCTTCCCCAGCAGCTCTGCACAGATCTTATCCCGCATTGTTCAGGCTCCCTGACCCCTAGGGCTCACAAGGCAGCAGTGGGAAGGAAGGAATGGAAAAATTTCCTCCCATGAATTTCCTTTAGTTAATTTACCTTAGGATCCAAGCTACTGAATTATATTCTAGAGCTGGAAAGCATCTGGAAAAGAGGAACTAAAACGATCAAGGGGCTGGAGCAACCCCCTATTTGGAAAGGCTATAACTTTTGACGCATTTTAGTTTAAAACAAAAAAGTTATTGGGGGGTGGGCATACTTGCGCTGTGCAAGATTACGTATGCTGTGCGGAAGGCTTTCTCCCTCTCTCAAAATACTAGGATCATCAAATGAAGCTGAATGTTGCAAGATTTAGGACAGACAAAAGTACTTCTTTACACTGTGTATAGTTTAACTATGGAATTCTCTTCCACATGTTGCGGTAATGGCCACCAACTAAGACAGCTTTGAAAAGTGTTTAGACAGCTTTATCCTCCACAAATTTATCAATGAAAGGTGGGTCAATTATTTCAAGCCATTATCAGCATGTGCCTAAGTCTTTGGATGATCATAAAAGGTAAGGTAAAGGTACCCCTGCCCGTACGGGCCAGTCTTGACAGACTCTAGGGTTGTGCGCTCATCTCACTCTAGAGGCCGGGAGCCAGCGCTGTCCGCAGACACTTCCGGGTCACGTGGCCAGCATGACGAAGCTGCTCCGGCGAACCGGCACCAGAGCAGCACACGGAACGCCGTTTACCTTCCCGCTATAAAGCGGTACCTATTTATCTACTTGCACTTAAGGGTGCTTTCGAACTGCTAGGTGGGCAGGAGCTGGGACCGAAAGACAGGAGCTCACCCCGCCGTGGGGATTCGAACCGCCGACCATGCGATCGGCAAGCCCTAGGCACTGAGGTTTTACCCACAGCGCCACCCGCGCCATAACCTACATGCATATTCAGGCAAAGATCCCAAGGTAAGTTATTTGCTGCTAAGTTATCAACAATATCTTACTGAGGATGGTAAAACAAGGGAAATTTAGGCCAGATATACAAGGATGAAATCTTAATCCTATATAAATAATCAATAAGACTGTTATAGACTTCATGCAGCTACAGATAACACAAATCATTTCCTGTTTCCTATTCCATATTTCTTTTCTCTTATCCTTGCCTATGTAGCTAAATGGTTGGCTTACGTTTCACAACAGGATGAGGCATTGGTGTAATATGATAAATACTGGCCTCCATCTCCCATCAGCCCCAGGCAGCATGACCAATCGTCAGACATGGAAGTTGCAGTTCAGCAACATCTGGAGGGCCATAGGCACCCCAGCTAAGCTCTAAACACACTCCTTTCAGTTCATCACTGCAAGTTCTAAGTGAAATACTGATTACAGGTTGTTCTGAACAGATTATATATAAACACACAAGCACAGCATAATACATAAAGCAGTGCGATCAAAGGTGAGCTACCTAGCCTATTAGGCTGACACTTTAATTACCATATATGGATGAAATTGCCAGCGATCACACTTGTTATCAAGAACGGCAGTGAAGTACCCAAGAGAATAGACATTTTCTGAACTCTTGCAAACACATGCATCTGCTACTTCTCTTGCATATATATTCGTACTTTATTGCTTTAATTGGTCCTTCCTTTAGCATAGATGAAGTAAACTAACCTTCTACATCAAATACTAATACTATACTGCTGAATGCAGGAAGTGTTAATTTAACATATATATGAAGCTGTTGGGAACATTTAGAGATTTTTGACATTGAGTGGTATATAAATGCTTTAAAATAATTAAGCAAACAGGCAGTTATTTGGAGATTTGAGCAAGCTGTCATCTGTAAGCTGATGACAATTAATTTTATTTTTCTGTACCGAGTTAGGTGAGACTGAGCAGGTCTTGGACCAGCGCTTAGATGCTGACACTCATCCAGAAGACAGCAGCAACTTGAAAATGAATTCTCATAAGACAGAAGCCCTGTGGGCAGGTAGTTCCTAGGTCTGAAGCAACAGGTGCACAGCTTTGACGTGCTCTTACAGCCATCGTTGTCATTAGAGGCTCAAGTGGTCTCCAGGGCAAGTGCTGCCTTTTACTGTTGCTGGCTGGTTTTCCAGCCATGGCCATTCTGAAGAGGTAGAACCTTACCACAGTGATCCACAAACTGGTAACCTCAAGACTGGACTACTGTAATTTAGTCTGTGAGGGACTGCCCTTGACTTTGGTTTGGAAGTTGCAGCAAAGCTTCTCTCTGGAGTGACTTACTGCGAATGTATAACACCAATTCTGAAAGAACTGTACTGGGTGCCTATGTGCTACGAAGCCTGCTTTCAAATACTTGCATTGGCTTACAACCCCTTATATAATTTGGGTCCTGGGTACCTGAGAGAATGCCTTCTTATGCTAGCCAGGAAGGGGCAAAAGAAAATACCTCTGCCACACAAGCTCCCAGGTGCTGCTACATGAGAGCAGTAGACCTAGCTTCAGAATCCAGCTAGTAGAGGATGCCAGTCCAACCTCTCCCCTAAAACTCCCCATTTTGACAGGTGGGAATACAGGCGACAGAAGCTTCTGCACACTGTAGTGCTCTTCACCAGTGGGGCTTCCCCACTGGCAACCAAATTCCCCAGCCAGTGGAGTTGGCAGATCTGTATAAAGAGACACCCATGCCTCATCCACACACCCCCTCCAGCACAATGGGTCAGAAGTTATTGTTCTGTACCACAAGAAATTGGGCCCCAAAGTGCCAGTTGCAGTAACAGCTCATGAGTGAACTATTTCCTTCCCGGCCATGGGCGTAGCCAGGATTTTTGTTAGTGGGGCAGGCCCTTTGTTCGGGGGGACAGGCCCAAAGCTAGCTATGTATTTTTATTGATTGGGGGGCAGCTCCCCCCCCGGCTACACCCATGTTCCTGGCTCAAACAAAACTTGTTCTATTTTTCTATATTTTCCCCACCATCAACTTCCATGCCTCCCTAGTAACATCTTCCTTCTGGTTTTGAGAACCAATGCTATCAATTCTCACAATGTGTTGTCAGTCAGCATTCAGAAAGTTAGTTTAGCATGCTCCTGAACCATATTAGATACACACTTAAAATTGTTCAGAAAACCATAAGGATATTTGAGAATTTCCAGAATGCTTGTGTATTGGTTCTCTCCAGTCTACGGCACTGCATTAATTTTTCATACTCGCCCATTCCTATCTTATACAATAAGCATCAAGATAGATCCTGAGGTTAAGCAGCGCTCATTTCCTCTCCAAGGATCAAACACTGCAGGAAAAGAAAAGTAACATTGCTGCACCTGAAAGTCTGGAAATATCTCAATTCTTCCATATGATCTCAGACACACTTTTGATCTTTGAAAGGATCAAGGAAGGGGGGGGAATTGCTTTAATTCACTGCCGTAGGTAGATTTTATACAGGGGGGAGGAATCTGGGTGTGGCCAGCCATGGATGAAAAACAAATTGCCAATAGCTCTCTCAAATGCATCCATCTTATACCCCTGAGGACAACTGGGCCACAAACACACTGCCTTCATCTTGTTTCCAAAGAAGTAAAAGCAGCTCCAGCAGCACTGAGGAGAAGCAGACTCGAGAAGCAGCAATTACGCAGCAAATTGCATTGCAGCTCTGCTTTCATGTAGTAACGGGGACCAACAGCAAACTATTCAGGAAATAATGAAGGGCCATATACTAACGGTGTTACCTTTTCCCCTCAGGAGGTTAAAGTTTGGTTTTAGACTGGCACTTCACAAACACCCACCCACCCCAACTGCGCTCTTGTAATATTTCTGCCCGCGAAGAATGAGAGGCGGAGAAAGGAAAGGCATTTTCTCTTATCCTATCCTGCCTGTGTAAAGGCACAACACAATCCCAGCCTTCTCTTGCTCTTCAGTTACAAGCAGAATATAAAGTTCCACTCGGTTTCGTACATGACCACCTCCCTTGGTAGGAGGGGACAGTTGTTAAAGGGAGAGAGGAGAGCTGCTTTGTAAGTCAAAATGTTGCCATCCTTCCTCACACGCCTTAGGCAACACTCCCTACCAGGCCCGCCTGCTTACTAGACACGGAGGTTGTGCCAATTTGCAAATGGAAAAAACAAAACAAAAACTGAGCTGACAAAGCCCACAAAAGTTTCCACAATCCTAGAGAACATAAACCCGGCATTTCTGAGCAGCCGCCCTGTAGTTCTAAGAAAGGAAGGATGCAAAGCTCTCTGCCCTTGGGAGAGACCCGGGTGGGGGGGTAAGGTACCTGTGAGACACCCGAGGTTCTTGCGCTGCTTCCTTTGCCCGCTGCTGCAACGCGCAGTCGGATTTAGCTGCAGCTCCGATTCCAGGCGAGGTTCCTCTAAGCGCCGCAAAGTAGAGAGAACACCTGCAACCGGCCGCCAGTCGCCGCACTTGCTGATTGGCAGCTGTAGCAGTCCATCGCCTTGCGTCCCCGGAGATGGGAGGCGGGCTTGGATCAGTAGAACGCGCTCTCTGCAAAAGGAACTGGGAGGGGATCTGTTGGCTTTGTCGTTATGGGATCAAATTCCAGAGATTATCAGTGTGCTTTTTAAAAAAAAAAAAAAAAAAGAGTGAGAGAGAGATAAATTGATTATCGCAGAGTTCTGGCTACTGAGTGTTTGGTAGGCGATTTTGCACAGGTCTCTCCCCTCCCCCCCCCCGTGCAATCAATGCGATTTAATATGCTAAACAGTGCAATCCCATGCACGTTTACTCAGTGGGATTTACTCTCTAAGAGGCGGGGGTTTTTTTATAGTATTGCAGCCCAGGGCTACAATTCCTTTTGTACACTTGCTTGGAAATGGAATTACTCATGAGCCAACATAGATAAGATCCTGCTGCACCACTTTTTTCAGTTTTGTTAAATTTATGATGCCTGAAATAAGATTTTTATATAATATTTACTATATGTTGTTATGTGTCACACAAAGTAAATAGCACTCATGATCCAGAGAATATTTTCCCACCAAAATCTTTAAACTTCAAACACACATAAAAATATTCTAGGTTTTCCTGCACCATATGCTTTTATCTAGTTGTGAATTATGATACCCAGGTCCAATGAAAAAATAAACTATTGAAATACTAAGCATAATTATTTCTAAGTGAGCATGGTTAGGATGTGACTCCTGTCCTCAACTGTAATCCCACAGGACATCATGTCTGAATATAAAAAGAAGAACAGAAATCAAACCAAGGTGTCATCCCCCTATTTATTTACATCTGGAAAGAAACTGTTTTGAGTATATTTGTACTAGCACATCAGGGATGATAGTACTAGTATGGTTTTGGGATTATACTAGGATGACCAAGGTTCAAATTCCTACTTCCCATTTCTCAGCCTATCCAACCTCACAGAGTTGTTGAGAGGATAAAATGAAGCGGAGCTGATGCATGCTCACGCTTTGAGCTCTTTGGAGGTAAGTGGGATATACCTGTAATAATAAAAGCTAGTTAAAATTAATCCAGAGTCAGTGCTATATTAGGAAGATTAAGCGCAGCTGTCACTAAAAACCATGCATCAATAACTTCTATATGCAAGGTAACTTAGGGTGAGAGAGAAACTCTGAGGTCTCCAACAGGATTCTTACCTGTACTCAACGTGATAGCATACATTGCTCATTAGTTAACATTCATATTCCAAGAGGCGTGGAAGGTGGTTCCAATACAGTTACGTATATAAGAATATAAGAAGAGCCTGCTGGATCGGCCCAATGGATTATCTAGTCCAGCATGCTGTGTTCTCATGGTGGCCACCCAGATGCTTGTGCAAAGCCTACAGACAGAATTCAAGCACAAGAGCATTCTAGAAGTTGGACCATGGAGAGATTGATAAAATCTGGCAAAAGGTAGAACTGAAAGAACTAACTGCTGATCTGCAGTATTTGCAGGCTCTTCAGATAAGGCACGGTGTGTGAACCAGGTCTGTTGAGGCCTGGGCCTGCTAGAAACAGCTTTACATGCCAGAACTCAAGTATGACACACAAATTAATTGACAGGAACACAGAGGGCTTTTCTGTCTTACGGTTTAATCATTACCAACCTCCACCCCACACCCCAAGGTGCGGGATCAAGGCCTTCGAGGGCAGAGACGGGTGTGATTTCCTGGAAGGCCTCGGATCTGCAGGCGCCACAGGCTAATATCTCGTGGACTCCAGTGACCTTGGGCTGGATCAGCCAAGCCCTGCTCAGAGTAGAGCCGCTGGAATTATTGAACCAAAGCGAGATGTGTCCTTGAACTTCAGTGGGTCGAACCTGAGTAGCTCATTCATTGCATTTAAAAAATAAATATTTTTTTATTTTTATTTTGAGGTCTGAAATCCCTTAAAGATGACCAAAAAAGTTGGACTGAGGAAACACGTGTTACTTAGGTTTTTTTACGTGCAGCCCTTTCAATAAGACCTCAGGTCTTTTCACATCCAGTAGTTCCACAAACCGTCAGCAGGGATGCGACCCCAGCGAGGCGTAGGGTCTCGGCCCCAACGGGCTGTGGAATTAAATAGTGTGACTCTATGGAATTAAATAGTGTGACTCTAAAAAGTAGAGACCTCACCTTGCCATACATCATGTATGGAAGTGAGAGCTGGACCATAAAGAAGGCTGATCGCCGAAGAATTGATGCTTTTGAATTATGGGGCTGGAGGAGACTCTTGAGAGTCCCATGGACTGCAAGAAGAACAAACCTATCCATTCTTAAGGAAATCAGTCCTGAGTGCTCACTGGAAGGACAGATCGTGAAGCTGAGGCTCCAATACTTTGGCCACCTTATGAGAAGAGAAGACTCCCTGGAAAAGACCCTGATGTTGGGAAAGATGGAGGGCACAAGGAGAAGGCGTCGACAGAGGAAGAGATGGTTGGACAGTGTTCTCCAAGCTACCAGCATGAGTTTGACCAAACTGCGGGAGGCAGTGGAAGACAGGAGTGCCTGGCGTGCTCTGGTCCATGGGGTCACGAAGAGTCGGACACGACTAAACGACTAAACAACAACAACATGCGTGCCTACTCAGAAGTAAGCCCGCTGAGAACTTCTAGCACTTGCCCCGGGTAGGGGGAAGCAAAGGCGCGTGCACAGAACATCACAGTGGAATTAATTTTGGTGTACTATGCGCACAAGAGCGGGCTGTTAAATAGCTAAATGCTACAACGATGCTGCAATATGTTCTCCCTGCTTCCCGCTTGCACGGAGAAAAGCAATTAATTTAATGTCAGCCTATCTATCCCTGCGTTGTTTTGGCCGAGGAAGGTCGTTGACTGCAGCGCGGCGATGAAATCCCTACTATAAGCTGCCCTGCACAGCAGCAAAAAGAGGGCGGTACTAAACGCCTTTCCGGGAAGTTTGCCTCCTACCAGCCGCCGTCCTGCTTCCGCGGGAGCCATGCGAAGTCGAAAGTAAGCTGGCGGGAGACGCGTCGGAAGAAAACAGAGAGGCAGGCGCAATGGCAGATCAGAGCCTGGAAATGGCCTCTATGATTCCTGCCCTCAAGGAACTGGGCAGGTAGGTCTCAGGCCAACCTGCTGGAGTAGGAAATGCCCCCCTTCCTTTGCTTGCTTGCTTGCTTGCTTCTCCCGTGCCCCTAGTTTTACTTCTCCCCAGGGAGCCAAGCAGAGTCAATACATTTATTGACCCCATTTTATCGTCACAACAACCCTGTGAGGTAGGCTAGGCTGGGAGAGGGTGGTGAGCCGTGTAATGATAGAGAGATTAGAGACCTAGCACTAAATTGCAATTCCCAGGATGGGGTGGAGCCATGACAGTTAAAACTAGTATAGAACAGATGTAGCCTTGTTCCGTCCCTCATTCCTTTTCCTGCCAAGTAGCAAAACCAGTGCTTTTTTCCTTAAAAAAATATTTAGGGGTGCTCTCATTTTGATTCAAGAAAACCCCCATTTTGTAGTTGAAATCGGGAAAAATAAATACAGTAAATGGACAAAAGTACGAAGATTCACAAAATGTTTAGGGGGATGCGTACCCCTGCGGCCCTCCAGGGGGAAAAAAAGCACTGAGCAAAACGTTATTATACCTGTGGGTCTCAATGCATTAGTGATTCTCAGGAGTTTGAAGCTGGAACCCTGATCCCCAATTTTAGCTGGCAAGGAATATATGCAGGTGTCCCTTTAGTTTCCATCGTGGAACCACAATTGATCCTCCAGCAACAGAGAAAGTGCCTCCACTTGGGGGGGGGGGAGTAGCTTTTTAGGTAGACTCTGATACTGTAATTTTATTTCCAATTACAATAATTAAGTGCTAATTACCTCCAACCCCTCCCCACTTTCCCTTGGTGTGTTCCCCAGTTTGACCAGTCAAGAACAGCAAGTTTCTGGTTATTTCATACTTAAGCTGCCTTACTTGTAAAAGTAAATTATTTAAACACCTGTCAGAACTCTTTCCACCTGCTACTTTATTTCTTTGACTTGGGCACCTTTTTAAAAAACCCAACAGCTATATTTCCATACTAATATATAATACTTCCATCATTGGAAAACTTCACTCCCATTAATTTTGCAGTATAAATGATTCTGTTTTTCAATTATGTTTCAGTGAGATTCTCCTTGCAATACATGCCTGGATTAAAAAAACCCAGACCATTTATTCTCCTCTTTCATATTTCAAAGAAGATTTTAATTAGCCAAAGTGTGCCCTGACATGAAATAAATCTGTACCAGGCCTTTCCCTGCTTGAAGTAATACTGTTATGCCCTGCTTTTGCTACTGGAAAATTGTTAGCACTTTTTACTGCCCAACTGAATGGCTGTTTTCTCATTTGATCCCCCCCATCAGCTATGAATAAGCTTGGCTAACACATCACATTTAATGTCTACTCAGAAATAGGTCCTGTTGAATTCAGTAGGGCTTAGTCTGTGTAAAGTGGGGTTACATCTACAGCCTTAGATCTAATCAATGACCCTTATTCTTTTTACCATTATGTAGAGACTAAACACAAAATTTGAAGGTGCTGCACTCCTTTGAAATGCTTCACAGTCTGATTGAGATTTAGGCATCTTGGATAACTTGGTGTCAACTGACAAATAATTTGCTGGTAAAAAAAAGAAATGGAAGTTCTTCCCCAGTAAGATTTCAGGGAAAGTTGGTGTTGTGTCTGATATTAAAGACTCTAATAGTTGCCTTGTGCAAAGACTCTTAAATTGTTAAAATAACATATTTAAGCAGAAACACAGGTGCAACTTTTAAAACAATTCTTATTTCCAGGGCTACTCCAGAGGAATACAATATAGTGGTACAGAAGCCAAGACAAATACTCTGCCAGTTCATTGACCGGATCCTTGTGGATGTAGATGTGGGTAAGTAAAGGTACTAAAAATAAGGCCCCTTTAGTATTTAGAGCCTAAATACTAAAGGGGTCATATTTTGAAAATCTAAAAAAGGACAACCCCTGCATGATATCTGACCCCCATTGACCTGTTCCCAAATATTGATGAGTGGGCAATTCTCAAATAAGCCTTCTGATAGAATATGCATGTTGGGGTAACTAATGCGATTCAAGTGGGGTGGGGAAATACCCTTTTGGAGTGGAATGGAAGATTAACTTTCCTCCAGTGTGAAAAAGTAGTTTGAGGTGGCATTTTAAATAAGCTTTTCACTGACACAGCCAATTTTGTTTAATATAATTTGTTACAATTACTGTATCAGGTTTTGCTTGGTGATAAATATGTGTGATCCATAGACTTGCAGCTTAGTATGTGAGTTTTAAAGAGAAACAAAAATAATTCAGACATTGCAACAAACCATTGTTGTGATGAGATTAAGCAAACCTGAGCTTCAGGCTTCTGTGCTACTGTTTCTCATCCTTTATGCAGAAGTTAAGTCACTGTAGCATTGAAGAAATTATGACAGCATGCTGTTTACCATGTTTAACAAACCTTGAAAAATATGAAATTCATTTTTAAGAATACAATATTGCAGTTCAGGATTGTCTGTTGCAGCACAGCAAATGTTAAATTTGTCTTGGGACAGGTTTACCGTGGCATAACACGAGTCTTGTTTTCTTTTCAGTGGCTTTAGAACTTGTTAAGAAAACCGAGTCTCAGCCAAGCTCGATGATGTTGCTTGATTTTATTCTGCATATCATGAAATCATCCCCGCTTGTGTTTGTAAATATAACTGTACCTCATCAAGAAAGTGTCACTGATTCAAGCTGTATCGGTGAGTTTATTTTAAAATTCTTGGAATTCGGTATGGTAAATTACGTTACAATAGTGTGCACCACAGGTACTGATTTCTTCTTTTCATTGACCCAGTTCAGATGGCACGCTAAACCATAATTTAGTGTGATGAGAGCAAGCTGCAGTAAACCCTGGGCTTGTGCGCTCACAAACAACTTTCTCTTCTCCAGCACAGCCATGAGGAGGAGTTCAGAAGGTTTTCACTTCAATATCTGCTTAACCACAGCTTATTGTTTTGTTCGAACTGACTAACTGGTTAATTATGGTTTGTTTGAAGGTTAGACCTGGATTCAAATACTAATTTGGCAATGGATTCGCTTAAGCAAGTCACGGGATAGTTTTTTGGGTCATTGACACATATTAAAACAAATAATAAAATTAAGTTTAAAAATCAACAGAACCAAAAGTGGTCAGCGGCAATGTAACAACTCCAAACCAAACTTGGAGGGGGAAATGAAACTACAGCTATGCAAAGCCCAGTGAAGCAACACTTGTTTTACTGATCATTGGAACATCTCTAAGATGCATCATGTGCTACAAGATTTGCAGCCTGCTCATGTACCAGTTCACCCAAAAGTAAGTTTCATTGTATTCAAAGTGAGCATAGGACCGAAAATCTTAACATTTTCTCTCTCTTTTTCTTCTAGAATTTAGCTACTGGATCACAGCAAGGCTTTTGAGAATTGCTGCCGCCCCAAACTGCCAGATTTTGCACGAGAACATCAGTACTGTAATTTGTTCCTTACTATGCCTTTTCAAAGTCAAGAACTGTGCCATATTCGACTTACTGACGAGAGAATTGCTGCATCTTCTTCAAGATCTCATTTTACTCCATGAAAGAAATGCGGTGGTGCGCTTCCAGCAGGATTCATTGAGTTGGCCTGTGACTGTGAAAAGGTTTTCATGCAACCCCAATGTACCCCTGGGCTCTTTAAGTTCTGTCCAACTACAGTTAACGGGCATGAGCAATGTAGAATGCTTGGAGATAACTCTGATGCGGATTCTTACTGAGATAGTTTCTTACGTGTTTTTTAAACCACAAGATGTGACTCTTTGGGCAATAGGGTGTTCCTTGTTGGAGTACGGTACTCCAAAAGTCAAAGTTTTGAGCATGAAATTCCTAACAGAATTGGTGCAGCTAGGAGGGTCTCCAGAAGAGCTAGCCAGCAGTTTCTTCTCAGTTTTGGGGGGTATGTTGCAGTTGCTCCTTGAAATGGATGCTGAAGAGCTGGAACTATATGAGGAACCCTTGTTAATATTGGTGAGAACCCTGTTTCCTTTTGAAACGCATTCCTATTGGAACATTGAGCCTCTTTATCTAAACACACTCCTGGAGAAGCTCCACGCGTTGTTTGAAGCTGATGTGCTGAGGCTTCTTCAGTCTGAGAAGATGAAAGGAGTGCTATGCCACATACTGCAGTATTTCATGAAGTTTGTGCCAGCTGGATATGAATCTGCTGTTCCAGTTAGAAAGACCTGTATTAACAGCATCTGCAGATCTTTTGTTGCAGTAGTTGGAAGCCAGGTGGAGCAGGAGGTGAGTTGTACGGAAAAAACAACAACAGTGAAAAATTTGCTTGGTGGCTTAGGTTGAAGGGCACAGATTTTAAGACGTGAGGAGAAAAATATATTTTCGGAGAATGCTCAAGCATAGGAACATAGGAAGTTGTCTCAGGCCAAGTCAAATCATTGGTCCCTCCAGCTCAGTGTTGTTTGCATTACTGTTATGGGTCTCTAAGTGATAGAAAGATTCTCATCAGTTTTATTCCATATGGTGGGGTTTTATTTCGTGTTTACAGATATCTCTCCCTGTGACATCTAGATTTCAGATTTGGTGTAATTATTTAATACGTTTAGTTGGATATATTATTTTTACTTGTCTCTGTGGTTCCATCAAAAATCAACAAGTAGTAACAATAAATTTAAAAAACCCCAATAATAAAAACAGGCTTTAAAACAGCAGACAACAAAATTATCAAAGATAAAATCAACAGCTTAAAAAGCAAATGTACATAATATCTGGGTATGTGTAGCAAGGCAACGAAAGTATGATTTTTATGGTCACACCCACACCCACACCCCATTTCATAAAGTTCTGCAGCACTATTGAGGTGTGTCTGTGTTTATCTTCCTTAGTATCTGCTGAGTCCGCTTTATGCAGCCTTGGTGACAGAAGCAGAAGAGATCATTCAGGAGCTGCAGTGTAGCAAGAATCCAGAGACATCTGATACTGATGGAGGAAGCAGCAGTAGTGATGAAGTTCCAGAAAAAAGACCGCGTCTCAGTCTATCCTTAAAGCACCCTAAGAAGTCAGCAGCTCCACCAGAGTATGATGGTTCACTTAGTAATTTCTAGAGAAATGTAGCTAATGCAATAAGCAATTGATGGAGTTGAAGTGGTCTTGAAAGCCTTGTCTTCACTTCTGCTTTATCTATGCTTTCAATTATGCTATACAGTGGATTGTTCCTGCATTTCGCCCCGTCCACATAGGCTGGGATACCGTGACTAGAATAAAACACAGGGATGGTTTGGGGGAAAACACAAATGGAGCAGCCTTACTTGCCAAAATTGTATAATGCTTCACTGCGGCAGCATAATTTAGCAGCTTAATCTGATGTATTATAATGTAATATTTCTCTGCATTTTGAACATTAAGATATACATCGATTTTTAAGGAAATTAAGTGGATATATATTTTTTAAAAACCCAAACACAGTTATTCTTCAGGCTGTCAAAATGAAAACTCTGTGATAATCACACAAGGTCATATGTATTTACACAGAGTGAAGCAATAAACTTAAAAAAGGGAGGAAACCAAGTAGAGTTTTTATAATGGAGCAAAAGAAAAAAAATGGTTGAATATTATCCTGATGTTGCAAAATATCACAAATGGAAACCAATTTTCAACCAACTTATTTTTCTATTATTAGACAAACTTCTATAATGTTAGCTTATATGCCACACTTTTTTTGACCAACCCACAATCGGCTGAAAATTGCTCAATTTCCTATGATGTATGTCAGTATATTTTTTTAATTATCATGTATCATATGGTAAGGAGTAAATATCTGGTTCAATTTAGCTATTCTAATGTTTTTCCACGTTCGGGGTTATATTCAATGTTAGCCCTACTCAGAGAAGATCGATTGGGTTGTATACAATGAAATTATCTCATTAGTGTAATAAGTTCCGTTTGCACAATGCATCCCTATGTGATTCCAAATCTTTCTGGGCATTCCTCCCAGCACTGCGGAGCAGATTTGGATGGGTGGGGGGAGGCATATAGGGAGAGGAGAGAAAGGAGGAGTTCTGTTGTGCAAGCAGAATTTCTTGCACTAATGAGCCAATTTTGTTGGATACAACCATTTTAAATTAATGGATGTTACAAACAGGTTCATTAATTTAAGTGGGTCTATTCTGAATAGGACTAACATTGGATACATCTGTCAGTTTGTACTGTATAGCACCAGTGCTTCCCCCCCCCCCCCGAAAAAATATGTTTAGGGGTACTCTCATTTTCCTACTCATATTGAAATATGGCCCCTCAATGAGGCCAAACTTAGATTCACAAAATGTTTAGGGGTATGCGTCCCCCAGAATCCCCCCAGAAAAAGCACTGTATAGCACCATACAAATTTCTTTTTAAAGGGATAGCTCAGTCAGTAGAGCATGGGACTCCTAATCTCAGGGACATGGGTTCAAGCCCTGCATTGGGCAGAATATTTCTGCATTGCAGGGGATTGGACTAAATGACCTTTGTGGTCCCTTCCCACTCTACAAATTCTATGATTCTAAAACATTCTTATTTTATAACATTATTTACATTGTTCTAAAATTGATTGGTTTGTAGCCCCGGTCCTGTGAATATGAAAATGAAGAGCACACTGTGGAGCGCTATAATCAAGAAAGCGGAATCTCTCCTCTTGCTTTTGGAACAAGACCCTCTTCCGGTGGAATTTCTACAAAGCATAGAGGGAATTGCTTTAGTAATTCAACTAGGTGTCTTGTGCACAGTGCATTCTACACAAAATTTCAGCAGGTAAAATTACCGGTCTTTGTAAACTACAAAGTTATAATGACAGTGGATTTGTTGACCAGACATTGTGTACAAAAACTCACCCTGCTCTATGGTAGGTCAGCCTTTGCGTTGGCTAAAAGGTATTTTTAAAACATGCTCTTCCACGTAGCTTAAATCTAGATCTTTTATGCAGGAGAGGGCTTTGAGTGCATTTTGAAGATTTGGACATGTGGCAGAACTGTAAAATGGATTGTGTTGTGTAAGGATTCTTTGCAGATCTGAGACGTGATTAGACACCATTCTTGAGCTGTGAGAACAGCAGTTGACTGAAATCAAACATGTCATATGATTAAGCCATTTCAGTAACCAGCTGACTTCTTTTCTCTAACAGCATACACCATCAAGTTGGTTTACGCAACCATAAACATAATAATACTGTTTGGCCTTCAGAATCAGGGGAGCATGTCCAGTTAACCTGGATATCAGCAGAATTTATCATGAGAGCACTTAAAGCTTGTTGGAAGCTTTTAGATCCTGCTTCACGGATAGTTGACCTAGAACCAGTGATTCAAAGAGTCGTGAAAATAATTGATGCTTTACTTTATATGCAAGGTAAGGTGCCATTTAACGTAATAACAGTTGTTAACAAATGATACTCTTCTGAAAAGAATGCTGTTATTTAGCTAGTACCTAATAAAGGATAAATGGTGCCATTAGTTCTCAAAGAACATTGTTCAATTTGGTTGTATACTTTTTGATGTTTTGTTTATTGTTTATGGCTACCTTTGCTATGTTTGTAGCTATGTAAATTTTTATGTGTTGTAAGCTGCCTTGAGTATAGTTTTAACTCTAGAAAGGCAGCATACAAATAACATGATTGATGGATTGATTGTGTTGTCATAATTAAATTGACAATATAATCAAAGAAGTAAAGAATGGATCGGAAAATGTTGAGAATTTGCTGCAACTGCCAAATAGAATTGCTATATTAAATTGTAACAGTTCAGGAAACAGAAGCATAATAGTTTTGCAATAAGAGAGAATAATTTTATTGAGAACACTTAAATGGTTAAGGCTGATACCAGAAATAAATTAATGGTTTATAATCTTTTAAACAAAAGTATATACAATCCTTGAATTTACTAAATGGTGATGGCATTTACTACTTAGCAACTAATTTGTATCTCACTGGACAATGTAAAAATAAGCAGCTGTGGAACCCCCCTATTATTATTGTTATTACTACTTACTTACTTATTTCACTCATGAAACACTTCCCATGAGGCATCCTGAAACATATAAAAACATATATAGAACAATTGCATAAAAACAAGTGTATGTATATTCACACACACAGTTTAAAACTCCTCCACCACACATATAAAATCAATTCAGTTCCAGTACAGTGGTACCTCGGGTTACATACGCTTCAGGTTACAGACTCCGCTAACCCAGAAATAGTGCTTCAGGTTAAGAACTTTGCTTCAGGATAAGAACAGAAATCGAGCTCTGGCGGTGCGGCGGCAGCAGGAGGCCCCATTAGCTAAAGTGGTGCTTCAGGTTAAGAACAGTTTCAGGTTAAGAACGGACCTCCGGAACGAATTAAGTACTTAACCTGAGGTATCACTGTACAGATACTTTTATTCTGATTTGGGCCATTGGTCTATTTAGCCCAGATCTGTCTGCTCTGACAGACAGCTGGCTTCTAAAGTCTTCAGTCAGAGGTCTTCACAGCGTAACTAGGATGCTTTCATATTAATGTGCCAGGGATTAAATTTGAGACTTGAGGCATGGCAAGTATGTGGTCTGGCACTGTGGTCAGTGCCAATCGGAAGGTCAGCAGTTCAAATCCCCACGACAGAGTGAGCTCCTGTTGCTCTGTCCCAGTTCCTGCCAACCTAGCAGTTCGAAAGCATCTTTAAAAAGTGAGTCCAATTGTTGTGTAGTGCCTGTGCTGGCTAAACTTGTGTACATAAATTATCTGTGACCCTGCAGTTCTTGGCATTTTACTCTTTAAGTGAAAGTGAGTAAAAGACAATGATTTTTTTTAAAAAAAGAAGCTGTTTTTATTTGCCATTTTCCATACTATTTGCACACTGCAAAAGTTTTCTGCTAGGTTCATTTTAATATCAAGCAAGCATATTTGCTATACTCCTTTTGGTGCCTGATAAAAACAATCTTGTTTAGACAAGCCTACCCAGATGCCTATAAACCTGAGGAAATGTTAATCCGTTTTAGTATTTTAACCTTTGTTTAAACCACAGAGCCTAGAGCTTGCCGATCAGAAGGTTGGCGGTTCGAATCCCCACAACGGGGTGAGCTCCCATTGCTCAGTCCCTGCTCTTGCCATCCTAGCAGTTCGAAAGCACATCAGTGCAAGTAGATAAATAGGTACCACTGTGGCGGGAAGATAAATGGTGTTTCCGTGCGCTCTGGTTTCCGTTTCGGTGTCCGGTTGTGCCAGAAGCGGTTTAGTCATGCTGGCCATATGACCCGGAAAGCTGTCAGTGGACAAACACCGGCTCCCTCGGCCTGAAAAGCGAAATGAGTGTCACACCCTTTGACTGGACTTAACCGTCCAGGGGTCCTGTACCTTTACCTTAACAATGACATGATACCGTCATTTTATCAGCAGTGTAGATCTGTTTCATAAGCCACCTGAATTTGTGTTTGTTTTTTCCCTCCCCTAAAAGTAAAAATCCAGCTTAGCGATGAGATTATTGAAAATTTACTTGGAATACTATGTCTGCCATGGATTTCCAGCTACTCCAGTGACCCTTCATTCAAATTGCCTGCACTTAATTCAGATCTTCTGGTATTGAGTAAACATACTTCAAGCCATTTTTGTAAGTAAAAAACCTACATTTTGCTTCGAAATTTATTCATGTTTCCACCCTATCATTCCCTCCAAGGTTTCTAGAAGTGGCTATCAGCAAAGAAAAACAACAGTGGTGATGAAACAACAAAATAAAAAAAAGCAGAACAGTTTACAAAATATGCCAGCAACATTTAAGTTAAAACACAGCCAACACTAAAATGTGTAAAAGGTATGGGCAAATAGAAAGGGCTTCATCTTAAAAGATATTTAATGTCAGTCCCAGGCAAGTCTCTCAGGAGAGCATTCCAGAGTCAGGGTGCCATAGGCGAAAAGGCCCTGTCTTGGGTCATCACCTGACTTACCTCGAAAGATCAATGTGTTGAGGGATGAGATGAATGCTGAGACTGGTTTATGCATGGAAATAAGGCTGTTCACAGTGTTTAAAGGTTAGAACCAACACTTTGACTCGTGCCTGAAAATGGACTGGGAGCGGGCGCATCTGTGTTAAGATTGGTGAGGTATGTTCCAGTCTTCTAGTTCCAGTCAGTTTTCTAACCACACTACTTTCCCCACAACTGAAGCCTCTGTGCCAAGTACATAGAGAGCCCCATGGCCAACATACCGCATTAAGACAAATATGTCAGAGTGTGAATAACTGGCCACTTGCACTTGGATAACTCTGCTGTCCTCCACTGAAAAGACACTTTCCAGTTTGAATGCTTAAAACTCCATATACTATTTGTGGAAAATCAAGGATATAATGTGTCCTGGCCTGTGTAACCATTTATTTAGCTTTAGCTTTTAAAATATTGGCCTTAATGACTGCAGTCCTCTCGGTATGAAATAATATACTGTTGTGCTTCTGAACTTGCAGCAGTTTGATAATTAGGGGTGTTACGAGGTGTAAATTTGTTTTCAATGCTTTATTGATCTATATATTTATTGATGGTGTATGTATATACGGTTGGCTTGTGTATTTTAGTCATCTTTTGTATATGATTAGACTTGTATACTGCTTGGAAATGATTTTTGTTATTTGTTTTTAGCAAGTGGTTTATAATTTTTTTAAATAAAATATGTGGGTGCCATCTAAAAATGGCTAGATGGTTGTCCTTACAGTGCTTTTGTATTTTTTTATTCCTTTTAGCACCTGAGATTCAGTCAAATTGCGTGTTTCTTCTTTCTCTGATTCCACGAAGATTATTACATCTGAAGTGGAGGGATTCTTTATATCAGCGTACCCTGCAGAGTCCGCATGAAATTATCAGAGCTAACTGCGTTAAAGGGTTTCCTTTCCTGTTACACCAGTCAGATGTAAAATCCTCCACCCCTTTGCTTGGATCTTTCCTGTAAGTAGTGGTTTTAATTCCAAATAAAATTGGGGAAAGGAAGAATGATCTGCCAGCTAATAGATGTACAAAGGCCTTGTCAAATATGAGTGGTGCAGCTGAGGTGGGATATGGTAGAGAGGATAGAAATGTATGACAGGCCATGCCACTTCTTCTGTCGCCCATATATAGGAAGTGTGTTCCATAACATGAGTGTCTTTGTACATGGTACCTTGAGTTAAGTACTTAATTTGTTCTGGATGTCCGTTCTTAACCTGAAGCACCACTTTAGCTAATGGGGCCTCCTGCTGCTGCCGCGCCGCCGGAGCAAGATTTCTGTTCTTATCCTGAAGCAAAGTTCTTAACCTGAAGCACTATTTCTGGGTTAGCGGAGTCTGTAACCTGAAGTTTATGTAACCTGAAGCGTATGTAACCCGAGGTACCACTGTATTCTTTTTCTGGACCCGCTAGGGTGTCTGGATGCAGCTCCACTAATGCAAGGGCTTTCGGCTGTGCAATAGAACTTCCCTTCCTACTCCTTCCCATATGCTGCCCTAAATATTTCTGGGATTTTCCGCAACCCTCAGGAGAGGAGTGAGAGAGAGAGGGCACGTCCTATGGCACAAGCGGAAATCCTTGTCTTAACAGAAGTACTTAATTGGATGCCACTCTTAGGTTTCTTTTGAAAGTGGTACATCCAGCAGCATTTACTGTTTTAAAAATAATGTTATATGTAGAAAAGGCACCGGACCCTTCTTTTTATTTCAGAGACCACATAGGGGATGAATCTCTATTAGTCCAAAAAGCTTATGCCAGCATCATTGGAAAACTGGCTTGCTGTCTTTCTGGCAACTTCAGTATAAGACCTTCCACAACTAAACCTGGCGTCGAGCCCCAAAGTTGTGACATCCTCTGTAGCAAAGTTATCGTGACTTCTTCTGAGCAAATGTGTGCTGTAAGAGCAGATGTCTTTACGCCATTTTTAAGTCTTCTTGAAAGCAATGTAGCCAGTTCAGTCAAGCTTGGTAAGTTCTTTAAACATACGCTATATTGTTTTCCTGTCTCTTTTTTGCATGTTGTTTCTGCAGTGTTATTTTACTTGGTAAACACAACATAATAATGTGAAGCGCTCTTATTCTATGCGCCAGCCAGTTGTGCCTTCTTTTGGGAGTCTCCATTCCATCTCTCTTTGTTGTTTTCAGTTGCCCTCTTTCCCACTCCCGCCCACAAAAGACCCTCAAAAATTTTGTGGCACCTGAGTAGACTGAGCACCCTCAATAATTCTGATTTGGCTGCTTAGCTGTCATAGCACCTACGTTTACTATTAGCAGATGTTAAAGTTGATCCAGTGACAGGTATGGAAGCGTGGGTGTTTGTGCAGAGTTCCTTGATTGCAAGAGCTTTCTGTCCATTCTTCTGGACCAAAGAGTTGATAGGGAGGCACACCTGCAAGGTGTGAAGCATGGCTGGTGAGAAGGATACCTCTTTCTTTGGGAAATGAGAGAGCATCCCAGTGGCTTCTGCAACAGGGTCTCATTGCTGACCCTTCCACAGTACAAGAGTCAGCGTGCTGCTTTCAGTGTAGCAGATGCTGTTCTTCTTGGGAAATTGAAATTGATTGAAATACTGTATTGTCACTTGTACAACTTGTATACAGTGAGATTACACGAGCAGCCCCCACTCAGCTCTCTTAGTTTTAATTCCCCTCGTTTACTGACATACACCCACCAAACCCAAAAGTCAGTTGCCTTGTTGTTATCTTTTCATTCATCAGCCTAACAGCCCACGGATAGAAGCTGTTCTTTACCCTGTTGGTGCGACTAATCATGCTTCTATATCTTCTGCCTGAGGGCAGGAGATCAAGAAAGTGCCGGCCAGGGTGTGAATCATCCCTGAGAATTTTCCTCACTCTCCTGAGGCAACGTTCTTCCGCTATTTCATCCAGCGGATTCACGGGACAGCCCATAATATCTTGTGCTGCGTTCACCACCCTCTGTAGGCACTTCCTATCAGTTGATGTCAAACCAGCATACCATACCGTGATGCACAACTTTCTGTTGTGGACCGGTAGAAGGAGATCACCAAATGTTGATTGACATTGTTCTTTTGCAATACTCTGAAAGGTAGTTCTTCCCTGGAACCCTTACATTGAGAAATGGAAGAGCAAATAACATCCAACTTTCTGGGTCTCTACTGTCCCTCCCTATGTCTCACTGTAAGGCGAATCCATGGTACTTCTTACATTTCAAGTTATTCAACCAGGAAATAAGGAAGGCAACTTCCTTGTCCTGCCAGAAGGACAGGGCTTGTTAATCAATGTGGCCCGTGGTCTCCTGCGCTAAAATGTAAGAGGAGATGCAATATATTCTGTCTAATCTGTATGTGTTATCCAGGTTTTGAAATCTAAACTAGAATGTTGTTGCTTTTTCAAAAAGTACTTAATAATGTGGTCAAAATATTTGTGAGTGAACTTCATAGTCTGTCTTAAATATTTTTATCTTTTGTGAACATGATTGTAATTTGAGGTAACCCAAATTACACATGTTTGATTTTTAAAAAAAAGAAATTTTAAGATGTATAAAATATGGTATTGCACCATGTCGTGTTAACTTTGGTCTTACGATAAATGAAAATTGCTGAATGTGTTGTTTCTGTTACTTGCTCTTCTAGTATTAATAGAGAACATTCCTCTCCTTTGTAAACACCTGGACTTCAAAAAAGATGAATTAAATGTAAAAGCGATTGTTGGGGCTTTCTTAAAGCTAATGGAAGATCCCGACAAAGATGTAAGAATGGCCTTTAGTGGCTGCATCAAATACATACTGGATTCTTCAGACTCTGAGGAAGATTTCATTAAAGAGGTGAATTTCTTAAGTATCTTGAAGCCTGAAAGAGAGAGCAACCTTGATATGTAATCACAATAATGAATGCATATTGTTTCAAATTTGCTGTTTCAGCTCTTCGTTTCGAGAATGAAAGAAGCCTACACAAATGCTAAAATATCAAAAAATAGTGAGCTGAAGGATACATTGATTCTCACAACGGGTGACATTGGAAGGTACATTTTAGTGTCTTCTTTTCTAACTTCTCTTAAGTATTCTGGTTTCAGGAGACTTATTCTGAGTTATGGAATATTCTTATCAGTTACTTTCTTTATGAATCACTTTCCATGAGGCATCCCGTAGCAATTTACAGAACAATTTTGTATATAATGACAGCGAAAACTTAAAGGTAAAGGGACCCCTGACCATTAGGTCCAGTCGTGACCGACTCTGGGGTTGCGGCGCTCATCTTGCTTTATTGGCCGAGGGAGCTGGCGTACAGCTTCCATGTCATGTGGCCAGTTTGTCATGTGGCAAACCAGAGCAGCACACAGAAATGCCGTTTACCTTCCCGCCGGAGCGATACCTATTTATCTACTTGCACTTTGACGTGCTTTCGGACTGCTAGGTTGGAGGGGCAGGGACCGAGCAACGGGAGCTCACCCAGTCGCAGGGATTCGAACCGCGACCTTCTGATCGGCAAGTCCTAGGCTCTGTGGTTTAACCCACAGCGCCACCCAGAGAAAACTTATGCACATATAAAAAAGGATTCGATTTTTAAAAATAAATAAAAATAAACCAGCACATATGTAGAATCAATTCAAATCTGTGATAAATGTCTTTACTTGAAAGGTTTCAGGCATGAATTATCTAGTGCATTGGTGTTACTTTCAAGCAATGTCTGTCTTTCCCCCCTTTTACTTTGTAAGGGCAACGAAAGGGAGCTTGGTGCCCTTTGCACTCTTGCACTTGTTGCATTGCTTGTTGTCCAAATCGGCCTCTGTGGCTGGAGCAGCATATACAGAAATCAGAGCTTTGGCTGCCACCAAGTCTATAAAGCTGCAAGCCTTTTTCAGTCAATACAAGAAACCAATCTGTCAGGTAAGAAGCCCGAATAATATAGGAAGAATACATTGCATTAACCTTTTAATTGCTTAACGTGCCATAGAGGGCTACAAGATCATGTGCCCCCAACTTCTCCCCTAATGTACACATATTCCTCTTGCCTACTGTGGGGAAGGATTGTAGTTAAGAGTTACACATACGCCAACCCTAACCATGATTCATGTTAACCATGGCTTGCAAACCTTGGTTAAAGGAGGACCCTTGGTTGGTGTAGATGTAAACTTAATGATGGTATAAAATGAAAGCAGTTAGCATGAGTGGAGACATGGGTTCATTCATATATATATATATATATATGACGGTAATTTGGTTTTTTGTTTTTTAGTTTGTTGTTTTTAATTGGATTATGATGGATATGTTAACTGGCTGTTTTTACTGGAAAATCAATAAAAATGATTTAAAAAAATAAAAAAATTAAATAAAGGGGGGGTGACCCTGCAGCCCACTCTTGTCTCTTAGTCATGGCTGGAGACCTGGAGAATTTTGTTCAGTCTTGGGCAAAGACAAAGACGATTCTAAAGTCAAAGCTATGCTATGCTAATATTGTCAGCGTTGGCAGGAGAGTTGGATCTTAATTGTTTTGCGTTTGGCAGGAGTTTTCTGGTGGGGACAGCATTCATTAGCAGAACTGTAAGCGGCTCCAGATTGTAAAGAACAAAAACCAATACCTTTGCTCTTTAGTCAGCTGAATGTTTATGTCTGGCATAATTGTCCTGAAGTAAGAATTCTAATTTCTGTATGAGAGTAATAACAGTGAAATGTATCTCTCGATGCTTAGTTTTTAGTGGAATCTCTGCACTCCAGGCAGTCGGCAATGATTTGTAACACTCCCGGCCAAAGCAGCGAAGTACAGAAACAAGAAATTGCTCATCAAAGGGAAGCTGCCCTGGACATGTTATCTGAAATTGCCAATGTTTTTGATTTTCCAGACCTCAATCGTTTTCTCAGTGTAAGTTGATGATGGTATATTCCAGAGCAGCCATCCCCAAACTTGGCCCTCCAGATGTTTTGGGACTACAACTCCCATCATCCCTAGCTAACAGGACCAGTGGTCAGGGATGATGGGAATTGCAGCCCCAAAACAGCGGGAGGGCCGAGTTTGGGGATGCCTGTTCCAGAGTAAGAATAAGTCTTCGCATGTGTTTCCCATCTCAGTTTTCTCAATTCTTCCTTCATAAATTGTTGGTATTGCTGGGGATGATTATGCAGATTGGTAAGATTCCTACATTTTTTTTTCATTTATTACATTTTTAGCTCACCTTTCTCCGCAAGGAGCTGAAGGTGCTATATGTGGTTCTGCTACCCACACACCCATTTTATCACCCCAGCAACAACTGCGAGGTAGCTTATTTCCCCAAGCAAAAGGGGAGCCGAGAAAAAGGTTTCCTTTTTCCCCCAGGCCTTTCCCTCTGCCACATATTTTGCCTTCTTCCGCGTTTTTATAGGAAGGGTTATTTTAGCTTGGAGTCTGTTGTGTTTTGTGAAAGATGCCAGTTCTTTTCTAAATAAACCCATGAAACTTACTAACTGTAGGGATTTCCTAGTGTTGGTTGTTTGAGGTTTTCATCATCGTTGAAAAGTTATTTGTCTGGCTTTCTGTATGTGCCCTTTCAGGCCAGTAAGTTTGGAGCTTATCACTCTTAACCACAAGCAAATGTGCACCTTTACCTGCACAAGGGGAAGGAAATGAGGTGTCAAAGCTCATTTTGGCTGTCTCTCTATTTTGCCAGCGGACTCTCCAAGTTCTTCTGCCTGACCTTGCTGCCAAGGCCAGCCCTGCAGCCTCTGTGCTTATTCGAACGATAGCGAAACAGCTAAATGTAAACCGCAGAGAGATCCTCATCAACAACTTCAAGTACATCTTCTCTCATCTAGTCTGCTTCTGTAGTAAAGATGAGCTCGAGCGAGCACTCCACTATCTCAAGGTAGTTATGTTTTGCACTTGGTCTATGAAACTTTGGGAAAATAAGAATAATTAGGTTGGGGATTATATTGAAGCACACAAATAAGTGACTTATATTCTGAAGATAAGAACTCAGTGCAAGCATGTTATTAGCATAATGAATATTTTTGGTGGGCCTAAAGTAGTCTGGGTTCAAACAAGCCAAGAAACCAAAAATATATGCCTAAAATTAATCTGGTCAAGAAAAATTCTCAGTCAACAGTTTCTGCTGTTTCTAGATCCATAACCAGTCTAGATTGGGGCGGAGCAAGTGGGCTAATTGGCATGGGCCTACGATTTTGAGGGTCCCTACTCTGAATCTCCCTGGTAGAGGCAAAGGGGCCCTTGGGTAAAGATTATTGAAATGAGGCCTACATTTTCCATCTGACCTGGGCCTGTTACCACCTTTGAATGGCACTGTCCATAACCAAAACCAACTTGTGCACCAAGATCTTTTCTTGATGTGTGTTGATAGCAGTTGTTCACTAAAATCCTTGACTAGGGGTTTGCATTTCTGTATTATTATCTCTTATCGTTGTGCATATGCCTGGTCTATTCCTTATTTCTTTGTTTGTTTTTCATTTGCGTTCCATAGAATGAAACCGAAATCGAACTTGGAAGTTTGCTGAGACAGGACTACCAGGGATTGCATAATGAATTATTGCTACGTATAGGAGAGCACTACCAGCAGGTCTTCAATGGTTTGTCGATTCTGGCTTCATTTGCCTCCAACGATGACCCATATCAGGGACCAAAGGACATCACCTCTCCCGAACGAATGGCAAGTAGCAGTGCCATCACAGTTTTCTTTGTATCGCTTTAGAAGGAAAGGATGGCTTTTGTTCTTGTATTATGGTATGCCATTAAGTATACAGAAGAGAGGGAGAGTTTCTTTGCATTTCAGGAAGAGTTTTCAGAACATTAAAAGGGAGTCTTGTGGGATAAGACCAAAGATCCATCTAGTACAGCGTTCTGTTCCCATAGTAACCAGACAGATACCTTTGGGAAGCCCACAAGAAGGATATGAGTGAATCTTTCAGAAGAACTTAATATCGTGAACAAAACCAGCAGATTGAACAAGCAGCTGGTTGTGGGTTTTTTGCTATGGAAGTTACTAGTGGGAAGTAATTAGTTATGGACATAACATCCCAAGCAGATTAGCTTTGTTTAAATGCAGAACTGCACTGGACCAACCAGGTTATGTTTGAAAGCATGAACTCCTTGATTAAGAAAGATCAGCAGTTCATTGGACCCTGGGAAGTTCTAATTTTCCAGAGTGTGTGTGCAAAGGTAGTATTTTACCGTACATTATTTTTCACATCAACTATATATTTAAAGAGTGGATGTGCTGTGGGGTTCTCTTAGTAATGTGTTTTAAAATGGAATATTTTCAGAATACTATTTTTATGACTATCTAGGCTGATTACCTGCAACCAAAATTGCTGGGCATCTTGGCCTTCTTCAACATGCAGTTGTTAAGCTCCAGCATAGGAATTGAAGATAAGAAAATGGTGAGTGAACTCCGTCTGGATGGTAGAACCCCTATGTGGAGCTTCATTTGACACGGGTACAATTCTGGGATTAAGGAAGAAGCTGGGACAGTGCTAAATTTCTTTGAGGCCTGGCGGAAAAAGATAGAAGTCCAAATTCAAAAGAGAATAAAGGGTGGTGAACAGTTGCATACTTTTATCATGCAGCTTGGTTGTTAAAAATAATTCTTCTTTTTTCTTCTTCTCAATTGCAGGCCTTAAATAGCTTGATGGCTTTAATGAAGCTTATGGGCCCCAAACATATAAGTGCAGTAAGAGTGAAGATGATGACAACACTCAGGACGGGGCTGAGATACAAGGATGATTTCCCCGAGTTGTGCTGCAGGTAAGAACACTGTGCACTGATTTATGACTACAGTCTAAGGCAGTTATGGCCAAACTTGGCCCTCCAGCTGTTTTGGGACTACAACTCCCATCATCCCTAGCTAACAGGACCAGTGGTCAGGGATGATGGGAATTGTGGTCCCGAAACAGCAGGAGGGCGAAGTTTGGCCATCACTGGTCTAAGTGCTTTATTGTGACTTATGGTGAATCCCTGTGTGAGTAACTGCAAATAATTATGGCGCAGAAATCTCATGATTTTTTTTTTTTTGATGGCTGTGTACTGAGAAATATATAGCCATGCTCTGTATGTTATGATGCTGAGATTTTTTTTAAAAATTGTCCTCTTTGTTTAGGGCTTGGGACTGCTTTGTGCGCTGCTTGGATCAAAGTCACCTTGGCTCCCTTCTCAGTCACGTGATAGTAGCTCTGCTGCCCCTCATACATATTCAGCCGAAAGAAACAGCAGCCGTCTTCCATTTTCTTATCGTTGAGAACAGGTATTCTAACATAAAACATTTTAATAATGATTTTGGTGGTATCGTACCGACAGTCAGTTTAGAGAAGAGCTGCAGCCAAAATTGTGTCTATTCTGGTGTTAAAAAATAAATAAATCTGTAGTAAGGTAATTTTAATTTTGTGACCTGCATAAAGGAGAAACTTTGCATTATTTGTTTTGCATAATTTATTCTACAAATTTGCTGTTCAGTATTAATTATTCTGATAGGTGTGTGGAAGGGCCAGAACTATGCAGAGTCCTGAAGTTTCTCCCCCAGGAAACACGGTTGCAAAATCCCTTTCACAGGTGCTAAATTGGAAAGGGGTCCTTTCACAGATACGGGGGGGCGGGGGGAATACAACATTTTCTTTCAGGTTCATGGGAAGCCCATGCTGTCTGCCACTTCTTTTTATTTTAACTTTCCTCCCTCCCCCACCCCTGTCAGCAGCAAACAGCAGAGCATTGGAGAGTAGGGGTACAAGGTGATTCTCTTGTCCAAACCCAGCTTTTATATATCTGAATCCAGTGTTATTTTTCTAGAAAAAGAGGTGCTCACCATGAACACCTCCCTCGTTCTCTTAGAATAGCAATGGTGCCCACCTGAGAGGTGCCAGAAAGGAGTTCCTGTGAGTTCCCCCTGAAAAAAATCTCTGTCTAAATCTATATCTGAATACAAAAATAAAAGATCTCTAGATTTTTCTCAACTGTAATAGAGTACTTCAGTTTTGCTAATTCTAACCAAATCAGTGAACAAATATGTGTTGGAACAATAGTGGGTCTTGATGTTTATATAAATAGCTCCCTTTTAGTTTGTTTTTAAATTATTATTATTATTATTATTATTATTATTTCAGTGTACTGCGGGTTTGTTTTTTTTAAAAATGTGCATGAGTGTTTTGTAAGAGATTTTGTTTTATTCATTAGGAATGCAGTACAGGATTTTCTACATGAAATATATTTTCTGCCTGACCATCCTGAACTAAAAGACATTCAAGTCGTTCTTCAGGAATATAGGAAGGTATAGATTTTGTGATGTTTTGATATCATTTGAAGTTGGAAGTGGGGTGTTGGATATCTATGATGTCCAAAGGGTTACATCAGCCCAGTGTTTGTGTAAATAAAAGTGGCTCAATTAGCATGCTATGTTAAACCAATGGTTTACAGTGAACATGTAGATAATTCTCGCTTCATTCCTCCTCTAATTCGAAGAGTAACCGTGAGCCCTGCCTTAGCGTTTTGTCGGAACCAGGAAAGGTGGTTTGTTTTGTTCCAAACTACAATGTGAAGACAAGGTTTGCTGCTGGATTACTAATTATGATTTGTTAGAAGCAAAACAAACCATAATCCCATAAATTGGGGATCGGGATTTGTTGCTTACACTAGGGGAGAAGTAAAGTGGGAGCAACCATGATGCTCATACTAAACCATGAACTATTATTTACCATGATGTGCAAATACTACTAGTGGGAGAATTTTTTTTGAAAATTTACCTGTAAGATTCCCTTATGCTGTTTGTCCTAATGATAGACAAGCATAAACATGGTATGAACAATATAATGTGGCACAGACCACTTCCCTTTTCCCACCAAAACCAGCTGGGGGATATACTCAACTAAACTGGAGTAGACTCATTGAAATCAACGGACTTCAGTTTGATTAATGTTGGATAATCCCCCACTGTGTGTACATTTAACAATGGGTTTGTTCATTGAAACATGTACTCAGATGTATTTTGCCTTAGGAGACTTCCAGGAGCACAGACCTGCAGACAGCGCTACAGCTCTCCATGAAGGCTATTCAGCACGAGAATGTAGATGTTCGGATTCATGCTCTCACCAGCCTGAAAGAAACATTATATAAAAACCAAGTAAGTAAAACTGTAAAGCTCAAAGGCTCTAAGATGGGTAGCTAGCACTGCAATTCTGTACGCATTTATTTGGGAGTAAGTACCATTGAAATATGGGACGCGTGTGGCGCTGTGGGTTAAACCACAGAACCTAGGACTTGCTGATCAGAAGGTCAGCGGTTCGAATCCCCGCGACGGGGTGAGCTCCCATTGCTCGGTCCCTGCTCCTGCCAACCTAGCAGTTCGAAAGCAGGTCAAATGCAAGTAGATAAATAGGTACTGCTCCGGTGGGAAGGTAAACGGCGTTTCTGTGCACTGCTCTGGTTCGCCAGAAGTGGCTTAGTCATGCTGGCCACATGACCCGGAAGCTGTACCTTTACCTTTTACCATTGAAATTAGCAGGACTTGCATCTGAATAGACATGTAGGATTGTTCTGCAAATAATCACACCGTGTATCTAGAATCGTAAAACTACACCATTGATTCTAAAACCACATTATGAATATGAATGCAATTAAGAATAAGCCAAGTTATTGCCTTTGTGATGAATTTCTCTTAATTTCATAGCCACATTTCTCTTAATTTCGTAGCCACAAAGCTACTGGTTTGATTTTAGAATGAAAGAAATGTAAACTTAGCTTGCATTCTAAGAATCCTACAGTGAAGCCATCCCCGCCCCCTGCCACATTGTTAATTCTGATCTTTATCCGAATAGACTTCTTTTGCTCCCACCAAAGAAAGAGAGTATTTCTATTTTATCCAGGGTTCCAAAGCACTCAATCATTTGCAGTATAATGTCTGTTTCTTCCTTTCTCTTGTCAGCATCGCTGAGAAAGGTGATCTATACTAGATAAATTATGTGATATTCAATTACCAGTCACACAGTAAAGGAGCTTGTCGTTTTCAGTGTCAGCCTGACAAGAGAAGACAGATTTGTTGTATGTGGTGCATTCTTTCTCCTTGGCTTTTAAAAGTATCTGTTTCTTAATTCCACCTTAATGTGCACAATTGTACTCGCAGAGTAATTACTGGACAATAGGGAGCATTCCCCCACACATTCTCTAATGTTCGCCTTTTGTTTTTGAGACCATTCATTGGATTGCCCAGCACTGATTTAGCTTGGATAAGAGAAAGAGAGCTCCTTTAGTCACTTGTGGAGGATACCGAGCATTTAAGATTTATTCTAATCTGTTTTCTGGCCTGGATTCAAGATGGAAACCACTTTGGTTGCCCTGTTGGTTGATTCATTCTGTGCATTCAGAAGTGTCAACCCCACATGCTACAATCAGAGACCCTTGACAGTCACTGAGGTGATGGGCAAGCCATAAATTTAAATCACATGACTCTTACCCAAAGAATCCTGGGAATGGTAGTTTATTACCTTCCAGGTCCTAGGATTCTTTGGGTGAAGTCATGTACTTTAAATGTACAGTGGTACCTTGGTTTTCAAACGTCTCGGAAGTCGAACGTTTTGGTTTTCAAATGCTGAAAACCCGGAAGTAAATGCTTCGGTTTTCAACCACTTTTTCGAAGTCGAACATGCTATGCGGCTTCTGTTTTGAGTTTTCTGGAAGTAAATGCTTCCAGAAGTAAATGCTTCGGTTTTCAAACGTTTCGGAACTCAAATGGTCTTCCAGAACAGATTACGTTCGAAAACTGAGGTACCATTGTATAGTGTGTACATAGCCTGAGTTGGATGGGTTAATAACTGACCTGGTATAAGGGCCCCATCTTGTGTCTATTTCATTTGGTGTCTAGGGCCTAGTTTTTCCGTAAAACACAATAAGTTCGTAGCACTAACTGCACTGAGTTTTTATTTTCCTAATAACTGTGCTACATAAAAAGAAGACATTAATAATTATATCTGCGTCTGTACTAAAATTGTGCTTAGATGTTCTAATTGTTTTATTGCTTGTGTGTTTGCTGCCCGGGACTCCTTTAGGAGGAAGGCTGGTATATGAATTAAATAAGTAACAAAATAATTAATATGGTATCACATTGGAATATGAAGTATGCATGTATAACTTGCTCTTCCCCCCCCCTCCTCTTAGGAGAAGCTGATAAAATATGCAACGGATAGCGAAACTGTGGAGCCAGTTATTTCCCAGCTGGTGACTGCCCTTCTAATTGGCTGTCAGGATGTGAATTCTCATGCCCGGCTACTTTGTGGAGAATGTTTAGGTGAACTGGGAGCTATAGATCCAGGCAGGCTGGACTTCTCAACAAGCAACAACCAAGGAAAAGGGCTTACATTTGTGGTAAGGAATGCTAATACCGGCATCTCATGTAGCAGGTATCTTTGTATCAAGGCAAGGAGAAATCGGTAGTTGTATAGGGTTGTATGCAATGCTGCTGCTCTGCTCACACAACATACTTCTGAATGAACTTTTTTTTATATGTGGCGGTTTCTCACTAAAGGATGAAGGGGATCCTTTCCCAGCTTCATATCATAGGAAAGGGGGAGCTGCTGTAGTCTGTTACCATCTTTCCTTGCCCCTTTTTGGGCTGCTCTGGGTCGGTAGAGTTGTTTTGCTGAATGCCTTTGACCCAAGCGTTATGACTCTCATTGAAAGTCATGGTGTGACTTCAGTGACCCTGGAGGACTCCCAGCCCCCATCATTTCTTAATCCCAATTTGAAACTAGATTTTGGTAGTGACCAGGGAGAGGATATCAACAAAGCAGCTCATCTAAGAAATCTTTCTGCTTTCCCCTAAGACTGGTGTAGAAGATCCAGATTTTGCTTATGGGTTATTCATGGAGTTGACAAGAGCATTCCTTGCTTATGCTGATAACGTCCGGGCTCAAGATTCTGCATCATATGCCATTCAGGTAAGGAAGGTTTGTTTGATAAAACGGTATTGACAACTGCCTTTTTACCAAAAGGAAAAAAGGTGCTTGAGATTGATCTGGCCAGTAAGGTTTCACCACCCTCTCTTTTATTGGCTTAAGTAGCTTCAGCTGGGAGCTTCGATCCAAATACCAATTGCAGAAAACCTTTGCTTTACGATAATTCCTGTTCAAAATCTGGTTTGCAACTCTCATTTGAAAGCAAACTATGTTATATATATATATTGCCCATCATTTGTCTGTATCAGATAACCACAACGTTTTCTTCATTGCTTCAGATGCCTTGTCAAGATTTATCTTTTTGCCCAGGCTTCTCCTGGACCCTGTTTTATGTGTTTGAATCTGTTTCATTTGCTTTTATATGCTTTTAGGTTGTGTTTTGTTTTCATGATATATTGCTTGTTTTTTGGACTGTTGTATATTTTTTTTTAAATAGTAACATGATACAAATGCTTTTAAATAAAGGAATGTATTAAAATAGTATAAAGATTGCAAATATGGTGGTGAGTGTCGTCTGGAGGAGGAAAAACTTAAACATGTAGCAGAGTTCCCCAAAAATAACCAGAGGCAATTGTACTTCATCCAGCAGAGCTTTTACTGCTACTGAAGGCAAATGAGCATAATTGCCACAAATCCAATACATTCAGGACTGGCACAGTCCATAAGAAATCCAGTTGCAGCAGACTTAACTTCAACTTAACTTATAATAAGACTAAACCATAACACTATAAAATACAGAACACCACACCACAAGAAAGAGAAAGAGAAAGTGAATGAAACCCAGGCTCCTCCTGACCTGACTGTAACGGTCAGCATGATCTTGACAGAAAGGATAACAGAACCAGCTTAAACCAGCTGCACTCAGCTTCCCAGAAGGAATAACCTAAACATCAGAAACCTTCTGCCTGTTTCTTTCACGTAGAAAGAAACCTTCTAGAACCCTCCTGAACTAATCAGAATAGGAAAAATCTTTACACGTCAGATCAATACTTTCTGTACTAAGAAATGCAAACTAACAGTGAGAAAGGTAATTGGGAGTGGTGAAGAGGAGGGGCCACCTGAGGTACAGTCCTGACAGCCAGACCAGGGTTTTGCAGTGATGTCTTAAACTGGACTAGTGTGTCTAGCATGGATGAGGCAATGGAAGTTTTCATTTTCTGTTTCATTGCTTAAGAATAATTCATGTTGAATAGTTTATTCTGCACAGTGCAAAAGTATTCATGTAAAACTTGCGCTCTCTCTTTTTAGGAGTTGCTTTCTATCTATGATTGTAGGGAGACAACCACTGACAGCTCAGGAGGCAAGCTTTGGAAAATGTTTCCTGATCATATTCAGGAAATATTGGAACCTCATTTAAGTACACGGTATGTGTTATGACCACATCCCAGCCAAGTCTCAGGCTGCTGTTTGAGTACTCACTGCCACCAGATAAGAGATTAATTATTATTTACCAGGCTAACCCTTCTCAGACAACCTCCAAAAGGCCCCCAAGGTCTCTCTGAAGCTTCCTTGGGTAACATAATATTAAAGCTCTAGGCTTGAGAGTGTTTATAATACGCTGAGACCACACCAGGTTTATGAAACAAGGAACAAGTTTAATAAGATGAAAATGACAGTACAGTTGGACCTTGGAAGTTGAATGGAATCCATTCTGAAAGTCCGTTCAACTTCCAAAATGTTTGAAAACCAAATTGCGGCTTCTGATTCCTGCAGCCAGTCAGAAGCCACGGAAGCCCCATCGGACGTTCGGCTTCCAAAAATAGTTTGCATACTGGAACAGTCACTTCCAAGTTTGCGACGTTCGGGAGCCAAAACATTCGGGAACTAAGCCGTTCGAAAACCAGGGTACGACTGTGTAAGACAAGCAAATGTTACGGCAAAAGAAAATTGAGGCCCGCAAATTACAAAAACCCCAAATATTCCCTTTGGAGCTAAAACAAATCAAAATTGGATAAACACGACACACTTGTCAAATGCGTAAAGGTAAAGGGACCCCTGACCATTAAGTCCAGTCGTGGCCGACTCTGGGGTTGCGGCGCTCATCTCGCTTTATTGGCCGAGGAAGCCGGCATACAGCTTCCGGGTCATGTGGCCAGCATGACTAAGCCGCTTCTGGCGAACCAGAGCAGCACACGGAAACACTGTTTACCTTCCCGCCTATTTATCTACTTGCACTTTGACGTGCTTTCGAACTGCTAGGTTGGCAGGAGCAGGGACCGAGCAACGGGAGCTCACCCCATCACAGGGATTCGAACCGCTGACCTTCTGATTGGCAAGTCCTAGGCTCTGTGGTTTAACCCACAGCGCCACTTAAGCAGCCCCTAAACTTACCAAGCTTGCAAGGAGGCCTCTTGTTCTTGGAAGCCTTCCTCCGAAGCTCATCAAAACATCTGCAGATCACATCAGTTTCTCTTTATTTACTCCCACTTGGCCACCCACATGCTTATATAGCTTCCCCATGTCCATTATGTGCCGCTGCTCTTGGATTATCAGCTCACTGAAGTTTAGAGCTCTTACGTTTACTGCCCTCAGAGAGCAGATGTGCCGTTACTCACATCAATAATGGTGGACACCTATGCCTAGAACATTGTTGTTTCATTGGTCTTCCTTTTCTGTTGAGCTAACACATACCAACAAGCTTTGGGAATTTTGTTTACAGATACAAGAGTTACCAGAAGGCTGTAAACTGGACTAAGGTTAAGAAGCCCATTTACTTAAGCAAATTAGGCAAAAATTTTGCAGACTGGTCAGCAACCTGGGCTGGTTACCTTATAACTAAGGTAAGAATAATGAGCACATACCTCAGTTAGATGAACTTTGCAATGTTACCTTGACCTCAGATTTCCAAGAGCTATGCTAAGCCGTGTAATTCTTGTTCCAGGTGCGACATGATCTTGCCAGTAAGGTTTTCAACTGCTGCAGCATTATGATGAAGAACGACTTCAAGGTGACAATCTATCTCCTTCCCCACATTCTTGTCTATGTTCTTTTGGGATGCAATCAGGAGGATCAGCAAGAGGTGAGAGCCCCTTTACCTGTATACTCCAAAAGTACTTATGATGACCCTGCATACGTGGTTTGCCAGTCACTTCCCTTAGTTCCAGGTCCAAAAAACAACAACAAATTATGACTTTCGTTGTAGGGAGAAAGCTAGCTAGCAACACGCCTAAGAGCAATCTAGAAATTATGTATCTCAAAGCCATGGTGGAATCCTTGTTGCTGACTGTTTATGACTGTTCTTGATGATAATTGCAGCTTCCTGCTACATTTGTCTGATTCTTTTTTTAATTTTTGGCACTCTGCTTTTGAAAAATAAGTTGGTGTCTGACTGGACTGTGGCATCCACTCTACACTCAATTCCCCTAGGATACCTGCCTCTGAGAGAGGACCCAAAAATGTTGCTGGAAAACAACACATGCTGATTCTAGGTGTGCTTGCATGTGGGTGGAACCCAGAAAATACACACAACCCAAGATTTGAAAAAGGAGATCTTCATTTATGGAATCTGGAGGATAAGAACATATACACCACTAATTTATGTGTGGGAATGCAGAGATATAGATAAAATTGTGGGTGCATGTGATTGTAGTTCTGACACATTCATGACTCTAAGATGATAATTTGAGATGCACTGTGCTAAGAGGAGGAAAAGAAAGAGTTAGGGAGTGTGGCAGATGTCATACAAATTTCCAGAAAGTATAGATTGTTAGCTGTACCTTTTTCTGGTTGAAACTGAGCCACTAGGGTGACGCAGATATGGAAGAGCCCTTAAACAGAAGCAGGAGTGGGGTGTTCCATGCTTGAAAACTTCTTTTTCTCCCCACTTCAAACCTGAATTGTCAGTGATCCCTTTCCAACAGAAATCCAACAGAATATGTATTGTGAATGCAGAGTAAAACCACACAGTGGGGCTCAAATGTTGAACAGATAACATTTCAGGTGATCTGATGGGAAATGTTTTGCTTTATGTCCTGGGAAGACTAACTAACTACTAATGTTTTGTTTTGTTAACAAGGTGGAGACAGAGAGAAAGGTTATTCACAGTAAACTGTTAACTATGGTTTGCTGTGACATGCAAATGAGGCAAAAACATTAACCAGTCCTGAGTCTCTAAATGTAGTGCCGGTTTTCATAACAGCAGTAAGAATTCCAAGTTTGCTTTTTAATTATACATTGTCCAGGTGTTTGCTGAAATCATGACTGTTCTGAAAAACGACGACCCTTTTGCAAGACAATGTGAAGATAGCGCTTCAGATCTAAGCCACTTAAGCACACAGACAGTATTCTCCATGCTTGATCATCTAACGCATTGGGCTAGGTATAAATCTCAAAGGCTGAGTGCTGAGAAAGCTGCTAGGAAGTCAAATAAGGACCATGCAGAGCTTCAAGGTTAGTAGTTCCCTTGTGTTTCAGTTGTTCTTGCAAAGGTTTTGTTTGTCCATTTAACAGAATTTATACACTATTTGATTGTAGTAAAACCTCTAAGCAAATGACCAAAAAAATCAAAACTGTCAATAAAAACACAGTCAAAAACAATTACAATTAACGGTGAAAGAGATCAAAACACATCCATGGCTCCACGTCTGGATAGACTTGCCTAAACGAAAATGTTCCGGTGCTGCTACACTGCAAGATTGATAGGCTCCTTGAGGCCATCCTTCTTGTGCAGGTGGCCTTTTTAAGATTCCCTGATCCTAAGCCATTTACAGTGTTAATTCTAATTATGGCATTTTTTTAAAAAAAAAACCCTTTTTATTCTCTAGCACCAAATGAGGAATATGGAGAATATCAAAGCGTGGTCCGTTTTCTTGACCTCATCCCTCAGGATACTCTGGCTGCGGCTTCTTTTCGCTCCAAAGCATACACAAGAGCAGTAATGCACTTTGAATCATTCATCATGGAAAAGAAACAAAACATTCAGGAGCACCTCGGATTTCTTCAGGTTTAACTTTCTTGAACTTTCTTCAACTTCAGTGCTTCAAGCTGTTTCTTTCTGTCCATTTTTATACTATGCAACTTTATTTGCTTTGCTTTTGTTTGCTGTGAGTGACCAGTTTTTGGTCCCCCCCCCCACCTCTTTTACTCCGTGGCATAAAGTAAAAAAAAACAGCTCACTTGTCTGGTAAGGCAAGTGCCACTTACTTTTCCGGAGCCTCACCATTTCAGGTAGGCTGTGCCATGTTTGTAGGAAAGACAAGAGCTCCTAATTGGCATGAGATTTGAAGGGAGATTGATTCACATTTGAGTGCGCTGATACAATAAATAGGTTTTATATTAAGAGAAATATAATTCGGTATTTGCAAAAGTAGGTTTTGATAAACTGAGAAAACATGAAAAGTCACTTTGGATCACTTTTCAGAGGAAAAGAAAAGGAGAGTTACCAGCATTTTGAGAATTATTAAATAGAATCTTGAACATGATACCTGTGAAGAAATAATAATAATAATAATAATAATAATAATAATAATAATAATTTATTATTTATACCCCGCTCATCTGGCTGGGTTTCCCCAGCCACTCTGGGTGGCTCCCAACAGAACACCAATAACAATAATAAAAAAACAACAACGTCAAACATTAAAAACTTCCCTAAACAGGGCTGCCTTCAGATGTCTTCTAAAAGTCATATAGTGTTTATTTCCTTGACATCTGAAGGGAGGGCGTTCTACAGGGCGGGCGCCACTTCCGAGAAGGCCGTCTGCCTGGTTCCCTGTAACTTCGCTTCTCACAATGAGGGAACCAGCAGAAGATCTTCAGAGGAGGACCTCAGTGTTCGTGCTGAACAATGGGGGTGGAGACACTCCTTCAGGTATACTGGGCCAAGGCCGTTTAGGACTTTAAAGGTCAGCACCAACACTTTGAATTGTGCTTGGAAACGTACCATTGAATACAACCTAGGGAAATTGTTTGCAAAGCTTTTAAGTTGCGGGTTATTTGGCTGGCCAGAATGCTTCCCAATGACGATTATTTATTTCCTGTTCACACAAAGAAATTGTATGCAGCTATGCATGAACCAGATGGCGTAGAAGGAGTGAGTGCAATACGGAAGGCAGAGCCATCCCTCAAAGAACAGATCCTGGAACACGAAAGTATTGGCTTGTTGAGAGATGCCACAGCTTGCTATGACAGGGCAATGCAGATGGAGCCTGACCAGGTAAAGCCTATATGTCCTCCTCATTCCTTTTGGCTTCCTCCACCTGTACAGCTACAGGTGAGGAAAAACAATAATAAGCAATGCAGTTGCATCTGATTTAGTATATATCCTAGAGAATGACACAGCGGGCATATATTTTGTAGCTTTTTTTGTCACTGGAGAACCATAGTGAAAATCAAGCCAATGCTTAGCCCCTCTACCTTTTTCTGCATCTAAGCCTAAATTCATAGCCATTATAAACTAACTATAACAACCATGCATTCTTCCCATTTTCTCCTGTCTCCACTTGCTCTAATGTCTCCCTTATGCAGTTCCCTGGACAGAAGCCTTTTGAGGCAGCGAATATATAACTTCATTTTTTGTAAAGAGAAAGCAGGTGTGGGGTTGTGGCTAGGAAGTCCTAGATTTACTGTATTTTTCGCTCCATAAGACACACGTTTTCCCTCCTAAAAAGTAAGGGGAAATGTGTGAGCGGAGGCAGGCGGGAAAAGCCCCCAAGAGCCACACACACACTTCACGCACTCTTTAGGGAGCCTTAGCGCTCCCCTTGCCCGGGATGAAGGCTCCCCTTGCCCGGGAGAGGCTGCGCGTGGCTATCCCATAAGCAAGGACAGCAAGTGGGATCGCTGCACAGCAATCCTGCTTGTTGTCCTGGCTTCTGGGATTCAGAATATTTTTTTTCTCGTTTTCCTCTTCCAAAAACTCTGTGCTTCTTATGGTCTGGTGCGTCTTATAGTGCAAAAATATGGTAAATTGAACCATGTAATTCACTGGGTGATGTTGGGCCAGTCACTCTCTCTCAGTATAACTTGCCTCCTCAGGTTGGCTGTGAGGATAAAAAAAGAGGAATGGGGACCATGTTTGCTTGCTTCAGCTCCAAGAGAGATAGAAATGTAAAATGCAAATGTGGTTTTTCTTTCCTCACTTCTAGATAATTCATTATCACGGTGTGGTGAAGTCTATGTTAGGTCTTGGTCAGTTGTCTACTGTAATCACTCAAGTGAATGGAGTACTTGCAAAGAGGTAATATGACTGATACGTTCTTTGTTAAAAAATACAAAGTGTGTTCCATTGCTGAAATGGTCTGGTGCAGATATAATGCTAGTTAGCTGAAATACTCATTCTCTTCCCACCTCTTTTCTGTTGTTTCCCTCAACCGTGGATTTAGTAGTTGCCAACCTACTTTAGTGAATGCAAACCAGGCCCTGAAGTAAGTTAAGAAATCTCACATGGCAGAGGTTCTAGGGAACCATCCATATCTTCACAGTATTACATGGGGAATAGCCTATGAGTCATTCAGGGAGCAATGTCTGGTGTGTGCATCTAGTTTAACAGGAGGGAGACTTGTTCTTGCCGCTCCCACTGTCTTCCCAGAAATGCCTTTTTGAGAAATGTGTTCCTAACCAAGTATCTAGTACCTTGGATCCTGAACGCCTTGGTACTCAGACGTTTTGGCTCCCAAACACGGCAAGCCCGGAAGTGAGTGTTTCGGTTTGCGAACGTTCTTTGGAACTGGAACGTCTGACGGGGCATCTGCGGCTTCTGATTGGCCGCAGGCCGTGCTTTGGTTTCCGAACGTTTTGGAAGTCGAACAGACTTCCGGAAGAGATGCCGTTCGACTTCCAATGTACAACTGTATCCCATTTCCTAGGAGAAAATAGGAGAAGGGTACCACGCCTCTGCCTATAAACAAAAGAAGAATGGGAACTGTGGGGTTGCATGCTCCTCCCCTCCTTTGATGTTACTGTCTCTTCACAGCCATAATCAGGATTCCCTCTTAAGCAAGATACTGTTTCCATAGATAGGGAACTTTCATTAGCAGCAACTCAGGTTAATGCTGGCGAAACCACTGTTAAAGAACTGCAGGGGAAGACTTAAAAGCCATTAGGACACAAGTTAGAGTCCTGTTGGATCAGACCGGAAGCTCATCTTATTGAGCAGCCTGTTCTCATAGTGGTAAACCAGATGTCTGGTGGAAACCCACAACCTTCCCATCAGCAGAAGGACAATTGGATTCAATTCCTACAGAAAAAAAATCACACAAAGGAGCAGCTTGAATAATTCTCTCTCTCTCTCTCTCTCTCTCTCTCTCTCTCTGTGTGTGTGTGTGTGTGTGTGTGTGTGTGTCTTTCTCTGTATTCCATGTACTGACCTAAGTTTGCTTTTTACCTTCCTAGGCCTGAATGGACTTCTGAATTAAACATGTACAGAGTGGAGGCAGCCTGGAAACTGACACAGTGGGATTCTCTGGAAAATTACATAGCTGCAGGTAGCTATTTAGAACAAATGCCAAGATGGTATTTGTTAGGCTGATGCTGGATAATTTTTTAATTTAAGCAAATATCAGATCTACAGTAAAATAATAATAATAATCTGTATTGTGTCGCTGCTGGATTACATTGAAATGAAAAAGTGATTTTTACTCTTTCTTTTAGATGAAAAGTCAAATACATGGAGTGTTAGGCTCGGACAGCTGTTACTCTCGGCCAAAAAGAAAGATGCTGCCCGGTTCTATGAAACTTTGAAAGTTGTTCGAGCGGAGCAGATAGTTCCTCTTTCGGCAGCGAGTTTTGAAAGGGGGTCATATCAGCGAGGTTACGAATATATTATCAGGTGCAGCTTCCTTTTTGCATGTTCAGTGTCTCGAAGCGTCAGATATTAGTTTAGCCTTTCATTTCGTGCACTGGGAGACATTTTTTGCTGAAACCGTAATGCACATTTTTGACAGTGCTCATTTGGGATAACTAGGCTTTTTCTTACCCATCTTGTTCCTACTTCAGGCAAGAATTCCAACATAGAAAATTTATCCGTGCATTTAAAAAACCATATTGGAGCCATGGCTATGGTCAAAAGGAGAGGTAGCCAACCTAGTGCCCTCGAAATGTTGCTTGTACTACAACTTGCATCGGCTCCAGCTAGCCTGGGCAGTGGCTGGGGAAGATGGAAGTTGCAACTATTTTTTTAATGCTTTCACTTTTATCATAACTTTCTGGAGAAGAGGACAGGATATGAGATTTCTCGTGAGATTGCACTAGTTTTTAGGCATCTTCCGTACACCACAGTTGTGGCAGGGGGAGCAAAGTGTTAGCAGGATTGTTCCATTTGGTATCCTGTTGATAAATTCACATTGTGTATTTTGAGCATTCCGTGTGCTTTGAATACATTATCTTGGTAACCCTCTGGGGTGGATTAATAGTATTAGTCCTTCCATCCCCATCTGCTTTACAGGGACACAGAAAAAGAGGCTTTGCATAGAACCATCTAGTGTAGGAGTTGAGAACCTGTGCTACTCCAGATGTTGTTGGACTACAGATCCCAGCATTCCTGACCGTTGTTCATGCTGGTTTAGACTGATGGGAGTTGTAATCCATGAACATCAGGAAGGCCACAGGTTCCCTGACCCTGATACAGAGATCATCTAGATCTGAGATTTGTATCTGGTAATCCCAGGTTGCTTGTGCTAGGTCTTCCGGGTCATTTCAGGATGTCCAGACACCAAAAGTGTACCAGTAGCATACCACTGCCAGAAGGGGTTCTTGTTAAGATTACTGAGGGGATTGTTCATGCAGACAGTGAAACAGAATGAAAACACATGTTGCTTATCAAGCTGATTTTGTTTTGTTTAACCGCAGGCTACACATGTTGTGTGAGCTGGAGCACAGCATTGGATCAATACTTCAGCAACCTGATAGTGATTATGGTAAAGATTCTCTGAACTGGTGTGCTCGCATAGAAATGACGCAGAACTCGTACAGGGCGAAAGAGCCCATCCTGGCACTTAGACGGGCTTTGCTCAGCCTCACTAAAAGGTGAAACCAGGCTTATTTTGTGTTCTTTCTATCCTGAAACTTGAGTTTCTGCTCTCTCCAAGTGAGATACTGGCTAAAATGGATTGAAATGTCTTATTTAAACAAAAAGAATCCCACTGCCAATTCCTTCTAAAACACACAAGCATATCTGTTGAAAGAAGCTTGGGTGTGTCTGAGGTGTGGCTGTTTCATTTAAGCTTTGCAACTACCTATGAAGTGAAAATTAAGCTTCATGGTTGAGTGAGGATTAGAACCTTAGGTCTGTTACACCAAATTAGGCCGTAATTTTTCAGTATGTCCTGAGTCTACTGATATATTTATTCACATTGCTTGTAATACAGACATTTGTGTTCCTAGCTAGACCTAGAGGCAGCTCTGCAGGGTGAGAATGATCCAGAGTGTCTTAATGTTGGAGCTATCAAAGATAATGTCATGTTGCAAGTCATCATGTAAATAATCCTATGTAGTAGGTAGCACTCTGATGAATAGGATGACTCATATGGAAAGGAACCAAAGCTTTATTTTAAACCAGTAGCTTGAATGAGGCTTGGAAGCTAACAGGTAGCATGAACAATCGTCTTTTAAGATTGGCTAAATTTGTGGAACTGCTTCCACAAACTCGGCTTCTTTGGTACCTATTGAACACCTTTCACAAGCAGTTCCTTTGATATATATTTTTTTAACTTAGTTTATATTTTTACAGAAAGGGTTACAGTGAGCAGATGGGAGAATGTTGGCTCCAAAGCGCTCGAGTCGCCCGGAAAGCGGGTCATCACCAAACAGCATATAACGCCCTCCTCAATGCTGGTGAATCCAAGTTATCTGAGCTATATGTAGAAAGAGCAAAGTGGCTGTGGTCCAAGGTAAGGAAGTTAAATAGAATAAAGCCTGCTGTCATGACACCAGGGTTGGACTCTTCTTTGTCAGGGGGTGAGGCTGGGGATTCAGAAAAGGTGAGGGAATAGCCCACGAGGCCAGCCCCAGATGGATATAATACACCAGAAGTACATACACAAGTCTGTTGTGCCAGTGGTCCACAGTGGTTGTGATGTCATCGTCTGACTCCAGCTCAGAAGCTCACAGTCTCCTCCACTCCATCAGAGCTGTTGACTGCTAAAGCAGACTGGTCTTCTTTTAAAATGAAGCATCTCCTCTTTCCAGAGATGGAGCCAGCTGCTGAAATGCAACTGCATCCTTATTTAAGGTTCAGCTGAGGATGGTTGCTGCTGAAGCAGCGTTCGAGCTCTGCCACTGAAGCCTCGCCTTCATACCGCTGAAGACAATCCCTCAAAGCAAGAGTGTATTCCTCCATGCATAAATGCGTGGAGCAAACAGAACATTTTATAGAAAGGTGTACAAGTTGGAAATAAATAAGTGAGGCTTCTTCTAGATGTGAATTTATGGGCACATATCTGTAACTCTCTGGGTCATGATTTATTTACAGGGTTCCCGCTTCGTAAAATTCAGAAAATGAATGCTAACTTATTGATAATGGTTTTTCTTTTTTAGGGGGACGCTCATCAAGGTCTTATCATTCTTCAGAAGGGGGTTGACTTATGTTTTCCAGATAACCAAGTACCACCTGACACTAAAAGTAAACTTATTCATGGGCAAGCCCTGTTGCTGGTGGGAAGATTTATGGAAGAAACGGCCAACTTTGAGAGTAATGCCGTAATGAAAAAATATAAGGTAAGCACTAAACCTAGAGGAATTACATAATACAGTGGTACCTCGGGTTACAGACGCTTCGGGTTACAGGTGCTTCAGGTTACAGGAGCTTCAGGTTACAGACTCCGCTAACCCAGAAATAGTATCTCAGCTTAAGAACTTCGCTTCAGGATGAGAACAGAAATTGTGCGGCGGCAGCGCACGATTTAGCTAAAGTGGTACCTCAGGTTAAGAACAGTTTCAGGTTAAGAACGGACCTCCAGAACGAATTAAGTTCTTAACCCAAGGTACCACTGTATATTGTAACATGTAAAGATGTAGTAAAGGCGTGTTGAATTATATTGTATTGCTTTTCAGTTATTTGTGTATTTTTTCTAACTTGTACAGTTACATTTTGTAGGACATTGTTCAAACATAACTGACTGAATGAGGAAGTATATCCAGCATTATGCAAATTGAATGCAATATGCACAGTCCATCTTTCATTTCTGCTCTTCCCCACTGCCAGTCCTCGGTGCCTCTAAAAAAAATGCTGGCAGAGGTGTCCAAACAGTGTGGGGTACAGTGGACTGCGGGGAGGGAGTCACCTAATATTTGGGTGGAGGAATTTTCCACCCCTCATGCAAGGTTCCCGGTTTTCAGATGATACTCCCCTCTCCCCGTCGTCCACTGTAGCTCCATAAGACACAACCCTGACCTTCTGGAAATACTTTTTTGGAGTTCTAGGGGGCTACAAGGAGGAAGGGGGAAGGGAAGCTCAGTTGCACTGGTACAACCGAAGATTCTTAATTCTAACTATTCATTTCCACCCCCCTTCCCATTTTTCCCCCCCAGGATGTTACTACTTACTTGCCAGAATGGGAGAATGGACACTTCTACCTTGCTAAATACTATGATAAAGTGATGCCTACAGTAACAGAAAACAAGATGGAAAAACAGGGAGAACTGATTAAATATATTGTTATTCACTTTGGAAGGTTAGAAGGCACAGTTGCTGTTCAGTTGGTGCACTTACCTATATTTGGTTATGTACATTAAATATCTGTCACTATGTAGCAGATGGCTTGGGGTTGTGTTGATTTAGTAGGAGTGTGTACACAGCCTTAGTATGGGTTATGGGATTAAAGAACCATTTATATCATTTACAATTTTTCTATTAAAGATTACATGTCAGCATTTTAATTTCAGATCCTTACATTTCGGAAATCAGTTCATCTACCAGTCAATGCCAAGAATGTTATCTCTGTGGCTTGACTTCGGAGCTAAAGCATATGAATGTGACAAAGGTAGGAATTTTTTATATTAAAAAACACACTGTTTCTACATTATCTAGAGACAATTTTTTTCTCTTTTTACACTAATTGCATTAGTTTCTGTATTCTGGACCTAGATGGTCCAGTTGGAGTGACTAGAAGTGAACTGGTATTGACTTTATGATATGTGCCATGATCCTTGAAAAGTAAATATCAGTGAAGATTTTCCGGATCCTCATAGCAAAATAAGGATTGTTTTACGTCTTATCATCTAGGTAGTCGTCATGATCGTGCACAAATGAAAAACGACTTGGCTAAAATCAACAAGGCGATTACAGAGCACACCCAACTTTTGGCTCCTTACCAGTTTTTGACGGCTTTCTCTCAGCTGATTTCTCGAATCTGCCACTCCCATGATGATGTCTTTGTTGTTCTTATGGCAATCATTGCGAAGGTTTTTGTAACCTACCCTCAACAGGCAATGTGGATGATGACTGCTGTATCCAAGGTAACTTGATAAATACAGTTACATCTCTCTCTCTCTCTCTCTCTCTCTCTCTCTCTCTCTCTCTCTCTTTTAGCTTTCTGTCTCCAAACAGAACAGCCAGTTCAGTTTTCAGATACATGAGCAAATTTTGTGTGTGTGGAGTTGCCGCTTTCTTTTAAGGGTCCCTCATGCACAGGGGTCTTAATATACTAGATTTCCAGTCCCTCTTTAATTTTCTAATCAAATATCATTTTCTTAACTACAAGTAGAGGAAGCTGCAGTTAGGCCAGTTATTCTGAGTATTATGAAACTGCATGACAGGTTGACTTCATTTATTTTAAATTTTTTATCCCAGGCAATCACCCTTCTAGACATTGAGCTAGCATGGATCTGCTTAGCTGCTTTATAACCTTCCTCATATTTGAAGCCATGCTGTCTCACTCATACGTAGTATTTGCGTCTCATGAGGGCTCATCTGGGGCCTACGTTAGTGTTTTTAAGATGCCAGGAAAATAAATTTTGGTTTTCCCAGTCTTTTAACATCTGTAGCTTACTATTTCTGCTGTGCTGGTTTTTAGTGCTGCCTTTAATTGTTCTAAACTGACGTCCTGTGGTGTTGTTGTAAAACCACCCTGGAACTTTTGAATTGAAGAGTGATACAGAGATATTTGAAATAAACTCTTTCTATTTTGTAGTCCTCCTACGCAATGCGTGTGAACAGATGCAAGGAAATCCTCAACAAAGCTATTCACATGAAGGCATCTCTGGGAAAGTTTATAGGGGATGCAGCTCGCCTGACAGATAAACTCCTAGAGCTGTGTAACAAATCGGTAAAGTTTATTCCGCACAGAAGTTGCTCCTTTCCCATAGTTTAGCGTTGCTAATCAGATTTAAAGGGTTCTTCTACTTGGTGAAACAAGACTGTACAATCTGGTGTTTTCTTCTGGAGGAGGCCCCAACTTGCTGGAGCAGATATGGGGTGCTGCTGCAGGACGGATGCTGCAACATTTATTCCATCAACGGTGTCAGTTCTGCTGGGAGATAGACACTGTTGGACTTCACCTACAACATTGTTATTATGCTACTTGACACTTGAAGATAATAATTTAGGTTGCAATCCTAAGCCCGTTTGCTTGGTAGTAAACCCTATTTAACCCAATGGGACTTACTTAGGAGTGGACAGGGTGAGGATTGCCACCTAAGACGATTTATAAAGATGAAAATGCTAGGTTACATATCCCCGAGGCTTCAAAATCATTATTTCAAAGTGATCAGATTTTCAGTAATTTTATTGGTTTTAATAAAGACATAATTGATAAATAAGCACACTTTGGTATTAAGAGGTCTTTGATGAGCTATGCTCAGTGCTTTTTTTTCTAAAATAATGGTTGGGGGGTACTTTTATTTTGAGTAAATCACCATTTTATAGTTCAAATTGGGGGAAATACAGTAAATGGACAAAAATACAAAGATTCACAAAATGTTTAGGGGTATGCATACCCCTGTGTCCCCCCAGAAAAAAAGCACTGGCTATGCTTATTGTTGTACTGACTAAAACAATAAATAAATCCAGCTGTTTGCTTGGTTTTCCTTGCACAGTTTAATTATTGCATTGAGGTTAGTTCTGACGCAAGGAACTCCCCTGAACATAGTTTGTGGAGATGAAGTTCAGTCCCATTTCACAAAACGGAGGGGAGAATTGGAAATATTCCTAAACTGTGAAATAAAAGTTGTATATGGAAACTGTTAAGTGTGTCAGTATCTTCTAAGTATTTACCTTACCCTTTGAGCAGTATGCATTAACTTTTTTCCCAGGTTGATGGGAGCACCTCCACATTAAGCATGAACATTCATTTCAAAAGTCTCAAAAAGCTGATAGAGGAGCAGACATTTAGTGAAATCCTTATTCCTTTGCAATCGGTAATGATACCTACTCTGCCTTCGGCTCCTGGCACACATTCGAATCATGATCCTTTTCCTGGGTGTTGGCCTTACATTGCTGGCTTTGGTGACACAGTGAGTATTAAGGTTCTATGTTTAAATATATACTGATGCAAGTTAGCTCTTTAACATACAGTAAATTACTTGGCTGCAGAGGTGAATAGCAGAAAAGAAATAGAGGGGAAAGGGTCTTTGATAAGGGGAAGGATGAACTGGAGCCCTGAGGGGGTTGTCTGGATAACCAATATATATATATATATATATATATATGGACCGATATAAAGTTTTGAGATGGTTTGGATTAGGTGTAGATTTCACCAAGAGAATACATTAAGCATTTTTTCCCCCCATGCTAAATTGTTGCTGTCTTTTTCTTTAGGTTGAAATTCTTTCCTCTCTTCAGAAGCCCAAGAAGATTACTTTAAATGGTTCAGATGGGAAGTCTTATATCATGATGTGCAAGCCAAAAGATGACCTAAGAAAGGACTGTCGACTCATGGAGTTCAATTCCCTGATAAATAAGGTTCTTTCACTCTTTAAGTGTGTTTTGCAAAGCTGGATATTGGCAGTCTAACTAACCTTTTCACCCCCTTACTTTCCACTGGGGCTTTGTAGGAGTATTGCCTTGTTAATTGCCCCCCCCCCAATCATGAATTAATAAAGAAATAAAATTTTATTCACAAAAAGAAGAGACTTGAAACAATACAATATACTGTTTGCTATATCAACTATAGTGACCATTTATGATATTTATTCAGGAACCCTCCTCCAGACTCTTTACTTTTGCAGTACAGTTGTACCTTGGATCCCGAACACCTTGGTACTTGGATGTTTTGCCTCCCAAATGTGAGTGTTCTGGTTTGCAAACGTTCTTTGGAACCCGAACGTCCGGCGGGGCTTCCTGCAGCCAATCAGAAGCCACATTTTGGTTTTCAAACGTTTTGGAAGTGGAACGGACTTCCGGAATGGATTCTGTTCAACTTCCAAGGTACGACTGTACTGAGAATTCTTCATTGTTAGGCATTGACATCTGCATGCGTGTACGTATGCATAAAAGACCCTTGAAGCATCCAAACCATAAATGAGCAATCTTGACCATTTTAATTCCAGTAGCTACAACCTTTCAGACGTTTGATATTTTTTCTACAGAGCAAGTGTTTGGTCCAAGGATATGAGAAGAAAGTGAAACCTCTGTATCTGTTTTCATAACTCTTAGTCTAGAAGGCAACACTTAAATTCTATCTAGCTTTCCTTTTCTGAAAAACAATGCCCCCCCCCAAATCTCATCCTCTGATGTCACATACCATCCTGACCACTCTGACAATTCTTGGCACACAGCAATCATCTGATATGCCAACTGTTACTGAGGAAGGTAGATGCTGATACATGTAACTAAACAGTTTGAGATACTGTACATACTATTTTTCTTATTTGTACAACTATAATAAAGAACTATGGGATGGATCCCAGCCATTGCTAGAGTCCAGCAAATATTTCAGCTTTTCAAATGTGACATTGGGTATGTGGTGGTGATTTCTTAAGCTGTACAGGGTTGTATTTAGTTAGCCTCCATGAATTGCTGCTGCCTATTTCACACTACTTTAGAACACCAGCTATGTATGCCCTTTTTGGCAGAAAAGAGTAGCATGGAATAGCTGGAAGAGAATGAAAGATATAGGGGGGTGTATGAGTGAGTGAGTGATTTTATTTATATGGTATATATGGCATTGGTCTTATGGTGGGTGATATGTTTCTTCCATAGTGCTTAAGAAAGGATGCAGAGTCACGAAGGAGAGAACTCCACATCCGAACCTACGCTGTTATTCCTCTGAATGAAGAATGTGGAATAATTGAATGGGTGAACAACACTGCTGGTTTAAGAAATATCCTGATCAAATTATACAGAGAGAAAGGTAGGAAACAAAAGCCCTTTTTAAATGGAAAAATAAATAAATGTGTGAGTGACAACAGAAGATGTGGAAGGGGAGTGTGGAATGTTACACAATCCTTCAAAATATGTCATGTTGGTCTCCCATGCTCTGATTAGTATACAGCAGCTGCGTTTTCACATAATGGTAAGCAATAAACTATAGCTTGCTACACATCAAAGTGTGCCTACTTTTTTCCTCCCTACTAGTGCTGAATGAAAACCAACTACAATACTTGGTTTACGGTTGTGCCCAGATCAGGGATCATATTTGCTTTACTCAAAACCAAACCATGATTGTAAGCCTTGGTTTGTTCCTGGCTTAACAGGTACGTGGGTGGCACTGTGGGTTAAACCACAGAGCCTAGGACTTGCCGATCAGAAGGTTGGCGGTTTGAATCCCCGTGACGGGGTGAGCTCCCGTTGCTTGGTCCCTGCTCCTGCCAACCTAGCAGTTCGAAAGCACGTTAAAGTGTAAGTAGATAAATAGGTACCACTCCTGCGGGAAGGTAAACGGCGTTTCCGTGCGCTGCTCTGGTTCGCCAGAAGCGGCTTAGTTATGCTGGCCACATGACCCGGAAGCTGTACGCTGGCTCCCTCGGCCAATAAAGTGAGATGAGCACCACAACCCTAGAGTTGGTCACGACTGGACCTAATGATCAGGGGTCCCTTTACCTTTACCTTGTTCCTGGCTTACCTATTGTGGTTTGAGCAAAACAAGCCATGACCCCTAGTTTAAACATTCAAGCTAAGCCAGGGACCTTGGTTTGCTTCCTCCTCGTGTGATTGGGGAGGAGCAGGGAAGGAGCAAAGCAGGTGCGATTCACTTGTGCACTGTAAGCTGTGGCTTATGGCCTATCAAAAGGTGTAAATGTAGCCTCAGTGTTTACTCAACCTATCATCGCTGACTAGCTTAACTGTATAGCGTTAGCTTACTGTGTCTAACTGATTTTTCTTTCATAGGTGTCTACATGACAGGAAAAGAGCTACGTCAATGTATGCTTCCAAAAACAGCACCTCTGTCGGAAAAACTGAAAGTTTACAAAGAAACTCTGCTTCCCCGGCACCCTCCGATTTTTCATGAATGGTTTCTGAGGAAATTCCCTGATCCTACTTCCTGGTCAGTTTGTTGCCCTGTACTATTGCATTTATGTTACTGTCATGCCAAGGGTTAAAAAGAGAGCCAGTTGTAATGTAGCAGAAGCTGTGAAGGCAATAAGTTTATTCATCATAGTAAACTATATGGGATCTTGGTTTCTTTGCTGTGATCAGAAACATTTAAGTATAAGGGTAAGAAGGCCCAAATAACCATGTGCTCCTATGGTATTTCTTCTTTCTAGGTACAGCAGTAGATCAGCCTATTGTCGTTCCACTGCAGTGATGTCAATGGTAGGGTACATACTAGGGCTTGGTGATCGTCATGGAGAAAATATTCTGTTTGATTCCTTAACAGGTGACTGTGTGCATGTGGATTTCAACTGTCTGTTCAATAAGGTGAGAAACTAAAACACTTCCATTGTCTGTCTCAAGTAATCGAAAACAATTTTGCTTTTCAAGTGACGTTGCACGGTTCAAAGAAGTTGCACAGCTGAACACTTGAGAAACTAAAGGATTATGTTGGAAGTTACATCATGAATATATTTCTGTGGTGTCTGCTTGAGGTACTCCTGTAAATGTTTATGGCAAACTTCACTTCAGAACTTAGCATTATATTATGCCAAAAATATTTCGTTTTGGCATCCGACAACCAAATCAGCTGCTAGCTAACAGTCGCTTTAAATAGCTTTTACGTGTTCATTATGCTCAGAGAAGATCATGACAAAGCAAAAAGCAAAATATAAAGACATCAACTATAACTATATGTATATGAGATCATTCAAAGTATCTGTTTGCCTTTCAGATTTTACATAACAATAATAAATTTACAGTAGTGTACTGGTTGGTTAAGGGACGCAGGTGGCACTGTGGGTTAAACCACAGTGCCTGGGATATGCCGATCAGAAGGTCGGCGGTTCGAATCCCCGCGACGGGATGAGCTCCCATTGCTCGGTCCCTGCTCCTGCCCACCCAGCAGTTCGAAAGCACGTCAAAGTGCAAGTAGATCAATAGGTACCGCTCCGGCGGGAAGGTAAACGGCGTTTCCATGTGCTGCTCTGGTTCGCCAGAAGCGGCTTAGTCATGCTGGCCACATGACCCGGAAGCTGTACACCGGCTCCCTCGGCCATTAAAGTGAGATGAGCGCCGCAACCCCAGGGTCGGTCACAACTGGACCTAATGGTCAGGGGTCCCTTTACCTTTACCTTTACTGGTTGGTTAAGTTTCGTTGGAATTACAATCTTATGCAACAGTTAATGTGCACTACATGAGAAGGGTAGTCTTACGAAATCCTACAATGAATTATTTTCTTTTGAAGGGAGAAATGTTTGATTTTCCGGAGATTGTTCCATTTCGCCTTACCCATAACATGGTCAATGGTATGGGTCCAATGGGGACAGAAGGTCTCTTCCGAAGAGCTTGTGAAGTTACACTGAGACTCATGCGTGATCAGAGAGAACCACTAATGAGGTACAATAACAGAGATGTGAAAATATTCATATGTTATCTAACTTTACAATGTGAACTATTTAACCACTGTAAATTCCTAGCCGCACTTTAACTTTTCAGGGTTGGAGGGGGGGGGATGCGGCTTATATTCGGGCCAATACGGTACATGCAAGATGCTGTGAGCATTTTGAAGGAAGAGCGAAGTGTAACAACAACAAAATTCTGTTTGTGTAATGATTTAGAATTGCAGAAGTTGAAAGATGTATAAATAATGTTTCTTTCCCACCGAAACTGCAACTACATGAATTTTCTTGAACCATTATCTTTCCTTTGTTTATATGTTATCTAGCGTTTTGAAGACTTTTCTCCACGATCCTCTTGTGGAATGGAGTAAACCAGTCAGAGGGAATACGAAAACCCTCGTGAATGAAACTGGAGAAATTGTCAATGAAAAGGTGACTTGGTGGGGGTGGGGACACCTTAAGTACAGGCAGGACAGTTAATTCATATTGTGTGCCAAAAATTCAGATTCTGTGCCAAGGAGTCCTACACTTGGGCTATGTACACATCATACATTTAAAATACATTACTCCCCCCTTCACAATAATCCTGGTAGTCTACCCCTTATAGCGCTACAATTCCCAGCACCCTTAACTACATTTCCTAGAATTCTTTAGGGAGTCCATGTGCATTAAATGTATGATGTGCATGCAGCCTTGGTGTACCAATAAATTATGCAAATTACAGTTGCTTAGTTTACAAGTTCCCTTTTTGAGCCAAATATCTGAAGTGGAGTGCAAGTCACTATGAGTAACTGGAAGAGAGGAATGCCTGGTAGTAATTAATAAAAATAGCTATTAATGCAACTTTCAGGTGGGGGACAGATGTAACTGCTGCTACTAAAAGATTACCTTCTAGTCTATTAATGCCACCCTTTTGTCATCTTGACTATTGTTTGCTTGCTTTCAGGCCAAGACCCATGTTTTGGATATAGATCAGCGACTTCAGGGTGTGATTAAAAACAGGAATAGAGTAAAGGGTCTGCCTTTGTCAATTGAAGGACATGTTCACCACCTCATTCAAGATGCGACAGATGAAAACTTTCTGTGCCAGATGTACCTTGGCTGGGCTCCGCATATGTGAACCTCTAGCATTTACAAACGGGTTGCTGTAAAAAAAAATGGGGGGGGAGGGTTAGTTCAGGAACACCTGTTTTTTGTTTTTTAAAAAACGTTTCCTATCATTTCTGCTTTGGTATTTTCTGCTAGCACAACTCTGTGTTTCAGTGTGTGATTTTGTTTATATTCCATATTTGTATATAAATGCCACTTGTATTTGAAAAGCCATTTATACAGATTATTAAAGAGCTGAAACCTTTCATTTTAAAAAGTTTGAATGCTGCATTTTAGCTACTCAATATTTTTATCTTTTATCTCTATTAAAAGGGTATGCACAATACCTAGATTATCTCCCCATTCTACACCTGAAAGGCCTTTTTTAAGTGCCCCAAACTACTAAGTTGGGTTAAGTAGTACTAAAGTGGTAATAAAACTGGTCCCAATGTAAACATTTCTATATTTCAGTTGCAAAATCCTGTTAATGCACAGGATTCTGGATGCTATCTATGGCAACTTATTACCATTTTAGCATTCATTACAGCAGAGCTTTCCAAACTGCTCATGTTGGTGACACACTTTTTAGACATGCATCATTTCATAACATAGTAATTCAGTTTTACTAACAAACTGGAGGTTAAACTAACCCCTTTCCAGTCCCAGAAGGAGCACGGGGAGCTTTCACGCAACACACCAACACAGGGCTGTCATCACACTAACCCAGGTGGCAATGGGTAAGGCTGGGTGAGCCGGAGCTGCTTGTTGCTGCTGCCAGTGCTGGGCCCAGTGGCAGCCTGGGCCTGACTCTGCAAGACTCAGGGTGACATTTACTCCAGCACCTAGTGGATCAGAGCCTTTGGATGTTGCCAAGGGGCGCAGGCCCTTCAACAGCGTTGGCCCGGCTCTGCAAGGCGCAGGGTGAAATCCACCCCAGCGCCTAGTCAAATGGGGTCTTCTGGTGCTGCTGACTTGCATCTAGTCATGGGTATAATTCATGGTTATTATAAATTAGTGTTGTATCTAACCAAAGTGCACTCAAAATTATTGGTAGAGTCTACTCCACCAATGCTGTATGGCAGAGATTTCCCAACTCTGTCGCGACACATTAATGCAGTATTTCCTAACCTGGGGGGTTCTTATTCCAAGGATGGAATAAGACCACACATTAAACAAAAGTGGTATGAGAGTTTTCTGAGCTGTGATACTTTGAGAGTTCTAAGAGAAGAGGAGAAGGGTTGGCCAGAGGTAAAGGAGGGCAGAGGCTCAGTTATGTTGACTTCCACTGTCTGAATACCAGTAGCTGGTAGTTCCACTTTTTGGCCATCTGGTTTGGCCATTGTGAAGGAGTGGATGTTAAGAGTTGCAGCAAGTAGAATCCCTGATTTGGACCTTGTGTAGAGTAGAAATGAATTTGCTCTCCACCACAACGAGCCTTAAAATGGTTACTTCATATTTTGTAAACATTTGCTTGTAACACATTGCTCTTAAACAAGCAAGCAATGCAGTCTTTTTAGTCCTTAATATAGTTCACTAAACCTTCCTTTCTCTGGTCTGAGAGAGATCCTGACCTAAACAGTCTGTTTGTTCACCATTGCTGAGCTTAGCCACTACTGCTGCTGCTAGCTCTCCATTGCTAATTTAAGAAGCTGAGTTCTCAGGTTTCACCTTCCTTCTGTGAGAGTTTTTCCTGTGATGTCATCAATTATCCTTAAACACTCTCTTTGCCTAGAGACAAACCTCTCTTGCCTAATGCAAGCTTTTCTACATAGGTTTTCAAACACAATGCATACAAACATTACCTTTCCTGCATAGCTTTTAAACCCATATCTTTCTTATGCATTAGAAGAAGTAACCTATTGTGCTAAGAATTTTAAGGTCTTAGATATATAATAAATGTACCAACCAAGCACGTACATACATCAGCACAGGAAGACGGACCTGAAACCATTTTTGATTCCCAAACTGACAAAATGTTTTCTCTGCAAGGTCAAAGGAAAATGGAAAAGCCTCCCCATTGTCTTTTCCTTCACAAATCCTGTCTTAAGGGTATGTCTGTGTTTGAATAGGGTGTGCCTGTGACCTGTCTCAGGAACTAAGTATTTATCATTACAAAGTATTTATCATTACAGAAGACTGGCCAGGCTATCCAATTAAGTAAGCAGGGTATCCAATCAAGTAACCTGCCAGACAGGAGATAAACACGGACAGGAGATAAACCACTCAGATTTCTGCTTTAGACCACCCTTTCTGTGATGTATGTATGATGTATGGAGTGGTGGTCTTGAGCTCCAGGGCAGGGAATTTAAAATGTCTATGTAAGGGCAGGCACGCCTTGGTTCTGGGTTGTCCTCCTTTCCTGCATGTGAGGGGAGCACCCTGTTGCAACAATAAAGATCAGGCTTACTAGCTGCTTTGCTTCTCAATATTCTCTGGTTGGCCTCTGTTATTTTCTCCTACCAATAGGGAACCTATGTAAGGACTGTATATGGGCTCTTGGATATCCCATAAGGGAAAAAAGGGCAGATGATAGTGTTGTAAACAAAATCAAGCAAGGCTGCACTTTCTAAAATTCCTCCTTTTGCACCACTACTGAAGACAGGAGAGGGGCTTCCCAGGACAGTGACAGCACCACGCTGACTTCTCAATCTGCTTCTTGACCACCATGACCCACTCAGACTTCGCATGAATTTTTTAATGATCTAGCGCAGGGTTTCCGGGTTTTTTTCTTGCAGACCTTTTATGCCTTCAGTAGTTGTGTGACAAGCAGGGGAGGAAACTCTTAAATACTATTTACAAACAACAGCTCAACTTTTGAGGTCGAAAGTCATTTTACTCCATCCCTTCTTAGCCACCTTTTTTCCCCCCACAGTAAAGCAGCACATAATTTTTAATGAGAGAAATAAAACAAAGGCGGGCAGGAAAAAAGGCCTCCTCCCACCTTGAGAGTCCGGGAAACTCCGGGCGCATGGCACCACATAGAGATTTTCATTTAAAAATAGCTCAAAAACGTTCTTTGAGATTTCGAAAAACAAAAACTTTTGCGTCCGGATTTTCACTTTTTGAAATAGGACAACCCTAGCTCTGTACACACAACACACGCTATCACCGCAGGTTTCGGCGACGCAAAGGCGGCGGCGGCGGCGGCTGCCGGCCCGCAGTTCCCGCGGCTTCCAGCAGGGTTCGCCATTGCGGAGGGCGGGCCTCTCCCCGCCTGTTTTGTTGACCCTCTGACGCAGTGCCGGTCCGCTCTAGGAACAGCTGCTCCGTGAGCAAACTCCGGCCCTCGCCCGGAAGAGAGAGGTGGTTTGTTTTTGGCCTGTGGCGGCGGCGACGGCGGTCAGTTGCTTGTTGTGTCGGGCAGGGCTGGCGTTAAGAGCGGGCATCTGAGGGCGAAGAGCAGCAGCAGCCGCCATGGGAGTGCCGAAATTTTACCGTTGGATCTCGGAGCGGTACCCTTGCCTCAGCCAGGTGGTGAAGGAGCATCAGGTGAGAGGCGGCTGCCGGTGTTGCTCTTTCCTCTCTCCCGCTCTTGCATGGAGGGAAGGGGCGCTTCTTCTTTCCAGGGCGGCTGTGCTTGGGAAAGATGTCTCGGCACCTCCGAAGGGCTCCCCGGAAAACCCCGCTTCGACCCTTTTTCCTGAGTCGCCGCCTTTGCCCAGGGAAGCCTCGTCTTGGCGACCCGTCCTAGAGAAGTTCTCCTTGCATTTTAGGGTTTCTGCCTCTATCCCGTCAGCTGGGCTTGTCGACTTACCTATGTGTTACTGATTATTATTATTATTATTATTATTTTAAACCTCTTATAGCTGTTGAGCTCCTTGGAAAGGGGGGACTATACATGTAGTCGTGCTCATCATTATCTTCAAATAACGACGACAATGACATCTGTACCCTGCCCATCTGACTGGGTTTCCCCAGCCACTCCGGGCAGCTTCCAGCATACCCAGCAAAACAGCAGCAACAGCAATAATACTATCATCATCTCCACAGGGAGCCACAGCTAGGAGAGGTACGCCCTGTAGGGAGAGGTTGTGTGTTGTGTTGTTAAGTTTGTATAGCACCCTTCATCCGAAGATCACAGGGGTTCACAACATAAAAAGACAAAATGAGAACACAAAATGCATAACAACCCTCCCACCCCACAAACAAGCCAATAGACGCCTTCCCACAAACACATTTAAAAGGCCGTAGAGTGGCATTTTCTCCTTGCAGCCTTCCTTCGTTCCTGGCTGCAGCCATCTGTGACTGCTTTTCATTTAGAGAAGAAGAGCAGGATGGGGAAACTGTTACAAACAACTCAGGGACACTTTGTACTTTGGTCCTTCACTGTGAAATGCTTCAGCTTTGGGAACGACGCCCTGAACACACTTGTATAGAAATACCTGCATTTGTCAGCTAACAACAGGCAGCTTTATTCTGCCTGAATTCTGTGGAGCAGGGAAAAACTGTGTGCTTCCACATTAGAAATTGGTCCATTAAAATACATGGTTGAATGGGAGTGAGATTTTACCCAGCAGGAAAGAGAATGAAGGTGATGGAGAATGAGCCAGACTGCTGAATCGGAAGGACCCTCTGACCTGGAGTGGAGTTGCCAAAATCCTGAATTCACTCTTGCTGCAAAGATTTATGATGAAGTGGTAGATAAGTCTTTCTAAGTAAACAAACTATAAATAAATAAGTTCCATTGAACTCTGGAACTTTAAACACACAGCATTGCATTGCCAACCATTGTTGCCTATTTGATAACCTTTGACTACACTTTATCCTGGTGATCTACCAATTACAGCTTTTTTTGGTTAAGGAACTGCTGCTTTGAATCAATGTAAAAGAGTGGCTTCTGATTTGAAAGTGGTGTCACCTGAGAGTGCCATTGGTGTCATTGTTAAAGTGTTGGACATGGTGGGGGTAACTTCAAGTCCCCACTCAGCCCTGAGGATCACTAGATGATGTTACACTCTCAGCCTAACCAACTTTAAAAAGCTTGTTGTGAGGATGAAATTGAGGAGTGGAGAAAAGGCAAATAGGAAAATAGAAAAATTAATTATTAAAAAAAAAATGTTTTAGAAAGCTGTAAAACCAGGCACTGTAACTATAGTTACTGTTAAATACAGGGATGGCTAACCTTTTTTTGGCCAAGCCATCTGAGGGCCATTTGCCAGCAGGTGGATTTAGCCACCTCACAATCTTATTACACAGAGTCTTCTTCTCAGCTGCTCTCTACAGATCATCTGAGGAGGGGTGGGGCTAGCATCCCCCTTCACCCATCAAATGAAGAGTCTGACATCCAGGGAGGGGCTGTTTGAAGCTCCCATCAAAGCACCAGGCTAAGCGCAGAGGTTTATACAACTTCTCCTATCCCAGTGTTGTCTAGTTCAAATTTATCTCTTTTTGCCATCACCAAAGTTGTGGGATGGTTAGGGGGAGAGAAAAATTTTGATTGGGTGCCAGACAAGACTCCAAAGCTTGGATTTAGTCACCCTTGATCTAATGCATGGTCAGGAATCTTACACTTTACTTTCAATCTTGTGTATATATACTTGGAAGTAAATCCTATATTTAATTTTCCCTAAGTAAATATGCCTTGAGATGCATGATAGTATACAGATTGTAGCCTTCCATTCAGGGAGCAATATTTGCTTGTAGTTTTTTTTAATTTATAGCACCAGTATTAATATACTTGAGGACTTGCTAGGAAAAAATGCATTGACACATAGCCTGATCATGTTCCTAGGTAAATTGCAGGTTTCATTTCTCTATGGAAATACTTAGCAGGTTGGTTTCACTTTTGTTTCTCTTAACGTGCTCTGTTGTTTTCCATTCTCGCACAGAAGTGCTGCTTGCAGTGGTGAAATGTGTTAACTGGAGCCATATTTTCTATTTCTTCCAGCAATAATTAAAAATGTCTTATTTTTTCCTCCAGAATTTATATGCTGCCTTTCAAGACAAATGGGGAAGGTTGCTCACATAAACCAAATGTAGAATACAATTTAAAACATTTCTATTACAATTACAGAAACTGAAAAAGACCATCTAAAAACAATATGCAATAAAGTACAGTAGCATCACTGTCATGTGATACTATCATTTTGGTTAGCTGTTTTGAGTAGCACTTTAACCTTGATAAAGGAACTTGACTTTGGAGTGACCTTGACTCAGCAGTTGTAGTTTCAAATGAAGTACCCAATGCTAAAGTTGGTGTTTTGTGGGGTTGTTTTTAATTTACGCTGGCATGGTACTCCTGGCTCTACGCCTGACAATGTGCCCCTTGACCCCGGTCTTTCCTGGCTTGTTAAATCTAGGGCATTTGACTAGTTAGTTACAGAGCGTGGGTAATACTTCATTGTGTGACAGGGTGGAACAAGACAAACCATGAACTTGAGTTTGGAAATAATTTTAAGTCAAACCATAGCTTGGATGCAGATATGACAGCAGGACTATGAGACAGGCAAAGCAGCTATGCTTTTTACTGTGAGTACCTGCATGGTCGCACATTCATGCTTAGTTTGGCTTAACATTACAATGGGACTGGTAACTGCTGTGTAAGGGAGAATAATATAGCAACTATTGGTGGCTTCCTTGCTGCTAGAAGCAGAACATATTTCTTGATTAAAGGTAAAGGGACCCCTGACCGTTAAGTCCAGTTGCGGACGACTCTGGGATTGCGGTGCTCATCTCGCTTTACTGGCCGAGGGAGCCGGCGTTTGTCCTCAGACAGCTTCCAGGTCATGTTGCCAGCATGAGTAAGCTGCTTCTGGTGAACCAGAGCAGCGCACGGAAACGCCGTTTACCTTCCCGCCGGAGCGGTACCTATTTATCTACTTGCACTTTGATGTGCTTTCAAACTGCTAGGTTGGCAGGATATGTTTTCTAAAATGTTTTAGAAAGCTGTAAAACCAGGCACTGTATCACCCATCAAACTGCTAGGTTGGCAGGATATGTAAACAATCAGACTGCATTGTTTCTTATCAAACCCAAAAATCTATAAACAGCAATTCCAGAATGCACAGTTAAAAATTATGAGCCCTCCTCCAGAGGTGGAAGTAACACATGAAATAAGTATTTCATATACCGGTATGGAATCATATCTACAGAAAGGAGGAAGATGGAGCATAAGCTTTCTTGCTAGGTGGATGAATAACTGCTACTTGTATGAATTAATGGCTCTAATATGTTTCCTAGATTCCAGAGTTTGACAACTTGTACCTGGACATGAATGGTATCATTCATCAGTGTTCACACCCTAATGATGATGATGTTCACTTCAGAATCTCTGAAGACAAGATCTTTGCTGATATATTTCACTATTTGGAAGTATTGTTTCGCATTATTAAACCAAGAAAGGTTTTCTTCATGGCAGTAGATGGAGTTGCTCCAAGAGCAAAAATGAACCAGCAGCGTGGCAGACGTTTTAGGTGTGTGAGTTCTTCCTTGTTTGTTTGTTGTTATTGGTTCCCTCATACCTCTTCTGAATGCATGTTATTCTCAAGCAGTGGCAGTTAACACTGTATCTGTTGCTAAATTTTTTTTTCAAGAAATGCTGTATTCCGTGCTCGCTTCGGCAGCACATATACTAAGAAATGCTGTGTTCCTTCCAGGGTTTTTGGATGCCTTGCTGGATAAGCAAAAACGAAAGAAAGAAAATGAAAATAAATAGTTGCCAGCATCCCCAACCTGTTAGCCCACCTGCATTAATTTTTTTCCAAGGAAAAGGCCTGCATGCATTGTTGGGTGACATCCTACGTAATTTTTCTATGCACCTTTGGGAAGTGCTATAAAATGCTCTCAGAAGCCAAAGAGGCACTTCATCTACCAGATGGAGGAGAAAGGATGCACTTTTGGGTGCCTCTTCCCAGAGATGTATGGAACACCTCTTGGCAGTGTCATCCAATGCACCTGCCTGATCTTTCCCAAGGGAAAGTCTGGGAGGAGTGTGCACTGTTGAGCATTGCTTCCCAAGGATGCAAAGGGGATGGTGGGGTGGGAGTATGTTGTGTTGTCCACTGCTGCGATAAAGCAGGCACCTTCAGGCAGCAGTGTCCTCTACTTTCCACCAGCTTGCCTTCTCTGAAGCAGGAAAGGTTGACAACCTTTGCCTGTTTGGCCCTTTCTAGCTAAGGCTTCTTTGCCATGCAGCTGCCGAACAGTCCCTGGTCTTCCTCCCACCTTTGGAGCTGTGAAGTGGCAGGAATTGCAGTGCAAATGCTTGGACAATCCTACCCAGCTCTACAGCTTCAAAATAAGGATTAAGACTGGCTGCTTTTTATGCTTGGCAGTTGATAGCACCGCACTAGTCATGGAGAGCATATTTGTTGAAGTCTGGGTGCTGTGCTGCTTACTTTAAAAATACGTCTGCCCCACCCCACTTTGGCCTTTATATTTGTATATCTCAATACTGATATGTTTTCTGTGTTACTGTGTTTTGGAAGCTTCTACATGTATGGGAGCTGACATTGTAGCTGATGGAGAAACCAATACTTGCTTTGAGCTCATGGTAATGCACTTGGGAGTCTTAAGAAGAGGGTCTCTAAAATTATTAGAAAGTTTAGCTCAGCTAAGTTTCATTTCAGCAGGATTTAAAAGAAAGCTCGGGTTTCTTTGCATTATGTTCCACTAAACACAATAATACAAATCTAATTAGTGTGGGTTAGCTAAATTAATGATTGTCTTGGTTAAAAAATCATTTGGGACTGGGACTGGAGTAGAAGGGCTTGGAATTTTAGTGCATGAGTGTGAACTATAAAGCAGAAAGTCTCTGTTTAAATCTCACATCCTCCTCTAATTCACTGAGTAGCCTTAAGCAAGTCACTGACTCTCAGCGTACTCCCCTCCTGTCTAATAAAAACCCACCCCTTACACAGTTTTTGTGCTATTATTGATATTATGTATATGAAATGATGTGCATACTTTACAGCACTAAAATGCAAAATATTGTTACAGGTCAGCAAAGGAGGCAGAGGACAAAATAAAGAAGGCATTAGAGAAAGGAGAGACTCTTCCGACAGAAGCTAGATTTGATTCCAATTGCATTACACCAGGTAGAGGAGTCTGCTTAATTTTTTATGTTCTTACATTCGGGTGCTAAGCTGCCATCTGGAATTGCATCCTTCTTTCTGCCCCTTACAGCTCATTTGAAATTAAAGGATGTGGTTTTCAAAAGTGCTGTAAGCCAAAGGTTTCTAGCAATTAACTCAGGTGAATGCTTTTTGGAAATTAATGACTTGAAAATGGTGGAAAATTGATAATCAGGCTTATTGTTATGAGACTTCTCTTGTGCGTTGCACTATAGAAAAAACTAGCAGTTGTTTGTTTTGAGCTATGGTTACAGTGGCAAATGTTTGTCTTTATCCCAGGGTAACTTTGGAAACCAGAAAATATGTAATGCATAGAAATTACTTGTGGTTATAGTCAACTAAAATTTCCTATCAGATTCTTTTTATGCCCAAGAGCATTTAGCCATCCAAACACAGATTTTTGAGCGGTCTTTGGTTTGATGATCTAAGGCAGTCTCTGTTTTTGAAATTCTGAGATAAGAAGTGTTAAATGAAGCAAACAAAGTTAAAAAAAAGGAAGTAGCAATAAACACCGCATGGAAAATGAGTGTAACATTGAACACACTAGCTATACTATATTGCATTTTTCTATTTCATTAGTCAAATAGGACATTTTACCTTATGATACAAAAATAGAAAAAAGATTTCCATGCACAAATGCAAAGAATCTCGCTTCTCCAGCTCATGTTGATTCCAAAGAATGCTGTGTGACTTTTGAGCAATTTTGGCCCATAAAAGCTGTCAGCAAGACTTTCAAAATGGAAGTTAAATTCATTTTTATCTCTATGGGGGTACAGAGTCACTTAAGCTAAATCCTCTTTTCTCTTATCCCTGTTGCTATTCTTTGTCGAGCTACTATAAACTGGAAGTCACAAATTTTCTGGTTCAGGCACAACTCTTGAGGCTGGAGAACCAGGTAATGTCTTCCCTCAAAAGTCTAGATCAGTAAGTGCTTAATGCATGGGAATCTCTGACGCTGTCTTTACCAGAAACAGGAAAACACAGTTGAAGCAAAATAAAAATGCTGAAATTCCAAAACACATTTTAGAATTCTGAACAGTTTATACTGTCATGGTGCCATCTTTAATTGTAGTATACCATCTATTTTTGTGTGAAACATTGATTTCTAAAAACGTGTCTCTCTTTGTAAAAGGTAAAATGATTGTTTGTTTCCCACTTCTGTTGATTGTTAATCTTTTCCAGTGAAACAGGTTTTAATTCTTTTCTGAGATTTCAGTCTGTGAAGATTTAACTTTCGTATTTATGTTACTAGGGACTGAATTCATGGCCAGGTTGCATGAACATCTGAAGTATTTTGTAAATATGAAGATTTCAACAGACAAATCCTGGCAAGGCGTAACTGTCTACTTATCAGGCCATGAGGTTACTTTTTACATTAGTAATTTCTTACAACATTAATATTAAACGAAGCAGTATTTATTAATTTTATTTTGTTCTTTTTTTGTTCAGACACCTGGAGAAGGGGAACATAAAATTATGGAATTTATAAGGTCAGAGAAAGCAAAGCCTGACCACGATCCAAACACAAGGCACTGTCTGTATGGTTTGGATGCTGACTTGGTACGTTCAGATTGAAAGTGTATGCCTGGGATTTGGGAATAAATTAAATTCTGGATATAAATGTATGTGGCTATTAACCACAGTGTCTCTTCAGACTGCAATAAATGCTTTTACGTGTGCCCAGCGATTTCTCACCACCCTCTCACATCATAACCTGATCTTGAATTCCGGCAAGACTGAGCCACTGTGAGTGACCCCTTCATGTGACAGAAAAATTGGTCAACTGCCTGCCCTGGACAGGATTGCAGTCTAGCTGAAGGCACAGTTAACACTGTCTGTGGGTGCTTCTGGAACCAGCTTTGTCTCTGGACGCCCAGGTAGCCTCAGTAACTAGAAGCATTTTTTACCAGCTTGGCCTGATACAACAGCTACAGCCAGCCGTTCCAGGACCAGGAGAGTTTGACCACAGTAGTGACCACTGGTGATTTCCAGATTAAATTACTACACTGCAGTCTCTATGTGACTTCTCTTGGGCTTGATCTGGAAACTGCAGCTCGTGCAGAATGAGTGAGACAGGCAGGAGTGAGATGCTCTGTCCAAAGATCTGCTCTGGTTGCTGATTTGTTATTGGGCCAAGTTCAGGGTGTTAATATTAGTATATAAAGCAGCTTGGCACAAGTTTATTTGCAGGATCTCCTTAGCCCATGTATGCTCTCTTGACAGCTTTGATCTGCAGCACTGTTACAGATGCCACACAATACAGTGGTACCTCGGGTTACATACGCTTCAGGTTACAGACTCTGCTAACCCAGAAATATTACCTCGGGTTAAGAACTTTGCTTCAGGATGAGAACAGAAATTGTGCTCCGGCGGCGTGGCGGCAGCAGGAGGCCCTATTCGCTAAAGTGGTGCTTCAGGTTAAGAACAGTTTCAGGTTAAGAACAGACCTCCGGAACGAATTAAGTACTTAACCTGAGGTACCACTGTATTGATTTTGCACATGAATGAAAAAGTTTTTTTAGTGTAGCTGACCCTGTACTTTGGAATTCCCTGCCCATTGACATAAGGCAGGCATCTTCGCTGTGCAGTAGGCCCTTAAGTTGTGCACTTTAAAAAAAATGTACACACATGGCGAAAAAGGGAGGACATAGAGTTCTGACTTTGGCAATACCACCTGCCATTGAACCCAATGAGTTTTTATTTTAGGCACAATCACTGGAACATAACCTCTATGTAAGTTGCAGGCCTAGTGTGTTCTTTTCACAGTATTTTAGTGCTTAAAGCATCTTACATTGATGATTGTTTTGGGGGGGGAATTAATTCCTTGTTTTTAACTGTTTTTAATTGATAGTCTTAATATTTATCAGAAACTGCTTAGAGCTTTTGTTACAATCAAGTGATATATAAATTTTGTGAAAAAGTTAAGAAAAATAAAACTCTTGACTACAACCTTTTTAATTTGTGTAGGTTTGAAAAGTAGTTTAAGTAGTGTGGCAACTACTAGAAGAATGCTATTGGAAGAAGGGGGCACTCGCCATGCATGAGTCTCATTGAGATAATTTTAAACCTAGGCTTACTTGCTTTCCCATAAAAGAACTAATAATTCAGAGTTGCAGCAAAATATTTTAAATATGCTTACCTCAAAAACAAAGTGTCTTGTGGAACCTTAAATACTGACAAATGTATTATGGCATAAGCTTTTGTAGACTCAAAGCTACTTTGTTAAAGTGACTGGTTTTAGGGGTAAAAACATTTAAAATGCTTCTTTCAACAGATTATGCTTGGACTGACAAGTCATGAGCCACATTTTTCCCTTTTAAGAGAAGAGGTCCGGTTTGGTGGCAAAAAGTCACAAAGGTAACTCCTCTAAAAATATGAATTGCATAAAAAAGGAAAATTGATCAAAACCACTAGATAGCTACATCATTTTTTTAAATGAATATTTGATATTGAATTATTTGTAAAATTTCCATCAGCTTACTTAGTTGTGATCAATAATTTTACAGAGCGTGTGCCCCAGAAGAAACCACTTTTCATTTACTGCACTTGTCATTAATGAGAGAATATATTGACTATGAATTCTCACCAGTTAAAGTAAGTATGGATGGACCACAGGGCAAAAATTGTTTAAAGGTTTGCATAAGGCATTGGTCACGAATTGTTTCTATCAACCTTTGTTTATCAGGACAAGATATCGTTTACATATGAAGTTGACAGAATAATAGATGACTGGATCTTAATGGGCTTTCTTGTCGGAAATGATTTTATCCCTCATCTACCTCACTTTCATATTAACCATGATGCACTGCCACTGCTGTATAGAACATACATGGATATTTTGCCTAAACTTGGAGGTAAGAGTCTCACAAAGCTAATGCAATATGGTCAGTTTCAAGATTGCTTCTTGTTGCAATTGTGACAGTATTACAGAGGAGATTGCAGAATGGAAAAGACAGCAGGGAATCCAGTCTTAATTTTTTGTGTTATATTGCTCATGTTGCTCCTCTTCAATACAGTGTGCCTGCAGGAAAAGCAGCTCATGATTATAAGCATGAATCATATTTTTCTTCTCTAATAGGTTACATTAATGAAAGTGGGCACCTCAACTTACCTCGTTTTGAGAGATACCTTACAAAATTGTCAGATGTAAGTATATTTTTTCTTCTGAGCAAAACTAAAGTCTTAACTTAAAGCCCCATCTATACCTTCAATGTGCAGGTTTGCTCTCTAAATCTGAGAACCTGAGTTTTTCATTAAAAAGAAAAAGAAAAGAATTCTAGCTGTCATCAAGGTGGAGAGATGCTTGAAAATTTTGAAAGTAGCATGATTGAAAATATTGGGCAGCTTCATCCATTTTGGAATTAGCGGACACGCTGCATGTATATGATTCTGGCTTCCCAGAATGCATGTCCAGTAAAGAAAAAAAGCAACTTTCCACCACACATGTTACAGAGTATGCAAGGAGGATCGTATCTTTTGATTTTATAACTGTAACATTACCAATCTGCTTTTCTTATGCTGCAATTACCTTTCTTTTTATCTCAGTCAAGCCACTAAATCTGTACCTCTCAAATATATTCTGCTTCTGTAAATCAGCATAGCTTTACTTTTTGTGTCGTAGCAATTCCCACCCCACCCCCCAGTGTATGATAAACTTCCACTAGTGCTAAACAGGTGAACTGTTCCAACCTGCCAGATCTGCAGTTGAAAATAGTAGTAGGAAAATATGCTGCTTCTTTTTTTGAAAACATTTTAATTTCGTTTTTTACAATACACGTTTATAGAAAAAATTCAATTGCATATCCATATGAAGAGATTCCTCGGAATCTCAGGACTCCCCCACCCCTTCCCTGGAGTCCCATTTTAATCAGTTAAAAACTGCATCTTCTTCAAACTCTAATTATTATATCAATCCATATTCTCCATGATAATTGTTACACTACAAGTGATTCAAAATCCTGCCAATGTTTCCATCTGCTTACAGTGGTCTCTTTGATTACTTATACATTTTCCCCATTCTTTTATAAAGTTTTTGTCCTCTTGATTCCTGAGTTTTCCAGTCAGCTTTGCCATCTCAGCCTAGTCCATCAGCTTGGTTTGCCATTCTTCTCTGGTCGGGACTGTGTCTTCCTTCTGTCTCTGGGCTAGTAGCATCTCAGCAGCTGTTGTTCCATACATCAAAAGTCTTTTCTGGTCTCTTGGAATATCTGTATCAGTAATTCCTAAGAAATTACTGGTTTTTTAACAAATGTCATTTTAAACTTCTTTTTCCATTTCATTATATATCATCTCCCAGAAAGCTTTACCACCTTTCAAGTCCACCACATATGATAAAAGGTGCCTTCTTTTTCTTTACATTTCCCGCAGGTATTTGTACTTGTCCCTGTACATTTTTGCCAACTTAGTAGGAGTCAAATACCAACGGTACATCATTTTCATATAATTCTCTTTCAAGGAACAACAGGCCGTAAATTTCAGGTCTGTGTTCCATAACCTTTCCCAGTCTGCCATCTGAATGTTATGACCCAGATAATACGCTTTGGAGTTCAAATATCTCCTTGAGAAATTTGCCTTGAAATAGATTAGATGTATAATGATAATGCTTTTCTTTCTTCCATTTATTTTAACAGTTTGACCGTGAGCATTTCAGTGAAATCTTTTTAGATCTGAAGTGGTTTGAAAGCAAAGTGGGCAATAAATATCTGAATGAGGCAGCTGGTATTGCTGCGGAAGAATCAAGAATGCAAAAGAAGCGCAAGGTTAGTAGTCTGGTGCCATCTGCAAATTTGATGAGCGTCCCTTCAATTCCTTAATCCAAGTCATTTATAAAGACGATGCATTCTTGTAGCATTGAAATTTCACTCTTTACCATCACAGCTTCTTTGAATTGATTCTATATGCATATCACTCTGTGTTATTTAAAGTATCAATCACAATTTTAACAGGCTCAGGAAAATGCTATGTGCTTGGCTGCTTTGGAGAAAACTGACAATGGAACTGTAGCATCTTTAAAAAGTGAGTCCAATTGTTGTGTGGTGCCTGTGCTGGCTAAACTTGTGTACATAAATTATCTGTGAGCCCGAGATTCTTGGCATTTTACTCTTTAAGTGAAAGTGAGTAAAAGACAATGAATTTTTTTTAAAGGAAGCTGTTTTTATTTCCATTTTCCACACTATTTGCACACTTAAAGTTTTCAGCTAGGTTCATTTTAATTTCAGGCAAGCATATTTGCTATACTCCTTTCGGTGCCTGATAAAAACAATCTTGTTTAGACAAGCCTACCCAGATGCTTATAAACCTGAGGAAATTTTAATCCCTTTTTGGTATTTTAACCTTTGTATGTTTCTAAGCATGGTTGTAATTTTTTCTTGATTTTATTGTTTCATACTTTGAGGATTTTTACAATGAAGTGGTGGATACAGCTTATTAAAAAAATTAAAAAGGATAAATAGCAGATGTTAATTGTGGTATACAACAAGTTAATTGCTCAATTTTATTTTTCATTTTAGCTTCTTTAGAAGATGAGCCAGAAGATGATGATTTGTTTGAGACAGAGTTTAGGCAATACAAAAGAACATACTATATGACCAAGATGGGTGTAGAAGTAGTTTCAGAGTAAGTATTAGCAACAAAATGGCTTCTTGCATGAGCACTGGAACTCCTCCAAGTGGGTTACAATTTCTAAAATAAAAAAGAAGAACCTGTGCTCCAGTTATAGTACCTGTGCTTCATTTATAGTAACTGAAGCGATTACATAATTTCTGTTAGTGAATTTAAAATGTTTTAAGGTTTTATTTCAACCCATGCCTCTGAAATAGCTGGAGGTAATAGCTAAAACAGCTTCATTCTCAATCTTATTTGTAAGTGAAAGGAGAAAATATATGCCATTTTTGGTATTTTTGTTTTAGTGCCTTTCTAGCTGACCAGGCAGAATGTTACGTCCAGGCAATACAGTGGATATTGCACTACTACTACCATGGGGTTCAGTCATGGAGCTGGTAAGGTGAAATTTACAAGTGGAATGCTTATATCAGCTTTGCAATCAAGTGTGTTTTAGACCAGAGGTTTTCAACATTTTTGCGTCCACGGCTCCCTTGGCCAACTACATTCTTTCTGCGGCACCCCTGTGGGGCTCAGGAGCCCAGTTATGACACCCCTTGCCTGCAGAGCTGTAAGCCTCTTACCCTTTTCCAAACACCATCCCTTATGGAGTGTTCCCTCAGCCTCTTCTCCTCTCCCCCCACGCCTTGGGAGTCCTCTGGTCTCTGAGCTGCCCCCATGCCCCTAAGAGAGGTGCCTCCTCACACTGCCCCACAGGGGCCTGAGAAGAAGATGCCCCCAGCCTTTGTGGCCCAACGGAGACTGGACAAAGGTGAACTTGAGGCTAGCATCTTAACCTTGGGAGGCAGCAGCAGGTGCTGCCAGGCTTGCATGGCGGAAAGGCTCCCTTTCAGCACTGGGCACTCAACTCCTAGGCATGTCTTGCACACAGCAAGCACAAGAAAGGCCAGCACAGCGCCTGCCTGCCAGCCTCCCACTTATCTGCCCATTCCCAACAGCAAGGGCTGGCTGGCTGGCTGGCTGGCTGGGCTCCCTTGCCCGCTTGCTTGCTTACTTTGAGGCTGCCTGGCAGCTAGCACCCCCTGGCCATCCCCAGAGGCACTATTCACCTGCAAAACTTGTAGCCAGGGCTGTTGCAACAGACAGCTGTTCAGTCATTTGGGAGGCAGAGACACAAGAGGGCATCAGAGCAGAGAGGGAAGGAAAGAGGGACAGATGCCAGGCCAGTGTTGCCCTGACCATCATTCAAGGCACCCTGGTTGAAAACCACTGTTTTAGACTATACATATAGCTGCCACTTGACACCCAGTTCCTTAAACCACTCCTCCTCACCCCATACAATTTAGAGCAGTGCTGTCTGAGTTACATACCTTGTCTAATTATTTGTGATTTTGTTCTTCCTCCAGACCATTAAAATAAATAAGATTACAATATATGTGTTTATGCTTTTCGTACAGCTGCAACCTTTGTTGAACTAAAATAGCATCTTTCCTCCTTGTAGGTTCTACCCCTACCATTATGCACCTTACCTCTCAGATATCTGCAACATCAGTGAACTGAAAATCCACTTGGATTTAGGAAAACCATTCATGCCATTTGAACAGCTTCTTGCAGTACTTCCAGCAGCCAGCAAGGATTTGCTGCCAAAATGCTATCAGGTAGTTAAAAATCTTTAGAGGGATTCATCATTCATCATTATGGCTACTATCCTTCTATTTTACAAAGATAATTTCAACCCTACTCTTGTGCATTATATATATATACATTCTCCATATAGGGATTTGCTTAATTAAGTACCACTGGAAAAGGAACATTGTCCAAATTCTAAATTCTTTGACCAAAAGGCTTTAGAAATAATTTACTTTCCATCAGTAAGGGCTAATGTTAGTTAGGTCTTATCATAGTCTTCTTTTAAAATGTAGTTTAGTTTGAATTCCCATTGCTTAACTTTGATTACTTACTTCCAATTCTTTAGCATTTGATGACTGGTGAAGAGTCTCCCATTATTGAATATTATCCAACTGAATTTAAAACTGATCTAAATGGAAAGCAACAAGAATGGGAAGCAGTGGTTTTAATACCATTTATTGATGAGGTAAGAACTCTACCATTCTTTGATCACAAAGTGACTAGTAAACTGTTTAAACCAAGGCCTGGTTTGCATGGTTTAGTTTTATTTTTCTTCCAAATTTGAGACCAGATAAGTTGAATCAGCAATAGCTATCTGTGTGCTCCAGTGGTTAGTTTACAAAGACCTTGGGAGGTAGTTCTTTACCTTTCTACCTCTGTCCCCAAGACTATGCCCAAGAAGAGTTAGTAAATGGGCTCCAGGCATTCCAGGCTTCAGCCATTCTATTCCTCTAGTTCCTATAAGTGTAACCATAGGGAGAAATGAATGACCAAACCAAGAAATTATAAACCCAAAGAGTGCTTAATCTTTGGGGACATCATTAGTTCAAATAATTATGAATCACCCTTTCAGGAAAAAAATGCTACAGTACAGTATTCTCCCCTGGAGAAGAGCAGGGATGGCTCACTTCTAAGTGTTCCTAGGGACAAACTTAGGCAAAACAGGGGGAGTAATGTTCAAACCATCCTTTGGACATGAATAATTAGAGCTACACTCTTAGCCATATTTAGTCCAGATGCAATGCTACTCATTCTGGGACCTCCCAGTTAAAGGGCAGGTAAGAAATTAATAATAATAATCATAATACTAATTATTTAATCATGGATAAGGGAAATAGTTGCTCCCTTCACATACGCCCTCATTTCTTGCTTAATTATTTACCCCTCTTCCTGCTTTTTCCTTAACATCCTTAATTATAGTCAATACTCACTGGGATTGAACTTGCCCTATTGATTTCATTAGGCACTAAGTTTAACTAATTTAGATTGGATCCAACCTCCTCCCAGTCTCTGCATTTCAATATGCCTAATGCTTACTAAGTGTTATATTCTATTTAGAAACGATTGTTAGAAGCAATGGAATCCTGCAACAAGTTCTTGACAATAGAAGAAAAGCAAAGAAATAGGCACAGTGAATGCTTGATGTACTTCTATGATAAAGACACAGAGTTCCAGTACCTGTCTCCATGGCCAGAGAAGTTCCCTTCCATAGAAAGATGCCATGCAAAGTAAGACTGCAGGTGTAATTCCTTAATTCAAAGTGTGCAATCTACTGAGCGCCGCTGCTGCAGTGCCCCTTTGCGTTAGCTTTGTTTGGAAGTTAGTTTCAAAATCGCGTTTGTTTCAGAAACACTAAGTAGGTTCTTGGCTGTAGCCCATAGATAATAGTAAGAAATCATTTGACAGAAATGTGTAATGAAATGCTCTTAAGCTGTCCTTGTCCCCTCATACAATCAAAGAAGATGTCAGTTAGTAAAGTTAAATGGCCAAAGATGGATTCTTCTGCATATATTTGATAGACTTCCTTTAATTCTGACTGACTGTTGTAAGCGTAACAACGTTCTTGTTTTCAGCCTTTGTTTACTGTGAAAGGCAGTGTTTCAAAATATACATTTGTAAAAAAAAAAGCTATGTTCTGTGTGCAGAGACAGTTTTTCAGAGGAGCTGTATGTTGAAAGTTGTGCTCTTGTTTCTTAGGCATAAAGCTATGTCTCTGGACGTCTGGCGTGTAGATATAGCCCAAAATAAAATAACAAAATTGGATATGGAAAGGCTGTATTTCTGTGGCTTTCCTACTCTGAAGCACATTAATCATAAGGTAAATGGTGCTTTATTGATTTAAGAATGACATGTTTTTGTTAGGTACTTATTCAGTGGAAGGCTTTCATTGTACATCTTGACTTTCTATCCCTATTCTAGTTCTATCTGAAAAAAAGTGGGGTACAAGTTTTTCAACAGAGCAGCCATGGAGAAAACATGCTACTGGAAATAATGGTTTCCGATGATTCAGAGGAACTAGTGAGTGTCTGGCTTTTTCAACTTTGTTTTTGACAGTCTCTTATTTTAGAGAAGTAATGCTAGGTGCTCTCCAAGTTTTGTTGTCAATAGCTGTGCTTGGATATCACAATAAACAATAGTTTAGTGAGATATGTGAGCTTAGCCTCCCCCTGGACTTGTGTATCTCTCTACATCCAGGACCCTGCATTGACCCTGTCCTGTAGAGATTTAGTACAAGGTGAGGCACAAGACTATTTGAGAAAGTGACAGGAGCCTGGTGACCAAAAGTACATTTTTGACATCAAGGCCGAAGCAAAAATATGTGTACCTATGGTCCTTGGTGCTTTCTAGGATTTAAAAACATGGAACTGTAGATCCCAGGACACAGCAAGGCTACTGGCTTTGTTATGTGTGGTACTTACAGATTTGCTATAAAATTGTTTTCAGTAGGTTAACCAACTGCTTTTCTTCCTCAGAATGCTGAAAATGTAGCCAGTTTGGTGCTTGGGAAATCAATATTTGTTAACTGGCCTCACTTGGAAGAAGCCAGAGCTGTTGCTGTATCAGATGGTGAAACTAAGTAAGGAATACCAATGTACTTTGCAAAGTTTGTCACTTACTTGCATCTTCAGATGTCCATCTTCATAAACAAGTTTTCATATGACAAGGTCTTGAAGCAATGGCTGTTTTGCTTTTTGAAATAGCTATGTAAACCATACATAGACCAGCCTGGGGGGAAAATGTCCCTTTTCTTGCAGGATTTTTGAATTTAGTTTAAGGTATTTTTTACGTGACAGATGTGGAAATACTTGTATTAATTTCGGTTTTGTTTCTATTTGGATGTATTGAGTTGTTTTTTGGAATTTTGTTTGTTACGATTTCTTATGGTAAAGGGCAGAATGTAAACATCCAGAATAAATGGACTATGATAAACTGAACAGTTTTTGTGGAAGAGCAAAACATTTATCGTCCACATTCTTTGCTCTTTGCTGATGGGAAAAGAGCCAAACTGGATCAGACAGGGCTAGTGGTCATCAAGACTGGAAGCAAAGCAAGCATACTTTTCATTTCTTTAATGAAACATATTTATTGGTACCAAGTGGATTTGCTGTCCTAAGTTCATTTGCTAGTCCTAAATAAATATGCTTAGGACCGAGATTTCCTTTTATTTATATGAAGTGTAAATTTATTTTAAGGTTTCAGTTGGAGGAACCTCCTGGAACACAGAAGCTCTATATGGGGAATGCTGCCCCACCAACCAAAGCAACATTTGTTCGAGATAAAGAACAGAATATCTGGGTGAAAGAAATCCAAGGAATTTCAGAACAGTAAGAAACTGCCTCCCGCGTTTGTAGTTTGACAGCATATTTTGACACACTGGTTCATTTTAAGGGTGGACAGCTTGCTTCTCGTGGACTGCCACTTTAGAAATGTATTGTGAGTCCGATGGCCACACCTGTTTTTCAGTTTTTAGGTATCTCTTGGTAGACTGGTGGTTGCCACACTCACATCAATGGATGTAACTATCTCATTCAGAAGTTACCTTCAAAACTGAAAAGCTTAAGACAGCCCTTGAGGAATCATGATAGATAGAAAAGTGAATGAACTTTGTTTTCACTTCTGTTTGACTCACTGTTTCCAGTCTTTTCATTCTTTTTGCCATATCACATTCACTGCTCTACAGTGAAGGGAGCCAGAGACACTAGAAATCTGTGTTTCTCTTTATTCCCATGCAACCTTCAAGGTTCACGTATTGATGTTTAATACTGAGTCTTGCTAACTGAAATAATCCTTTGCAAGGTTCTGTATTGCACACTTCTACCTAAAGTTGTTCAGCTTTGTAGTGATAGTTAATCTTGCTACTTGTTGTTTAACCAGGGATTGTTGCATTTCCTTGGAAGATGTCATGCCACCCAGAGCTGATTATAGGCTACTTTAGTAGTTTTGTACCATAGGCTCTTTGAACAGTAATTTCAAGGAAGATTTTCCCATGAGTAGGGAACCTCTGGCCTTGGGGCTAAGTGTAACCCTCCAGGCCTCCTTTCTGGTCCTACATACTCTATTCAGGCTACACCTTTCACTGCCTCTGCTTCACATCATTCTGGGGTGCTTTTGCCTTGCTGCGCTGGGTTCATGAGATGTGATAATGCCTCTGGATGGAGGGATTTGTGTAGATAGAGTTGTGACTTTTGCTTGACTTCAGTGTAAACTACTGTACAAATGTAAGAGTCAGATCTCTTGTTCAGCGCATTTTTTACTCTGGTCCTGCCCACCATTAGCATGCAGCCGCTTGAAGATTGCCCAAGAGGAAATGCAGCCCTTGGGCTGAGAAGTGTTTCTCACTCTTCACAGATTTGTAGAGTTGGAAGGGTCCATGGGGGTCATCTAGTCCAACCCCCTGCAATGCAGAAAATCTTTCACCCAACGTGGAACTCGAACCCATGACAAGAGTCTCATGCTGTACCGACTAAGCTGTATGCATCCTTAAATTCATTCTCCCATATCCTCTTTCTTCCAGTTACCAGAGAAGAAAAGGAGTAATCATAAATGAAACATCTGCAGTTGTTTATGCTCAATTGCTAACTGGGCGTAGATACCAGTTAAATCAAAGTGGTGAAGTGTATTTGGAGAAGCAGTGGTCCAAGCAAGTTCTACCTTTTGCATACCAAACAATTGTCAGGGTAAGTTCCTCAGTTGAGTTTTTCATCAGTGAATTGAGATAAGAGGCCACAATGTATACAGTCAAATTCAAAATACTAAGCTTATAAGTTTACTGCTGATAGGATACACATGTGCACTTAGATCTACAGGCCTGTTGCCTCACTCTTGCCATAGCCTACAATCCTATCACAGTATAGTTGAGAGATGTGGCTAAAGGCTGCTGTACAAATTTCTCCAACATCATTTCATTTTTCTTGTTATCTGTGTCTTGTGTAATGACATAGTGCACAGTTAGGATACAATAATATCTTAATAATAATAGGATATAAATTAGTCCTTGGCATTTAGGAATCATTTAAGTTGCCATGGTTCAGAATCTGCTTAGAACTTGGGATTGGGAAGTGGTTCACATGAAGTATAGACATTCTCAAAATGTTTATGGAATTACCGTATTTTTCGGCCCATAGGGTGCACCGGCCCATAGGGCGCACCTAGTTTTTTTGGGGGGAAATAAAGGAAAAAAAATTTATTTCCCCCCCCAGGCCCGAGCTTCCCCCGACCCCAGCCCCCAGAACAGGCAGCTCTCCACAAGCCGTGCGACTTCGCGCAGCCCTCCCACAGCTTGCAGAGAGCTGCGCAAAGCCCGAAGCCTGGGGGGCGCTGAGCTCAGCGCGCCCCCAGGCTTCAGGGTGCAGGCAGCTCTCCACAAGCCGTGGGAGAGCTGCGCGAAGTCGCGCAGCTCTCCCACGGCTTGCGGATAGCTTCCTGAAGCCTGGAGAGCGAGAGGGGTCGGTGCGCACCGACCCCTCTCGCTCTCCAGGCTTCAGCGACAGCCTGCATTCGCCCCATAGGACGCACACACATTTCCCCTTCATTTTTGGAGGGGAAAAAGTGCGTCCTATAGGGCGAAAAATACGGTAGTATATTTCTTGAGGAGTAAGCAAACTAGAGTAGGCTGTTCTGTCTTGCCACACATAGTTAATGTAGGTTGCAGTCTTATGTTCACTTACTTGAAAGTAAGCTCCATTGATCTCAGACTTACTTCTGAGTAGACATGTCTGTGATTTTAATGCTAAGTATTTAATTAGAGCATGATTTCCCCCCACATTTTTCATGCAGGATATAAAGGCCTTTGATTCCCGCTTCTCCAGTCTCAAAACTTTGGATGACCTGTTCCCTCTGGGATGTACAGTCTTCATGCTGGGATCACCTTATTATGGCTGCACAGGAGAAGTTAGTTTTATCTGAAAATGTTTTTCCAAAAGACTTTTCTTAAAAATCAAGTCTGACTCCTTCTACATTATTTTATTACATAATTTTAAAAACTGAGCTCTACATTGGAATAATGATGTTTTAGGAGCTATTGTACCACTTCCATTTCTTCACCTTCCTGAACCTTTCCTCCCTTTGTAAAGGAACATTTCTTCTTCTTTGCTGTTACTCTTTTGTTTAAATTATTTGGCTCCAGCCCTTCATTGCAAGATCTCAGGGCACAGAACAGTAAGACTTGTTTTGAAACAACAAATCCATTAAACAGCATGAGTGTAGATAATTTTATTTTGCTGTTGCTTTCATTTAAGATACTCATCAGATTCTTAGGAGGGAGAAAGACACTGGCTGCTGTGTGTGAAATGAACTTAAATTTGAGAGAGTTTCTTTAATATCTCTTTAAGGTACAGGATTCATGTGATGTTATCCTGGAAGGCAGAATTCGTGTTGTTTTCAACATTCCATGTGAACCTCAGCTGGATGCCTTAATACAGAATCAGCATGTAAGTGTTATTTCTCTTAACAGTGGATATGTCTCTGTAGATTTCATCTTAACTATTATAAGTACTATTTGAACAATATGCAGAGGACCCTCGTACCTACGGGACCGCCTCTCCTGGTATGTCCCACAGAGGAACTTACGATCCTCAAACAAAAACATCTTGGAGGTCCCAGGCCACAGAGAGGTTAGGCTGGCCTCAACCAGAGCCAGGGCTTTTTTGGCTGTGGCTCCGATCTGGTGGAACGCTTTGCCACAAGAGATTAGGGCCCTGTGGGACTTGACATCTTTCCACAGGGCCTGCAAGACAGAGCTGTTCTGCCAAGCCTTTGGCCAGGGCACAGCCTGACTCCCTCCTTTGGCAATCTTCACAGAACTCTAGCCCAATGGTTGCCATCAATTTGATTTGAAGTAATTTTGAATGAAATGATTTTAGAATGTTGTATTATTTTATTGTTGTTAGCCGCCCTGAGCCCGGCTTCGGCTGGGGAGGGCGGGTTATAAATAAAATTTTATTACTATTAGTTATTATATGTATGTATTTGCACAAGCCCACCCAGTGAATTTTTTAAAAAGCACAAACTAGTTTTGAAGTTTCCCTTTTTAGGTGACATGGGAAGCTACTGTTTGAGGGGGAACTAACTTTACTGAGCAAATTTCGTCTTTCCTTGTATCTTGGCCGTAGTTTTTCAATGCAGGTTTCGTAACACAGGAACAATTAAATATTTATCTCATTCAAGAGTTACATGAAAAATCTGGTTCATGACCAGAATTTGGAATCTTGCAAATGTAAGCTTTGACTTTTTAATGTGTGACACATGTAGCATTGCCAAAAGCCGTGTAAACTATGTGAGTGTGCTCAGCCTCTTTATTACTTCAGTTCTGTGTTAGCAGTAGCTTTCAGACATCGCAAGCAGGGTTGAGACCATGTTCTGCTAGGTACTTTGCAGACACACACAAACTTGCCTTGCCTTGAAGACTCAGGAAGGGAAAACAGTGTAGCTCAGCAGACCAATGCAGATGTGTGTTGGGCAAAATAACACCGGTCCTGAAAGATCTACATTGGCTCCCAGTACGTTTCCAAGCACAATTCAAAGTGCTGGCGCTGACCTTTAAAGTCCTAAGTGGGCTCCACCCCCACCTTCAACCCAGACACTGAGGTCCAGCTCCGAGGGCCTTCTGGCGGTTCCTTCACTATGAGAAGTGAGGTTACAGGGAAGCAGGCAGAGGGCATTCTCAGTAATAGCGCCCGCCCTGTGGAATGCCCTCCCATCAGATGTCAAGGAAATAAACAACTATCTGAAGGCAACCATGTTTAGGGAAGTTTTTAATGTTTGATGTTTTATTGTGTTTTTAATATTCTGTTGGGAGCCGCCCAGAGTGGCTAAGGAAACCCAGCCAGATGGGTGGGGTATAAATAAATAAATAAATAAATAAATAAATAAATAACTATGGATAATACTCTCACAGGTGAAGGAGTGATGCTAACTCATATAAATTTGTGCCAGGTTTTTATTTACCTCCCTGGCCTTCCAGTTTAGTGCAGATAAATAGAAGTGCAGGAAAGTCCCTGAGCAGGTGAAAACCTTATGAAGATGTCTCCATTCATTTTTCCTACAATGCATGGAGGAGTGAGAAGTCATGTTAAAAGAACATATTAGCATGGCAGAAGCTGACTGCCATTTGTATTTCATTCCTTCCCCTGCCTTCCTCTTAAAAGCTTCAGCGAGACCAACAGAAATGTTTCCGATTCTAAGGCCAGCAAGCAGTCGTACGAACATTGAAAACTAAGATTTATTATGAGTTGAGTTTTCATGGACTAGAATCCATTTCATTGGATGTATGAAGCAGACTCTAGTCCACGAAAGGTTATGCAATGAGACTGCAAGACTGCTTACTTCTGCTGCTCCTCTGGAAGATTGTAAAGAGAATGATCTTTTTCGTCACTATACAACTGATATTGTTGCAGAAATATTCCGTGAAGTACAATCCTGGATATGTATTGGCCAGTCGTCTTGGAGTGAGTGGCTATCTTGTTTCGAGATTTACAGGAAGCATTTTTATTGGAAGAGGATCCCGGAGAAAGTAAGCTCTGAGTATAAACTTCTTTTGCAGCAAGATGTTTGATTGTTAGTTTGTAGCAAAGGCCACAAAAGCCTGTTACCTGGTGAAGTTACTTTGTTTGCATTCCATATACAATGGAACCTCGGGTTACGTACCGTCCTCCTTATGAAAGCTTCGGGTAACAAGCTCTGCTAACCCGGAAGTAGGGCTCCTGGTAGCGAACTTTGCTCCAGGATGCGAGCAGAAGTCGCACACCGGCGGCAGCGGGAGGCACCATTAGCGAAAGCGCGCCTCATGTTAAGAACGGTTTCGGGTTAAGAACGGACCTCCAGAACAAATTAAGTTCATAACCAGAGGTACCACTGTATCCTGAAAAAGTATCGTATTTTTCGCCCCATAAGACGCACTTTTTCCCCTCCAAAAATGAAGGGGAAATGTGTGTGCGTCCTATGGGGCGAATGCAGGCTTTTGCTGAAGCCTGGAGAGTGAGAGGGGTCGGTGTGCACCAATGCCTCTAGCTCTCCAGGCTTCAGGAAGCTATACGCAAGCCTTGCACGCCCTGCGGGAGGTCCTGCCGGGCGCGCGAGGCTTGGGGCGGCAGCCTGCAGCTCGTGCTTTGGGCAGGTGTGCGCAAGGCTTGGGACTGCAGTCGCGGCTGGGGGGTGAAATAATTTTTTTTTAATTCATTTCCCCCCCAAAAAACGAGGTGCGTCCTATGGGCCGGTGCACCCTATAGGACGAAAAATACGGTATATATGCAAGAAGAGTTTTCATGTGGGGAAGAAGAAAAAAAATGTGAAGACAGGAGTTAGTGCAAATCATTGCTTTGCCTGACTGGGCTCCTTGTCTGGCACAGTTGTGCACATTGTATTTCCCCTTCCTATCTCAGATATTAGTTAGATCTGGACATTCATTAATTTCTTGGGTTTCTTATTGTTCCAACAGACAAAAAAGGAACTTGAAAAGAGACTGAATTCCTGTTTAATCACAAAGTCTTCTCAGAAGGAAATTCACTTTTGAAACAAGTTTATACTTTTACCAGATCCATGTGTGAACTGTAATCACTTGTTTAAATATATTGCAGACTTCTCCTAAAGCTAGGTCATATGCTTGTTATATTACATTGCAAAATTTTGCTAGGATTCAGTGAGTTAAAACTCCTGTTCTACATTCAGTGGTTAATTAGTAGTATTTTGGTCAGGCATATACTATGCCAGTAATATATTGGTATTTCTTCACAAAATTTAGCTAGCATTCCAACTTTTGATTTTGCAGTCCACATGGAGAGCATAAAGCAAATGTGGGGTTGAACTTAAAATTCAATAAAAAGAATGAAGAGGTCCCTGGCTATACCAAGAAAGTTGGAAACGAATGGATGTATTCCTCAGCTGTAGAGCAACTCCTTGCTGAATATCTGGAAAGGTAAGCATTAAACTATACTTTAGACTGCATATGCCTTGCATGTAACAGTTCAAATACAGTCGTACCTCAGAAGTCGAATGCAATCCGTTCTGGAAGTATGTTCAACTTCCAAAACATTCAGAAACCAAGGCACGGCTACCGATTGGCTGCAGGAAACTCCTGTAACCAATCGGAAACTGCAGAAGTTGCGCTGGACTTTCGGGTTCCAAAGAACATTTGCAAACCGGAACACTCACTTCCGGGTTTGCGGCGTTTGGGAGCCAAAACATACAAGTGCCAAGGCGTTCGGCTTACAAGGTACGACTGTACAACTGACGTGGGCAGCAGTAATTGAGACAATGGGAACAGGGTCATTTTTGCAGCATTTGCCACAAAGTTCTGGCTTCGCATAGGTATGCCGCTCATATTTTCCTTCACTTCCTCACATTTGAGATGTCTTGCACATGGGCGAAATGCATAAATGTCTGTTGCCTGGTTTGCATGTACCAGGACGCATGACTTAATTTAACAAAGGCATCTCGGGAATGAGCCATTCTCGGCCAAGAGAAGGAAAACAGTTCAAAATTCAGGCTTCCTTTTCTTGGCTGAGAGGGAGGCGTAGGTGAGGTTGATAAAGTGGATAAATCCCCACCACCAGTGGTGACGATGGGGAGCACAAGAAGGCCTGTCTAGTGCCCCCACTGCTCACTCCCTCGCTCTGCCAGCCTGCTTGCTTGTTCAGCACTTTTAAGGCTTCCCTCACCATGTGTTAACTTGAGAGTGTGTGTGCACTTTTGTCTCCAGTGTCGCAACAGACAAGTGCAGATATAGTAGAGAGATAAATTTGTCGCTGCATGCTCAACCGGCAAGGTGCTGTTTTATGGAATGTATATAGAGATGTATACAAAATCTGCTCAGAATGGTATATTTGCATTTTCTTAGGGCCCCAGAACTTTTTAGTTACCTAGCCAAAAATGGTCAAGAGGACATATTCTACGAAGATGACATTTGGCCAGGTGAAGAAGAGAATGGGTAAGCAGCTCATACCTTTAAAGCATTATTAGGGTAGTTATAGGGTTGTAAAAATGAGTCTTGTCAAGTTCAGTTCTGCACCTCGAATCAATTCTTCAAACTTAGTTGTTGAATTTGTGATAGCTGGTATCAAAGCATGATTCCTAGTGCTCTTCTAACAATTACCTTTAACCATTTGGACAAGCCCATCCTCTGATAATATAACCAACTAATACTACAGCCAATCAACTCTTTATAATATACACTGAGTGGCTACATCCTGAAATAGACCTGCTTACTTATGTTTTATTTATTTGTAAGGAGTAATAGCAGTAGTAAGAAATGAATATCTCTAGCAAATAAGAGTTATTGTTTAGTTTTTCACAGTTTTTTGTGATTCTGCTGGAAATATACACTAGACCTGATGTTTTTTCATTAAAGTACATACCTTTGTAAAGTCAAGTCTTAAATCCCTTACAGCATAATTCTAACCACATCTGCTTAGAAATATGTCCTATTGAATTCAGGATCTTCAAGACCTGTCTTTTATTTTTACAGATATGTTTGTTAAGTTGCGTTGTTTGTTGCAATTGGTTTTTAGTCTTTATATGGTTGCTTTTGGTCATTATTATAAGGAAAGTGACTAAATAATAATAGAAGAGTTTACTTCAGGTAAGTGGGGTTAGGATTGCAGTTTCAGTAGCTTGCTGAAGCTCATTTGAACTATATGTAAATCGTAATAGTATATGAGTGGGTGGTTTGTTGAACTTTTATAGCTGATTTAACGTTTGAGTTAAATTATTGGCAATGTCCCCTCTGCCATACTTGAGGGCAGATACCAAAAGATTCCAACTGAGAAACGACTCTGCCCCTGTGGAGATGGCAATCTGGAAACAGTGGCTCATGTTCTCCTGTCCTGTCCCCTTTATAAAGATCTGAGGAATGAGATCATTGTTGTTGTTGTTGTTGTTTAGTCGTATAGTCGTGTCCGACTCTTTGTGACCCCATGGACCAGAGCACGCCAGGCACTTCTGTCTTCCACTGCCTCCTGCAGTTTAGTCAAACTCATGTTGGTAGCTTCAAGAACACTTTCCAACCATCTCATCCTCTGTCGTCCCCTTCTCCTTGTGCCCTCCATCTTTCCCAACATCAGGGTCTTTTCCAGGGAGTCTTCTCTTCTCATGAGGTGGCCAAAGTATTGGAGTCTCAGCTTCAGGATCTGTCCTTCCAGTGAGCACTCAGGGCTGATTTCCTTCAGAATGGATAGGTTTGATCTTCTAGCAGTCCATGGGACTCTCAAGAGTCTCCTCCAGCACCATAATTCAAAAGCATCAATTCTTCGGCGATCAGCCTTCTTTATGGTCCAGCTCTCACTTCCATACATCACTACTGGGAAAACCATAGCTTTAACTATACAGACCTTTGTTGGCAAGGCGAAGTCTCTGCTTTTTAAGATGCTGTCTAGGTTTGTCATTGCTTTTCTCCCAAGAAGCAGGCGTCTTTTAATTTCGTGGCTGCTGTCACCATCTGCAGTGATCATGAGATCATTACCCCACTCTTACTTACCATCCCAGGCCGCCCATCTGAGGCCACATTGTTCTTTCTTTTATCATATCAAAATGATCAGACAAGATGATCAGACAACAGCAAAGGTGCTAGGTTTATTGAGGTTGCAATGAGATTAAGGTGCTAGGTTTATTGAGGTTGCAATGAGATTAAGGATTATCTGAACAATAATCTTGGTCATTTGATTGCCCTATTTACCCATTGCTGTCTTTTTTATTTGTATATATTTTATTTGTATATATTGCTTGTTTTATGTTGCTATGGTCGTTGGCTAATGTGAATAAAGTTTATCTATCTATTGGCAATGTTTTTTGATATGGAATAATTTTTTAATGTAGTGCTGAGAAGGTTCAAGAAATCATTGCGTGGCTAAAGGCTCATCCTGTCAGTGCACTCTCTCGTTCCTCTTGTGATTTGCAAATTTTGGATATGGCTATTGTCGAAAAGATTGAAGAAGAAGTAGAAAAGTGCAAGGTACTGTTTTTATTTTAAGTCTGAGGAACTTAACATATGTCTTGTAATCACAATATATAGGAATGAGATTATAAATTTGGATTAGAACTGATTGACTTCCAATTAGAAAAATTGTATTTAACTGGCATGATAGTTTGAGCTTGTATAAAGATTTCAGTCTAGAAAGTTCAGGTGATACCCAGTGCTAGGTGATACTCTGGCTAGACCCATTGAAATCAGTTGAGTTAAGCACACTGATTTCAGTGGGCCCTCCTCCGAGTACGACTTGCTTGGATATCTATTACTCAGCAAGTGTGGTTTTGAAGACTTCTGAAACAGCAGTTCTGATTTGCCCCATTACATTATATTCCTTCAAATTCACTTATGTATAAAATCATTATTTTCAAGCACTGTAAAAAAAACACACACACACTCTCCCAGGTTCAGTGTCCCTGATTATGCTGATATAGCATAAGTATTTATCGGCATAATAGACTGTTTTGGTAGAGAGCTTTGTTCACTAGACACAAGTAGTTGAAAAAAAGGTGTTATGTAGAAAGAGAGCGATGATCCAGCTACTTTGAACGAAAGAAAAACGTTGAAAAGCAAGCATAATCCAAACTTTGTTCTGAGTATTCAGTTTCTTGTTTTCCTCCTTTAGCAAAGGAAAAGCAATAAGAAAGTGCGTGTGACGGTGAAACCTCACTTGTTATTCAGGGTAAGTTTGGGTTATTTTGTGAATGGAAGGATACTGTTCTTGTAAGAGAAAGTCTTAACAGAAATTCTGTCTTGCTCATAGGGAAATATGGTGCCCTCCTGAATTATTTAATTAAAATTGCAACAATGACTTCATGACCAACAGAGTTTGGTGTTCTATCTATGCTAATTTGATATTCGTTTAGACATACTGTACACAGACTGCTTTGAGGAGGGTTTTTTTAACAATTAAACAGTGTAAATAAATAAGAAAGAAAGAAAGAAAGAGAAAACTTCACACAAGCTTGCATTATCTTGTTCAGATATTCCTTCACACCAAGTACCGTATTTTTTTGCTGTATAAGACTCACTTTTTCCCTCCTAAAAAGTAAGGGGAAATGTGTGTGCGTCTTATGGAGTGAATGCAGGCTGCGCAGCTACCCCAGAAGCCAGAACAGCAATAGGGATAGCTGCTTTCGCTGTGCAGAGATCACTCTTGCTGTTCTGGCTTCTGGGATTCAGAATATTTTTTTTCTTGTTTTCCTCCTCCAAAAACTAGGTGCGTCTTATAGAGCGAAAAATACGGTAATAGTCAGGATTCAGGTAGTGCTGACTTTTTAATCTTGCACTGTTACCCATTTATAAACATAATAATATTACACACATAATGCTTCTTATTTCTCCATTTGACATGAACTCATTATCAATGGGTTAACTCCTCCTCCCACCAAGAAAGGTAAGGAATCGTGTGAACAGCATTTGATGTCTATCTCAGTCCTGCTGGTTTTTCCTGTTTCATTCCTTAGGTTTGCTCAGGCAGAGCTGTTCATTGTTCTTGTCACCTGATTCCCCCCACCCCTTTCAACCTCTGTTTTGTCTCCTGCAATAGCTTAGCCTTCTCCTCTAAACTTCATTGCTTCTCCTTTTTCTTATTCAAAATAAAAGCCTTTTTCTTGTGTCTATATTTACTCCCTTCTCCTCCTCTGGCTCCTTTCCATTTCTGCCCAGCATATGCAGGTGAACTTCCTCAGCAGGCATGTAGTGGACTCAGGAGTGTGGAACCTTCTCCAGACCATCATTCATGAAAGCTTCAGCACCCTTTTCCTTAGAGCTATTCATATCCCAAACAAACCATGTCACCTCTGTTGTTGGCCAGTTTTTTTCTCAGGTTTCGTTCCTACTGGGTAGAGGGCATGAATATACTCAACCTTCCAACAGCCTGCTCTGTGCCTCCTCCTTCACTTTCTTGATCTCCAGAGTCCTCAATAAAATCCAAAGAGAGGGGACACTTGTTCTGGAAGTCCCTCATTGGTGCAGCTGAGATAGGAATTTTATGGTCTTAGATATATGGTAATGTTCATAACGCACATACATAGATCAGCACAGGAAGACCAATCTGGAACCATTTTGATTCCTAAACTGACCAAAAGTTTTCTCTGCAAGGTCAAAGTGGAAAAGCCTCCCCATTGTCTTTTCCTTCACAAATCCTGTCTTAAGCGTATGTCTGTGTTTGAATAAGGTGTGAGCCTGTGACCTGGCCCAGGAACTAAGTATTTATCACTACAAAAGAATGGCCAGGCTACTCAGGAAATCCAATCAAGTAACCTGCCAGACAGGAGATAAACAGCAACAGGAGAAAAACAACATGCAAATGTTCTGTTTTAGACAGCTTTTTGTGTGTGTATGTATGATGTTTCTGGGGGTGGTCTTGATCTACAGGATGGGAATTTCAAAAGTCTTTATAAGGCCTTGCACACTATTTTTCTGGGCGCTCCTCCTCTCCTGCAGGTGAGGGGAGCACCCTGTTGCAACAGATCAATAAAGATCAAGCTTACTAGCTGCTTTGCTTCTCAATATTCTCTGGTTGGCCTCTGTTATTTTCTCCTACCAATAGGGAACCTATGTAAGGACTCTATATGGGCTCTTGGATACCCCATAAGGGAAAAGGGCAATTTTTGTTTACAACACAGAATACCATAGTTATCCAAGGGAAGTCCCATTGTTTCTTTCTCCTAGCCCACAAAACCCAAAACTTGCCTACTCCACCCAACACACTCCACCAGGGCATCAGCCACTTTCAGCAGCTCTTTTGAGTAATGCTAGCATTTCTGATATGTGCCATGCAGGGTCTACATTCACTGGGCAATATAAGGAGGATCTCCATTGAAGTTTTCACTGGCCTTCAATAGAAGGGTTCTCCATAACATCCTACCACTGACCTAGATAGCCTTTTAAATTTTTAGGCATTTGTCTGGTTCTCGTTCCATTAAGTTCTATGCCTGTACATCTAGTCCTCAGCTGTCAGTCTCTTGTCCACAGTACAGAACTGGAGGTGTTACCAGATCCAAGCTGGAACACAAAAGTTGCTCATATTTTCCCTTCCTTTTTCTGGGTGCTAAGAGGAGCTAATCCATCAGTAATTGAGGCCTTGTTCACCTCAGACCAGGAAGGGCATTCACAATAAGTGCCCAACATAAATATATAAACAGAACATTTTAAAAAGGGGTTGCACTGGACATTTCTGATTCTCCACCGTATTTAAAAAATGCTGTTTCCAATTTGTTCCTTGTAGACTAGTCTCAGTGATTGCATGTTCTACAGGCCACAAAGATGGCAACCAAAAATATGTTACAAAATTATTTGACTATTTTATCTCCTAATAAAATGTATACATAATGTTTTTGGGGGGGGGGCTAGTGATTTTGTTCTACGGTGTTAACTATTCATATTTGGATTCTTTTATCTTTGATTCCTACTAGCCTTTAGAACAGCAGCATGGAATTATACCAGATCGAGATGCAGACTATCGACTGTTTGACCGTGTTGTTAATGTGAGAGAGTGTTTTTCCGTTCCCCTTGGACTTCGTGGCACTGTGATAGGAATTAAAGGAGGTAACACAATGCCTTTTTGTGAACTGTCTCTTTTGCTTTTAAAATAATGTGAAGATCATTCATTGAACGCAAAATGAGTTAGTTTCACAGATAAATAAATAAACGCTAAACTACTGCTAACGTTAACCATAGCGAAAGCTGAGGCATCTATCACAGAATAGTTCAAAGCACCAACGAGAACAACTGGAAGCAGTTAGAATTTTAGGCGTGTTCCATTGCCTTAGTGACTTTTCACTCGTGCACCTAGAAATCTGAACCATTGTAATATTTTTTTTAAATATAAGATGTGGCAAGTGTTTATTTATACAGTGTCCTCAGTAGGCATAGTATTTTATGGAGTAACTTAGGCACGTGAGGCACATCTGTGCCCTAAAGGCGAAGGAGGGGGCGAAAGTAAGAAGCCTTTTGATCTCACTTTCGCATAGGGGTTAATTTAAGAATGTGAGCACGCTTGCATACATCACGCCTATCTAGAATGTTTAGCAGAGGCAGTGTGACTGGTTCTGCTGCATTGGGCACTGAGCCAAGGGAGCCAAGGGGCCACTGCAGGGCGTTGCAATTAGGACTTGGTGAATTGAGCAGAGTGTAAGGTGAAAAGTGGGTGGGGTGCTGAATGCTGGACATGCACAGGATGTTGCTGAAATCTGAAAGACGAAAGTCCACCCCTTAGGAGGAGAGAAGGAATTTTTTAATTCTTTCTGTCATGACAACAAAGAGTCTTGTAGTTTCTGTTGTCAGAGTTCATTTATAACAATGCCTGAAGGGCTCACTTAACTGAGTAGGTATTATACCTAATGTGAGGCCCAAAGGTTGAGAGATCTGTACTTAGAATCATAGCACTGTAGAGTTGGAAGGGAGGGGACCACAAGGAGCATCTAGTCCAGTCCCCTACAATGCAGGAATCCTTTGCCCAGTGAGGGGCTCCAACCCACAACCCTGAGATTAAGAGTCTTGTGCTCTACCAACTGAGCTAATCTATGGCTACCTTATGTGTTGATTAACCTTTTGGCCTTAATTTGTAACTCACCTGGGTTTTTGCCACCTTCCTATACCTGGGGGATGCAGATCCTGACCTTTAAGGTGCCACAGGACCTTGTTGCAATAGGTTAAAATAAATCAGTTAACATAAATTCTGATCAAGGATGGAAGACCTTTGTAATATGAGAAAAAAATGTAGCTTCTTTAACTATTCCAGACTGATTTAGGAAAGCTTCAAATAAAAAACAAGTTATGTAGTCTTTAAAACAGTTCCAGCTTTCTAGTGCATGTAAGCTAATGCCATAATTTGTTAAGGTTGTCTCCAGCTAAGTCATACTCAGATTAGACTCTAATAAACAGCATATTTGGGTCCATTAATTTTAGTGGGTCTACTTGTGAGCATGATTTAATTTGATAATCTCAGTCTTCAAAATGTCATGAGATTATTTGTTGCACCAGACTCAGATGATTACACCTTTGGAAAATGTTAAGTTTTGAAGTATCTTCACATTTAGTCAGTAATGCTTGCTCATAGTGCATATTTTCTTCAGCCAGCAGAGAATCTGATGTTCTGTATGAAGTACTGTTTGATGAAGAGTTTCATGGAGGCTTAACAATAAGGTTTGTTTCTTTGCATCTTTTTAGGGTGTTGCACAGATCCTAGAGAAACATGTAACAATTGCACAGAAAAGTGCTAATGGATATTTAGTCAAATCACCCTTTGAACAACATTAGGTTGGATCCAAATGTAGCATTTTGCAACTATTAGTTCTCCTGTTTGTGGATGATAATTCAGTCCAGCTGAGGCACTCCTGATGGAAGGGGAGAACCAATTCACCAGTTTTTCATCTGCAGCTCCCAGTGCCTCCATTTGTAGAATTGCTAAGCTTTGAGGTTGTGGTCTTTGGTCCCCTACCCATATATTTGGGGGGCAGATTTCTATTAATCATGCACCACTGGCATAACTAAAGCACTCTTTTCATTAGCCTTCCTCTCCTTCCTCTAGGAGCTCGCCTGGCAGAGGGTACCGCATTCCAGCCAGTGCCTTAATCAACCTTTCTTATGGTAATCGGTCTGAAACAGGAAATCAGAAGCTAACTGCCATAGTTAAACCTCAGCCAGCTGTGAGTCCCTACAACTCATATTCACCCGAATCATTTTCTGTATCTACACAAAAAGCACATCAAGGAGGTCTCAACCATTCTCCTCGCTCCCTCTTTGTTCCAACTCGAGTAAGTCCACATTTAGTTCCTACAATTATGTCCCAGAAAATAAAGTCATTGTTAACAGTAGATCTCCATGGATGCTAACTAAACATTTTTTTTAATAGCAGAGTTTAGACAGGCTTTAATGATTACTGTAATCATGGTTAGCTAGCTTAGACTCATCCAGGTTTGCATAAGAAAACACCTGGAAATCTCTTAATCCTCATGATACACTTTGAGGGTAGAGAAAGGAAGTGTGTTTGATAAAGAATGTGTTTCTATTTGGGATAGATTCTGTCAGTATAAGGAGGTAAGGAAATTTCCCAAAACAAATTAATGTTGATGAAAGAGTTTAAGTTGTACAGGTATTCCTCTTTTACCACATTCACTGGAGATAATCTATTTCCCTTCCCCTCTGGCGGGTGGAGGGGAGGAATCATAGCAATAACGAGTATTTTAAAGAGGAAGAAACAAGTTGAATAGCTATTCCGTTAAATTTTCTTAATCTTTCATCTAGCAAGTGAATGGAAGGCAGCATAACAATCTCAAGGTTGAAACCCAAGGCAATTCCAATTCCCTTCAGAAAGGAGCATATTTAAGCAGCAATCAGAAATACAAAGTAAGTTGCATTATTTTCTTAGTACGTGCTAGTAGATGTAGACTGAGTTTGGGAAGGAAGTAGTTTGGGCATGTGGGTGGGTGGGTGTAAGCAAATATTAAAAGTAGGGGAAATTCATCCCACACAGAATCAGTAGAAAGAACATAGCTCCTTAAAAGTGGAAACCCTTCTACCTTTTCAACAAAGGAGCCATTTTTCTTCCTGGAAGTAAGTAGCAGCAGAAAGAAAGGGTTCAGGGAAAATGGGAGAAGGAAATGCTGTGGAATTGTAAGGAGGGCGGGGTATGGGTGCGTATGGTTAGTAGCGGGGTGGGGGGGCAGTAACAAAAGAGAATGGATACCACATGGGGGGTTGAGAGGGTTTTGTATGAAGTGGGGAGAGGTGATGGGGTATCTTGTGAGACTGGGACATGGTCAGGCTGCTATCCGAATAAACCTTTAAAAAAAATTATTTTAAGCCTTTTTACAAGCGTGAGCTCATTCTGAGCTTTAGACCACCTGACATTTGCCCTGCAACCATTAGCTACACGTGTATACTCCTCTTTTGTGATTTTCCCCTTCTTCCATTTCTTGTATGTGCCCTTTCCAAATCTCAGCTCATGTGTGAGCCCCTTATAGAGCCACACCCATTATTTAGCCAGCCTCTTTAGATGCCTCCCACTTTTTATTTCTTGTCTACATTTGGGCGTTCAACATTTCACCTTGAAGAAACTCCCATCCGCCCTGTTTAAAAAGTAGAGATAAAATTGAGGAAGGCCCCGTAGCGTAGGGTCTAGGTATAGATGCAAGAAAATATGTGGCAGTGTGACACTGTGAGGTAAAGTCCCATGATACTATAAGAACTGCATTGGTAAGCAGGCATGCTGATGCAGTAGGTGGCTCCCCCTTTTACCTCTCCACAATGTCGGGAGACGAGAATATGTTTTGCCCATTCACTACTGCTTTGACTTTATGAGTCTAGGGTAAGTGACTTCACTTACTACTTCTCTTCCTCATTTTGCTTCTTAAACTGTTAAGCTATTGAATCTACACAGCCATAGCTCTCTTGGGTGTAAGGATTTTATTAGAGCAGATCTTGCATAAATGGGTTGGTTTTATTTTTCCTTCACACCAGGCTCAAGATAAGCAAGATGATGAATTTTGCAGCATATGGCAATCATTGCAGAGCTCTGGAAAGTCTCAGTCTGCCCAACATGATAGGCATGAGAAGGTTAGTTTCTGTAGTGGAGTGGATGTGATGTGTGTGAGATTTTCTGAACAGGATTTTGCTACTGAACAATGTCATTTTCTAGGGTGGAATTTTACCTCAATACATAAAGCTAAATACGGGTGGCCAGTTCTGCAAACCAGGCTTCAATGAGAGTAGCTTCAAAGGCCAGCAAAGAAAACCGGAATCTTTCAGGAAGTGTAAGTACTTTTCTTTGAATTTTGTATATTCCTTCATCAAGTTAGGGATTCAGTTTTGGAAAGCATTTATTTTATTCTAGTCCTGTAGAAAATGATGCTTATGGCAGATGGAGTGTTGCCATTATAGCCCCAACCTTTGGTATTTTCTCTGAAGAAATGCATGCCATTACCTCCCCCTCTCACCAAAAAAGGGTGAAAGTGGATTTAGGGTTGCTAATACATGGAGATCCATTGAAATCAATAGCCTTGAGCTTGATTATTATGAGTATGACATAGTTTGCTGTCACACTTTGAATTTTTGTTTGTTTTGTGAGGTATTGTTTTTTAACTTAATCCGGTTGATGTTCTTGTGGCAAGAAGTTTGGCACCCATCTCTATTTGAAATAGTTCCTGAGAGGGGCAGCATTAACTAGCCCTAGCGCAATACCATTTTTCAACTTGGAATTTACTATTTTCAACTGCAGAAACCACCATTTGAACGACTGAAGTCTGTTTTTCTATGGCTGATGTCACTTAAAAGTGCTTTTTTAGTGGCCATAGCATCAGCAAGAAGGATTTCAGAGCTGGGAGCTTTGTCTGTTGGAAAACATCATTGTGTGCTTAACAAAGACAGAATTGTACTGCAGACTGTTTTTCACTACCAGCAGGAGCTGGTGTTACATACTTTCTGTCTTTTCCCATGTCATCCTAAAGAACATGCATAGCACTCTCTGGATGTCCACAGGGCAGATTAGATAGATCAATTGATCAATATGGCAAAGCCATTTGGATAAACATGTTTATTATTGCCTCTCATCCAACATACTTAGGGAGAAAGGTTTCAACATCCACCATAGCTAGGTGGATTAAAGCTTGTATTTCTTTGGCATATAATTCTCTTCATTTGATTCACTTAGTGAGAGCATCTGCAGCATTTTCTACAAGTGGTTTGTAGGGCAGGGACTTGGGCTGCTTTGAATACATTTACAAGACACTATAAAATACACATTTATGCTTCTGCAGAAGCAGCTTTTCAGAGGCGTCAACAGGTCCTTTAGCTGCAGAACAGGAGTGTGGAACATTTGGCCAACCAGATATTGCTTGAACTAGAACTTCCATCAGCCCGAGCAAGCGTGGGCAATGGCCAGGGATGATGGCAGTTGTAGTTCAGCAACATCTGGAGGTCCAAAGCTTCTCCACAGCTGCTACAAAAAATCCCACCTGGGTGAGTCTTAGTGCCATTAGATAAGGGTCCATGGGATTCACCTAAAGGGTGTTTCTCAGGGAGTACTGGGAGGCCAAGGCCCACCCAAAGCTGCATGACATAATTAAGAGGTGGGTTAAGAGCAGAGTGTCTAGAGAGTGGTCATGCCTTTCTGTTTGTTGACATTTTGGTTGTTAAATATGTGTTGTTTTTAATTGTTGGATGTTTAACTTACAAGCTTATCTAGATGGCGAACTGTTTTTCTAAGGGAGGGGTCACTCAGAAATTCTATTGGAATCATGACATATTCCTGCTTCAAGCAACGTAAGGAACTCATTGACTCATCTGGCGGTGTGCTAGTGGCCCTTGAGAAACACTTTTCAGCTAGTCCAGTATACCCATTTCTTTCATCCTGTTCAGGAGTTACATTGTGCTGTTTGAGTTTTCTGTTGCAGCCGTCCACCCAGATTTTATCCCTTTTGTTACAGCTTCTGAACAGAGATAGTAAAAAGAAAGTGCTTGGAAATATACTAGATTGACGAAGAGGACTCACCCTAGCTGTGCTTGTGTACCTATTTACCTGGGAGTAAACTAAGTGGGACTTCCTTCTTAGTAGACACATGTAGGATTGCACACACACTCGTTTTATATATGAACAGTTTTTGAAAAAACACGTGTTACTTGTTTAGCTAATATTATAAATTTTTGTATTTGTAGCTAAAGACGACTCTAAAGGTCCAAGAACTGACAGTCAAACACATAAAGGATCAAATAAACCGGTAATTTTCTGGTGCTGTTTTATGGTGAATTGTTCAAAGGAAACAAAGGGCAGAAATAGCAACGGTTTGTGCGCAGATGCTTGGGTATGCCTAACACATACTTTTGGACATGGATTAAATTGGCAGCTGCCCCTCCGCATTCCTGCCACAGAGTGTAACTATATGTGTGATATATCTGCTTGAGGGAGATGGCCCTTGTATGATCGCATAGGTCTTGACTAGGGAAGTTGAGAGATTTCCAAAATTACTTGTGCAGCTAATCACTGGTTAGGTAGGTGGCCATAGCTTTTAGCACGGGTGATGTAAGAAAGTATACCTGCAGGAATAAGAGTTTGTTAAAAAACATTTCCGCCTTGTTAATTTGCTTTTACATTTGACCTGGTCTGTCTCAGAATTTTGCAGGTGCTAATAAGTATAGTGTGAAGCTATTGAAGAGGAATGAAGCCCCCAATGAGCCAGTAGAACCAAAGCCTGCAGTTGACAGTCCCAGTATAACTGAAAAGGTAGGAAAATGGCAATCTAAATATTTGCATTTACCTGAGTACATTCTGAAGAAGAAACAACATGACAAGTAGATTTTATTAGATATTAATTTTAATGCACCAGAATTGTCGAATGCTTTATTTTCTTCATGGTCTTTTTCCATATGGGATTGCACCTGTGAAGAGTACTAGCCAGACCTTTTAGCAAGCTCTAAGCCATGAGATGATATTGGCCTCCCTCTCCCTCTCAAGCATAGGCCAGAGGATCACTAGATTATCCATGTCAGATCCCTGCCTCTCTGCTCAGTGGCCTGCTGCACATAATATGTTTCTCAAAATTGTCAGAAGAAATGGATAAAATAAAGATTTAAAATTCTCTCTCTATAAATTATATCTCATGTATGTGTTGTGAATTATCGTTTGTGGCCATCTAGCTAAATCATAGTGGTATTATATATACAGAACAACCAAAAAGACTGACCGCTGAGCCACTTTGTAGCGAGTTCCTGAAGAATTATGGAACTTTTTACTTGTTTGCTTTGTTTGAAATACATTTAACATGGCCCACATGTGCTCCTGAGCTTTAGAGCCTTTGTCCTTTGCTGCAGTATTGAAGAGAACTCTAAGCACACAGTGGAGACACGGGCAAAATTCTTCCAGACTTTGCAGTGAATGGGGGAGACCTTTTAAGTAATATGTACCTTAAAGGGAAAGGGACCCTGAGACGTTCTCAAAGTAAAGAAAGGATTGAACTCTGAATAATAAGAATACACACTGAGGCTTGAACCAGCAAGACTCTGGGAAGGGTGCGTATAATTGTGTCTCTCTGTCTCCCCCCCAGCCCCTCGGCCCAGGTCGTTTTATTCACAAAAGAACTTTTTACAGAGTGTTCATAAGAACCAATCAGATTTCTTCTGAGCATTTCAACAGACCCCACGTGAGGACAAAGTTAAACTACCAAAACTAATTAGGCACGGGGTAAACAAAGACACCCCGGAGGTGATAAACAAGCAATATACATGATAAGAAGGATGGCCAGGAGGACAGCGATCATTATCACCTTTATGTGAGATCTGTTTCCTGGCCCTAAGATTAACATCCTAAGATTAACATATCAGAAAGACTACTTCAAAGAAGCTGCCCACTGTCTTTGATGACCCAGGACGCCTGCCTGGCTGTGTAAGTGACTTGTGAAGCAAGATAAATGGGCAGTAGAGGAAATGGCCAGAGATGCAGGGGGCTGTGGGATTTGATCAGAAATTATTGTCAAGGTATCAAACCCAGTCAACACAATGCATTCATCATGGACACAAGGGCTTGATGCATATTTTATAATTCCTCATAGTAATCCCACCTGACCCCACACTCTGGATATTTGCACTCCTATAGGACCCCTGACCATTAGGTCCAGTCGCGGACGAATCTGGGGTTGCGGCGCTCATCTCGCTTTATTGGCCAAGGGAGCCGGCATACAGCTTTCAAGTCATGTGGCCAGCATGACTAAGCCGCTTCTGGCAAACCAGAGCAGCGCACGGAAACGTCATTTATCTTCCCGCTGGAGCGGTACTTGTTTATCTACTTGCACTTCGAGCTTTCGAACTGCTAGGTTGGCAGGAGCAGGGACCGAGCAACAGGAGCTCACCCCGTCACGGGGATTCGAACCGCCGACCTTCTGATTGGCAAGCCCTAGGCTCTGTGGTTTAACCCTCAGTGCCACCCGTGTCCCAATATGTACCCTAAGTTCCCTCTAAGTTTTCATATTGATTTCAGTGGAGTTTGCACAGAGAAAATTCCTTTCTCTGAGTTTTGCTCTTCTAATTCTTTCATATATGTATATATCTATATATTCCTTAGAATGGATCTGAACTTGAAGACATTTTGGCGTCTTTGAAAATTTTCAAAGAAAAAGAGGTGCCACGGTCATATCCCAAGGAACCAACTAATGAAGAACACTTGTCTCCACAGTCTTTTGCTATGGTTTGTATGCTGCTGTTGGAATTGACTTCATTGGTTTAACTTTGGATGCATTTAATGTACAGAGTTCTATGATAAAATTCTCAATTTATACAATATATAAATGCTGTTTGCTTTTTTTTTAAAGAAAGGAACACAGATGCTCAAAGAAATTTTGAAGATAGATGGTTCTGACACAGCAGAAGCAAAGTCAGTGGCAAATGAAGTGTCTGCTCCAACTTGCAGGCAGGATTCTTGTGCGCCTGCCTCACAACATACCAATGCCAAAAAGATGGGTATGTATAAAAGCTTTGTTCTATAATTGAATAAATGGTTTGTGCTATGCAGATTTAAGTTTAATGTTTATTGATTATATAATACCTTTTGAACATCTAACATTCAATCAAATTAAACAAAGTACTGTACTCTGGTTCATTTATTCAAACATGGTACAGATTACATGTATTTATTCTCATTGATAGCTGCTTTCATGAACAAATCCCCTGGCACAGCAGGACCTCAGAACACTCAGGGCATGGAGGTTGGAGGCCACCCACTTCTTGGACCACCAAACTCATTATCCACTCCAGTATCTGAGCTTTCTCGTATCTGTTCCCTTCTTGGAATGCTGCAGCCAGATTTCTCATTTCTTAGAACACCACAGGTAATTTAGCTTCAAATATCAGATCTGTGTAGTATGCAAAAAAACCCACACCCATAATCTCTTTTATTTCCAGTTCAAGTCTTAAATGTGCTTGCAGAAATATAGCCAAATTGTTCCACCCACATGCAAGGAGGAGGCATCACCAGACTGGGATTTGCAAGGGACAAAATACCTTTATGAACTACCCTAAAAATAAAGGGGAAAACAAAACAGGCTAATGAGCACTTGACAGCTATTGACTGCTGAGCAACATGGGAGTTGGGGCAAACTATAAACCAGGCGGTGGGGTGGAATGGAAAAGGAGATTAAAATAATGGACACATAGGTATAAAAAGAGTAGAGAGAATCATTTCATTGTCTGAGTAGGTAATTTCTGAGCTCATGTTGAGAAGTTATTTGTCAGTGTCCCCAGGGACAGGGGTGAGAGCTGCTCCCCATTTTTCATCGTTTAGACCAGGGTAGCCAGCATGGGGCCCATCGGATGCTGCTAGACTCCCCAGCCAGCATGGCCAGTGGTCAGGGATGATGGAAGTTGTAGACTGGTGACATTAGACAGATGGATACTTGGCTAATCTTCAATAGGAAACTCTGTTAGAAGGCAGATAAATTGTCCACCCTTTGTATAAATCTGTCCATTTTGCAGTCTGTTTTCAGTATGCTATGTAGAAAATAAAGTTGCTTTGTCTTCTTTTCTTCCATAGACGATGACAGTTTGTCAGGTAAAGCTATCCAATGGCTTATTAGTACACGGACCTCAATGTCACTCTGAAAATGAAGCTAAGGAGAAAGCAGCACTTTTCGCTTTGCAGCAATTGGTGAGACTAGCAGTCAAAATGCTTTATAAAACCTTAGAATGCTCATCTCCATTTATTAGCTAGTCATGCTTCCTGTATCACAAACTTTAAGTACCCTTTTTCATACAGAGCTCTCTCGGGATGAACTTTCCTCTGCCACCACCGCCTGTATTTCCAAATTATCAACCCATGGGAGCTCTTGTGCCTCCTGGATCCATTCCTCCAGTCTTCACACAGCACACTGGTACATTTAATCAATTTTAACTTCCTGTGTGTGTAAATGCATGTTTTTCATACGGTATAGTTGGAAGCAAATTAACCTTTTGTAGAAGTTGCATAGTAGCAAACTGCTAGTCCTTATCAGCAACAGTGCTTTCTTTAATAATTGTATATAATTTGATTATTCTATATAGATTAATTTTATAAACAACGCCCTAAGTTTTTATAAACAAAGTCCTAAAGTTTTTAGGACTTAAAAAAACCTATGTTCTTTGTGAGACAAGTTGTATTATTTTTTCTCACAGTGAGAGGGGAAAGTATTGAATGCATTGATCTCTAGTGTCTCATAAATTTGTCTTTTGGGTTCCATAAAGAATGCACCTTTTTCTCCAATTCAATTATTATGAAATATATGAGCTAAATTTGGAAGTGGAGGGAGGGAGGCTTTTAAAGAGTAGCTACCCATTTTTCTTAGTTAATACTGGAATCTAAAATGAGCTTATTGTTTTCGCAGCTAATTTGTTTCCTTCACCACCTCATGCGTTTGGCCCAGTGCCATGGGGAGCACCAGTTGCAGTCCATGGGAAACCTTACTTTCCTGGTTCCTATCCTGGGAATATGCCTTTTGCGGGCACTGTACCAGCTGGTGCACACAATCAGTTTATACCCTTGCAGGTAAGATCTGACAGCCGCTACACACACACACACACACACACACACACACATATATACACACACACAGAGCCAGTATGGATGTAGTGGTTAAGAGCGATAGACTCGTAATCTGGGGAACTGGGTTCGCGTCTCTGCTCCTCCACATGCAGCTGCTGGGTGACCTTGGGGTAGTCACACCTCTCTGAAGTCTCTCAGCCCCACTCACCTCACAGAGTGTTTGTTGTGAGGGAGGAAGGGAAAGGAGAATGTTAGCCACTTTGAGACTCCTTCGGGTAGTGATAAAGTGGGATATCAAATCCAAACTCCTCCTCTTCTTCTACATATGCTTCTCACATGTTAGAAAACTAAACTTCTTTTTTTTTTTAAGGTAACTAAGAAAAGGGTTGCCAGCAAGACTAATGTTGAGCCAAAGGAGTTCCCAGGTTCTCTTCAAAATGTGCAGTTAAAGAATGAACAGTCAAGCATCGACACTACAAAAATGAACCCACAGGATGCCTCTTCAGAACATTTAAGGTCTCATCAAGCTGCTCCATCTTTCCAAGAGAAAATGGTTCCTTCAAGCTCGGTTGCATCTCGTAAGAAATCAATACCAAATGTGTCTACCAAGCGAAAGCCCAGAAAATTGGCTGTCAATTTTGGTGCACCCAAATCTTCAGAATAAGTATGGGTCATGGATTACTTTACATTTCCTTAGTGTTATAAAACCAATAAATATTATTTTAAAAATGTAAGCATAATAATTTGAAAGGTGTTTTGGACTGTAAATATTTTCTGTCTGTCACAATGAAAACAATTATGTTCACTGAAGAGCTTGATTTAATGTGATGTAAAACACAAGAAACTCTTGAGTTAAAGTAACAACCCTGTCCATCATGCCTCAGTCTGAAAAGTGGGGTTTGTGTACTGTCCCAAAAGAGGAGCAATAATACTGACTTGGCCGTCTTAATTGAGAATAGCTTTGTTTAAACCAACATATAAAAGTCCTCAACGAATGCAAAGCATAATTCTTGATGTCTTGTTTTTAATGATATAATAACTTCTAAAAGCAATTTATTTATATGTAACTGGTATACTTTATTTTTAGATTTTTCAGGTTTTTTGATCTGATACAGTGTGCTTAGATTTTAACTATTGTGGCATTGCCAGTTGACTTTATGTAAGGTTCATTTCCAGGAGTTATGCCAAAGCAGCTTAATAACTTGGACTATTGTAATAAACTATCTTTAACTAAATGCTACCACGAATGAGCCACTGACAGAGGAAGCCAGAGCAAACAAATGCTTCAGGAATTTGCAGCAGGAGTAGACAAAATGTTGTGCTTTCCAGATGTTGCTGGACTCCAGCTTCTATTAGCCCCAGCCAGCATGGCTAGTGGTGAGAGATGATGGGAACTGCAGTCTAACAACATCTGAAGAACACCATGTTGGTTCCCCCCTTTCTACAGAATAAGAGGTACCTCATCACTGTAGCAAGTTGTAGTTTTGGGAATGACTCCTGTACGCTTCTCTACTAACGTGCAGCCTCCACAACAGATCTGGCTCTGCTTTTTAAAAGCACTTTCATTGTTCTGAAATAGTATATACTCCTTGGATCTGGTATCACCAAAGCATGATTCCTTAAATAGTACAGTTTCAGAAATAATGGCGAATCTTCCCAAATATTCCAAATTAGTATATGTGTAAGCTAGAAGACAACCCAGACTAATTCGTATTGAGACTCAAACGTTGTCTTCATTCTGCTGTGCTGTTTTAGTTCTACTGTGCTGTCATCCTATGATCATCTACTTGTTCTTCAGCACAAATTCATGTTTCATAATCTGAGATATGTAAAATATTAGCCTGAAGGATACTGTTTATCACTTATTTTTTAAATGCCACAATTTCTTAAAAGAGAAACTAGCTAAGCTGTTGTGGGTCACACGTTACTCCCCCACCCCCTGCCTCAAATAACATAGATTAACCTCTATATAGGAAAATAATGTTGCAACAGTGCCCTAGGTGCAATCTTAGCTCCACTTCTGTATATCATGGAGCTATTTAAATCTAAAATTTCACTGTATCCAAGGCACAAAAAAACCCAACCTGGTAACACTCTTCAAACTATATAGTATGGAATTATTGTTTTTTGTCATGCAGATTAATTTTCATGTTCTAGTAGTACTGTGCAGCAGTGGGGAACCTTTTGGCTCCACAGGCCAAATCCTAGTCCAGGAGGCAAAACTTGACAGGTGTCAGTCATCTGACATCAGGAGATTGGATGTTCAGCGCACCACACAGAGCTTGCAAAGAGCCTTGTATAATGCTTTAAAGTGCCTGTGGCTTCAACTTCACGCCCATCAGCTGTTTTCTGTAGGTATTGGGGAACTTACTCATGCAGCTGATAAGCAGGCTTCAGCTCTTATCATCTATCAGCTAATGGCACCAGCGAGTTCTACAGAACTCGGCTGCAACAGATGATCCACCAGGCTTTGACTTTACTACTGATGGTTGGTAGAAGTGAAGCCTGATTTTCCTTGCTTGCTTTAAGGCTTCTGGTTGTACATTGGAGCCACAGGTTCCTCTCTGCTGGGTTGCATTCCTTTGTTTTAGGGCATCATCGCTTTGCTGCATGTGAAGTGGTCCTGTTAAAGTGAAAAGTGCTTTCCTCACTGCTTTCCATTTAAGAGTGAGAATACATGCTTAATGGGACTTAAAGCACTTAAACTTGGGACAGTCCGGCCATATTTCCCTTGACAAGGTCTGTCATACTGTTCTCACTGGTATAGTTTAAATTATTTTCCTCAGATCATATTGCCTGGTAACTTGACTTCAGTCTCTAGAGAATGAATAAGGTGGACTCCCATGGAAGAGAGAACTGATTTCTTTTACTATCGAGTCTCTTAAACAACATAAAATTTTCATTTGTTTACATCTTTGGGGTATATATATATGGTTACCTGACCCTTAATCCAGGCACTGGAATTGCTTCTAACATGCTAAATTCTGTAAGACTTTTTGTGGACCCTGCTGCCAGCATAATAGAAATAGAGACCCTGAAGATTTATGTGTATCTTAGAACCAGCAAAATTCTGTGTTTGTTGTTACCTATTGAACAGGGCTTCTTTGTTTTCCATTCTAATAAAAATGCCCATCAAATTTTCATCAGCCTGGTTCCCATCTATACTTGTCATTGTACCTGTTTCACTGTTTTCTATTCTCTCTGTTAATCTGCAGGATTAGTATCAGTTTCTTTATATCCACTGCCAGTTTTTAGATACATAATCTCTAAAACATAAATAATTGGCTTATAGAATTTTTGCTTGTTTTTTTAAATAAAGTTATATGGCTTATTTCTCTCAAATGTATTTTGTAAATGCTGGAAGTTTTCATTAAGATCTTGTACAGAGCAGTATTTTATTAAAATCTGAAAGGGAAGACTTTTTGTGCACATTTTTATAGTTTCTTTTTTAAAAAGAACTTTTGTCTATCTGCCAAAGTGAAATGTTTACAACTGGCATGATTAATATGGAGTGTATTTTTGTGTATAGTGTTGTGCATTTCAGAATTCTAGCATGTAGCTGTGCAAAAGTATTTTTAAATATAAATGTACAATATACCCTGAAGGAATAAATCATATGGATTAAATACTCTGGAGAACTTTAATACAATAATTTTATAAAAGACTTGGCCTTGTCTGCTTGGAATAAAAATGTAAACTAAATTTTTGAGTTTCAGTATGTTTATTTCTCATTGGAAGAATTGTGTCAGACATGGCTTAAACTGCATGTTCTATTTGGTTGTGGGGGTTTGTGGTAATTTGTTCTTAAAATAAGCCATGAAACTTAAGTTTGCATAGTCATGATGCAATCTTGGATTAAGGTTAAGATTGGCCATTTGTTTTCTAGAGAGTGGCAGGAGAGGTGCAATTCAGTTCATTCACACTAAAACTGCTTCCTTGTAGGAGAAAGGTAAGAGAGTGGGGATAATATGCCTTGAATTACCACTCACAATGTGACAATGTTAGGGCAAACAAATGGACGTGGTGGTCTGAGTATGCAGGGCTTGTATGCATAAGAGCAGTTTATGAACGCAGCCCCAAGAAGGGGGGGGGGGGAGAGAGAAGGGCTGGATCCAGGCTATGCTATTTGCAATTTGACTAATCCAGTATTTAATGCCCCAAATCAGATATATCAGGTGGAAGATGGAAGGCACACAATCAGCTTTCTGTCCAAATGCTTAGTAAATGTTTAAAATACCATAAGTGCTCTGTAAAAACACCTCTGAAATATTGTAAACATCTTTGTAGCCTGAATCAAAGAGTAACGTCTCCTGACCAACACCAAAAAGTGCAGATAGCACTCTCAAAAACTGCAGATTTTACACTGTGTGTGTGTGTGTGTGTGTGTGTGTGTGCGCGCGCGCGCGCACGCAATGTATATTGTAAGGCAGAAGATAAAGTAACAATACCCTTTTGCAGATAATAAAACTTTGAATTGCCAAACACATTTTGACTATGATGTTGATTGCTTCAGAGGGAATCCAGAGTACACAATATCTCAGCTTTGAGTTTGCCTAAGAGAAAAAACTGAATGTGTTTGGAAGGCAGTATGTTTGTAACAAAGTTTCATTTATCTGCAATAGGCAATTGAGTTCCTTCTGTCTTTCATGATACACTAATTTGTAGCTGTGTTCAGAAGCTGTTTTAGTGTATTGTTTTGCAACTGAAAGAATCATAGAATTGTAAAGTTGGCGGGGACCCCAAGGGTTATCCAGTCCAACCCTCCGCAAAGCAGGAATGTTCTCAACTGTCTAGTGAGGCGTTCACAAAGTAAAGGAAGGATTGAACTCTGATTAATAAGAATACACACACAGGCTTGAACCAGCAAGACTCTGGGAAGGGTGCGTATAATAATCTCTCTGTCTCTCCAGCCCCTGGCCCAGGTCGTTTTATTCACAAAAGAGCTTTTTACAGAGTGTTCGTAAGAACCAATCAGATTTCTTCTGAGCATTTCAACAAACCCCACGTGGGAACAAAGTTAAACTACAAACTAAGCATGGGGTAAACAAAGAACAGAACTACAAAGGAGAGCATTTGGCAACCCCTGAGATCATAAACAAGCAATATACATGATAACGACCAGGAGGACAGCAGTGTTTATCACCTTCATGTGAGATCTGTTTCCTGGCCCTAAGATTAACATCCTGGGATTAACGTATCAGAAAGGCTACTTCAAAGAAGCTGCCCACTGTCTTTGATGACCCAGGATGCCTGCCTGGCGAAACAACTGGCAGTGTACGTGACTGGTCAAGAAAGAGAAATGGAACAGGGATGCAGAGGTGTGGATTGATCAAGAATCATATCAAAATAGTTTAAACCCAGTCAACGCAATGCTTTCATTGCTGACACAGATGGGTTACTCTATATTTGTTATAATTCCTCATAGCAATCCCACCTGATCACTACAGTCTAGCACATTCTACAATTTTCGGATATCAGTTTTGTTTGCAAAGGGCCCCGCTGTTTTCCGGCTTTACGCTGAAAACTGCACTGCAAGTTTAGAGAAAAGGTGAGTAGGGGGGTGGCATGATTAAAATTTTGTATGGCATGGAGGAAGGGGCTAGAGCGAAGTTTTTTCTCCCCCTCTCATAACACAGTAACTCCTGGACATCTAATGAAGATTGGAAGATTGAGGACAGGATAAAAACAAGAACAGCTTCACGCAGCGCACGGAACCCACTTGCATAAGGAGGTCAGAGATGGCCATCAACTTGGACGGCTCTGAGAGAGGATGAGGCAAATTCAGGGAGGGCAAGGCTGCAAATGACTACATACTAGTCATGCAAAGCCGGAGGCAGTAGGAGGGAAGAATGTGCTCCTCCTCAGGTCCTGCTCATGGGTTTCCCAGAGGCAAATGGGTGGCCACTGCCAGACCAAGACGCTGGACATAGGAGCCAACTCCTAGGGGCTGAGGTCTCTGCCAAGCCCCCCTCCAAAGTTGTTAGGCATTGCTCTTCATATAGTGTGCCACATTTTGTGATTGTGTGGGGTGGAGCTTCCCTGTTCAGGGAAGTTTTTAATGTGTGACATTTTAATGTATTCTTAATCTTTGTTGGGAGTGTGGCTGGGGAAACCCAGCCAGATGGCCGGGGTACAAATAATAAATTATTATTATACCTGCCCCCCAATATCTTATCCAAGTTGGCACCTGACCCTCTGAGATTTAACTGCTTGCCCTGGAAACCACGAAAAAGTGGGGCGGGAAACTGCAAACCTTGGCCCTTCAACCCCTTGGTGTGTGGGGGCCTGGCGTTTCAAAACAGGCCGGGCCTCCTCTGCAAAGGCGCCTTCGCGCCCTCCGGCGCACCAGGAAGGCGGCGCTCCGCTCCGCTTTCGCCACGCCGCCCCTTCCTACACCTACCCGCCTTCCTCTCCTTCGCAATCACTGCGGGCATTCAAAGCCGGCCGCCGCTGCCGCCTCCACCTTGGCCGCTTTCTCTTCCCCGGAGTCCCGCCCTGCATGGAGAGGCGTTGCTCTCTCGCCCGCCGTCGGCGCGGCCGCTGCGTCCCTCTCCTTCCTCCTCCCGGGGAGCTTTTAAAAGCGCCTGGGTGCCTTTGCGGAGCTCGGGCGCCCGGTTCTGGAGGGGCGACGGCAGCGAGACTCGGAAGAGCAGGACGCCGCCATGGCCTCGCCTGCAACCGCGGAGAAGTATATCTTGGGTGTGGACGTGGGCAGCACGGTGATACGGTGCCATGTTTACGACAAGGCGGCGGTGCTCAAGGGAGCCAAAGCTATGCAGGTGGGAGCTGTGGTGGGGAGGAAGGGCGGGAGGGGGGGATACAAGCCGCGTCAGAAGGTGCAGCTCGATTTTAACTCGTGTCTACCTAGAAATAAGTCCTGTTTGCTTCTGTGGACAAACACAGACGTAAGAGTGCAGCCTCTTTAACCACTTACGTGGGAGTGATATGCCTAGGATTGTACCCAGGATCACAGAATCCTAGAGCTGGAAGGGACCCCTGGGGGCCATCTAGTCTAACCCCCCGCAATGCAGGAATCCTTTGGCATGAAGGATGAGTCTCCTGCTTTATCAGCTGAGCTATCCTTTGTGTGTTTCTCCTTCCTGTTCCTTTCTTTTCTCTCTCCTCCCCTCCATCCGAAAGACAAAACAAAGCCTGGCTCCTGTTCTGTTAGTTCCCTGATGCTTCCACCAGTCACTCATTAGTCAAACCGGCTCATGTACCGCAACATTTTGTTGCAGGCTCTGATTGCTGTGTAGTATGAATGCGCCAGCCTTCCGCAGCACATAGGCACATGAGAGCATCATATACAGAGGTGTTAAATGCTGGTAACATAGCAACCTTCTTGATTCCTAGATCAACGGGAAGGGAAGAATGGGGGAGACCCTGTGGGTATTGGAGCCTACTGTAGGACTTGCGCAAAAAATATATATAATTGTTTACTACAAAGAACCTAATGAAGCGTAGCACTGTGTTGCTGAGCCAATGTGTTGAAGAGCAGGAAGCTCTTCCTTGGAAAAAAACATTTGTTACTGTGTTTTAATGAACTGGTTTGCGCAATCCGCAGTATAAGGATTATTGTTCTTTGCTGTTAGTTCCTGTCCCCCGCCCCCCCCATGTCTGTAAAATAAATCACACAAGCTGAATTTGAAAGGCAGAAGCAGACTTGGGGTTGGAAAGTTTGGGATGTTTCAGAGGACTAAGCGACAAAGCTCAGAGATTCCTATTGCAGATTAATTGGTTATAGAACAGGCTGTGCACATTTTGTCTGTACGTGCACGTTGGTGCTTGGTGATGCAACTGTTTCCAAGTTCCAGTAAGCTGACATGTTGCAATGCATGTTTACCTTCTGTCAGCATGGTCCTAGTTTACATTTATCAGTTCAAGGAACTACAGTGGTACCTCAGGTTACATACGCTTCAGGTTACAGACTCCACTAACCCAGAAATAGTGCTTCAGGTTAAGAACTTTGCTTCAGGATGAGAACAGAAATCGTGCTCCAGCGGCGCGGCAGCAGCAGGAGGCCCCATTAGCTAAAGTGGTGCTTCAGGTTAAGAACAGTTTCAGGTTAAGTACGGACCTCCGGAACGAATTACGTTCTTAAACCGAGGTACCACTGTATAGTATAGCGCTAGGATAATGTCACTTAGAGTGATCTGATTGGGTCAAACTGCATGTTGCATTAAATGTGTGCTTCCAGTTACCCCTTCTCTTTTACCAAAAGCATCTGTGGGTACTTAAGCCAGGTTAATGAGGAGAGGGTTTCCCTGCTGCAATTTATCACTTGATGCTGATATTTAAGGGCAAACATCAGTTGTGGGAGGGGACTTTTGATGGGAAAGTGGCACAAGGAAGAAAGTTTCTCTGCAGCGTGATCCCAACTCAGATACAACTGTCTCCGAGCTGCTTTTTGTTAAATAGAGACAATTGTTAGCATGCCCTTTAAAGTATATACTTGACATAACCTGTGGTGTAGTTTGGGCTTCAGCCTTGTGTTATTTGCAACACATGTTATCATGATTAAACTTAAGTGTTTAATGACAGAAGGAAGAAACTAATTAACGGAGTGCATTTGTTTACCTCTATGGAGGATTACTTATGTCTCTGTTTATTCAAAATACCTTTAAATAGTGTTGTCCTGTACATGTTTACTCAGAAATAATTATTGCTGAATTCATTGTTGCTTAGGATTGCACCCATGTGTGTCTATGACAAGAAGACAAAGTGCTGTGCTAGAAAATTAGGTAGCAATTCTATACATGCCTGCAACAACACACTTGAAGGAGTTTGGCCTAACATAGGTGCCCTCGACTGGAGGCTGTCTGGGTGGGTCCAGGGGGTTAATGGTTCTTTGTGGGATGGTGTGGTGCCGCCTGCATGAAGAAAGCAATTATGGTAAGACCCTTCTCAAGAAGCCCCACTTGGGCCCAGAGTTTTGTGATAACTACTGTCCAGTTGCAAATATCTTCTTAGTAAACTTCTCAAGTAGGTGTGCTTAAAAGAAGGCTGTCCAGCTACATTTTAGTTCAGCTTAAAAAGCAGTTATGGAACCCCTTACCTGTTACTTTTAATGGGGGAGGGACAAGAGGAATGTGACTCTGTTGATTCTTTTTCTTTTTAAAATATATGCTATTTATTGTTTTTTTGAAAGGAATATGAGAACATAACACCACCATCCCCTTCGCACATTTCTCCTACTCACCCCAGAACACAGATTCCTATGGGAAAACGTAATTCCAAAGTCCTAATCTTTTGTTTCCATTGTGACATTTGTGAATGTTCCAAAGATTCCCAGTTTTGGACAAGAAGTTGTCAAGCTGCTGCTAAAAGAAAAGTAACTAATTCTTTGATTGTCATTTTCACTTTTAGAGCTGGTTAACAGTACTAATTTTATTTGTAATCAGAATGTTAATCAACAACATTCTTCCAAAATGGCTGTAATTAGTCACTTGCCTGCTACATATGTATAGTGGCTCTAACCTCTTTACACCCTCTCCAGCAAAGAAGAGAAATAGCTTTGTTAAGGTGACTATATCTCAAAGGTGATAATGCAGAGACATCACCTTGCTGACAAAGGTCCGTATAGTTAAAGCTATGGTTTTCCCAGTAGTGATGTATGGAAGTGAGAGCTGAACATAAAGAAGGCTTATTGCTGAAGAAATGATGCTTTTGAATTATGGTGCTGGAGGAGACTCTTGAGAGTCCCATGGACTGCAAGAAGAGCAAACCTATCCATTCTTAAGGAAATCAGCCCTGAGCGCTCACTGGAAGGACAGATCCTGAAGCTGAGGCTCCAATACTTTGGCCATCTCATGAGAAGAGAAGACTCCCTGGAAAAGACCCTGATGTTGGGAAAGATGGAGGGCACAAGGAGAAGGGGACGACAGAAGACGAGATGGTTGGACAGTGTTCTCGAAGCTACCAGCATGAGTTTGAGTAAACTGCGGGAGGCAGTGGAAGACAGGAGTGCCTGGCGTGCTCTGGTCCATGGGGTCACGAAGAGTCGGACACGACTAAACAACTAAACAACAACAACAATGTAGAAGCTTCAGAGTATTTTCCTATAAAAGCATGGATGCTGACTTTAATAGCTTCTTAGCCCACAGGCTCTGCCAATCTACCCCCCCCCCATTACTGTCTCTAGATCTGATTCTTGACTATGTTATATCAAATTTGTTTGGCCTAATTACGTGTCACTAATTATTTCATAATTATTGATAGTATAGGCTTCGATTTTGCATTAGTGCTTGTAATTAGATTTTCAAATGTTGATAGAGGTTTGGAAGCATGTGCAATATCTGTTGGATTTGTTAGAAAATTTGTAATGGCGTTTATATTTCGCCAACTCCTAATGTTTTGTCTTGTGTTGCATAGTTCTTGCTCACCTGTCAGGGGTATGCCATCTGCGTAAAAGTTTCATAGTCTGAATGAATCCATCTTCCTCCGTTGCTAACACAAAGTACCGTACTTCGTTTTTCTATGTATCTGCCTCTTTCATTTCTGCAGGGACCAGCCCCTCATACCATGAAGCACTAACCACACTCTGGACCCAACCAGTCAGGCCCCCTCAGCCGGAAGGGACAGGGTCAAGGGAGCATGTGGTCAGATGCATTGCCATCAGCACCTTGTCCACATCAACTGATTCACCTTATGTAAGCTGGTCCCACTAAGCATCCTCGATAGCAGCACTGGGTACTTCAACTAGAGCTGCAACAAGACACCAGCAGAACTGTGTGGATTAGTGTCGTAACCAGCCATTGTGTACCAGTTGAATTTCTTGTTTGCTCTGTACATTCCTCACTTCTATATAGGTCAGAAACATTTCCCCAGATGCAATCAAAAGCAGAACTCCCTAACTTTGTACTTGGCAGTGGTGTATGACGCCTTAATCTCACTTGTGACCCAAACTTAATTTGAGCTACGGCTTTCTGACTAGAAACCTGTTTCCATACATTATTATTGAGGCACGTTTGCTTACAAACCCAACTAAACTAACCTGTTCAGGTTGATACAGAGAGCAGTTTTACTTGCGCTGTATTGTCTCTGTGGGCCAGCTGTCCTAAAGCTGAGGCTCCAATACTTTGGCCACCTCATGAGAAGAGAAGACTCCCTGGAAAAGACCCTGATGTTGGGAAAGATGGAGGGCACAAGGAGAAGGGGACGACAGAGGACGAGCTACCAGCATGAGTCTGACCAAACTGCGGGAGGCAGTGGAAGACAGGAGTGCCTGGCGTGCTCTGGTCCATGGGGTCACGAAGAGTCGGACACGACTAAACGACTAAACAACAACAACACTCTAAGCAAAACTTAGTCAAACATGACTATTGCTTGCCAGAATTTAACTCTCGAAACAAGGGAATTCAGACTTTTAAAGGTAAAACCTTAGTATATGCAATTTTAAAAAAAACATTTCTATATTGGTCTTTAAGGGTTTGCCATTGATTGGCTTCACATGGGCTCACTTTCTTAACTCTTGGGATTGTAATAATAATAATAATAATAATAATAATAATAATTTATTATTTATAACCTGCCCATCTGGCTGAGTTTCCCCAGCCACTCTGGGCGGCTCCCAATCAAATATTAAAAACAATACAGCGTTAAATGTTAAAAGCTTCCCTGAACAGGGCTGCCTAGTGTATGAATAATCAAGCTGGCACAGTTGTATAGCTTGCAACAGCTGGATATCAACATCTCCTAAATGGAAGTGTTAGTTCACATTGTTAAAAGTTGGTGGTTGCAAGACTCCCTAAATTCCGGATCAAGCTATAGTTAGAATTTAATTAATGCTTCGGGGAAAGGCAGGGGAGAATTTAATTATGGCTTAGAGTGCTAGAGTTGTGCTACTCCCATGTGTGTATTGGAGCTAAGCCACTGGATGTGTCCACAGCTACTTAAGTCAGCACTAGCCTCCTGCATGAGCTGATAGCCCTGGGGGGGCGGGTAAGGATTGATTAGGACACTGAAAAATCCAGGGCAAATCTCATTTGCAAATGAGTGGGCTCCTTACTTCAACTGAGAGTTAGTTTAAAAGACAATGCCAGTGTTTATATCAGAGTTTAATTAGGTTAAAATTTAATTGCAGAAGAGTTTAATTGCAGAGTTGCGATTAGGAGTTATGCAACAGATATTGTAAGCAGCAGGCTGGAGAGAGTCAGAGATCAGTGGTTGAGAGCAGTGGTTGTGGTCTCCTTAAGTTCAAGGCTGCTGTGGCTATGGGAGAAGCCTCCTGCGGTGTTAATGCTGTGAACGCCTTTGTTGTAGGCTCAAGTTGTAGATATGTGTAAATAAACCATATATCATAGAGACACTACAGTCTCCACTGTGCCTCATTTCCCAAAAGGAAATGCCTGGATAAAGATGCCTGGAACCCCTGAAATCTCACGCAGCTCCGAGATTGGAATGGCATGTAACAATAGAGTTTGCATCTCCATGCCATTTGGATTAGGTTACCTATCCACTGGCGGACCCAGATGCTCCTGGAGGGCAATTGCAGATTTGTGGATTGAATTGTGTCTATTAATGATGGGACCAGCGGCGTAGCGTGGGTTGTCAGCACCCGGGGCAAGGCAAGTAATTTGTGCCCCCTAACCCCTAACCTCCCGCCGCTGCCAGCTTCTTCTTGCTGCTGCCTGGGCTGGGCTGGTGTGGTTCTCTCCCGCGCTCAGCGCTGCGCTGGGTGGCCGCTGCACTGTCCCTCCCCCAGATAGTCCCCCTCTCTCTCTCCGCACCGCACGCCTGGCACCCACCCCCTCCACAGTGGGCGGCGACCCAGCGGCTCGGATCGGATTCGCACAGCCAGCACTGCAGTGAGAGAGAGTGAGTGAGCCAGGTAGGGGCAGAGAGCTGCGAGTGCGAGCGCCCCCCCCGATGTTGCGCCCGGTGCGGCCTGCACCCCTCACGCTACGCCACTGGATGGGACAAATGGACTGAGTTCATTCGTCATCTCATTCATCCTTACAATAATTGTATGAAACAAGTCCTTTTTATTCCTATAGCCAAGGACACTGGGAAATCTGTAAATTTTCTATTTCTGATCCTTAGTTTTTTCACCAACTGGACAATGACTGCTCAGCTGGAACACTAACAGTTGTCACATTATTGAATTCAGTAAGGGAAGCTACAGTAGGGCAAAGCTGTATCTTTAAAATGCTTTGTGTGCAAGAGGTTCAGGTTCAGTCTCCAGGCAGGACTGGAAAAGCCTTTTGTCTACAACTCTGGAGACTGTTTTGCTGACAATACTGACCAATGTTCTGACTCTGTATAAGGCAGCAGCTTATGTAGCAAGAAGTGAGCATAATCTTGCATTGCTTATTGAGTTTGGCCATTGTTGACCCTCTGGCAGTGTAACCACCTTTGTACAAGTTGCATCCTACTGTCACCACCCTTCACCTCCCAGGCAATTCCAAAGGTTCCCCCAACACTCTGGAGCAGATTTTGGGCAGGGGCACAAGGACGCAGAGGGGGAATTGGCAAAAATTGCCCCTCTTCCTGTCCTATTGACAGAAAACTCCACAGGATTCAAGAGCCCTCTGTCAGCACAAAGGATACCATTAGATACACTGCTGTAACTTTAATCTTTTCTGGAATTTTTCAAGGCTCTAGCAAAAGCTGGATCTCATAAACTGTTACAGCAGATAAAGCTACACTGGAACTAATTTAATATATAGCAGTGGTCTAATATGGTATAAAAGTTTTCATAATAATTAATAGGACAGTCTGACTTTTTGTTGTTTGTAATGATTGTCACTTTGCTGGCAATTTCATATATTCTTTGTATTTAATTTGATATGAAGTTATGGAATTCAGATAGAGAAAATGCCTGTAGATTTAACAGGAGTTTTTATGCTGTATTTTTATGTTGTGAACTGCCCTTCATCTATGGGCAGTTCATCAATGTTCATCAACGTTTCCTTAACATTGCTGCAATTATGACTTGATTCTCTCCTGCCTAGTCAAACATCTTAATAAAGCTTTCTAACAGTTTGGTGCTTTATACTCTGTTCTGAGCCAAGATAATGAAGCATTGTAAATTTGAGGGAATTGAACCTGATCCAGATTTCTTTGCATCACCCATTGATATGCAAAAAGGATGTACGTTGGATCTTCATTCCCTACAGAAACAAATACAATTTAAGTACAGTGGTACCTCGGGTTACATACGCTTCAGGTTACATATGCTTCAGGTTACAGACTCTGCCAACCCATAAATAGTGCTTCAGGTTAAGAACTTTGCTTCAGGATGAGAACAGAAATCGTGCTCCGGCGGTGCGGCAGCAGCAGGAGGCCCCATTAGCTAAAGTGGTGCTTCAGGTTAAGAACAGTTTCAGGTTAAGTACGGACCTCCAGAACGAATTACGTTCTTAACCGGAGGTACCACTGTACAACGCTAACATACAGTCATTTGTATTTGACTGACATATAAGTTGCGTTGAGGGTAGGAAAGTTGGGGGTAAGCATAATTAAAATAATCAATATTCACTCCATGTAGAAGTTAACCAGTAATCTGCATGTATAAGAATTGCATAACTTATTTTTTTCATTGTGGAGTGTGAACATAAAGTTTGTGTGAAAACTCTGCCCAGTACATGGACTGCAAAACCCCTCATCTTATGTATGTACCTATTCCACATTGATTCCCAATGGCTACAATTAACTTGTTGTAACACTGCTTTGAGTATTTTTAAACGATGCAAATTCTGTAAAAGAAGCACACAGGCAGCCTTTATTGTCAGAATTTCTTGGTCTTGCTGGACCTCCCAGTGGCTTTTGTTAGTATTGTGATCACGGTATCCTTCTGTCTCAACTGGGTTTTGAACTCTGGCCCTTCTTGGAGAGCCATTCACAAAGAGTAGTGCTGGGAGAGTTCAGTTCCACCCCACCGTCTTTGGTTTGTGGGGTGCCTCTGAGTTCCATCTTATTCTCAGTGCTCTTCCAACAGTCCATATGAAACTGCTGAGAGAAGTCAAGCTGAATATTTGGACTGTAACTGCCAATCAGCATACTGATGAGACACGGCTCCATCTTTCTTTTCCACCTACAAATTCCAGTGATACTATACAACTCATGAACAGGTGCCTGGATACAGTTGAGGATGGATGAAGGAGAAAAGGCTGGAACTTATTGCAGATAAAACAGAGGCCCTGTGCAGTGGGAGATCTATCAATGAGGACAGAAGAGGTAAACTCAGTATACCTGAAGGAGCGTCTCCACCTCCTATCATTCAGCCCGGACACTGAGGTCCAGCGCCGAGAGCCTTCAGGTGGTTCCCTCGCTGCGAGAAGCCAAGTTATAGGGAACCAGGTAGAGGGCCTTCTCGGTAGTGGCGCCCGCCCTGTGGAACGCCCTCACATCAGATGTCAAGGAAATAAACAACTATCCAACTTTTACAAGACATCTGAAGGCATCCCTGTTTAGGGAAGTTTTTAATGTTTGGTGTTTTATTCTGTTTTTAATGTTCTGTTGAAAGCTGCCCAGAGTGGCTGGGGAAACCCAGCCAGATGGGCGGGGTAGAAATAATAAATTATTAAATTATTATTATTATTACAGTGGTACCTCGCAAGACGAATGCCTCGCAAGACAAAAAACTCGCTAGACGAAAGGGTTTTTTGTTTTTTGAGCTCCTTCGCAAGACGATTTTCCCTGTGGGCTTGCTTTGCAAGACGGAAACGTCTTGCAAGTTTGTTTCCTTTTTCTTAACACCGTTAATACAGTTGCGACTTGACTTCGAGGAGCAACTCATAGAACGTGGTGTGGTAGCCTTTTTTGAGGTTTTTAAAGACTTTGGTGATTTTTGAAGCTTTTCCAAAACTTTCCCGACACCGTGCTTTGCAAGACGAAAAAAATCGCAAGACGACAAAACTCGCGGAACGAATTAATTTCGTCTTGCGAGGCACCACTGTACACTGGTCTTAGGTGGGGTTACACTTCCATCGAAGGACTAGGTATGGAGCTTGGGAGTGCTCTTGAATCCACTGCTGTCCACCAAGGCACTGATAGCTGCAGTGGCCCAGAATTCATTCTGCTACCTCAGGCTGGTAGGGTAGCTGCAGCCCTGTCCAGATTGGCATGGCCTTGGCTTGGTCATTCATGGTCTGGTTACCTCCAAAGCGAACTGCAACACTGTGCTTTCTGTGTTGTTGTCTCTGAGGACAACTCAGAAACACCAGCTAGTGCAAAATACAGCCATCAGGATACTAATGAGCTCCAGAAGGTCTAAACGTGTTGTATCACTTTTGTGCCATTTTCAATGGCAATCAATACATTTTGGGGCCTTATTCAAAGTGCTATTAACTTTTTAGGCCATAAATGGTTTGGGGCCAGATTATCTCAATGTACCCATGCACCTATATGGCCTTTCCCATAGTGTAAATTCCTCAAGACCACTAACATTCCTGGATTTGGGTCTGATTGCTTGGTAATTCTGTTTTTTGTTAACAGGTGGAAGTTGTTCAGCCTCGGCCAGGTTGGGTTGAACTGGATCCTGAAAGACTGTGGACACAATTTGTTGGTGTGGTTAAAGAGGCAGTTCAAGGTAACCATGAAACTCAACATTAGTGGCTCTTCCAAAACCTGTGACCTTATGTGGCTGGAGATAGCTTGGCTACAATTACCCTTGCTCTGGTAACCTCCTGCTTAGACTATTGCAGTGTGTCATATGTGACTCTGTCAATGGCCTGGAAGTTGCCATGGTCCAGAATTGGGCCACAACAGTATTTCCTTGGAAGTTTGCTGATGCTTCTGCTTTGTCTGCATTCCAGACCCAAAGTACAGGGTTTAACCTTTTAAAACTCAAAACGACTCATGACCAGGTTTACCGAAAGATCACTCATCCTATATTAACATTAAGATGGGATATAACATTGAAACCCCTTTAATGTGCTTGTATATCCCACATTGTTACCTTGTGATGTATGCCAGTTAATTTGGACCACATATTGGAGTATCTCAACAAAAATTATGGGATCACCACCTGGAGGAACTACTAGAAATTTTACTACTACTACTACTACTACTACTACTATTAATGCATGCCCCACCCATCTGGGCAGCTTCCAGTGCATATAAAAACATAATAAAATGTCAAGCATTAAAAACTACCTGATACAGATGTATTCTAAAAGTTGTGTAGTTCTTTGTCTCCTTGACATCTGATGGGAGGGCATTCCATACAGAGGGCGCCACTGCCGATAAGGCCCTAATTGACTCCCACCACTTGGTGATTGCACAACTCACCATCTCCATTTTAGGACCACATGAAGAGGGACTTCCAAGTAAGGGGAGGATCCTGGCCCAATCAGAGTCCCCCCTCATGGGAAGTATCTCTGCACATCTACATTGGTGCATGTGTAGAGCCTCTTTGCATATATTCTGAATGTGTGGGTGGTGAGGTTGTGGTCACCAGCCACATGGAGAAGTTGTCTGAGCCCTATAAAGAGGGAGACATATTCATCGCTTTTAGTAAAGGAACACACTCTCCCTTGAGACTTGCCAAAACTAAGCAACTTTTACTGCTCAAGGCTAAAGAACATTTAATGTGATGAAATCTTATTCTGCTTTGCTGGAAGTGTTATGTACTGAAGTTCTCACCCTGGGCCAGCAGTGGGATACTGTAGATAGTTATGCAAATGAAGGATCGAAAAGTGATGTTCAGTGATTGGATAGTTTTAGAACGTTGCAACAGTTACACTTGTGCTGTAGCTCTATATAAGAGGCTGACTGAGCTCCTCAGCTTAGTTCTGTTCCAGCTTACAAAATAAAGAGCTGCTTTGGAGAAATCGCTGTGTCGTCTGCTATGTCAACCCACAACTTAACAGGAAGCTATGGTTTTGCGCAGCCTTCCTGATCTCTTACAAATATAAATATCTCTGTTCTCTAATGCTCATATAACTTAGGACATTCTGTTACAGGTCCGTGTTACTAAAATTCAAAGCTGTGTGTGCAAAGTATCTCTTCCTACTGCCAAAGAAGCAAGCATTTTTATTTATTTTTTGAAGTTTTGTACATGACTCTCCCCAACACTCTGCATGTTCTTTGAACCACATGTCCAAGACTGTTTCAGTGGCCATATTGTTCAGCTGAATGAACAGCTGGCTTTTGTTAAGTTGCTGAATAAAGTGGAATGAAATTCTTTATGAATGAGTATGGGTGAATAGCTTCTAATACTAAGGCTACGTTACAGCAGTTGTTTCATAAAGTTCACTTCTCAGTGTTTGAATTTTTCTTTTAGCTGCTGGAGTGAAAATGAATCAAATTTCTGCCCTTGGACTCTCGACACAGCGAGGAACTTTCATTACGTGGAACAAGTATGTAGAGTGGTTATAATAGATGTTTGTAACCCTCAAAGACAAGCTTGTAAATGTGTTTGTTTTTAGATGAGGCTGTAGTTGTGCTGTGAAGCAGAAGTAGCTGCTCCTAAGTGTGTGTATGTATGTATGTATGTATGTATGTATGTGTCTATCTGTCTTTGCATCAAATGTTCCTGCAGGGTTGAGAAGCTAGGAGCCCTTACCCGCCCTTTCATTTTCTGATGACATTTATTTCAAAAGGCAGTTTTAAAAGGTTGACCATCACCTACAGTGATGGTCTGACATTATTCTGCCAGTCAATCTCTTAAAGACATGAACTGTTTCTAAATATGCTGTCTAATTTGCCACTTAATATGCAGATACAGAAGGTGGCAAATTGTAGGTTCCTCCTCCTCAAAAAAAACAAGAGCAGGTAGCCTTGGAATGTTGGGGTTGAGAGAAAGCACCTCAGCCAACCTAAAGGTGACTATTAGGACATCTTTGCTGTATTCTACACAGTCTCTCATTTAGAATCATAGAATCATAGAGTTGGAAGAGACCACAAGGGCCATCGAGTCCAACCCCCTGCCAAGCAGGAAACACCATCAGAGCACTCCTGACATATGGTGGTCAAGCCTCTGCTTAAAGACCTCCAAAGAAGGCGACTCCACCACACTCCTTGGCAGCAAATTCCACTGTCGAACTTTGCTGGGCTCTGTGGAACTTCTGCCTGATGGGAACTGATGGGAGCAAAGTACAGTGTTGCTTCCTGATTGCTCTTAAAATATGACATCAACCACCTCAAGATGTTTTCACCAGATAGGCTTTTTTGCTTGGAATACAAAAATAAGGAGGAAAAACAGGCAGGGACTTCTGTTCTGTGTGCCCAACTTCTTCTTACTACCCATACAGTTTGGGTATGGTAACACTGCTCAGTCCAACTTTAAGTGTGGGTTATAACTGTCAGAAGGGGTATAGCAATAGGTGTATTCAGTCTTTTAAACTGTAAAGTGAGTAAATCTTGCAGAAGTCTGATTATGTTCCAGGAACATAGTGTGCATTGCTCCAGAGACTTTAAAAATTAAGCTGACTTGGATGGTTTTGAAAAGAGGTTAAATTTCTTTAGAGCAAATAAAGCTTCTGATTCTCTGTGATCAAATAAGTAGCTTAAACTTCTTATTTTCTATGCATGTAAACACAGCACAGTGTAAAGCATTAAAGCTCTTTTTTTTAATGAGATTTATGGGGGGAGAGGGGTTTGTTTGTGCTTTCTCGTTCTTGTTTTTATTAGGTATTTTGTTACGTGTTTTGTGTTTAAACCTGTGTTTTTATGTTGTGAACTGTCCTGAGATCTACGGCTGAAGGGCAGTGTACAAATATAATGAATTTTAAAATATACAGTAGTACCTCGGGTTAAGTACTTAATTTGTTCCAGAGGTCCGTCCTTAACCTGAAACTGTTCTTAACCTGAAGCACCACTTTAGCTAATGGGGCCTCCTGCTGCTGCCGCGCCACCAGAGCACAATTTCTGTTCTCTTTCTGAAGCAAAGTTCTTAACCCAAGGTACTATTTCTGGGTTAGCGGGGTCTGTAACCTGAAGCGTATGTAACCTGAAGTGTATGTAACCCGAGGTACCACTGTAATAGTAAATGAATGTATAGAAAATATTGAATTTAGGATTGTGCTACTAAAACCAGGTGGGGTTAAATAATGTTACCTCTTAGGTCATAGAGCCATTTTGATTTCAGGTGAATTAGCGGTGTTGCACACATACCCCTCTCCCTCCTCTCCCAAAATGTGCACCCTCAAAATGTACACCAGAGTGGATTTTGATGGTGCACAGTGGGCTGCAGGGAAAAGTTCCATTGCACAAGTGAACTTTGTTGCACTAGTGGAACAGTAGCCCTGGTCATGAACCAAAGAGTTTCTGCATTCAAGCATGCCATCTCCCACTTGCAGTTTGAAGTTATTTATTGCTGGTTTGCAACATGAGTCAGTTGCTTATGTTTCTCCTTCTGGAAATGAGCCAAGAGTGAGCAAAATTTAGTAAGCGCCATTCACCACCATGCCTAGTCATTGCCCAGCCATGAACTACCTGTCTGGCCTTCAGGTAAACTGTTATATCTGCATCAGCTCTTTTGCCACCATCACTTTGGCCCAATCCGGAATCAGTAGTATGGGGATAATTGGACTGGTCTAGCTTGCACTTTGTGCATTGAGTACTTTTCATAAAGTTGGTGATCTCTTCCACCTTTTTCAGGAAGACAGGAAAACCTTTTCATAACTTCATAAGCTGGCAAGATTTGAGAGCTGCTGAACTTGTAAAGTCCTGGAACAGATCTCTTACAATGAAGGTGAGGTAGCATTGATACCTTTACTAAAATACAGAGGAGTAGGTATGAAGGTGTACCCTGACTTCAAAGCACCAAAACTTGGCCCTCCAGATGTTTTGGGACTACAACTCCCATGATCCCTAGCTAACAGGACCAGTGGTCAGGGATGATGGGAATTGTAGTCCCAAAACATCTGGAGGGCCGAGTTTGCCTATGCCTGACCAAGAGGAATGTTATGATTTGTTGTGGTGTTCCCAAGAAGCATGATAGTATATTGCCAAGAAGCCATAGCGGTCAACTTACAGATTTGAAAATAAGGGACCAGCAGCCTTGAAAATAAGGGACCAGCAGCCAAAATAAGGGACCTGCAGCCTCACCTGTTCCAGGCACTCCAGTCTTCCTGTCCTCCTGCAGTCTGGTCAAACTCATGCTGGTAGCTTCGAGAACACTGTCCAACCAACTTTGTAACCAGAGGTTCAACTGAATAGAATCTGAATCACATGCACCACAAGCCTATGCAGCCTCAACTTAAGATGGCTCCCCGGCCTGGCTTTGCACTGCAAAGTTTGCAGCAGCACGTGCAACAAAATGGCGCCCAGCATTCAAAAACCTCCTCAGCTTGCATTAACTAGCTGCACACAAGGCATGCAAGCTCCACCCCCCAGTCGTTCTTAGACTTCTTATTGGGTGAGCAACACAGCCAAGCAACACAGTTGGAGCCTCCCTCCTCCCTGGCCGGCAGGGAGGGAGGGAGAGGAGCTGCTTGCTTTGAAATTTAAGGGACATCATTTAAGGGACATTTAAGGGACATCCATCAATAAGGGACAGCAGTGGGACATGGCGCTGAAATAAGGGACTGTCCCTTCAAATAAGGGACACTTGACAGCTATGCTAAGAAGCATGTTAGTATACAGTGGTACCTCGGGTTAAGTACTTAATTCGTTCCGGAGGTCCGTACTTAACCTGAAACTGTTCTTAACCTGAAGCACCACTTTAGCTAATGGGGCCTCCTGCTGCTGCCGCACCGCCGGAGCACGATTTCTGTTCTCATCCTGAAGCAAAGTTCTTAACCCGAGGTACTATTTCTGGGTTAGCAGAGTCTGTAACCTGAAGCATATGTAACCCGAGGTACCACTGTATTGCCAAGTCCACATCAGAAGATCAGTGATAAATCTCTTAACATTTTTCTACAGCTAAATGCTTCTTTGAGGTGAGGCGCTACTTTGACCAGAGAAGAAGTGGGACGGGGATTTCTCCTAATTGAAATTGAAAGCCCTTCTATTGCCCTAACCCCTACATATGGAGCAAATAACAGCTTGAAGGAGCTAATCATCTCTTCTCTCCCACCCATCAAGGAGTTGCATTCAGCGATTATTCACCAGTTTGCCTTCTGTGCCATGTATTTTGGCTTTGGGGGCCAGGTTTCAAACTATACAGATTCTATAAAGCAAGACTTGGTTACTTTTGCCCGCATGACGATGTTGGTAGTCTGGTCTTCATGAGGTGCACAGATACGTTCTCAGCTCTGAAAAGAAGGGGATTAAATGGAAGATGACCAAAGTGGTGCCCTCTAGTAGTTCCTGGCTGCATCCTCCCCAATTATTGGCTGTGTTAGCCAGGACTAGTGGAAATTGGGACTCGCATGGTACAGAATATTGGACTAGTTCCAATAGCCTCCCAGCAGTTTCTTTGAAAGTTGTCCCCTCACTCTTTCATATATAAAAGTCCAGCAACATCAGGACAGCACCACGTTTTCTACCTCTGGGTTAAATTACTCAGCTGTTCCATTCAGACTCGGGCTTGGTTTGCATGTGTAGCGGTATGAAATTGTAGAGTGCCAAGGCAGAAGAATGATTTGTGACACTTCAAAATTCAGGTTGCTGCCCTATTTTTTTAAAAAAGAAAATCTTCATGCAAAGGAAAAACCAGCAAAGCTGGTATTAGATTTTTGTTTGCATGAAGATTTTTTTTAAAAAAACAAGGGTACTTTGAAACATGCAATTCCCCACCTGCAGTGGAGCAGGTAGTTCTACCCCATGATTTCTTCATTCTCCAACATGTATAGACCACCTCTCAAAATGGCTGCCAGAGGTCCTACCCCTCACCTGGGAACTGGCCAACCGAGTTGGCTTCTCATTGAGCAGTATGGGATTGCTAGTCCAACCAGTTACTGAACAGGCTAACTTCATTGGGACTCGCATGGTACAGAATATTGGACTAGTTCCAATAACCTCCCAGCAGTTTCTTTGAAAGTTGTCCCCTCACTCTTTCATATATAAAAATCTTATCAGTGCTATTTTTCTAGAAAAAGACATGCCGGAACTCACCATGAATGCCTCTCTTGTTCTCTTATAATGGCAATGGTGCCCACCTGAGAGGTGCCTGAGTTCCGGTGAGTTCTGGCTGAAAAAAAGGCCCTGCTTCTATATATACATTATCTTCACTTGAATTGCTTTGTTCATAGATTGTGTGTATGGGTAATTTCACCCAAACCCTCCCAAATGAAGTTTTGATAGAAGCCCTATAGGAGAGAATACCAAGTATTTATCCACTTGATCTTTTTTTCTTTCTTCCTTTTTTGGAACAGGCAGTGCATGCTGTTTGTTCCTTCTTTCACTTTTTCACTCGGAGCGATCGCTTTCTGTTAGCGAGTTGCCAAACGTTCACAACACAGCATGTCTCTTTAAGACTGGCTTGGATTTTACAACATCTACAGGAGGTAAGCCTTGTCTTACTATTCTCTGTAATGAGCTTTGTACGGGCTGGCTCTTTATTCCGGCAGAGGAACCTCTTTCAGGATGGTAGTCATAATAGTGCAATGTGTACTATATGCTAAATTTTATTAGAAAATGTCAACTGCTTGTTTTTATTTATTTATTTCACTCCCCTTTATATACCAGCTTTCCACCAAAGCACCTCAGGCTGTTTATTATTAGCATAGCAATTAGAGTGTTGGACCTAGGACCTGGGAGGCAATTGCACCTGCTTGTTGTTTTTTAAGAAAGAAAGAAAGAAAGAAAGAAAGAAAGAAAGAAAGAATACCCAGAAAATACTTTTGAGCAGTAAACTGGTTTGATAGATAATCCACAACCTTCTAAAGGGGATAGTTGGGAAACTTGTTCCTTTGGTTTGCCTAACACTAGATAACATAATGTTACTTAGCTCAATTTTGATTTTATTATATTTTATTTTAACTTAACGCTGAAGTGTGTTGTACTTGCCATCTTGAAATAAAACACGGTTGGTATGTGTTTGCTTTCAGGTAGAACAAGCAAGTAAAGATGACAATTGCTGTTTTGGAACCATTGACACGTGGCTACTATATAAACTGACCAAAGGTGAGAAGGATGATTAAACAGATAGAAAGCATGTGGCTTCTTGCAAAGAAGTAGTTGGATCCAAAGGTTGTGCAAGTGGACTCTGCTCATACACGATTTCTCTGCCAGATACTGAATGAATTCCCCCTCCCATTGCAACCCATCTGTGGCATAACCCATGCTGTTTAAGAGGATCCTCCATCCCTTTGGAGAAGCTTTTCAGGAGGTGTCTAGGATGAGGGGACAAGAAATATATTTTACACAAGCAGCAGCCTTCCACTCATGCAACATTTGGATCAAAACCAATATACGTACACTCTGGAAAGGAACAATGGAAAGATTCCTCTGCTGAGGCAGCTCTAATTCTGCCCTGTGGAAAGCTTAAATTCTGTAATCTCACATTATCTTTGCTGCCTCATCCCTCAGTTTTCCTGAATTTTCCTTTTCTGAAAATTTGCCTTACTGAGTCTTGTTTCTTCCACTGTCCTGGTCCTCTGTGAAAACATAATTACTTCCTCCAGACCTATATTGCGCTTCTAAATAAGGTCCGAACTAGAAATGATTGCAGCAGACATGTTTGTTTAATCCCATCTGCTGTGCTTACGTGTAAAGGGGGGGGGGTCACATCAAAGGGATATTGGGGTGAGGGAAGCTGAACGCTCTTGTTCTTGACCTCCATAATCCATATCCCTAACGTGTTTCTCTCAACCTTGTCACTTTCGTTACTGGAACTAGGCAGTGGAGAAATGTTCAGGTGAGGTATTCCTCTCCTTCTAATTTCTTTCCACATGTCCCTGCTCCAATTCATTGATCTCCCAGTCTCCTTTACTCAAGTAACTTGTCTCTTCTCTCTGCATGGACGTGGACCCCCTAGCTCTCCCAATTCCTGTCCTGCCATTTGTTATTGTGAGATGGAGGAGGCAGCTGGTCCCTTAGCCAGGAGTGGTTTCCTGGTTTAGCAGGTGGGAAGAAGAGAGGACAGGTTTTTGTGTGTGTAGGGCAGGGGTCTGAAGGTGCAGCATCACCCCTGGGTACTTTTTCTCTCCCTCAGCCCAACCACCACTTTTGTCTCTCTCTCTCTCTCTCCTTCCCATTCTTTGTTCTCCTTCCTACACATTTACGTTACCTGCTTTCTCCATCCATTTCCTCTCCTGTGCCTTTCCTCCCCTCCAGCTTCCGAATGCTGCAGCCTCACTTTCTCCTCAGCTGTGCTGTGCATGTGGGGAGCTGCTACTGCTGCTACGGTGGGGTAAACAAATTGTTATGTACTGAAGTTCTCACCCTGGGCCAGCAGGGGGATACTGTAGATAGTTATGCAAATAAGGGGTCGAAAGTGACGTTCAATGATTGGATAGTTTTAGAAAATTGTTACAGTTACATTGTACTGGAGCTCTATATAAGCAGGCTGACTGAACCCTTCAGTTCAGTTCTGTCCTGGCCTGTGAATAAACAAGAGCTGTTTGAAGAATCGCTGTGTCGTCTGATATGTTCACCCACAACTTAACACAAATGGTGGTAGTACTAGTAGTACGTTACTTTGAATGAACTGCCCAGTTTTGTAGCAGCGAAAAATTGAAAAGGATATCCTCTTAGAAGAAGACGACCGTAAACAAATGCTTGTCTGCAATAATGTGTTTGTGCTTTTCAAGTGAGGTGCTGAGCAGGACTCAGGCCTCCAACATTAAGTTCCCACATCTTCACTGTAATCTTCTTTTTGTGTTTTTGAGCATTCACTAGTATTGGTTCCTTTTAGGTGCGGTGTATGCTACAGACTACTCAAATGCCAGTACAACAGCAATGTTTGATCCCTTCAAGGTATGACTAATTCTCTCTGCAAAGCTGCTTCAATGTTTACTCTGAATTGCTTTTAACTCCCCCTTTTTCATATGCATGTGATTTCAGCTGCAGTGGAGTGCGTTCGTTAGCAAGTTTCTTTCCATTCCAATATCAATTTTTCCCCCAGTGGAGGACACAAGGTTAGTCCTAAGGTCTAATAAATAAGTCTCTCTCTCTCTGATTTAGTATAGAAGTGGCACACTTTTCACACTTCTAGAATATTTGTTTTTTCTTCACTCATTATAGTTTTGATATGAGGGCAATAACCTTTAATGTCTTATTTTTATTTTAAGTCATAAATTTGGAACAGTTGATGCTGAGATATTTGGAGTGCCTATTGCAGTAGCAGCTTTGGTAAGTAAAAAAACTTTTTTTTTCCTGTTCCCTTAGAAATATGTTTAGATCCAGTTGGGTACTATGTCAAGTGTATTGGTCCTAGTAGAAGTCTCCAGAGAGAACTTTCAAAGTGCAGGTCAGTCTGTGCTGTTTCTGCTACGTCTGGCTGAAATTGCCTATTTTGAAGTTCTTAAAATGGGTGCCAGTTCCTTGGAGTGTGGCATGCCAGTTCTGTGCAGTACTTTGTTATCTAATAAACAAATTCAGTTCAAGAAATAGTTCAGCATTGTATGTGACGAATCTTAAAATCAGCAACTTCCTTCTATGTCAGTTATTGTCTTCTGTGTTTACCTTCTCTTTCTCCTTCAAAACAGAGGACATGCTTTTTCAGTAGCCATGCGCTTGCCTTTTGAAGCTTTCTCTTTGTTAGAGTGAACTAAATTCTAATATTACACACTTGAGGGAACCTTCATATCCCTTCAACCTAATGGGTTCTATTCAACACTGTTAGGGGCATTCTGGGAAATTGAAAAGCTGGCTAGTTCCTGCCACCTAGTGCTGCTTAAAGTGCCAGGCAAGAAAACAAATTTAAAGGGATCCAGGGCAAAGATTTGTAATAAGGTCCAGGCAGTTTTCCTAGTATGCTGGTTGCTGATGCTGACTCTGGTCTTACTGAAGTATTAGACATAAATGTGGCAACATTTCACCTGGATAATGAACATTTTTAGCTGGATAATGAACACAAAATAGTATGCAAATCCAATGCCACATGCAGTTTGAGCCACTGTCAGTCAGTGTAGAAAATATTGAACTAGATGAAGCAAGGCTTTGCCTTGACATTAGGCGGCTTCCTATGTTTCCGTTCCAATTTCTATTCCTATTCCTACTCTTATTCCTGTTACTTTTCTTTTCCTTCCTTCCAAAAAAGGAAAGTGCATACACTAACACAGAAGCATAATTACCTTGACAACCTGGTTTGTTTGTTGTTTGTTTGTTTTGTTTTTTTGTACTGAAGGTGGCAGACCAACAGGCAGCCATGTTTGGAGAGTGTTGTTTTGAAAGAGGTGATAGTAAGGTCACCATGGGGACTGGTACGTTTTGGGATGTTAACACTGGAAGCAAAATTCATGTATCTACGAAAGGTAAAGCCTATATGTTTGCGTTCTGAAAATGGCTGACAACAAACACTTTATTTAAATATTTATATACTGCTATATTGTAAAAAATAAATAAATTCAAACCAGTTTACAATAGCAACTATATATAAAAAGATAATTAAAACAAAAACGAAAAACTAGAGATGACCCACCAACCAAAATGGAAAGATATTGCCTGCATAAGCCTGGAAAAACAATAATTTTAGACACAGTCATTTTCAGCATGGAATGTTGCTTTTATTTTGTAATGAGGTTCTAAGGCAACTAAGGATTGAATCCTGAGATAGGTTAACTTGAGGCTGTTCATGGAAGAAAGGATTACTGTCCCTTCCTATCCACGTCAGTCACCTTCCACCCTGCAAAAAACCTCACTGGAGGGTCAGTGAGCCCTTCTGAATAACGGGGGAGGAGGTGGAAGCTACTTTGTGGCTGGAAGCCATAGATATTAATAAGAAAATATATAGTTTTTCAAGATACTCCCTTAGTGTGGCCAACATCTGTCACATGTTCAAATCGTTATCCCTTTGTGAGAGAATCTACAAGGAGCTGCTGCTACTAATAATGCTTACCAGTATTTGGAATAAAGCTTCACAGATTTATTCATTCATTCATTCCTACTCAGCCTTCTAGGGCAAACCCTCCCCAGGTGGCTTACAATAAAAATGTTAAAACAATTGAAAAATAACAATAAAAACAGCATAAGGTAAAATCATAGAGATTGATCAGTCACGCAAACTTCCACCATCCATAATATTTTTTGTGCTGGGTGCTAGGCTGTGTTAGTCAGCAGTAGGAAGGTGAACGGGCCAAGTGCAGCCCTTTTCTGGCTCCAAAAATAACATACTATGTCCCACTTTCAGTCTTTTTTACAAAGCAGTTCACAAATCAGTAAATATGCTTCGACTTTAGTAACTAGCTCTAAGACCTGGTGGCTTCTAATAGTAGTTCTAGGGATTGTAGACAATGTTCCTTGATACAGTCATGATGATGGCTTTTGGCATGCCTCTTTTTTTAAAAAAAAAGAGAAATATATATATAAGTGGGCAGTTGAGAAAAATGAAAAAAACGGAAGTGGGCAGTTCCACCAGGAACAAATTGTTAGTCATACCTGGAATAGCATTTTGGATGTCAGATACTATTTGTGTATGTTAGAAAAGTGAATGTGGCATAGTGGTTAGGATGCATAATAAACTCATGTCTTGCAACTTTAAGGCTTGTATCCAGTGGTTGGTTGGAAGATTGGGAAAGAGGTGATCTTCTTAACTGAAGGCAATACTTCTGATACTGGGAATTCTATTAAATGGGCCCAAAGCTTAGGTGAGTAGCATGAATTAACTCTTTGAGCCTGAAATAATGTAGGATGCAAAGCACAATCTTAGGACTATGTTTCTAGTTTTCAAATGTAGGGGTGAGATTTAGTGTGTATTTCTTTAAGTGAGCTGAAGAATTTTCAGGTTTTCACTTACTGACCTTTTCTCAGTGTTCTGTAGAGGCATCACTATAGTTCAATGGGACACTCCTGCCAGGCAGAAGAAACACTCAGGGGGGCTGCAAAGCAGAGCCAGAAAGGGGTGTTGGCTCCAGAGGGGGCATGACTTGGAGAGAATCTTGCAGGCCAGATTGAGAGACCTAGTGGACTGCTTTTGGAACCCAGGCCTGAGATTCTCCACTCCTGTCCTAAATACGTTTACTAGAGAGTGAGCATCATGTGCACAATAAGACTTGCATCTGAATAAGCATACATAGTATTGTGCTGGAAGTGAGCAAAAGGGGAGGACAAGATACAGGGCCAGTCTCAGTGTAGCTGAAGATCTGCCATAGCCCAGCCAATCCCCACCCCCCCAGTAGGAAGTCCCTCGAGATCCTCATGATGCTGATGCACTGCTACTTCTCCTTGTTGTTGTCACTGCTCTCTCTCTCTGCATGCAAGCAGTGATAACTGTGTGAACAGCATCTTCTGCTTGACTTGCATTATCTCTCCAGAGGCTCTATGGCAGGCATAGGCAAACTCGGCCCTCCATATGTTTGGGACTACAATTCCCATCATCCCTAGCTAACAGGACCAGTGGTCAGAGATGATGGGAGTTGTAGTCCCAAAACATCTGGAGGGCAAGTTTGCCTATGCATGATCTATGGAATGGGCACAGAGGGAGAAGGCAAGCAAGCTAGTAGGGGTGAGAGTGGCAAGGAGGTGGGCTCAAGGACCACACAAAACCTGGAGCCAGCAGTGGCAGGATACCAAGAGATAATATTAACTGAGCTGCCAGTTGCAGGGACTACTACCTGTTGTAGTAAAGAGTGCTCAAGAATTATTTTTCTTTTTTTAATGCAAAGAGTGTAAACCTTTGATTTTAGTCGAAAGGGGGAAACTTCAAAATTTGGGAAATAGTAACCTTCCTGTTGTGTGTATTTTTACAGGTCTTTTTACCAATCCTGAAGAGACATCAAAAATAGCCCAGAGTCTAGTAAATTCAGGAGGCGTTTGTTTTGTTCCATCGTTTAGTGGATTGCAGGTAAAATGACTTGATTGATTTGCTGAAGTGACATTGGCTTCCAAAATATATGTGATCATAAAAAAGAAATGCATTTCATTCAGCCTTCATAGTTTCCACTTTTCATTGGTTGTAAAATTATCTTGCGAACAGTGGTGCACTGCTTATTGCTCTTAATTTCCTTCTTCTTACTATGCTGCCTCTTTATTTGTAATTTGTAAGTTATTTTTTCCTTATAATTTCAGTCCATTCTTAGACATCTGCCATCAGAACAAATTCCTGCATATCTTATTTTCATATCTTTTTATTTTAGATCCCAATGAATGACCCTTTTGCATGTACTTCTTTTATGGGGATCACATCTTCCACCACCAAAAAACATCTTGTTCGAGCTGTGTTGGAATCTATAGCGTTCAGGTACTAAGCCAGCATATCCCATTAAGTCTCCAACACATGCTTTTGCGCTATTATTTGATTATACACATTCCATCACTCTGTGCTGCTCTGAGTTCTGACATGCCTGGTTCCTACAGAGTTCACAGGGTTACAGAAAAATTATACCAGGGTCTGTGGGCCACACTCCAGTTTCCACAAAACGTTGTGGATCTCTACTTACATGCTTTCAGTTCAAAGCAGCTCACTGTCTTGCAAACCAAGGCAGGGAAAAACCCCTCTCAACCATATAAAGCAGACAGTTATTCTTTGTGCAGTATTTCCCCTTCCAGTGTCATATAACTGATAGAACCTGTCTGAAAACAGTGTCCCTTCCACTTTGCTGCCTAATCTTTAAATTCAAACCGAGCAGGGAGAATGTCAATTATAGGCTGCCTTCACTATGGAAAAGAAAATTAAAGGCTGGCAAATACCAAAAGTTACCACTGTTATTGCTAACATTTTAACATTGATGTAAAAGTAAATGATTCAATATTTTGGTTGCTCAGAAGTTTAAAATAGGTATTTGCTCTCTGCTCCTACGATAACTGGTGTGCCTTGTCAAATATTATTATTCTCAACTGTGACCTTCTTCTGTTCTGCTGCTGTAGTGGATAGAGGTCATACACCAGTAGTAACTGGGAAATCATACCCTGCTCTGTGTAGACTAGACTGATGCTGGGCAGTGTTAGGGACATTACTGCTGTACGAGGGGTTGTTGGTGTGGCACTCACTGGTGCCATTCCGCCTGCTGCTATCTCCTACGACAGAACATCTCAGCAAATAGCCTTTCAGTGGGTGCTAGGAGTGAGTACCCACCCTCCCTTCTGTTCTGAACAGCAGAGAGATGCAGAGCATTTCTCTCCACAAGCGAGTGCAAAATTTGGCTGATGTAGGTGCCTTGTCCCCACTTTTTTGGGGGGGGGGGGAGGTGGGGGGAATGCCACATTCCAGATGTGGCAGACATGCCACACACCCCACAGCAACCATTTTGTGCTACATCACGCCCTGCAACAGCCCTTTTGTGACCCACAATCCCTTTCTCAAACCCACATCACTTTCTCAAAATTCCAGATGTGCTTACTGACAAAGGCTGGTGCCTCCTTGCCCAGAGGCTTTGAAGTGCTTTCCTCATTGGGGTTAGGAGCTCCTCATTGCAGTTTAGTTTCCACAAACGATGCAAAACTTTTAAACTGATTTGGTGGCTTGCCCGGTGATTCTTAGTAAGCCTATAATGTTGTTCTGTTCTTTGTGGGTTTGTTGAATATGCAGTTTTACTGTCTAATTTACACCACTTTAGCCTTTGAGAAAGGTAGCCTAAAATGTTCTCATGTAATAAAGATGGGAAACATGAAAAGCTATACAGCTCCAGGTTATTTTAAAATAGCTCACTTGAAGCCCATTATGAAAACTTATGAATTACAGTATCTCACTAGTTTTGAACTGTGGTTTCTTGTAACTGAATACTGAGCTTCTGAAGTTCATGTTACTTTTGTATAAATCCTTTAATTTCTATTGAATCTCTTTTGCAAGAAACAAACAGCTTTATGATACCATCGCAAGAGAAATTGACATCCCACTTACGTCCATTCGGTATGTTCATTTTATCTCTTACAATGTCTGTGTAAATTTTTCTTTTATGTGGAGCCATCCATTGATTTAAGATGCCAGATAGATAGCAAAACTTCCCAGCTGCCTTTATGTTGTTGAAAACGCTAGTGAGCAGCCTTGTGACATAATGTTTTGGAAAATTGTAGATTTCCGATTTACATTACAGAAGTGTAGGATGTTGTTAGTCTGACGGTCCTTTTCATGGGCAAAAGATCTAAAATTGTATGGGGAATCTTTTTCAGTCTGAGGGCCATATTTCTTCATGGGAAACCTCCCAGAGGTGATGTTCCTTCCATAACAGGCAGGGCCTCTTCCAAATATGTGCAGGGACAGAGCCATCCCATGTTCTTCCTCACAATACACACTCGCCATCTGTTCATTCATTTCCCTCTCCCATGTTTCTCTCCCCAGCTGCCTCCATTCCTCATCCAGCACAGCACTTAGGCTTACAAAAATCTCCCATTGTTATCTATGAAAACTTTTTTTAAAAAAACTAATTACAGCCTTTAAAATATTTGTTTGGTTGAGGCTCCTGTTTCCTTCTGTAGAGCAAAGACATTTGGCACGACTGAGGATGGACTGGCTACCTAAACAGCATATAATCTAAATCAGACAGAATTTCCAGAATCCAAGCATTAAAAGAATATGCCTTTTTCCTTCTCCCCGCCCCCTCTCTCTCACAGAGCTGATGGAGGTGTCAGTAAAAATAATTTTATAATGCAGATGACGTCTGATCTGATTAACAAAACAATAAACAAGTCTGTTTGTACAGATATGTCTTGCCTTGGAGCAGCTTTTCTAGCTGGCCTTGCTGTAGGTATGTAGTATTCTGAAATGTTGTTTTTCTCATGCTCTTTCTCCATGTTTTCCATATCATAACTGATTTCTGGGTTGCAAACATCAGCAACGTTTTGCCTCTAAATATTCCCAGAAGTTCATGTTCCTTATTTTTTCACCTGAATACAAACTATCTCATTGTGCTACTACCTGCATAAATATACTCTAATTTGGATAGCAACTAAACACTGCAGATTCCACTGTGCAGAAAACCTTTTCTTACCAGATACTCCGGAATGGGAGGTTATCAAAGAAATTACATGCAAGCATGTGAGATTTAAGTATGGGGATACACACATGTACCTGATGTATTGTTTTGTAAAGAAATTAAGTTAGTTTAAAGCAATATCATTCATAGCATAAGGCAATAATAATAATAATAATAATAATAATAATAATTTATATCCTGCCCTCCCCAGCCAAAGCCGGGCTCAGGGCGGCTAACAACAGTAAAGTAATGCAGCATTCTAAAATCAATTCATTCTAAAATCAGTTCAAAATCAAATTAATGGCAACCATTGGGCCAAAGTTCTGTGAGGATTACCAAAGGAGGGGGGGTCAGACTGTGCCCTGGCCAAAAGCCTGGTGGAACAGCTCTGTCTTGCAGGCCCTGGGGAAAGATGTCAAGTCCTGCAGGGCCCTGGTCTCTTGTGACAGAGCGTTCCACCAGATCGGAGCCACAGCCGAAAAAGCCCTGGCTCTGGTTGAGGCCAGCCTAACCTCCCTGTGGCCCGGGACCTCCAAGATGTTTTTGTTTGAAGACCGTAAGGTCCTCCGTGGGACATACCAGGAGAGACTGTCCCGTAGGTACGAGGGTCCTAGGCCTTATGGGGCTTTAAAGGTTAAAACCACCACCTTAAACCTGATCCTGTACTCCACCAGGAGCCAGTGCAGCTGGTATAGCACTGGGTGAATGTGATCCCACAGCGAGGATCCCGTAAGGAGTCTCGCTGCAGCATTCTGCACCCGCTGGAGTTTCTGGGTCAGTCTCAAGGGCAGCCCCACGTAGTTATGTCTTATGTTATGTCTTGGGTTGGAGTCACCCAGTCATCTTGACCTCATCTTGAGAGATAAGTGCTGTGGGAGGGCGGTATATTTTATGGTTTCATGAAAAGCTGGACATTGTGGAGGGGAGAATCTAAAAACAGAAGCCTACGATTCAGTTAAGCAGGACACAATGACTACTGGCCATGATAGCTATTTTCCACAGTAATGCTTTCTCAATGCCAATTGCTGGAAAGCACAGGAGGGAGAGTGCTCTTGTGCTCGGATCCTGCTTGCAGGTTTCCCCACAGGCATCACAGGACTAGATGGGTCACTGGCCTGATTCAGCAGGTTCTTTCTTAGGTTCTTTCAACACCTTTAGGTGTTAAACACTATGACACCAATAAAATGTTTTGGCTCCAGTCCTATCTCCAAGGTTGGTCCCAGAGGACAGTATGACTTCTGCTCAGCCTGGGGGAATTATTTTGCAGGAGCCTTCAGGGTTCAATCTTGTCACCAGTGCTATTCAACATCTATTTGAAGCCAGGATCTGTAGCACAGTGCCAACAGTATGCTAGTGCGACCCAGCTTTATCTTTCTGTTCTGTCAGTACCGGAAGGGGTTGTGCTGGTCCTAAAGCAATGTCTGGAAGTGATAATGGGCTGGATGTGTGCCAATAAATGAAAGAGAGGTGAATATGTGGTTCCTGAGTACGGGGGTTGTCAGAACAGCCCTGTCCTTGATGGAGTTGAGTTCCCCTTGAAGGAGCACCTGCATAGTTTGGGGGTGCTCCTTGAACCATTATTGTCACTTCAGGTCCAAGCAGCCTTGGTGGCTAGGCATGCCTAGATTCATCTTTGGTTGGCGTGTCGACCAAGGCCTTCCATAAATAGGTATAGCCTGGCTATAGCCACCGATGCCCTGGTAACCTGCATGCTAGACAACTGTAACATGCTCTACCTGGAGCTGTCCTTGAAGATCACTCGAAAATTGCAACAAGTATAAAATGTGATGGGCAGAGTGCTTATGGCAGGCCCCGTACATGGAACTCCCATTGAAAAAAGTAACTGATTATCAGCTATTTTTCTGGGCCGAATTCAAGGTGCTTATACTTAACAGTTAAAGCCCTGAATGGACTGGGGCCCTGATAAGGAAAAATGCTTCTCCCATGCTAACTTGTCCATACCTTAAATCAATAATAAGGCCCACCTTGTGGTCCTTGTGCAGGATGAAATACCTGAGTACAACAGCAGGGCACTGAGTGCAACAGCACTCTCTCCACTTGTGAGTCCAAGCACTTAATATCCAGAGGCATACTGCTCATAGCCATTGTGGCTAGTAGCCAAAGATCTCCTTCTCCTCTACAAATTTGTCTAATCCTCTTTTAAAGCCATCCAAGTTGGTGGCCATCACTACATACCATGGGAGTTAATTCCAGCTATGCACCGTGTAAAAGAAGCATGTGATTTTGTCCGTCTGAAATCTTCCAGCGTTCAGCTTCCTTGGGTGGGCCCATGATATGGTGAGACGAATTCCAGATGCAACATTTATGTTTTTCAGCTTGGGAGTGATTATTATTTTTTTGTTTTGCTACGTTTGTTTCTAGGATTCTGGAAGGACAAAGAGCAACTGAAACAGCTGAGGCAAACTGACATAGTTTTTAAGCCTCAAAAGGAGCCGGAGGAATACGAACCAGCCATGAGCAACTGGGTGAAAGCTGTTCAACGTTCTCTCAGTTGGTACAGCCAGACATCATAGAAATGGGGTTATTGCAAAATGTTAAATTAATATTTTAGATTATATTTATAGGACAATGCAAACACAACTGCAGTTCTGTTTTAGAGTTCATTTCTGCTTCTTCCGTGAGGTTAATTAAAACATACCAGCTGCCCCTCTGGAAGTAACCACCTTCAAGAGACTGAATGCCAAAGTTCCCAAGGGGCGACTTCCTGTAATAGGCTAGTAAATGTGATGACAAAGATACAGTGGTGCCTCGCAAGACGAAATTAATCCGTTCCGCGAGTCTCTTCGCCTTGCGGTTTTTTCGTCTTGCGAAGCACGGCTATTAGCGGCTTAGCGGCTATTAGCGGCTATGCGGCTTAACAAACTCGCAAGAACTCGCAAGACGTTTTGTCTTGCGAAGCAAGCCCATAGGGAAATTCGTCTTGCGGAACAACTCAAAAAACGCAAAACCCTTTCGTCTAGCGAGTTTTTCGTCTTGCGAGGCATTCGTCTTGCGGGGCACCACTGTACCTGAATGCAAAAGTCCTAGCTGATTTTTTTGTTCTTACATTACTGTTGATGTTTTACCTTAACGCAAGAAGCTTCTATGATAAGTGGAAAGTAGCAAAAAGCACCTTGTTCTTCCAGACCTGTGATTTCATCCATGTATTCTGATCTGCAACCTAGCACAGAATGTGGCTGCTTGCCCACTGAGAGTTGCCTCACAGTAAGAGGCACTGAGACAACTAAGCTGATTGACCTCTGCTTTCAGTGATGATCTTCACTTCTTTATCTGTCTGAAATTAAAGCCTGGCCACCTGGGAGAGATCAGCTGAATTGCCAGATGATGTTGGGAATCAGTTAGCAATCCCCATGGTATATAGGTGAGGAAAGGTTTAGGAATCCCTGTGGCCAAAGGTAGTGATCCATTGCTGCTAATGCAGATTCTTGGGAATCCAGAGAGCCCCAGCCTTTAATTTTTTTTAATCCTATTTAGCTGCTACATTTAACCAATTACAGTTGATGTTTCCAAATCCAGAGTAGGTCAGGATTGTCTTCTGCTCTTTTTGGAAGGAATATGTCACCACAACTAGATCTCCCCTCACCCAGTTTAATTTTCCCTTGTGTTCATCTGTTTTACTTGCATTGTTTTAAACTCTACCACAATTATTGCTTTCTATCCGCAAATACAACCTGAATATAAAACAGATAGGGTAGAGCGTATGTGAAATTGTGCTTGTGCATCTAATGTTTTTGTCAGCAGCATTTAAGCCCAAACCCAGTTTAAGAAAAAGCAAACCCACCAAGGGGGTTTTAAATAGAGTACAAGGAGTTATTCAAAGGGGAAATTGCAGTCTACTTCGAGGTACAATAACTTCATGCAATAATTGTATAGTTGTTGTGTGTAATGCAGAAGTCTTTGCACAGGCTACCGCTTCTTGTTACCGGGAAATTGCACCCATACTTCATCATTGTGTCACTGGGAAAGCATTTTTCTTCCAGCTAGAATATGTATATATTTTTTGCAGATCAACCCTGTATAAAATTGTGGCCAAAGAGTTATGGATATCTATTGGCTAGTGACAAGTCTCATGCAATTTTATGTACTCTCTAAAAACATAGGAAGTTGTCTTTCATTGAGTCAGACCATTTGCCCATCTAGCTCAGCACTGCCTACCATGGCAGGCAATGCCTCTGCAGGGTTTTAGACAGGATCCTTTCCAAGTTCCAACTGGGAATGTTGGGGATTGAACCTGGGACATTTTGCAGTGAAAGCAGATGCCCCTGCCATTGAGTGATGGCCCTTCTAAAGTGCTTCTGTTTGGTTTTTATTTTGGGTGGTGGTAAAATAGGCTTTATAGCAAAGGGAAACGAATCTGTGGCAGAATTCTCTCTGGGGCCAGGAAAATGAGTTGGAAGGCCACCCCCAAGGGTCATCTGGTCTAATCCCTTACAATGCAGGAATCTCAACGACAGCATCCATGACAGATTTTGGCACCCGAGGCAAACAACAGAATGGCATCCCCCACCTCTCCACCAGGGAAGAAAGAGTGAGTGAAGATCTACATCAGGAACAACGGCGGGGGAAATAAAGCTACACATCAGGATCTGCTGCCCCTGGGGATCCTGCCGCCTGAGGCGGTCACCTCACCTTGCCTCATGGGTGGGCTGGCACTGGCTTTCAGGTGTGCAAAGGGGATCTCCAAGCTCAGTATACTCTCTATAAAGCAGTACTTACACATATTCCATCCAGATAGGCTGGGCTGCCGGACTGATGCCACTTTGATTCTGAAAGTCAACTATCCTTTTCATCACTCTCAAGAACTTTTCCTTTCTTTCACCTCCTACCCAAGCCTTCCCATCCCTTAGGACACACACAACATAACTTTGAATGCGAGGAGAGCACTTTGATCTTCAAAGGCATTCAGACAAATAAACACTCTTATGTCCTTCCACATCTACCATACAAATTAAAAGCACATGATCCATGCTAGTTCTGCACAATAGTGACTAACTTTTCATCCTCGTTAGAATTGTTAGGGAAGAATTCTGGTTTTTCCTGCCATTTGTCACCATGCAATGGTCTTAAGTGCCTGAATGAGAATGGGGTTCAAACTGGAAATTTTCTGTGACAATCTGTACTAATTATTTTTATCTGCCCATAGCCAGGGCATCTTGTGAACTGTGTTGTGTATTTGTAAAAGGTTTTATTTTTATATTGGTCAGTTACAGGTGTGCACTTGTTCCTTATTATGGACTATTGTACATGGGTTAACATGACTTTGTGTATGTGTCTATACACATTTGAGAAACCCAGACTATGCAATATGTGTGCACAAGAACTGAAGGTTTATGGAATATTTCTTCATATTGTAGGCCAGTTCTATGGCAGAATGTTTACTTATAAACTGTTACTCAGCTGACTGTCTCTACCTTGCAGAGATACTAATAAGATTTCTAATTCATTAATAAAATCTTATTGCACTGCTCTGAAAAAGTGGAGATTGTCTTTTTTTTAATTATATCTTATTAAGTTTCAACATTTTTAGCCTATATAATCAAATCACGTCTTTTTTCTTATTTTTGTCAACTTCCCACCACATTTTCCTTCTTGTTGTTTCTCCCCTTCTGCTGCACCTTATAAAAAAATGGAGATTGTCAATATTGGTCCCCACTGTCTGTGTTTGAGACCTCTGTAATAGTTTCAAAGTTATGAATAACTTATTAACCATATGAAGAATTAAAATTTGGATATATAACTACATATATAATGTACTAGTTCACCAATCTTTTAGTATTTGTTCCGAAAAGTGTTCCCCCCTGTTATGAAAATGACAACCCCCAGTGGGAGTTGGTTCAGGCTGAGAAGGGGGAACTTGCTGCTGAACTGCTTAGAGCCATTGATGGACTCCCCAAATATCCAGATCCATAAACAAGATTTTTTTTTAAATTCAAGTGTGGTTATTTGGTCTAAAAGCACCTTCCTTTCCCCTTCATAATATTTTGTTTCCCTCTTACATTAACCCTTTCTGCCTGGAGAGATATACTATACAGTACAGTATTTCCTTTTCCACTGGTTTTATTGCACACTGAAGATGCCCTAGGCTGCAGCTTAGAAGACTTAAACAAGGAGAGGCCATAATTCGTCAGTGCTGCAGCACTAATAATAATAATAATAAATTTTTATATGGTAACTACACTCGCAAGCAATAACTATAGGGGTATCAATCACAACTTGGAATATATTTTCACCTTTGGGAAGCAAAGAGTTCCTCTCCTAGGTCAAGTGTCTAAACCTACAGTGAGGAACAAAGTCCAATATCATCTGGTGGACCATAACTCCCATCAGCCAGAGCCATAGGGAGGGAGTTGTAGCCTAGCAGCAACCTCTGGAAGGTCAGAGGTTCTCCACTCCAAGTCTAGAGGGCTGGAGGGCTATGTTTGGCACCTGGGCTTGTGGTTCCCCACAAGAGCCAATTTTTGACAGGGTAACTATGCAATCCTACACAAAATAGGGTGGTTTGAACCTTAAATGCAGAAACTTAGTATTTTTTTCCTATTATCAGCAGCCTGAATAACAATAGCCCAATACTGGAAACAACCTATAGAAATCCCCACTGAAACCTAGGTAAATAATATTTTTAATGTGGCTCTATCCGAACGCCTTACTTGCCATAGAAGGGTACTTCAAAGATAGGCACTTTTGGCGAGACATGGCTTGCATTCTTTTCCTTTATAAACAACCCCATTGAAGGATACAGTGGTTACCCAGACCTCTTTGCTGGTTGCGAAGGGGCCGCCCATATCTGTTCAAGCTTCAGGGCCCCCAAAATATAGGTCCGCCGCTGCTCTAGAGGCACCTGAATTTAGAGAGAGTAATCCTGCCGATGTGAATTCAAAGGAACTTAACCTCCCTGAAATAAATGAGAATTCCTTATGGGGAAACGCCAATGGGGATTTTAGCGATAAATACCGGCACAGTTTTCAGATTCAAGAATAATTTGTGGGCAGCACAATTTGAAAGGGTGATTATCACGTGGTAGGCTGTGATTCAAATGGCCTGCTTCACAGCTTCCATAACTTTCTCTTCTGGATGCCAATGCCAATGCAGCCACAGCCTTATCAACCTAGACTGATGGGCGGAATTAGCAGCTCCCGTATAGTTAAAGCCATGGTTTTGTATAGTTAAAGCCATGGTTTTCCCAATAGTGATGTATGGAAGTTGGAGCTGGACCATAAAGAAGGCTGATCGCCGAAGAATTGATGCTTTTGAATTATGGTGCTGGAGGAGACTCTTGATAGTCTCATGGACTGCAAGAAGATCAAACGTATCCATTCTTAAGGAAATCAGCCCTGAGTGCTCACTGGAAGGACAGATCCTGAAGCTGAGGCTCCAATACTTTGGCCACCTCATGAGAAGAGAAGACTCCCTGGAAAAGACCCTGATGTTGGGAAAGATTGAGGGCACACGGAGAAGGGGACGGCAGAGGACGAGATGGTTGGACAGTGTTGTCGAAGCTACAAACATGAGTCTGACCAAACTGCGGGAGGCAGTGGAAGACAGGAGTGCCTGGCGTGCTGTGGTCCATGGGGTCACGAAGAGTCGGACACGACTAAACGACTAAACAACAACAAACATTTCCCAGTGGCGGGGGGCGGGGCTTCCGACGACACGCCCCCTTCTCCCTCCCCCTCCCCACAGGTTGCCTTAAAGCCCGTTCCAGAACTTGAGCCCCGCCCCTTCCCTCTTGCCCGTCCGCTTCCGAGTGGCGGCGCCGATTGTGTACACACAGCCACGGGGACCAATGAGAGCCCGGAGACGCCAGGCTCCGCGCGGACGCGTCGACCAATGGGCGAGCCGGGTCGCCAGACGCCGCCAAGCTTGTGCGGGGGAGAGAGAGCGATAGCGAAGCTGACAGAGGCGACTGTTGGGGCTGCTGAGGGAGAGGCGGGCCGGCCGGCTGGGCTGTAGAGCGAACGGAGGCGGCGGCTGAGGCCGGTAAGAGCCATTAGGGTCCGACGACGACGGCGGCGGGACTTACCGGGTCTTTTCTTTTTTAATGGAGGTGTGGTGCTAAGGCTGCCCTGCCCCCCCCATCCCCGCACTCCTTTCTCCTCAGAAACCGGCGTCGGTGCTTTGCAGACGGCCGTTAGGCCCCGACGCTTCTCTCGTGGTCTTGAGGCCGGGAGGGTGAGGAGAGGCGGGTCGTGCTCTTTGCCGTCGCCGCCGAGGGCGCTCTCCCTTATAGAGCTCCGTTGGTGGAACATGAGGCTCCTTGAGGTTGTGGGTTCGAAACCCACGCTGGGTAGAAGGTGCCTGCATTGCAGGGGGGTTGGGCTAGATGACCCCCGTGGTCCCTTCCCAACTCTGCAATTCTGTGATTAATTCTGTTGCCGGGGAGCTTTATCTCCCTCCCCCCCCCCCACTTCCGCGTCTCCTCCTCTTCCTCCAGCCTTGCGAATGTGCTTCCCCTGGCCGGTGGTGGGGAAGGGGGCGCGCTCTCTCCTCCGACCCCTGCAGCCCTTCCACGCACAGCCTGTCCTCGCCTTCCCTCGGATGCCCGTTTGGATCCACGAGGCCTCCAGAGCGGTGCTGCCCAACCCTGGCGGTCGCGGGAGCCTTGGGCACTACTGCTGTGACTTGGGAAGTGCGCACTCGGCGCTCTGGGCACCCCCTCCCCCCACCTACCCCACCGCCGGTGGTAAACAGATGGCCAGAGCCTGATTATTGTTTCCTGCGAGGCTTGTAATCCTGAAGGGCTGGGATCGGAGGTGCAACTGCCCTGGTGTAGGTAACTTGGTGAAATGTAGAACGTTGCATGAATCCATGAATAAAATGGCTGTGGCTATAGGCTGCTGAGGTTTCCCTCCGCCAGCCCATGGGGTGCAGAGGCTTGTTGCACACACGCACACACACCCCCAATTTGGGACTTGGTTTTTTATTTTTTTAATTACGCTTCACACCAGCTTCCTTTATTTTGCCTTGTGCCAACTTGTGACGGAAGTTGGTGCAATAAGGGCTACTTAACTGCTTTAACTGTTTAGAGACCCGATTCTAAATATGCCTGCTTCAGGAATGTGTTTCTGTGTTCACTGTGGCCTAACTTTGTTTAGGGTGGAAGTGTCCTTACACATGTTTTACTCAGAAGTAAATCCCACTGATTTCAATGAAGTTTAACCCCCAGGTAAGCATATGCTAGATTATTTATTTATTTATATTTTAAAAAAATATTTTTGGGGGGGTTATTTGCCACCCTTTATCTCAAGATCTCGGGGCTTGGCCAAAATGTTTATGCAAACCACGTACCATTCAGAAAAAATATGGTAGTGTGCAAATATTAAATAAATAAAAGTACATTAAATCTATGAAAAATACACTAATAGAAGAGTAAAATATTTGCCATTATTTCAAACTGACCTTACCAAGCCAAAACACTCTTATCTATGTTTTGAATAAAAATCCAGAAGCAGCTGAAATGAGATAGTGAAATAATGTCTGTAGCTAGACATTCTTTTGTGTCTGTGTTGAAGGGAGGATGGTAAGGGTACTGAGAAACATGATTATGTCCCAGATTTGCCATGAGTTACAACCTCAGGCAGTCAGAACTGTTTGTTACTAACCTGGGGTAAGGCATGCATGGTGTTGAAATTCCAGGACTGACATTTCTAGTGTTTGTCTTATCGACTGCCACATTTTAACTTCTCTCATACAGAAAAACACAATTATGTCCCCACCTAAAGGTAAAGCTGGCCCATAAATGCTGTAATAAGTATTAGCTTGTCAGCGTTTATACACCAGTTGATTAGTTGTTACTGAAAACTGTTTAATCTACAACATACATATTTAGGGTCTATAGAAAATATTAAGCTGAAAATATGCAAACTCATACTACAGGCTAGCTACATGTTTTATTTCAGTTGGAGGGGTAAAACTGCACTTTGAAATCAACTTCAAAAGTTATTTTGTACAAAACAAGAAAAGGTCATAATAGATGGTGGGGTCACTTTGGGTGACTTCTTGAACTGTTAAATTCTGTAAGGTTGGAAGGGTGCCGTTATCGATATTGAAACAATTTATTCTCTGGTAAATTTCCAACAGTTCTTCAGCAAATATATTCTAATGACCTGTTTTGCATGTAATGCTAAGTTATGATTTGTTTAACTAACCTTGGGTTAACCACAGGTTGTCCCACAGATGACCAAACAAAGTATGCCTTGCGTCATGAAAGCTTGGCTGGTTTTCATACTACTGTAAATTACTAGAGGCCTGCTGTCACCATTGATTAAGCAAGCCTCCCTTTTCACTGAAAAAATGGTATCACTTTAAGGTTTCTGACAATTGCTTGTCAGACATACTTCAACCTGCCCCGGATCTGAGCCACATATGGTATGAGGTGCAAGGCTGGTGGCTGTAGTTTGAGGGAAATGGTCTTTCAGGCTAAATTGGGACCTGGGCCAATGTAAGCCCAAAGTCTGATGGTTCTCCATCCCTGGCCTTTGACTATCAGCCGAGTTGTTCAATGGAAGGCTGATTTTGCTCTGCAATTCAAGTCTCTCACACACTCTAAAATTTCACTGTTCTTTTTCTCTCTCTTCTCAGCTGAAGAGAGATTGTTATGATGGCCGCGTTCACTTATGAAGGTAAGCTGTGTGTCTAAGAGATGTGCATCAACCACAAGATTTGGTTTTGGACCCTGATTTGAAAGACTGGCCACTTCAGTTCAAAACCCTTCAGGTTCTGTCTGATTTGACTTGGGGTCCAGATATGAATTGAAGTTTGGAAAAATGAAGCTTCCCACCTCCAGTTCTGTAAGTTGTCAGAATCTCTGTCTTCATGCTGGAGGACCTTTACAAGTAAAACAGGAGGGGGTAGTATTGGCAGAGGAATCCATTTATTATTTATTTAAGAAATTTTCATACCACTTTACATGAATAAAATTCTTCCAATCCTGTTTCATTGAAAATATTACCGCTAACATTTTTTTTTTTAAAAAAAATCTCACCCCAGTTTGTGTCTGTCCTTTTCCAGATGATACTAGCCTGTATCTCATATTTCAAATTAGAGAAATATATGGACCATGATTGTAGAATTATGGTCTGATCAGACAGTTTGGAAATCTTATTTCAGATCGTCACTAGAGCTTTCAGACTGCTTTAGTGGGGAGAGGTCAAGTTTCCCTTTCCATCAGTCTTATCTTCTCAGTGTGCTTTACAGCACAGTCTTTTTGCACATTAAAGGCTAACAAATATATTATACTGTAAGCTGCAGCTCACATAATCAGATGCATAAATGTTATCATGAGTCACACTTATATATGCACATGGCTTGTGGGGGAACTGCTTCCCCTTGGAAATTAGTTATGCATGGACCTTACTAAGGTTTTGGCATATGTTAGAAACATAACTCTTCACCAGGTCTTCCCTGACCACTAGTATTGGTCTGGCACATCCCATCATTTATCTACTGTGGATACTTCAGTTTTAAAAGGTTTGAGTTCTATTATTTTATTGATAAATTGCTTTGGATAACTTTTAATATAAAATGGTAGATAAATATTTTTTATTAAAAAATCTAAACAGTGAAGTCAGAGGTAGATGGAATGTAAGAAGTATAGAGTAAGTGATTAACAGTGGTCATTTATAAAATAATAATAATAATAATAATAATAATAATAATAAATTTTATTTATATCCCGCCCTCCCCAGCCAAAGCCAGGCTCAGGGCGGCTAACAACAAATAAATAATCAAACAATCAAAGAATCCAACATTCTAAAACATTTCATTATAAAAATTAATTAAAATCAAATTAATGGCAACCGTTAAGCAAAGTTCTGTGCAGGTTGCCAGAGGAGGGAGTCAGGCTGGGCCCTGACCAAAGGCCTGGTGGAACAACTCTGTCTTGCAGGCCTTGCGGAAAGATGTCAGGTCCCGCAGGGCCCTAGTCTCTTGTGACAGAGCGTTCCACCAGATTGGAGCCGCAGCCGAGAAAGCCCTGGCTCTAGTTGAGGCCAGCCTAACCTCTCTGAGGCCTGGGACCTTCAGGATGTTTTTATTTGCAGACCGTAGGTTCCTCTGTGGGGCATACCAGGAGAGGCGGTCCCGTAGGTACGAGGGTCCTAGGCCGTATAGGGCTTTAAAGGTTAAAACCAGCACCTTAAACCTGATCCTGTACTCCACCTGGAGCCAGTGCAGCTGGTATAGTACCGGAAGAATGTGATCTCGCAGCGAAGACCCCATAAGGAGTCTCGCCGCGGCATTCTGCACCCGCTGGAGTTTCTGGGTCAGTCTCAAGGGCAGCCCCACATAGAGCAAGTTACAATAATCCAGTCTGGAGGTGACCGTTGCGTGGATCACAGTGGCTAGGTCAGGGCGAGAGAGATAAGGGGCCAACTGCTTAGCTTGGCGGAGATGAAAAATGCTGCCTTTGTATAGCTGTAATCTGCGCCTCCATAGAGAGGGAGGTATCGAAGATTACACCCAAACTCTTAACGGACGGTGCTGGCACTAATTGCACCCCGCAAGAGATGGGAGTTGCCCCCAATCCCATATCGTCCCGTCCCAGCCAGAGGACCTCTGTCTTCGAAGGATTTAACTTCAACTGGCTTCCACGTAACCATCCAGCCACAGCTTCCAAACATCTGGTCAGTGTGTCTGGGGCCGAGTCAGGATGGCCATCCATCAACAGATAGAGTTGGGTGTCATCGGCATACTGATGGCAACCCAGCCCAAAACTCCGGACAAGCTGGGCGAGGGCGCATAAAGATGTTAAAAGCATCGGGGAGAGTATCGCACCCTGAGGCACTCCACACACCAAGGAGTGGCGGGATGACAATTCCCCCAAGCGCCACCCTCTGTCCCCGACCGGAGAGAAACGAGCGCAGCCATTGAAGGACTGTGCCCTGGATCCCCACGTCGGCAAGGCGGTGGTCCAGGAGTTCGTGATCAACCATGTCGAAGGCTGCTGACAGGTCTAGAAGAATCAGCAGCCCCGACCCGCCTCGATCCAGCTGCCTGCGGAGATCATCTGTTAGGGCGACCAGAGCCGTCTCGGTCCCATGACCAGCGCGGAAGCCAGACTGGAATGGATCCAGAGTTGCTCATAACATATCCTGGCATTGGAAAGCCAATTAATGCATGCAATGTGGTCAGAATTCATTGTCTCAATTTAGTCCAATTAGCGATAACAGTGAAGCTCTTGATGAGTTGTAATTCAGCAGTTTCCTGTTGTATTCTTCCTTTCAAGTAACTTTGTTCAAGGTGGCTTAAGGTATCTTTCCTGCATTCTTTTCTTTATAAATTAAAATGTTCTGATATCTGAGTAAATGGAACACAATATTTATACTCCTGGCATAAAGTAATTATTCAAATAGTGGTTTTTTTTGTTTAATTGAGAATGAGAGAGGAGAGCACCATCTTGATATTTCTGCACCATCATGTGCAACTTAGAAACTGCTTGCCTCTTGGAAAGTGAGAATTGCTGTAGTAGTCATAACAAAGTAAGCTCTTGCTGCACATGCAGTTCTTTCTCACATGCTAGCGTCACTACTTTGAATTTTAGCCAAAGTATATCATTTCAAGGAAAGTTATTAAAAATCTTTGTGCAGTTGGAAAGTTTATTGGGGAAATTAATATATATTATACAGGAGAACATCTTATCAGAACATCCTTTTGCTATTCTAGATATCCACTTGTAAATGGAGTGCGTCTGCATTTGACTGCTCATGTCTGGCACCATCTCAAGTTTCCTCTGAATAGTAACAAAGACTGGAGACTTGGTACTGCAGTAAAAGGCATGCTTCCTTAGTCCAGGGAATATATCGTTTTGGTTTCTGTCTTCCTGGGTAAGTATTTTTACCTAATGCATTGGATACTTTTTACCTTCAGTAGCAGTTTTAAGAGTTGAACATAATGTGCTCAATAAATCATTCCTGAAAGTTTACACAGGAAAAGAGCAGTATGCTGGGGGAGGGGTGAAGTTACTATAGTTTGTCACTTAGAGATTCAGAATTGGAATATGTCATCTGCATCTTAATAATGTGGGCTAAATCAGTTATTGTAAATAAAAAGTGCTGGGTATGGCACTATGTAAAAACATCTCAAAATAGTTATGCCTTAATGTTTTTATTTTAAATTGAATAAAACATTTGGCAATTTAAGATTTTTCATTGAGGGGAAAGTGAGCATAGTAAAAACACTGCCAGCACACAGTGTGTGTTTAAAAGGAGGTTTGGAAGAAGCAATTTAGTGGATGGTGTTGAGTATCTTAATTTTAACTGGTTTGGTGGACTTGGCTAATTTGTGCTTCGAAAATATTAGCACTGACCTAGGTTAAATATTGTTGGCTCATGAACACACCAGTTGCCTTATAGTTTATTCCAAGGCAGTGTGGGTGGCACTATTAGGCTGGAATTGATATTGTGCTGTTTTACATTATTGACAAGAAATGAGCTTTAATAGGAGATGGGTTTAGTGTGCCAGTCACTGAAAATAATCCTTGATACATGTAAAATTTGAGTAAATCTTCAATGCATTCTGTTTAGAAGAGCATGCCTTTCTTATACAAAGCTTGAATATGCAAGTAGGCCTTCTTAAATTTAAGCATGATTGAATGATTAAAACATTTTGAATTAAAACAACTTTGCAGTTAATTGTAATTTTGTATCCATTTCAGTTTGATAAATTAGTTTGGATATTTGATCAGTTTAAAAAGAATTGAGTCAAACATTGAGAAGTAGTGTTTAAGTATTTAAAAAGTATTAACTTCATTAGAGCAGCAAAAGCCATATCAACAACTTTAGTATTTATGATGGTTATAAAAACAAATAAGAATGCTTGCAAAATAATTAGCTTTTTAAAAGTGTGTTTATTTAACAAAATCTATATATCACTTGCTAGAGCAAAGGACCTCTAAGCAGCTTGCATTAGGCAATCTGAAATACTCATTAAAATACCAATTAAAAATGAACGTTAAAAGCAAGTTACATATAAAAATTAAAAAATGAAATATAGGACTGAATTCAACTTCCCTATTAATGTTAGTGGAAGCCAGTTCAGAGGCTTCAACTAGCACAGTGAGACTACCTCTCCTGTATGCCTCCCCCAAATACACTCTGGAGGGCCGGAAGATCTCCCAGGATAGTGTGTGGTGGGAGGAGAGGGGAGATTGTTCCAGCAGGTAACAGAAATGCGCTATGTTGACTTCACCCCAAATTAGTCATTTAAAAACTTACTTAAATCAGATGCCTTGGCAGACTTGTTATAACAAAACAATTTGTGGCAGGCACCAAAAGCAGTATAGAGAAGGCCTTTTTAGTGGCATCCCCCTGGGCTCACCTGGCATACACACTGCAATCTTTTTACCACCAGTTGAATACTTTAACTCCCCCTCCATTTTTATTGATTCTAACAGTAGTAATGGCTTTTAGTGTTTTCAGTGTTAACATATTCTCCCACCTGGTTATTTTACTGGTGTGTTATTATATGAATTGTGACTTTCCTTTCTTTATTAATAGTTTTTTAAACTGAAATACAGTACAAACTAAACCATAATATATCAATATTTGGTCTGTGCAAACAAGTAAGAGGGAGGGAGGTATGGTTGGCTGTGTTCTATTTGTTTAAACATCTGTGTAAGGAGTCCAAATATCGAAAGAACTTCCCACCTTTCTTGTTATAGAAGGTCACATGTTCATATTCTGCTAATTGAGTCATGTTCACTGTCCACTATGATTAGCAGTTAAGGCAGACTTCTTCCACTGTTAAACTGTTAGACATTTGCCCTGGTGGCTTTTCCTTTATTCCAATTGTTTATAAAGGAAAGGGGGTTTGCAGTGGTTTTTATAACTGAATTCTTTATATTTCAAAATATATCTATCTGTTGTTTGCTATAAGTCACTTAGAGGCTTCTGTGTAGTTGGTGCATAAATCTTAATTTATTGACTTAAAATTAATATTGTTAAAATCACTAAAAAGTTTAGGATTACTGCTTTTGTTCATTAGAAATGCATTGACTTTCAGGATATATTTTTGATCTGCATTTCTAATCAAAATATCAGATAATTTATAAATCACATAATTTATAACAGATTAATACTCCTTTTAAAGTTTTGTATCTGGACTTCAGAACCTAAAAACACACATGAATTGTGCTGCTTCTCAAATAAAATGTTGACTGTCTGATTTTAGGGATTTGAGTAAAATCAATAATGGTGCACATTCCTGTGAAAGGTAGTAACTGAGGTGGTGGTTGTCTTTAAGAAAATAATAGAGGAACAGTTAAATGAGGTAAGGTAGAGTGTATGAATAAGATAATTGATCAGAGGTTTGTGCCAGTAGTCAAGAGCCCTTAAACTTGGATAGTTTCTTATTTTAATTTTGGTATGCTGTAACTTCTATTGCTAGAAAATATTCTATCCTTCCAGGGCTGTTCCTAGGAGGTACGGTGCTCAGGGCATATCACATAGCATGGTGTCACCATTGCCTTCCTCTCCTTCTGCCTCTGCTACTTCATCTTTCCTTCATGGTGATGGTGGCATGCCCCAGTTTAGCTGCGTCAGCTTTTCTCCTTTTTTGCTTTTGCTGCTACTTGGGCAGCAGCAAGGTCCTCCTCCCACCCAGCCTTACTCTAGGAAGGGAAGAAGTGGATGGAGAGCCTCATCATTCATTCATTCTATTTCATTGCCACTTTTCACTCACATCACAAAGCGGCTTACATACAATAAATAGCAACATAGTAGAACATCACAATTACAACATAAATCATATTAAATAATTAACAAATAAAAATAAAATTAACAAATCATCAGTAAAGCAGCCACCTTCTATGAAACACTATTAACAAAAGAACTTATATTATAAAATTCATCAGGTGCATGAGAGGTGAAAGGAAAAGCTACGCAGCACAGCTGCTGCCTGTCTCCACGGGCACAAGTCCTGGGTATGGTCACCCCAATTCTCATACAGACAGATCAGGTAGCCCTGCATTCTCTCCTCCATTCTGATGCTACAACCTTTAGGCATAGATTGTAATTGTACTATGTGTCTTTATTATTATTTTTACGCACAAACTATTTTTGATGAAGAAGTGTTTTTGTTTTTCCTGCAGGTCATTATTATTTACTAACATAATAGAATTTAAATATATATATTAAATTATGCTGTTTGTGTTCTTGTTCTGTGAACTAGTTTCTCAGACAACTGAAAACTGAAAAAAAATTGGGCTCTCATCTTTTTAAAGATATAGTGGGTGATTCCTTTGAGTTACTCTGGTCTGTATGCATGCCTTAAACAGTTGCATTTAATCAGATTCCTCCCCTTCTGCATCCTTCGTCAGACTATTCATCCCATGCTCATTTCTCTCTCTTTTTTGGTACACTTTCAGGAGTTCTGACGTAGGCTTTAAGACACAAGATTGATTTTTCTCCCTTTAGTTTTTTGACTTTTTGCTTTTATTCATTCTTTCAGTGCTTGTTGTTTTTCATGCCTGCTTCTTGTCTATACTTCATGAGGATTTCCGGAGATAGCTCTGGGAGGTGATAGTGTTTCCATGACTTTCTGTTTCCCTATGGTCTGATGTTACAAGTTAACTGCTGCCTGGCTAGGGAGTAAAGCTTCCTTTTATAGCTCACAAGGAACATCTAGATACTAAGGAACTGTTAGATCTAAATTTTGGATGAGATTTTATATCAGAATAATGTCTGCATACAATTACTTTCCTCTTACAAATCCTATTACAGAAGGTTTGTAGTGAGGCCTGTACCAACTGATTAAATAAATCTTAGATTCAAAGGCAAAGTGGCCGGTGAGTGTGTGTCCTTCGTTAGGGTAAAATGGAAAATCTATTCATAATAATACCTTGTGTGGTGTTGGTTTAACATTCTATAGAAAACATGGCTTTCAGCATTTATTGAAGACATTTGTGTTCACCAATAAAACTTCTCTTAAACCAGGTGCTTCTGCTTGACGGATCATGTTATATTGAATTTATGACCTTCTGGTAATTTCATGGCAAAAGACTGGTAACCTAAATAAAGAATTGACCTCATATCAGAATAGCGAACAGAGAATCAACAACTAAAGAACTGTCTCCTACAATGGATTACATACCCTTTCTAAATAGTGAAGTAACAAGGACAAGCATAGAAAGCCTGTGAAAGGTAAACAGATCCAATTTTTAACTACTGCTGCAACTGTCTTCAAGAAAGATATTGTTTAATATGATATGTACGCTACACACGCTTAGTCAACAGACTGGTTTGCAGAGTTCCAAGTATGATACATTAGTTATGTTTTGCTAAGACTAAAGAACATTGAATATTCTATTGCAATCAGAGCAGAATTGCTGTAAAACTTCAAGTGAGATCTATTATTGTTATTATATTTATATCCTGCCTTTTCCCCATACTGGAACTAAGAAGGGTCTGCTAAAATAAGGTCAGGAGAAATATATTCTGGTCAGATAGCAATCAATAGAATTAAAATTAGAACGTCTCACCAAATTGCTCTTTGCATTTCATTATGACTTCCTGTCATATTCCAGAGGAATAATTTCACAGTATGTTAGCCAAATAGCTCATATTTTTAAATCACTTCTCACCTCCCAATCCAACTAGGAAATATATATACAGTATACATTGTCTCTCCTAATTGGATGACAAATCATAAGTTCTGATGGGCATTGGTGTGCTTCATTTCTTCAGTCTACTTGTTGAAGTTGCACATACACAGCCCTGGTCAGATAATTGGTGATTGTGCCAAGATAAGTTGGGTTTTGGGGAAGGTATGGTTTGTACTGAAATTGTTTATGTTGTATAAGCTTGCCTCTTGCTGAAACAACATTGTTTTGCTCCCATAAGTGTGAAAGTAACTGTGCCCTGATTATAGGTAAAACTTTGGTACTGGGCACCCTTAATGCTCTCCTTTGAAAGGGAAGTCTACCTTTACTTTTCATTAGGGTATTTGCTTTGAATGGGTAAGATGTGAAATGCAGTGATTATTGTTCTATGCGAGATCTTCAAAAATAATAAGAATCTTTAAGTTTTCAAATGCAGAGGTTTCCTAAAGTTGTGCCTGTTCCTCTATGCCTTTATGTCTTGAATGGGAGGAAAAGAAATTGTGTTCAGATAATGTGAATCTCCTGGCCCTTGTCTTCTCAAACAATAGGGACTGAACCAAAGGTCTGCCAGAACAGATGGAGCTGGCATGAGTGGAATCTCCCAATAATTATGAATGCATGAGTATACTCCTGTCTCAGGTGGTCTGCAACAAATGAAGAATATAAGCACCACCTATCACTGCCAGAAAGAACCCTTTTCTTATGTTTGTTTTCCTCTTCCCTCACGATGCATTTCAATTAGATTGTGAGCCTGCAGACAGGGGTTGCTTAATCTTTTAGTCTTTGTTCATTGCTTAGAAAATGGTAGTCATGTTAGGAACATGCTGCTTCACATTTCTAGAGCCACTGAGTTCCATGAGGCAGTGCTCATTGTCTTTGGGTTTTTTTGAACCAGTGTTATGAATCAATAGCTAACGTTGAGTTTGAATGTGTGAAAACAATTGCCCCTCTGCTCAGCTGCAAAGCTCACTAGGTGGTCTTGGGCAAGTCCCTATATCTTCCTCACCTGCCTCACAGAGTTGTGAGGGTAAATTTACTTTCTGTACTCCTTGAAGGAAAACTGGGATTTAAATTAAAAATACACAATGCCTTTCTCATTTCTTGCAATGTGTCTGTTTCCTTAACAGCATTTTTACTGGCATGCTTACATGGCAAAATTGTTTCCATAGCCATACTGTTTTCTCTGTAGAAATAATACTGATGGTTTTCCTTTTTTAGAAAATATTTCCATAATTGCACTACCAGTGTATACCATCAACTCACCATCTAAGAGTTTGCCAAAAACATTTGCACCAATAAATGTGAATGTTGAGCCCCAAATGGTAAGTACTGTTTTTCTTTCACAGCATTGCACTGTAGAAACTCATGCCAGATTTCCTTTCCAACTGACAGCGTACCAGTACTCTTTATTATGAATAATGTTTGGTTTATTTTTTTAAAAAAAACTATTTGTAAGCATTAGTTGCTAGTAAAAGTTTAGGATTCTGAATAGAGAACATCATAATTGGTGCTTAATGAAACATTGATTTCTAGGCATGCCATGTTGAAACACTATTTTGAAAGCACTGGTATGACTGCTATTAATAAATGCAGTTCTGCTGATGTTCTGGAATGATACTGAGCTTGTTGTGCAGTCGCACTTAGTGGTTAAACTGAGAAACAGTTACACAATATTTCCTGCTACTCCCTTGCAATAGTTTCCTTGCTTAGTGTAAACAAATGTCCATTGTATGCTTGATTCTTGGCAAAAATCTGGCTTTTAACAAATAAAGTTAATTGGTTTAGTTCTACTTGTAGAAACAAGAGCAAAAAAATAATACACATGACTTTTTTTATTCCACTGAACACTTCTTTCTGTATAGCACAAAATATTGATCCATGTCTCCCCTGCAATTTCCAGTCTATTACCAGATTATTTTATCTTTTGGTAGTAGAACCAGCATGTCACTAGCAGAATTTTTAGCACCTGTCTCTATAAAACTGCATTGTGTAGTGGAACATGGTAATATTTGAAGTTTGTTATGCAATAATATGTTAAATGCATTTTATGCTGTCACTTCCACTCTGACTATTGTTGGGCAACTTAAAGGCTACTTTTCTGCAGTTTGATTGTCATACTCCTTAGTTCATAGTCCTTTGTCATCTAACCTAAATCACGTTAATGACTAAATATGCTACTATGCTTAAGCATTTATTTTAAAGAAAAAATGTGGTGATCATGCATGCTGTCCATAATTCTTAAAGATCTGATCGGGCATCAAATCAAGATTTACTTTTGTTATCCAAGAATGTACAGCAACTCCCTCAATCAGTGAATCATCCTAGCAGATGGAATTGGCAATTTTTTAGACCAGACATTCTTAGCAAATAAAGCCCATAAAAGTGCAAGTTGGTAGCTTTTACAACGGTTGTGGTGTGACATGGAGAAAAGATATAAGCTAATATGTACTATGGTTGGCTGTTCAGGTGTGTGCATCTTTGACTGAGGCTCAAAACAGTTTGATGGATTTGGTTAAGAACTTCACTTAATCCAGATCCTGTCTTTGTAGTGAACTGCAAGAGTTGTCCTGCTGCAACTGGCAGCTAATTTGGAGTTTATAGCTCCTGAATGTGCAGTACGGTGCAGAAAATAATTATATCCTGCTTTTTTAATACTTGTTACCTTAGCCCTGAGTTTACAGTGATATTTAGGTTACCAAAACAAATAAAGGCATTCCTGAATGGTAAATTGCAGGAGAAAAAGTTGAAATTATTTTTAATTTATATACAGATCAATGCCAAAATAGGCTTCTAAGTTGTTTACATGTATAAAAACCAATCACACAGCATTAAAATAAAAACATCCACAATTAAAATACATAATAAAAGAATCCCATTAAAACAGAAGGCTTGGGTCAAAATATCAAGGAAATGCCTCTGTAAGCAGGTGCAGTTTCAAAATATACAGGATGCCAATACAGATGGGGCGTCTTGGTGTTTAGCAAGGTGTGTGTTCTGTAACACTAACGCCACCATTGTAAAAGACCACCACCTCAAGCCAATAATCATTAGGCCATGTCAAAACTAAATAGGTTCAGTTTGTTAATTGTTGTTCCCTTACTGGGCAACGGAGGGGAAATAGGTCTTTCATGTTACATATTCAAAGTTTCTAGTTCTGCTGAAAGATACATCTGTTTTCAGCATATAATTTTATACTAGTGACCTTGAATGCCAGTTTTAAAACCTAAAATGTTACGCAATAATAGGAAACTTTGAAGGTAGCTGCAGCTATCTTGTCTTTGAACAATACATATTCACCTAAAATTTAGTGGCATTAAACTATGAACTCTGGTACAGTATCAAAAGACTGCTATTTCTGGATAGGAGGGAGAAGGTCTCATCCCTTCAGATATGCATTAGTCAGCATCATTGGAAGACCCTGTGTTCTAGTCTTATGTGATAAGGAGAAAAACTTACCCATCCACTTTCTGCAGACCATGCATAATCTTACACATCTCCAATATGTCACCCCTCACTTACCATTTTTTTAACTAAAAAGGCCCAGACATTATAGCAGTTCTTGATAGGGGTCTAGCTTCAGCCCTTGGTCATCTTAGTTGCCCATCTCTAGTTCTACACGGTTGAGGCATGTCACCCAGAACTGTACACAGTATTTCAAGTGGTATGACAGCATAGATTAATATGAAAGCATATGACATTGATAGACTTATTTTCAGTCATTTTCCTAGTGATCTCTAACATTGAATTTGCCTTTTCACAGATGCCACACACTGGGCTGCCACATTAACTGATCTATCTACCACTAACACAACATGAGATATTCAGTGCCATGTAAGGGATAGCCCCCACACCACTGCTGGATTTCCATCTTCACAACTGTTTTTTGTTTGCTTGGGAAACTGAAAGCCAAGACTACATTTTTTGTTGATGAGATACTCCCCCCCCCCCACCACTAGCTAGGTCTGACCTATCTGATGCATCAGTGTAGGACTGTAGGTTAGTTTCTATCTACTTTCCTAACTTGGAATTAGTCTAAGACTCAGACTTCCATCCTCTGCTTCTGTTACCCTCTCCCCATTATGTAAGCATAAAAACTCAAGATGCCCTTGTTGGACTGTTTTGGTATATATTTTGCATCTGGGGAATCCTATTAGTATGAAAAAGCTGCTGCTTTATTGATGACTGTTCTGTTCAAGGAAACTGGTGCAGGGAGAGGGAAGAGACCTGCAACATAATGTGTACATCTTTGTGACTTCTCTGCCTCTTTCTTATCTCAGTCATTCACCAATAGTTGTGGAGTCGTCGTCCTCTTCTCCATAGTGCAGTCATTTTTGAGGCCTGCAGCAAAATGTGTTGTAAGGGGTGTTTCTACCCTCTTTGGGCACCAATAGTATATTTCATTGAGTTACAGAGGACTTGTATACTTCTCATGTGCCAGTTTCTCTCTTATTTTCATTTAAAATTATCATAGCCCAGCATGGGAGAAAGAGAGCTTGTAAGTGGCATGCTCCCAATCTTCTGAGCGCAGTTAAAAGATTGGAGGTGTTACATCTGCGCTGGTTTTATAGTAAGCTGGCATTGCCTGGCTCAAAATGTTCAAAATGGTTTTGTCTACTTTTGTTCTGGTTTTTGGGTGAGCCCTTTCAAGTAATGAACCCTATTGTCTGCATTTTTAAAATTTTTACAGTAGATGGCAGTAGAGTAGAGTTAAAAGATACCGCAACTAGAAACTAACCACTATTCTTGTATTCAAATAAAATACAAAATGTAGCATTCTTAGTCTATAGTCTATTGCTTCACACAGACTGTAGTGATGGTATAGTTAGTACTGTAATACCAAATATTTAATATTTCAATCAATAATATTTAGTCTTGAAATGGGAAAGCTTTGTGTGCTGTTTGCAGGCATGAACACTAGAATTTTTTGTTAAAATATTATTAGCACTTCTGAGCCATGTTTTAAAGGGGCATGATTTGTGACAACAGCTGTATAGTATACCAATGCAAGGGTGTGTTAATATGTTCATTTCTGAACTATTCATAGATGTGTGTCTGCAAGACCAGGGTGTGTACATTTGCAACTCTGCACGGTATTGTAGAGCTGCAGAAGTGGCTTCATAGTTGAAGCATGTTGTGTCTCAGCTTGAAAAGTTTAGCCATCTTAAAATCAAAAGGACGTACTCCCTATTAGAATGACATTTGGCATGGGGGATCTGCCAAACTAACAAAACTTAAGTGTAATCTGATGAAGGCTTGAGTTTTGCTGCTTAAAAATTTTGCTTTGAGTTTTGATTACAACATTAGACCAGAATATATTTACTACTTTCATGGCATGGAAGTTAAGATGGGCACCATATAAGTTTCATACTGTTTTGTGCATTAGTGAATTTGTTAAGCCTTAACTGTCTCAAACTGAAGCGCTTTTAGATCCTAGAATTCCAGTTTGTACAGGCCTATGTCAAGGTTAATAACTAAGTGGATGATACTCAGATGAGACCTAATGGCATATCGCTGAACATTGTTTATTTTTCATCTTTCAAGATTGCTGCTGAACTCTGGCCCCACAAAAACTTTTATGCAGCCAGGCCCATAAATATGCTTCATTTGGTTACTTGTAGTTTAGCATAAGTTTATATGCATGCCTAATTCTGTTACATTTGTGGTTTTATATTCTTTGTTTTTCTCAGTTGAAAATATGTTGCCATACAGAATGATCTAATCTCCTTACCTTAAACCATCAGTATACATATTTCCCCCCCAAAAATGCTGTGAACGCCACTCATGTGAAAGAACTCTACATTCTGAAATTTGGCTTGTTTAGACAATACTTTGCCTCCGGGAGGCAACCATTGTTTGAACAGGCTCACAAAGAAAAATCAGGTTATTACACAATTTTGTGTTTTCATCGTTAAGGAAAATTGCAAGGAAGTGAATTGTTATCTTCCTGTCTTACCTAACCCTGCTTAGCTATTTCAGGCCAGGTGTGGAGGACCTGAACTCTGTACAGATTTTGAATTGAACATGTGTTGGGGTTAGGGCCTGATGGTAGGATTCTGCTCCACCACCTCCACATTCGATCTTGCTAAATTATTCCTTCTACTCAAGTAGAGCACTCTTCTACTAACAAATTTTTTTAATATATTTTTAATTCACTGTAAAGTGAATAAGAACTGCATTCTTAATATTTTTAATATTCTTAATATTTTCTTGGCAACATTTATTTTAACATTTACTCTTGGGAAGTAGAAAGATATTGTTACAACCCATATTATGGTTAAGAAGAATTCAGTTTCCTAAGTCAATAGGACAGAGCATCTTCTACTATCATGGATTTGTGTGTGTTTTGATTGGCAGTTCAACAAAGAGAAGGTGGCCGCTCAATAGGACAGCATCTGGCTGACATCATGCTGACCTTGTTGCAAAAGTTTCTTAAGGGTGTAGCCAACACTGAAAACTCATGCTGTGTTTATAGACCATTTGATATGGAATAGAGAGATGCATGGAAAATGTAGACTTCCTGTTTAAACTATGAAATAAGTCAGCAGTGCAGTGCAGCAGCTAACGGGACTAATGCAATTCTAGGTTGCATCAACAGACATATAGCATCCAGGTCATTGGAAGTAATGGTACCACTCTGTATTCTTGAAATGTCAGTTTAAGAAGGATAATGACAAACTGGAACATGTCCAGAGGAGAGTGACAAGAGTGAAAGAGCTGGAGACCATGTCCTGTGAGGAAACACTGAAAGGCGATACAATGACCATATTTGAATGACTCACCCATGCATGATATTGTAATTTGTTTTACAGAGGGCAGTACCCAAATCAATTGTATCAAAAGGATTTAGGCTAAAAATTAGGAGTATCCTCTTGCTGGTATGTTCTGTTTGACAGTGGAATAGATTGCCTTGGAGAGGCTTTATTCCTCAACATGATTTTTTAGATCTCTTCCAACTCTGATTCTAAATATTAAGAGTTTATCCCAGCATCATTAATCTCTTAGCACAGTCCTAAGTCTGAAAATTGTACACTTCCACACTTTCATTGTGTATTTTTGAGGATATATACTGATACAGTGGTACCTCAGGTTAAGAACTTAATTCGTTCTGGAGGTCCGTTCTTAACATGAAACTGTTCTTAACCTGAGGTACCACTTTAGCTAATGGGGCCTTCCGCTGCCGCCGTGGCACCGGAGCACGACTTCTGTTCTCATCCTGAAGCAAAGTTCTTAACCTGAGGTACTATTTCTGGGTTAGCGGAGTCTGTAACCTGAAGCGCCTGTAACCTTAGGTACCACTGTATTCTGGTTTAAGCTCCATATAAGATGTATTTTATTGTTTCTGTGTTCAGGTTTGCTTTGCAGAGTTTAATTTGTTCTTTCTCTAATTTCCATAGATTATAAGCACACCACAAAGACTGACCAATTCAGGAAGTGTTCTCATTGGGTGTCCCTACACCACAGCATCAGCCATGGTCACACAGATGCATATAACTGAAGCCACTGGCTGGGTTCCAGGGTAAATAATCCGTTCTTGCATGTTCATTCTGAGTTCCATGTTTTCTTCATAAGTTAGGAATTCTACTTAATGCACCTTTTGACTTTTGTATGCAAACATGTAGCCGCTTGACTTTGGTCAAGCTTCATTAAGTTACATAATTTATATATGGGATGATAGAAATAATGGAGACTATTTGCGCAATTAAAACAAGTCCTTACTCCTTCCTTAAATTTCTGTTGTATGTATAGCATCACACTTGCATATTAGAGAAGTATGCCAATCTGGAAGTAGGGCTAAGAAAAGGCTATTCTTTTAAAATCTAGTTTGCCAGTGTAAGTTTCCATTGGTAAGCAACAAAATGGGCTGCTGTTGCATAGAGCTTTGCTCTTCATCAAGAAGTTAAGAGGTATTTTGGGCCTTACTATGCAGCTATTCTGAACGGTTTTGAAGCTGTGCTATTTAAAACATTTTAAATATTCATTGTTCATTAGAATGGCAAAGATTTTGATTTCATGCTGATAATATATATAAAGAAATTGGAAGGGGTGAACACTTTGAATTTAGCAGCTGGGCTTGGTTTATTGTGAATTTTGCTGAGTTGCTTTATCTATTTCCACTCTTTTTAGAAGCTTGTAAGATCTATATGGTGCTAGAGATAGTCTTAATTTTTGGTAACTAGAGATATGGTTGCTGTAACATCATCTGCTTTTGTTTGCCTAAGTTATCCAAGATCTCTTTAACTTGCAGGTATGGAATACAGGAATATATATATATTTTATAAAAAACCCTCTATCCTTTAGGGCACTCATTATCTTTCACCTTCACTTCTCACAGCTAGCTAAGAAGCAGAGTAAACAACTTCAGAAAGCTATCCACTACAACCCAAAGGTCTCACTCCTGGTCAGTCACTGCCACTTCAGACCCTATGAGCATATATGTGAAATTGATATTCTTTTTGCCCCTACATGCATCACTTTTCACTTGCATACATTGAATTGCATTTGGCATTTTATTGCCCATTCAACTCAGTTTCGAGAGATCCTTCACAGCTCCTTTTTGTTATTGCCACCCGGAACAATTTCATATCATGAGCAAACTTGACTGCCTCACTGCGTACCCCTAACTAAATGATTTATGAACAAGTTAAAAAGGACAGGTCCCAATATTGATCCTTGAGGGACCCCACGTTCTACATCTCTTCATTGTGAGAACTGTCCATTTATTCCTACTTTGTTTCCTGTTTCTTAACCAGAGGACTTCTCTTATTCCATGACTGGTGTGATCTTGCATCAAAAGCTTTTTAAAAGTCAAAATACATGTCAGCTGGATCACCTCTATCATATGCCTGTTCACACTCTTAAAAAAAATTACAGGTTAGAGAGACAGGACTTACCCTTATAGAAGCCCCACTGGTTCCACTATGCTTGGTAATTTTGTCTTTGACAATGCTTTTCTCTGGCTTTTTGGTAGTGGATCAGTGATTTCACATTTGAGTTCTTTAAGAACTTTTGGGTGGCAGCCATCCAGATCTGGCAACCTGTCATTTTTAATTTTTTTGTCAATAATACCTCAAACTTAGTCTTTTATCTCCACTATTTGCCGCAGTTCCTCACACTGTGAAAGTTAATTTCAGCACAGGGATCTGCCCTATATCTTCCACGGTGAAGATAGATGCATATAATTCATTTATCCTCTCCACAATCTCCTTATCCTACTTCAATACACCTTTAACTCTATTGTCATCCAAAGGTCCAACTGCCTTCCTAGCTGGTCTCTTGATACTAATGTATTTAAATATTTCTTGGTTCGTGGTTTTCATGTTTTTAGCAATGTGCTCCTTAATTATCTTTCGGCATCCCTTATTGTCTGTTTGTATTTATTTTGCCAAAAATTGTGTTCCTGTTCATGTCCACATTTCAACAAGACTTCCATTTTCTAAAGGAAGTTTTCTTGTCTCTAATGGCTTCTTTTATGTTGCTCATTAATGGCACAGGCACCCTATTAGCCTTGGTCATATCTTTTCTTGATCTGTGGTATCTAATTTTGTGGTTTTAAATAACTCATAAGGATTTTGGAGAAATCCAACCCTCTTGACTTTCCTTTTCAACTAAATAATCATGATAACAACAAATTTTCTATACCACCTTTCATCCGAGGATCACAATATATCTTTTTCTTTTTCTTTTTCTTTTTCTTTTTCTTTTTCTTTTTACCAATCCCCTCATTATCAAATGTGGCCATGTTGGATTTTCTTAGCCATTGTCCATTTACATATATATATTGAATAGGATAGCTTCAACAATATTTACATCTATACTATCTTCACCCACAATGATTTGGTAGAGAAGCCTTCCTCTTTTGTGATTTCTAGCTTATCAGATTGTATGTCCTCTTCCACAGACAAACACCACTTCCCCCAGTGTGACCTTTCCTTCCTCCTTATAGTGATTGTATCCAAATGTTTCTGCGAAATAATAATAATAATAATAATAATAATAATAATAATATATTTTTACCCCATCCATCTCTGGGTGGCTCCCAACAGAATATTAAAAACACGATAAAACATCAAACAGTAAAATAGTAATCATGAGAAGGCCCATTTCTTTGTGCCACACAGTTGAGTTCTCTCGCTTATGGCACAGCTAGTGGGGCCTCTTCTAAACGTCTTAGTAATCAGATAGGTCTATATATAAGAGGAAAGGTTCTCTCAGGTAAATGGTTCCCAAGTTGCTTAAGGCTCCATACGTTAATGACAGGTGCTTTAACCTGGCTTGGTAGCAAACTAGAGGCAGTGCAACCCCATCCAGAACAGGCAAACTACCTAACACCCATTTACCCACAGCGCCTTCCAGTCAAAGATGTGGGATGGTTTCTGATAGTTGGAGCCAGTCTCCTGCTGCTGCTGCTCTACATATGAACTTCTTCTTTTGGGCTGGTTGTGGAGGATAAGCAAGCAGAGTGCATGTGTCTGCTTGTTTGAATAACTCCCTTGCTCTAGGGGCAGGACAAGGAAAGCATGTTGGGAAGAGAAGCACTGCCAAGACCCACCTTAGCTATATAGGCCCTGCAAAGATGAAAACAGGAAAAGCAGCAGGAGAAACAGCTGCTAATCTGGTGCAGTCTGCCCAGGTCTTGAGCAGGCAACCAGCAGAGGAAAATGGTGTCATCTTCACCACTCAGGCTTTTCCTGGTTCTCGGTTTTGTTTGAGGATCAACCACTTTCACAGTTCATTGTATGGACTGAGGACCTGGTTGTTTCATCTCATTTTTTAAGAAATTGAGGAACTAATACATATAATCGGAATGCAACAAACGCAATAGGAAACACAAACTTTTATACAAGCATATAACAATGTGAATGAAACCACATATCCTCTTAAAAATCTGCTTTAAGAGAGAACTAGGGCAGAGTGTGTTATGACCAGTTTGAGAACTGATGTGGCCAGTTTGTTCCTGTCCAGGTCCCTACAAGAGTTCTGCAAAAGTCAGAAAAGGGCAAGAGCTGTTCTAGAGCTACTCCCGGCACCAGCACCACAAAAGGCAGCAGAAATAATTCTCCAGCTGTTTTATCATCCAGTTCTTCTACCAGGGTTCCTTTCTTAAGAACTCTTGGGACTATCAAAATTTCTCTTCCATTGGCCTTCTTCCCTACAGAGAAGTTATTGCCCATTTTTCCTAATAAGATGCTCATTTAGTATGTCCAGGAAGGCCTGCTGATCAGCCCCCATTCCCCAGCAAAGTTTCAGGTTCCTCAGCTAGAGCTCAGGAAGATGATCAGGGAATGAAGTTGAAGAGAAACAACATTTCTCATCCCAGCAAAACTCTTACAACTGAATGTCACCCATTGGTTTTATTTCTATAAATTCATCTAAATAAAATTAACTGTTTAACCAAGGGATCACTTAGTGGTGTACACTGAATAATTTGAAACAATCAATGTACAAATAAATTCCAATTTATTTAAGTTTCGTCAAGTTGCATTCCCCTAGGGGCAATTACAACTATTACAAATTATGCTCAATATATTTGACTAGCTTTAAAAATGAATAAAGCAAGTACTTAAAATATTTAGAATAGGTATAACTTGTGCTATGAAACATTAGTACAGCCTAAAATCCATATTTTGATATGTGCTGTTTTTTAATGTTTACAGGGATAGAAAACGAACTCAAGACTTTATGGAATCAGATTTTTCAGAAAGGTTTGTATCACTGCTGCATCCTGAATATGCTGACCTTTGAACTTGTTAGCAAGATTTCATTTCCATCTCCCTGAAATAGTTCAGTTTACTATAATAGACCAAATAATATTGTCCTTTGTTGTACTTGCACACCTATTCTAACAGATTGTCTGGCTCGAACTAATAACTATCCGGTTGTTTATATAACTTGCAAAATATTTGGAAATGCAGTTTTGTAGAGGTGATAAGATCTATCATTGACTTTTGGTGAGAAAAATCTAGTTAAATCGCCATGTGTTTTTCTGCAGGCACAATTCCGGTAAACGTACTTCAGTGCTTTATCAGTCACTTCAGGGCTACACTTGTAAGACTTTATAGCAATTGAATTTTACTACTTGTATATAGGAAGTGAAAGTGAAGTTAGTGACGGTAAAAAAAATATGTTAGAGTCATAGTAGAGCATATGCTTTTCATGTCAAAAGGTCCCAGGTTCAGTTCCCACCATCTCTACTAGCAAGTCTACTAAGCCTCTGCCTGAGCCTATGTGACTATATGGAAACTTCAGGTGCAGGGGCAGTATTGCACTGAATACTGGCTGCTGGGGGGCTGTACAGTAGTGATAGGCTACTGACCTCATGCTCTGCCTGTTGCCTTCACAGTCTAACTAGTTACTAACAGGAGCAAAGTTCTGAACTATATGTACTTTTGATCTGACCCCACAAGGTTTTCTTTGCCGCCACAAGTAAAAAATGGCAAATACACCATTTGATTCTATTATATGTGAGTTGTAAGCAAGTATACCATTGTAGAATTTCCAAAAAACATAGAATCATATCCCCAGAAGAAAAACATGAGCTTGAAATGCATTGGAGCAAATTATTTGATTTGCTGCTGGTTTTTTGGTTTGAAAATGATTACATTTCAGAGTAGGTTCTTCTGCACTTCCAAAATTCTAGTAAACTAGCTAGATGGTTTAATGTACTGTATAATCTTTGCAAAGAACACATTCATAACGTAAACACAAAGCAGTATCTTGCAAGAAAGAGAATGAAATTAAAATTGCATGGCTGATTCTAGCATTATAAATTATTTATCATATTTTCCCAAATAAACATTTTTTCCATATACTGCACCTTCCAGCAAACAGATAGTGCTTAGCATGAAAAATCTGTGATTGGTCTTTGTTGTCAAACTTAAGATTTGAATTTTTCTTCATCACAGTAAAAGAAGCAGAAAAGGAGATAAAAATGGAAAGGGTTTGAGACATTTTTCAATGAAAGTATGTGAAAAGGTCCAGCATAAAGGAACAACATCTTATAATGAAGTTGCAGATGAGCTGGTATCGGATTTTACAAACTCTAATGGCCACTTAGCTACAGATTCAGTAAGTAGAAAGTAACATTCATACACATCTAATATTTTGCAACCCACTTGTTCCTCTATAATCAAATTAAAATATTATGTGTAAACTATTAAGGGCTTGAGGAGACCAGTGCTCTTTCCACCCCACCCTCAATTTTCTTCCCTACCCCACTTTTGCTGAAACACTTACCAATCTATGCCTCAGCTATTTTCAGTCATAGATTGACATAATAAACTTGTACAGTCTGTCCGGCTTCAGTTTCCTCTAGAGCTGTCTGTCTGTCTCTCTCTGATTCAATTGCTGTCAACATTCTGTAAGCCCTGGGACCTCACATGAGCTTGTTAGCCCATTTTCAGCTTTTGAATCCCTCCTCTCTCTCCCCTACACCTGCCCCATGAATTTACAAACTTGTATACTTTTGCAGTTCTTGTGACTCTTCGAAGTAGATGGGAACCATTCCCTTATTTTGGAGCAATCCTATTTTAGCTTTAGACTAGCTGCTGTTGTGAAATCTTACCATTAGGAAATTGTGATTGTGAAATCTCATGGTCCAAGGGTGAGTAGAGGAGCGCTCCTCTCGCCACCCATGATTGCCCTGCCAGGTTCAAGGAGCAGAGTGGCTGCAGCTCTGCAAGACCTGTGAGCGGGGGAGACATGATTGTATGGGGAGTGATGATGCAGGTGGCAGTGAGGTGGCGGGAGATGTAGCCACCTTTTGGAAGCTTCTGCTGAGCCCAGATTTGAAAAGTATGAGCAGATATAGAAAGGGGAAGAATGCAGCAGCCACAGAGCTTGGACGTATTTAAACTGCTTTAATATTCAACATCAGTTGACGTGTTAGCTTTCTCAATTTTTCATGGTTTAGTCTAGCAATCTATAGATTAAAACATATGTTTTATTGCCCTTTCAGTCTGTTCAAATGTTGCCTTATGTTTTTAATAAAAAAGACATGCTTATAACGTGGCATTTTCAAAAATTCAGTACTCTAATAATTCTGTAATCAAACTTGCAAATGTTGTTCTTACGGCTAATTAGGTAATAAATTGGACCTCTCTTGGCCCCTGTTCAGCTTTGGATATAATCAAGGCAACTTTTTGTATGATATTTTTCCTATTTTGTATACTTTTTTCAATTATGTAGTTCTGAGCATGTAAATACTTAGAGACAATATTCACATTAATTTATATATGCCTTTTCCACATTCCTGTGGAAGAATATGATATATGTATGTGATTGGGAAGGAGAACCACCACTGGTTTGATATTGTATATATCTTGGTTTTCTACAAGCTTTGCCCGTAAATATTAGTTATAGTGTTCACATTAATGTCCTGCCTGCAGTGAAACCTTTATATGCATTTTAAAATGATTTAATACTGTTTTTCATACCTGTAGTGAGCTGATGATATATTTAACAGTATTGCATTTTAAACAGGTTTATGATCAGAAGAATATTAGGCGGAGAGTTTATGATGCCCTCAATGTATTGATGGCGATGAACATTATTTCAAAGGAGAAAAAAGAAATCAAATGGATAGGTCTTCCTACAAACTCGGCTCAAGAATGTCAAAACCTTGAAGTGAGTGAGGGGTGTAAAATTTATATTGGCAAACATTGTATTTTCTGTGTATAAAATGGAGATGCATGAATTCTACTTTAAGTAGAGTGATTCTATATAAATTATGAGTATGAGTGCTATCTGTGTGGGCCCCACACCAACCAAAAAAATATAGAAGTTTATTAATCTTTACATACTGTTTTTATAGATGCATAATAAAATCTTAGTCTTAAGAAATATACTGTAAACTGCTCTGGAATATTAATTTTAGGGCAGCTTTAAAAGGAAACTAAACAATAAACAGTAACTTCAAAATATAATAGTTTTTATACCTAAGTCCCAATCAGAATTGCAGTGTTCTGGTTAGCTGCCCCATGTTAAAGTATTGTCTCATTTTTAACTTCAACTTTGCTGACTTCCCTACTTGATTGATGCAGCACGAAAGGTTCTGATGGCATCTGAAGTGCATCTGACGATTTTGCAACATATGTCCTATATGCTGCGATTCAGGTTCCCTAAAACAGTCATGAAGCAGTTTCACCTTGGCCCAGAGGAAAAGACACTTCTGTGTATTTATCTTCTGTTTTGTATCTTTCTTTTCATATTTGTATTTAAGATAGAGAAACAACGACGTATAGAACGTATAAAACAGAAGAGAGCTCAGCTGCAAGAACTTATACTTCAGGTATATTTTTCAAATGTATGATACCACTTAAATCCATTGGGGGGATGTTCAGCTAACTCACAGTAGGCTTGTTGAAATTAATGGACCTAACTTAGTCATGTTCATTAAATTCAGTCAGTCTACTCTGAGTAAAACTTTGTTGAATGCACTGCATGTTGTTTACTAGTGTTAAGTGGTGTGGTGTGTATATATATATATATGTGTGTGTGTGTATATATATGTGTGTGTGTGTGTGTGTGTGTGTGTGTGTGTGTATATATATATATATATATATATATATATAAAAGCATTTTTAAACTAGCAGAGTACATACTTCAATGTTTCCTTCAGCTGTAAACTAAAATAAGTTTGCCTTTTGAAAAGCAGCCTGTCTCATAATACAGCAAATAAATGTTCAAAGGAATCTGTAACAAACCAGTATGAACACAGAAGTCATTCCCTGTCTAGCATCACAGAAAATCAGTGACATTTTCTGATTTAACCTACATTTGTTTATCAAAATCTGCAGTAATACTAAAATTTAAGCTTCTCAATGCTTCATCTAATACTAAAACAATTCTCATTTTCTGACACAATAATCTAGGACAGGTTTTGTTACGTGTTTTAAAATTTGATAATTTTCATTTCCTTCTACAGCAAATTGCTTTCAAAAATTTGGTACAAAGAAATCAACAAAATGAACAACAGACTCAGGGTGCTCCAGCTTTAAATTCTACAATACAACTGCCTTTTCTAGTAATAAACACAAGCAAAAGTACCGTCATAGATTGCAGCATCTCTCCTGACAAGTGAGTGTGATATGAAAGTACATGCTGTAGTGTTGAGTGCTTTTTTATTTCTAAATAAAAAAAAATCAATTTGCCACCAGATTTTACCCATTTCTCTCCCAATTCATGTTGAGTTTTTTATGTTTGGTCCACCTGATGAGGAAGACCTCTGTGTTGAAACGCTTTTGATATTGTATAGGATTTGACCTGCTAAGATGTTGTTATCAGTATATTGGTATTTGTGATTATTTTTGAAATAAAGATTTTTAATTTTTTAAAAATAGCACATTTTCCCCTTTCACTTTGTTTTTGGCTGTTGGTCATGCTGGCCAGAAGGCACCACCACACTTACTGTGGTAAGCAGAATTGTTGACGCCTGGTTTTATATTCAAATTTGTGTTATAAAAACTTTCATAATAAAGCTGGCTAACAACAAAGTATCTTGTTTCTGGAACAGCTTCTCTAGTAGCAATTATAAGCTGTCCTATAAGTTATTTTTATGAATTTTATACGGCTAAAGGACCTAAGTAGGGATGAAATACACTTAAAATGCATTTGGTGGGCAGGAAGGGGGGCACTGAATTTGAGTGAGGAGTTTGTAGATGACCTTTAAAATCCATTTGGTTTAGTACAAGAAAAGATTTTGGCTTAAGCAAGATTTCCCCTCAACTTTGAATCTGTTTAATGAGGGGGGAAAGTTTATGGACTCCTATTGCCTCGCATGGAAAAAGTGTTTTTAATTGGGGAAATATAATAATTTGTACCCTGCTGAGATGGCAGTTGACCAGATGCAATCAGAAGCACTTTCTGTACCTAGTTATGTTTTAAATATAGCTTTGACTCATGAAGTAATCCTGCAAGTGTAATTGTATTTGGGCACTTATTAACATATAATTTAGAAAATGCATCTAAGCTGTACTAGGAAATCTCACTCATTTTCCCCCTCTTACAGATTTGAATACCTTTTTAATTTTGATAGCACTTTTGAGATCCATGATGACACTGAAGTATTAAAGCGAATGGGAATGTCACTTGGCCTAGAGACAGGCAAATGCTCATCGGCAGACCTAAGAGCTGCTAAATCACTAGTGCCTAAAGCTTTAGAAAGCTATGTCACAGGTAAGGCTGTGGTTTTTGCATGTTGCTGATTAAATGCAAATCCTCACCATCGTGAAGAATTTCTAATGATGTTAGACTGCATGAAGATGGCAATACTGAGTGATTTATGAAAGTTGGCAGTATTGTACAAACTAAATCACAGGTTTAAAAGTAGTCATCTGCAACTAGAGATTCCAGAACTTGTAAATAAACCAAAGTGCTTGAATGGTGTACTATTCAAAGTAGTGCCATTAATAATTCCTGCTGTCACCCTGCTATTTCAAACTAAGGGAGTGTCTACATATTTTTAAAGTCCTGTGAAAAAGTATGCTGCACAGTTTCAGTAAAGGTATCTAGCAAATGTATTGACGATCAAGGGGCTGTTTCTGGCTACAGAATCTCTCTTAGTGGAACGATACTTGAAGTGGCTTGCTACACACAGTCACAAAATAGATAAGCTAAAGAACCACTTTAAACAATTTGTGACATAGGCAGAGCAGATTATGTTATACTTTAAACCAGCCTTCTCCAATCTGGTGCCCTCAGGATATTGTTGAACCACAATTTTCACTGCCCCAGACTATTTGCTTTGCTAAGGGGCAGCAGGCACACCAAATAAGGAATATTATTGTGGTCACCAAGCCTTCTTTAAACACAAAATAGGTTGCTGCCAAAAAGGTGCCTGGTGCTCATCACCCTGAAAGTGACAGGCTTTCCTTCTTTGAAAGGAGGACTGTAGAGCACAGAGGGAGTCATGTGAGTATATGTGAGCTACTCTTGGAAGCTGCTCTCCAACCCCTGCATGCTGTTCCGGGGTTTTCCTCGAAACCCCCCTATGCCGAATTTTGCAGCTTGTTGAGAGGAGAGTGGGAGAAAACCCCATTGTGCAAGTGGCTTCCACTGATGAGATTGGCTAGGTGAATCCCAACCCATTGTGTCCCCAGAGAAATTTTCCTTGTTTAGTGAATATAACCACATTTTTTACACTAACATATGCATAATTTTTTAGAGGAACACAAAACATATTTTAAAGCTGCAAATGGCAAATCTTATGTTTTGTCTTTCTTTTCAGTGATAGTTTCAATATTTCTTAGGACTTTTGATTGTCCTTATGAACAGGGAGCAATATGGGGATTTATTTTTTTTATCGTTCTCTTTGCAAACAGCTATTTCAAAGGACTCCTATCTGTTCTCTTAATCATAACATAATTACGCAATGTAAAGTTGTGGCTAGATCTGTCTAATCTGCATAGTTACAGAAACCAGAGGCCTATACAAACAAAGTATCTGATTTAAATGTGTGTTGTACAAATTTTCAGGGAGAGGTGTTGTGTTCATTCCTCTTTAAAAGTTATTCGCTAATAATATCTTGATGTTCTGAGCCTCTAGGTCTTGCATCTTTGAACATAGAGAAGCAAGCTTCCAACTTTAATCACACCTAAACAGGATTTCCAGTATCCCAAATGGCAACTTTATTCTGACAGTCAATGAGCTATTGTATTGTTTAAACTAAAGCACCAAATTGAACATGGAAAAATGGGATGTTGTAGAGTTTGCTTATACCAAAACCCCATAAGTAGAGCAGTAATATTGCAATGATTTCATCATCTGGATCTCTATATTCAAGGGTATAAATACTTCAATTGAGCACTTATATTTACTCATGGATGCTTGAATAAACTTGAGATGTTGAATGTTGGATAGTTGAACTTGCCTCTATTGTATTTCTCCCATCTTCACTGTACTATCTAGAAAGGGTTAATGAGTGAACAAGCTAAGATAATCTCTTAGTTCCATCTGTCTGAGTGTATAGAGGGCCTTGTCTTCTGCTTTAAAATTTCCTGAGCTAAAAATAATGCCAGCTTTAATTTACCACTGGTACCATTTTACCAGTGTACCTGAAAGATTAACTTGCCCTCTTGTTGGAACAGCCAAAGTACACTAGACCCATGCAAATAGTCCATTGCGCTGGCACTTCAAAGACTCTCCAGATAATTTGCTACACTAGATCTATGATGTCATTTTACATTTAAAGGGATTTCCCTTAGATAATTAGGGGAGGCTTTAACTCAAATAGTCACCTAGCTTGTTGTATTTTTAAGTTGATCAGTCAACACTTTTGTTCTCTAAAATGCTCTGGATGATTCAGCCTTTCCAGGTTGAAGTTTGTTTTTACCATGCAAGAACTATCAATCTAGAAAGCTAACTTGCATATATTTTTGATAGGCTTAAAGATATCCCCCCCCCCCAAAAAAAATTGCCTAGCATGTGGGACACACCACTAATATGATAACATGGGAAACAGAACAGAAAGCCGGGGGGGGGGGGACGGTGTGCAATAAACTCAGATCATCAAACTCCTGTTTGCAAGATTCAGGCATTCCTACTTGGCCATAACGGAGAGAAGCTGGTGCCACTTCTTACTAGAAATAGACCACAAAATAACAACTAGCTTTTTATATAACGTATAGCTAATTACTTACTTTATCCCCTCAAATACTGTTTTTCTGAGACATTTTAATACATATTGCCCTTGTAAGCATATATGTGTTTCATACTGGTAACATACCAAGTACTCTACAGAAAATAGACATGTATGTCTCTGCTCCCATTGCCAGTCCCTAAACTCTCACACAACATGAGAAAAGGATTAGATGGTGCTAGGGAAGAGACTGAGCCACATGTATCCCTTCAACTTCAAAAGGCTTGGTGGAATCAGTTCAATGACTGCAGAATAGACTAAAAGGTGAAATTTTCAAGATTCCAGACATGGGCATGCCTCAAGAGAATAAAAAAGTATGTTCCTGTACAGGAAAAGTATTGACCATTTGTTGTTGCATGTTTACTCCACATACATGTTATGTGTTGAGTTGTAATTGACTAAATGCTTTCTTTTAGATATGTCTACAGGAATTTACTGCTTGAACCAGGGGCTAGTTTTAAATTCAGCTCAAGCAGGTTCTGCTTTGGCCACAGCTGGGAATACTGCTCTTTTTAAGTCAAGGTAAGTAAGTGGGACGCATGTGGCGCTGTGGTCTGAACCACAGAGCCTAGGGCTTGCCGATCAGAAAGTCGGCGGTTCAAATCCCTGTGACGGGGTGAGCTCCCATTGCTCGGTCCCTGCTCCTGCCAACCTAGCAGTTCGAAAGCACGTCAAAGTGCAAGTAGATAAATAGGTACCACTCCGGCAGGAAGGTAAACGGCATTTCCGTGCACTGCTCTGGTTCGCCAGAAGTGGCTTAGTCATGCTGGCCACATGACCCAGAAGCTGTACACTGGCTCCCTTAGCCAGTAAAGCGAGATGAGCGCCGCAACCCCAGAGTTGTCCGCGACTGGACATAACTGTCAGGGGTCCCTTTACCTTTTACCTAAGTAAATGTTGAATGGATGGCTTCTTTTTATGTTATTAAGAAACTACAATTGCCTTCTGGGAAAAGTGAGCCCCGAGCCTTTATTTCTTGTTAAATTCTCCCAAGCAGATACTGGGTTGATGCTCTTCAAGTCAAGACACCCTGATTTTTGTTACATCTCTGTTGATCACCTTTTGCTATATACATTTCTGAAGTAATCGCTGAACTGTGATTGGGGTTTAAGATTAATGTGTTCATGGGCTTAAGATTAAGTAGGGTTCTAGATTAGGATGACTGGAAAAAGTGAAATTACTTATTTAAAGCCACAGATCCCATTTTATGAAGGATTTGCTCACATACGCATGGACATCACTTTCTCCTTGGTTGATTTACTCATGATTTGATAGCTTTTATTAGACCAATCAAAATACCACAAAACAGTGCACAAGCTTTCTAATTCTTTATCAGGCTGCATGGTAAACAGACCTGAAGGAGTGGGAGGGATCTTGGCCAATGCAACACTGAGTATGCATCTGGTGAGGAGAGTATTATGCCAGAATTTGGGAGGAGGTAGCCTGTGTTCAGATGAGGCCCTTTATATGCTGTAGACTTCAGATTGCAGCAAGGCCTGCTGGCAACAAGAATTAACAATGGCACAACATTAGATTAGGTTTAGCATTCTAGTATTCTGTTTGAAAGTTCTGTCTGTAGAAACTAAACAAATCCATAATGTCTTAATCACACATGCAACACTGAGATTGATTCTAATGTTGAGATGCATACCTGCATGTGTTAACCAAACCTACAACAGTACATCTTAGAGGAATGCAGTTTTAAGTATCAAGTTGTTAAATAGGAGCCAGTTCTCTCAAGCAGATTTTTTTGCTTCTTTAATAGTGGAAATCCAGGGTTGTGTCTAGATTCTGAAGTGGCCTTAGCAACAGGCCAGCTGCTGGCTCCCAGCAGCCAACAGTCCAGCAGTGCAACATCACACTACTCAGAGTCACGTGGTGAAACCCCCTGTTCCTTCAATGATGAGGATGAGGATGAAGACGACTCTTCTTCACCAGAATAAAGGCACACTAGTCATTTGAAATACACCTCTTGTGCGCTTAACTCTCTTTACATAGTTTTCTTCCACGTTTTGCCTCTTTACCCTGTGCAATTTTGTTGAAATTTTGGAAAAGTGTCAGAGACAGGAAGCTGCTTATAACAAGGCACAGTACATTGTACTACTACAGAACAAGAAGAGAGGATGATTCAGTGCTCATACCTATGCACATCGGAGAGAATGTAGAGCCCTTCAAACAAGCAAATGACCTCTGGTGTGACAGTGTTCTCTTTCATTTGTACCCAAATCTCATCCAGAGGCAGAATGGATTTCTTCTCCCTGCAACATGTTAATTCCATACTTAAACAGCACTACAGTGACAGACTGTCTGCACTTCCTGTCAGGACATTCATTTACCCTAGGCCACTTCTCATGCATGGGTTGTTCCTCTCCTGTATGCGTGGAGGGTCAGCTCCTGTGTTTTATGTATTTGTGTTTGTAGTCCTCACTGCCAGAAAGAAGTTGGAAGTGGTCCTGGTAGCTTGGTTCCATAGGGGCCTCCTGGATCCATGGTGGACTCCTCTGTAAACTGCCAGGCAACTTGAGGACCCTCATTAAAGTTTGTGACGGGTAAGAGTGGGATGTCCTTTCCCAATAAGCTTTGAAAGGCACATGGTTAGTGTGCAACTCCACATCTCCCCTTCTGGGCCCATATACCGAATAATTGAATTGGCCCGCATTAATTTCCCCTTCACTATTAGGGGAAAAAACACCTTTCAGAAAGGTCAGAGTGGACAATGCACAATTTTTCTTTTTATATCATCATCTGTTGCCTGCTTCATTTCCCTTACATCACATAAGATGCTAATTAACTCCTCTGCCCAATTGTCAATTTTTTCTCTCTACAGAACACAGATATTTAAAACCACCGTGCCTCATAAGACTATGTGATAGGGAAGCTATTGATGTTTTATTCCGGTTGGATAGCTGTGTGAAGAAGTGGTATACGTTCACAAAGAGACTTGTGTTTTCAGCTTGAAATCCTCAGTTTTAACTATTCCAGATTTAGTATTTCATTAGGTTATCATTTTCCCCTTCTACTGTCCATTAAGCAGTGAGACAATGCTCACAGCACACCCTGTGCTGCTGCTGCTGTTTTAATTTAGAAATGAAGAAACTGTATTGAAGGAATTTTTAAATTTTTAAAAGATGACAGTACAAAATACTAAGATTTTAACTGATATGTGACGTTCCCTCACACTTTTTAATGGATAAAGGAAGGTTAAATCATAGCAAAACTTTTCCCCATAGAATCTTAAATTACACTCCTATGAAATCCAAGCAATTTAGTTGACAAGTGTGTTCTGAAATCATAATAAACTTGCTTTCTAAATGTCTACTAGACCAATGAAATATTATAAATTATTTAAATAAAATACAGCTCTCTAGAGAGAACTAAAAAATGATTTTTTTTGAAGAAACTTTTGATCTCAGGTTTTAAAATGATCTATGAAGCCATAATAATCTTTGCTGCAAATCATACAGTGCTGATAGGGAAATAAGAAACTGGTATCTTCAAGTGTAACAATGGATGTGAATATATGAATACCGTAATCTAAAGAGGCTTTTTACTTTGATTTTGTGTGTGTGTTAAATGAGGCAGCTTCAGCTGAAAGTACTATGATCTAATTTTGGGGAAATTATAAAGAATGTTTTAGAGAAGGTATATACTAGGTTTTTTAACTTTCTCATGGTAGGAGATGCATGTCTTTTTAATGTGGATCCATCCATTCACTGTAAACACAAGGATTGGGGGATAAGCTCTACTTAGTAGCTTATCTTTCCAGGTCTTTTCTCCCAGTTGGCTTTTAGTACCAGAAGTAAACTGGTTGGGAGAAAGGCACTTGAGGGAACAAGTTGAGGACAGGAAGAAGGTCTTGTGAGAAGCTTACCTGCATGCTCCTTTGGCCTTTTAAATCACACCCCCAATTCCCTGCATTACAAAAAATTGCAGACCCATGTTTATAAAGCTGCTGTTCTACCTTGATCATTTCAGCCTTGTAGCAAATCTCTTTCCTCCCATTCCACTAAACAACACACACGCACAAACCTGGCATCACCACATTGCATGCATATATTTATGAATCTATTCCAAAGTAGATTTGTATGGATGCATGGACTTATTGCCATGTCTTAAGTGCATAATACGGCCTATAACCAGCACAATTACTTATAAGCAGTTTTAGGTCTTAGACATTAAACATATTTAAGGGAAAGGGCGGGGAAATTTTGGCCCACCGGCTGTTGTTGAACTACCCTGACAGTTAGCTATGCTGGCTAGGACTGATAAGAGTTGTATTCCAACACCTGCTATAGTGGAGGATCACAACTTCCCCATCTCCCTTTTAGGGCAATACATCTTGAAGTGAATGGTTACCTGAAACTAGGATGGCAGATTATGTGGTTCAAGAGGATGTTTCCCTTACATATTTACAGAGACAGTTCAAATTCTGTGCCAGAGAGAGTTTCATTTCATCATTTCTCTTGTTCGTATTTGAAATGATTTACTGTTCTGCCTCTAATTTATTCTGGTTTTGTTAGAGAGAGGCACAAAGTTAGGAAGGGCACCATGGCCCTGCCTCAGCCACTGGAACTCTTGATCCGCAAGATCCAAGCAGGCATTTATCCACAACTTTCAAGTATGTCAACATAACTAAAAGGGCTGCAAACTTGCTGTTTTGTGTGTGTTTTGATGAGATTTTTGCAAAGCTGAATTTTGTACCCCAGAACCCTATTCTGAGATTTGCCCCACAGATGCGCACACATTTTTATGAAATTGGAGCTACACATAACTCTGCCTACATTTGTTCATCAGAGTCCGTGGGAAGCTTTTGTGTCATTAGAGCTCAACCCAGTTCTGCAAATAACAGCACTTTCATGAAGCATGTTCCTCACACAGCATAACAGAACACTGTTCTCCTGCTCTTCCTCGCTTAGTGTGTGTGCATGACCACCATGCTAGGTAGGGTGTTACAGGGAATGAGAGATTAATGTTTCTTGACCAAGAAGATGGGGGCAGGTGGATGGGACAGTGATATGCAAGGAGCTGACAAGCATCTTATTCCACATTAACAGCAGATGGGAAAAGATGGGGTTCTGCAATGCCTTTTATGGTTCCTTCATGTCAAGTGCTGCATTCATAGTTCATAGTAGGACTAGAGTGAACCCTTGAGATTTCATCACATTAAACTGGCAATCTGAATTGGGAGAAGGGAAGAGAGAAAATTCACAGTAACCAAAGAGGCTGACCTTATGGCATGAATATTACGGAGCACTTTGATTGTTATTCTTCGGAACCAGTTTTGGAGGGAAATGGTTGAATGGTTGGGGAAAGTTCAGACTTCTTTGAAAACAACAAATACAGGAAAATCAATTAAATCAATATGGATGTTCGCAAGTTATTCCCTGCCTTTGTTGTAGTTGTCAAATTTTGCTATGTGGGTACATACAGAAAGTAGAAGTAAATATGAAAGATCCTTAATGCTTTTAAACTGGAACCACAATGCAATGTTTATATGCAATGTTTATGTTTTGTGTTTGTGGGAAATATATGTTTCTTTGGCAAAAATGTCTTAATTAAAACAGGAATTTGCATCCTGCAAACCCACTATCACTAGCACAGGTGAAAATAAAATAGCCAAATCATATTTGGAGTAGTGGTATTTCAGTGAGTCTATTCTGAGTATGGTTGGCTTTGATGCTACCCATATGAATTAAGCCTGGCACAACGTTAAGTTTCTTCCTACCATTTTTTATGAACTGCATAGTGTTGTACACATCAATAAATGTCTGGTGTGCACACCTGAGCAGAATTGGTTCAAGATTATGATCTGAAAAGTACAACCATTTTATTCCACCAGAGAACTTCTGACTATGTCCTCCTAAAAGAATTTCTGATGGCCTGAAAGCATTCTTGTCTTTACCAAAACCTTGATAGTCTCTTTTCTCCAAATGATCTAAAAGCCTATTTATTTCTCACCACATCAATATGCCAGCAGCAGAGAAACTTGTCAGATGATGGTAATGATTCATGTGGCAATGTTGTACACACAGAACAGCTGTGTCTCAAGTAGCCTTTGTGTAGTGATCCAAATATTTAAACCAACCCCAGCACATTGCAGCAACTTTAGTCTGTAGTTTGTAAATGAACTTGCAGAAGATGTAATGTTCCATGACTTAGCTACCAGATATTTTAAAATCTGTTTTATGCTATTTTGTAGAGAGGCTGGGTTTTTCTGCTTGTGTTTGTTTTTTTACTACCGCATAATACATAGTTTGTGTGACTAAAGTGTGAAAAATGTGGTAGTCTTGTGTATGTATTAAGAGAAAGAAGGCAGACGCAAAGAAACTCTTACACTTTAAGACTGTTGCTACTAGCAATGTAATATGTCTGATCTAATAGAAAAATGTTACCTTGTAGTATATCACATACTTTATAAAAAAAAACACCATTATTTTTTTATGGAAATTTTATATAAGAATCTATTTCTGCATATTTCAAGTGATCTTGTATTTTATTAAAGTGCTACAAGTAAGGATTGTGCAGAAGAGTGCAAGTATTTGCATCTGATTGAAATGAAAAGCATGCATACTTTGAAGAAAAATAATATCCTGCTGTTTGTGACCTGAAAAGTAAAGCTAAACTGTAGAACAGAATAAAATAATTTAAAGACAACTGGGGTTGCTCTTGTTTTTAAGCAAACACTGCGGCAGAGGAAAGCTGTCAAAGGTTAGTGTTCATAGCATGTGTTCTCCATTTCAGAAAATACATCTTACAGAGTAAACTGCAGGGGAAACAGGGTCAAGTTGAACTGATGTTTTCAAAATAAATAGAAAGCATAACTAATTTCAACACTTAGTAGGTTCTTCTGGACTGGAGTCTAGCACAACATCCAGTTGATCTTCTTAGTTCTTAACGATATTGTGTGTATTGCTGGCAATTCAAATACTGGAAAAAGCATTTTCTAGGTTCCTAATGATGTTTACTTGGAAAGCAAGTCTTACAGAGATTGCATGTGACTACACCAATAGGTACTTTTAGTAAATAGTATAAAACTAATTCATTTAAGAGCCATACAGTGCTGCCTCAAGTGTACTATGCAGAAATCGCTTGTGTGTCCAAGTTCAGGAACATTAAGGTTAAGTACAACACACTGCATGGAACAGTTTGCATCATATGCTAAAATGTATTTAACTGGCAGCATTTCTTAACCTTTGCCTCTATGTTCATCTCTTCTTTTTTCCTTTCTCCCTACTTGATTAGGAAGGTGTAGTTCTCTAAAGTTGACTCCTTTGTTGGGAGTGCTAAGAAATCTGATAACATGAGCTTACCTTCTCATTTTGCCTAAGGAGAAACTTTTCAGCAGTGTTTCCATGTGCTATTGTAGCAAATTGCCTCATCAGGAAAGTGATATGCAAAGCAATAAAACCCAGCCAACTTTTGTGTTTTGGAGGCAAGTGCCTATCTTCTGTGTCACAGTCAAGAAAACAGAGTACAGTGGTGCCCCGCAAGACGAATGCCTCGCAAGACGGAAAAACCGCTAGACGAAAGGGTTTTCCGTTTTGGAGTTGCTTCACAGGACGAATTCCCCTATGGGCTTGCTTCGCAAGACGAAAATGTCTTGCGAGTCTTGAGATTTTTTTTTCACTTTCCCCCCCCCCTTTAATCTAAGCTGCTAAGCCTTTAATAGCCTTTTAGCAGCTAATCCACTAAGCCTTTAAGCCTTTAACAGCCGCTAAACCGCTAATAGCGCTAATCCGTTAAGCCGCTAATAGGGTTGCTTCGCAAGACGAAAAAACCGCTAGACGAAGACACTCGCGGAACGGATTAATTTCGTCTTGCGAGGCACCACTGTAGTTCTTGGAGAAAGGCTAGAGCAGGGTTAGCCAAGATGGTACTTTCAAGATGTTGTTGAACTTCTGCTCACATCAGCCTTAAGCAGCTTGGCCCAGTGATCAGAGGCGATAGGAACTGGGGTTCAGCATGTTGGTTATTCCTAGGGTAGAGTATCTGTTCTTTGTGTGGCTCATATATGAGACTACTTCAGGATTGTACCGGTCTCTGATCCCAGTGTTGTGTTGATGGTAAGCTGTGGCTCAATAACACTTTTTGAAAAACACATACCCCTAAAACTGCTTATTAGTGGTAACTGTTACTATGGAGTGAATTGGGGCAAATATTTTCTGCAAAGGCATCCAGTTCTTAAAATTGGCCTTCAGTCACTAATTCCGACAGCTGGATTTCAATAGTGGTTCTGGATAGGGTGCTATTTGTTCTCATTGACCCAATTGGAGGACAATCAGTAGCTCTGGCGGGTTTGTTTTTTTCAAGGTTAACCCTCACCCACCATGTCCTAGTCCTGATCCCAGCTGCAAATAAATATACACTCTCACCGTAAAGAACATATTTTCATGTTACACTGACATTTTTAATTCTATTGCAATTATGAGAAATTAAATTGTTTCTTCTATAGGGTTCTTTGATCAGGAATGTCCACAGTGGGAAGAGTCTGGCCTGCTAGAGTGGCCACAAGTTGACTTTATGTAGATGAACACCTGAAGGAATAGTTGTTGACTTTGGCTAAATGGCAGGTAGGATGTACCAGAGGGTGGGATGGAGGGTTTCTGTTGATGGAATGAAGCTTGAAACTCTGGCCCTTGGAAGACTAATATGAAACCCTGTTTATGTATAGTATTTGTCCAGATACACTGTGTGCTCTTTGTGGCCTTCAAAGTAGTAGAGATAAATACATTGCAGCATGTTCATCTTTAGCCACACTTCTGGTTAGAAGGAGCTTAATTTTGCAATTTGACTGGGGATTGGTTTTGTCATTCACAGTAAATCAGCGGAAAAGTACAAAGTCAAAAGCAGCAAAGAAATAATTGTGTATGCTTATTGTTCATTAAACTCTGCTTCAACCCTACATGTAGGATAAAGGGTCGGATTCAAACAATGTTCTCTTTGTAAGCATTGTAGGAATCCAGTGTAGGGGGAGGACATGTTAATTTAAAAATGCAGGGGTGTTTGTTCAACTACCTACATCGTGTGATATGTGTAGTTTATTCCTCAGGGTATGTTCTGTGCAGGGTATTGGACTCTGTGTTATTTTTGGGTGACATGGTTTTGTGTGTCAAAGAAATCTTTTTGCCTATTACCACTGAGATTAGTATGTAATGTTAATTTGCCTCACCTCTTTCTACCCAGGTTTGTTGGTTTCATGGACTACTCTTCTTTCGCTCTCAATATGATACTCTCTGAAATGCTTCTTTATTCTTTTGTTCTCGTGTTGGACCTATAAAAAACCTGCTGCTGTTTCTATAGTAATATCTTAACAGGCATAACACGCTCTGTCATCCAAAGAAAGTGAACAGTTTAATCTCATTCAAGTTCACTCAAAATTAGAGTCCATGCGATAAAGTGTATAAGATGTTGGAATGGGACTGGGGAGATCCCTGGTGAATTGCACAGCCATGCAGTTCAAAAACAAAATGTTTCCAAGTCAGGAAAAAGTCCGCTCTTTGCCATTCCACATCTTTCTGAATTTTGTATGTAATGACCTGGATATGCCCCATTACTATCAAATCCTTTCTGCTAAATCATGGCAACTTTATGGATGACCAGGTTCTATATAGCAACAGTCAACTTCTAAATGCATTTCTGCTCCCTGGATTGTAGCCCCTGTGAACCCACAGTGGACCTTTCTGGTCCTACAGCAGGGCTGGGAAACCTGTTGCACTCCAGTCCTCATCAGTCTCGGACAGCAAGGCCAAAGATCACAGATGAAGCCAGTTGAAATTCAGCAGCATCTGGTGAGCCAAGGTTTCCCCAGCCCTGTCCTGGAGAACGGCAAAGATACATTGCCGTGCCATACTATTATCAAGTTTTGGTTTATTTGTGCCTATTGCTAATTCTATTCCCAACCTGAAATGTGAATATTATAAAATGGCTGTCCCGTTGTTCCATTTAGGTGAAAGTGAGGGGGCAAGGACAGCTATAAACCAGGAATGAGAAGGTACAGGAAATGACTCAGAAGATTTAGCTTTATTTAATTAACCATTTGTGTTTTTGAAATATCTCCTCACTGATTTGAAAACTACACTACTTAGTGCCACAGGCAGAGGCAAGTTAGAACAGTTATCACAGCCTCTGGCATGGGCAAGATAATTACATGGATCAAGAATCAGTTACAGAAAAGGTGTGTTCTTCCTGGAACATTCTGAAATCTGTACCAGTTTAAGACTTGTTTTAAACCTCGATGCCAGGGAGCAGTGCCCCAACCTGCAGGTATAGCTTTGGCTTCTCATACTCTACAATTACTCAAGTATACCCTAATTAAGAAGTCAAAATGACTGTTTTGAGAGAGAGGGATTTATTATTGTGGTCACTGCCAAAATTGCAAGTTAAATTTTAACTACAAGAAAAATCTGTTGCTTTTATGGATGCATACAACTTTCACTCCTTTTAAAAAAATCACAAACAGGTTCATTGTGCTTTTTGGTGGGCTTTTGAAGCTCTGCATTCCTACTTTTTATTTTGAAGGAGGATCCAGCTGATGGGAGGAAATGTTAGGATTACCTAGGGTAGGGAACTTTCAGCTGGCCAGATGAGTATAATTTCCATTCCCCTTCTCTTGAAAAAGCATGGCAAATGGTCAAGGAATGATGGGAGTTAAGTCCAGCAATAGTCTAGGGCCCTGCCTTTAGCCTCATGGTCCGATTCTGTCAGCAGCAGGAGAGAGAGACTACAGCAGAAAAAGGTTTAAAGATGTCAGCCACCAGCCAGTGATAGGACATGAGAAACAGGCAGGAGGAATGTTTTAAACAACTATTTTGAAGCTTTTTTCAGTTATACAAAATAAAGTGAAAAAAGAAAGTAGGGAGAATGCTTAAGAGAGGCTTGGATACATGGAAACAGTGGTAAGCAAATAATGGTAACTTGGTGGCTGTGTAAGAGAATTGGATCATTCAAGAAAGGCCTCCATTGTTAACATTACTGATGATACCAGATCAGGTTATAGAGTAGGGATCTCAAAGAATAAGCATGGAGGCTGCAGCTCCCAAAGAGCACAGGGAAGAGCAATTCAGTAGTGGTGTGTATTTTGGGGAGAAAAGTTATTTGCTTTGTGCTGAGAAAAATTGTTGACCTACTAAAGTCATATCATTGCCAGATAGATGTCTGGAGAGAGGACATTTATTTTTCTTCTGCTTCATACAGCTGCTTTAATTCTGAAGTTTACAGGAGTGATGAGTCATTACAATATTGGACTTGGTGATCCAAACTGCAAAATATGGCAGTGCCCTAAGAGAAGAAGCAGAGCTTCATTTTTCTTTTTACTGCTGGTCTGGCTTCTCTCATGGATGAAAGATGCCTGAATGTAAGTATTATGTTTGTTCTACTCATCCCTTCATTCAGTGAAGTGCTAATTAGAGGTTTACTTAAAATATGAGGGGCGGCTGGGTTAGACGCATACACAATAATGAAGTAATCCCAGATAAAGTAAAGCCTGTGTTCACATTAAAAATGAGACATGAAAAAGGGTTCCTGTGATGCTACATGCATACTAAGTAGTTCTTTGTATAGCACAGGATGGATGGCAAAGAGAAAGAGATGCCCAAAGTAAGAGTGTGTTGCAGTTGCATTGAATAATTTGATGGGGAAATCCCAGGGTGTTTACAGACCAAGATACAGGTGTGTGTGTTTTTTTTGGGGGGTGGTGGATGTAAATGCTGCCCTTGAAACTTCCCCAGTCCCACCATGAGAGCTTTTGCCTAGCTAGGAAGTATCCTTAAATTGTGATGGTGCTTTTTTCTTGGATGGAAGACAACATGCAGAAACCTTGATTTTTGCATGACTAGCATCAATTCAGTGCTCTGCCCATATTTGCACGTGGTCCTGCCTGCCACTGGTTTGCAACTCCTGTAAGATTGCCCACGAGGAAATGTGACCCTCAGGCTAAACCCCCCCCCCCCGAAAGAGTATGAACCAGAAGCAGAGGACAATTTTGCTTAGCCTGTGATAGTGCTTTGTATAGTCCAAGGTACATCCCTCAATAGGAGCCTATGATCCTCTTCAGATGCAATGCGATGTAAAGATGCTGGGGGGGGGGGTGCATTCTGTGATATCTGTAAAACAAACGAATTTATCATAGAAACTGTGAATTGTAGAATTGGGTGGGACCCTGAGGACCATCTAGTCCAACACCTTGCAATGCAGGCATCTCAACTAGATCATACATGGCAGGTGGCCATCCAACCTCTGCTTAAAAACCTCCAAGGAAGGAGAGTCCACCACCTCTCATGGGAGTCCATTCCAATTGAACAGCTCTTAATGTCAGAAAGTTCTTGCTGATGTTTAGTCTGAATCTCCTTTCTTGTAACTTGAAGCCATTGGTTTGGGTCCTACCCTCCAGAGAAAACAAGGTTGCTCCATCCTCCATGTGGCAGCCCTTGAGATATTTGAAAACGGCTATCATATCTCCTCTTTGCCAGGCTAAACATACCTAACTCCTTCAAGCATTCCTCATAAGACTTGACGCATTTGAAGCTTGTGGTCTACCGTCATAATCTTTTCACATGCACTACTGGCAAGCCTTGTGTTCCCCATCTTATATTGCCCAGCTGGTTCTTCCTAAATTTGTCACTATTGAAATTTTATTAGTTTGGGCCCAGTTCTTCAAACTATTAAGGTCATATTGAATCCAGATTCTATCTTTGGCAGCATTGGTTACCTCTCAGAGTTTGGGGTCATCTGCAGATTTTATGACCATCCCCCTAATGCCTTCATCCAATTTGTTATAATGATGTTGAGCAACAACGGGCCCAGGACAGAACCTTGTGACACTTACTTTTTCCCACAAATCATGAGTCAGCACCTAAACTATTCTGGACTGGAACCAATTCAACTGTAGCCATGAAAGGTTATGCTCACTTAACGGATGAGGACAGAGAAGAACAATATACCATGATCTGCAAAAGGTACTGTCAGCTACTTATAAAGCTTAAATGTACACAGTATAAACATGGTGAGCAATGACAAAAACCACGAACAGGTGTTAACTAATAGCCTTTGTGGAGGAGAAACCATTGTCTCATTTCAGGGCAAAACAAATGCAACTTACTGATAAGAGCTAGTGCAGCAGTTTTATGCTGCAGTCTCCCTTTGAAGTTCCTTTGTTAGAGAACAGTTAGCAGCAGAGTGACCTAGAGGCAATTGAAATCTGACCAAAACATGTAATCTCTAGAAACTGCTTGGGAACATTTCAGTGTCCTAGACATAAATAATGACTTAAGGCAGCAACATTAGCAAATAAACTTCAAAGAAGACTAGGGAGGCATTGACTGTCTTCACGTTTCCCCCTGCATCATGATTGTTGCATCATGCGTAATAATAATTTATTATTTATACCATGCCCATCTGGCTGGGTTTCCCCAGCCACTCTGGGTGGCTCCCAATAGAATACAGTGGTACCTCGGGTTAAGAACTTAATTCGTTCTGAAGGTATGTTCTTAACCTGAGGTACCACTTTAGCTAATGGGGCCTCCCGCTGCCGCCACCTCGTGATTTCTGTTCTCATCCTGAAGTAAAGTTCTTAACCCGAGGTACTATTTCTGGGTCTGTAACCTGAAGCGTTTGTAACCCAAGGTACCACTGTATTAAAAACACGAAAAAACATCAAACATTAAAAACTTCCCTAAACATACATATCATGATTTGCAATATATTGCCAGGTCAAAAATTATGAAACTGCTCTCTCTCTCTCTCTATATATATATCGTCCAGCCCTAAAGAAGACCACTGTGAATTGCTGAACTAGAACTGATCATTACATTTGGTTATTTAGTCCTGAGTTGAGACTATAGTTTATTCTCCATGTGAGGAGAACACTGAATGCCCTGGTGGAGTAGGCTCTAATCCACAAAAGCTTCTATCACAAATATTGGGCTCCAAGACTTTTTTTTGGGGGGGGGGGGTTGCTGCATCAGACAAACCTTTCAAGCTGCAGGGTTCAGTTACACCATTAATTCATGGTGTGAAGATACATGTAGTTTCAGATTATACTGCAGTAAATGCGCAGATATAAGTATGAATTCAGCAACTGCAGCTACAGCGTCAAAGTGTTTGCAGAGAAGCAAGGAATCTAAGAAGTCTGTAGTTATGTATTACACCTAGGAAAAAATTCATTTCGCATCCTCGAGCTTAGCCATAGTTACATTAGTGTTCTTTCTACACCTCTTTCCCATTTATTGAAATTCTTTGCCCTGCTAAATGGCACCTTTCATCCAGTCACTGACAGCAGAAAGGTTTACATGGGAGACAATGTTAATGTTATGATGTAGCCATTAAATTATAGGGCAGGGATAATATAAACACATGCAGTCGCCTTTCCAATGTTCAAGAGTAAAAGTACAGAATGTTATACCTGAAAGCTGAATAATCTGTAGGCAGAGCAAAAAACAGATTACAAGTTACTGTAAATTGTACTGACAAGTACAGGCAGCAATAGGAAAGTAATTATGGGCACAGTCTTAACGGTCTTTACCTCTTTGCAGAGTGAGGTCCATCCCTATCATCCATCCCTCGGTGCTTCAGTAATTATCGGGAGGAAAGGAGGTAGGGAATATTTTGCATCCACAGGATCCAGAGCTCTCCTGTTCCCCTGGCATACCCCTGGAGCTTCCATACTTATATTCCCACCAGCCAACACCACCCCATTCTGACTTGGGTGGTGCAAGGCCACCTGATTCTGACTCCCTTGCTCTCTATTTAGTGCCTTCTAGAATTATTTTTCCAAGCAGGCAGAAGGCACACAAATGGTGCAAGGGGGGATCCCCAATATGGCTGTTCCCCAAATAGGCTTGTCAAGAGAGAGCACATCCTGCTGTGTGCTCTAAAGGACTTCATTTTATAAATGACCAGCCCTTCTAAGCATATCCTCACCTTCACATCTCAAGGAGAGAGCAGGTTTGTAAGGGCAATGCTGTTATCCAAGATATACCAGCCCTTACTGGTTTGGGGCTTTATAATTACTGTTAATAATTTGATTTGTATCTTGCCTCTCCTCCCAAAGAGTCTAGGTTGGTAGATACAGCAATGATAAAACAAGAAGGCAGTAACTGGAACTTTTGGTGGTAGCTACATTGAGCTTTGTAAAGTAAAGATTGGGTAAGCGTTTTTAAATACACTTCGTATTAGACACTAAAGCTATCAGGCCTGTGAGAAGCACAGCATGTACATTGTTCTCAGCAAATGAGCAACACTAGCCTTAGAATAGGTAGCACTCTGTAGAATGCACTCTGGTAATTGAACCTGGTAGTGTGTCAAGTATAAATGACAGTGGCCAGCTCCTGAGAATCATGGAATAGTTTCAGCTGATTTCTTAGATAAAAAGCATTCCTTGGCATCTGCATCTCCAGCCGCTCTCCCCTGCTGCATGAATGTTCTTTCGTCAATGAGTTTATCATTGCGTCTGGAAAAGTAATCCCTGCATCTCCCCCGTACTAAATATGGAAGCGTCCATACTGGAGTAGTAAAGATCTACCTTCTGACTAGGAAGACAAATACAGTGGGGTTTTTTTTATTTTTAAATTAGTTGCACTAAAAGTCAGGTCTGGCTTTTAGTTCAACTAATCTACAGTGGTGCCCCGCAAGACGAATGCCTCACAAGACGAAAAACTCGCTAGACGAAAGAGTTTTCCGTTTTTTGAGTCGTTCCGCAGGACGAATTTCCCTATGGGCTTGCTTCGCAAGACGAAAATCTTGCGAGTTCTTGCGAGTTTGTTTCCTTTTTCTTAAAGCCGCTAATAGCCGCTAAGCCGCTAATAGCCGTGCTTCGCAAGACGAAAAAACCGCAAGACGAAGAGACTCACGGAACGGATTAATTTCGTCTTGCGAGGCACCACTGTATCTCAGTTCAATTAATCACTCACACAAGTGGTATTTCCCATAGCTGAGTGAGAGAAGGGGAGGGAGGAAAGGGCTGTTTAGCCACTCTTCTGTGTGTGACTTCAGCAAGTTGATACTGTGTAAAGCTGCTGCTTGTTAGTCCCCCTTATAAATAGGACAAATGCAAAAGCTATGATAAATAGGGTGAGGTGGGCTCATGGGCCTCTAAAACCTCCAGTAGCTGGAGAGGCTTCAGAGTGGATTTTGTTCTGCTTTAGCTACGATTGCATTTGTGTTTGTCAAAATGCATCTGCTGTATGCACAGAAGAGGCCCACAGCTATTTCAAGCAATGGCACATTACATAACTTTTAACCTGAATTTTATTCTTCTCCTATGCACATTGCTTTACAAGTTCAGTAGTAGTATGCTGCATAAAGATGCATATATGGACCCTTCACCCCTTTAAAGTTTGTAATTAATGAAAATTATGGTAAGCTAAGCCTGGGAATAACTAGCAAATTTACTGACTGCAGAGGTTGCCTTAGGAGCAGATTCCTTACATTTGCAATCTATATATCCAGCCAATTGCTGCACAATTATATAGCATTAGTAAAGGACAGATATTCCCTTAACAGAAATCCACAAATGTTCTCACCATGTAAACCATTTCTCTCCCTAGAATAGCAAACCATTCCAACAAGGGTTTAGGTCCAAATTTAAAGTTAAATTTAAAGTTAAACTATAGTTTGTAGGAATTAGCTCAAATCCAAAAGGGGTAGCGATACAGAAAGCTGAGCAAGCCACTCTGTAGGAGGATGTTTGTGTAGTTATCTGTGCTAATCATTCTGAGCAGGCAAGGATTCCAGACTAAAAATAAGGGTTGAGAATGCAGGATGGAACTTAATTTCCTTTTTGGTCTCTTCCATGCAAACAACTTCAGGAGCTGTAGTGGAGGTAGTCTTCAAGGTGCTTCAGTAGTTATTTAGTTAGACACAACTGCCTAACAGCTTTGCTCTGGAGGGCATAAGTTTAACAAAGGAAAGGTCATGGGAATTTGTATTGTAAAACTGCTGAACTAGGACATAATTAATTTGATTCTATTAGTTTCAGAGCTGAAGACCAATGTTTTCCCCTGCCACACCTATATAACAAAACCTCAGTATGAATGTTGCTTGAAATGGTCCCTTGTGCTCATCTTGTACACATTTAAGCTCTACACAAAATTGTTGGACTGTATCTTTTTACATTTTCTGGCCATTTAGCACCTTCATTTCCAAATTCTCTATCATATACACACACCTACTGGAATTGGTTACAAATTTCATAATGGCCATGCTCTGAGCAGCTCCCTTCCTAGGAAGGCCTGGCTTAAAAGATCTTATATCTGAGAATGAAGAGAGGACTTCTCAACCTTTGAAACAAAGTTTGGAGTTTAAAGGTTGTTAGTGTGTGATTGTGCATACCCAGCAGCAAAACATAGAACATAACTCATCCCAAACTATATAAATTAAACAAAGGAATGTTTAATCAATACAGTCCTTATTTTGAGCTTTAAAATTTTAAACAGACATTTCTCCTTCCAGGGATTTTTTTTATTGGAAAGTGTAAGTCTACTCCCACATAGTGAGGTCTTTTCTTCCAAGCAGCTTTGCAGTACAACCATTACCAAGTTTCTAAACCATAAACATAAAGAAATGTTCATACCAATAGTTCAACTAAAAATGTTTTAAAAGTGACATTGTATTGGTTTTATCTGTGCTCCACATAACAGCAAGCATTTAATACGATGACAATCAGTTTCTCAACTAAAATATCAAATCTAGACCAAACTTTACACAAACACACAATACCTGCATGATGACAAGCACAACAGACTAGTTCAGTATTTAAATAATGTTAGTATTGATTTTTGACACTTAAAGTCCACTTCCTCCAACTCAATACAGGACTTAAGGCATCCCTGCACAAAACACAACTCACTATGAGAGGTTGGGAAGTTTGAAATTTTCTCCTAAAACTGTGTTGGTATTGATATGATAGTTAAACCAGTGTTAAACCAATACAATATTTACATAGCACAGCACATTTGAGACACTCACTTGGGGATAAAGCCCACATTTTGGAACAGGACAAAGACCACCATGATTACAAGTTATTTACAGGTCCCTAAAATGACAAACTATGTCTGTACACTGGTCCAACAGGGCAGGCAAAAGCATGACATGCAGTTATTTTGTGAAGGATTTAAAACATGATTTGGAAGCACATTATTATGCTACCCTGAATGCCACGTCCCACCCTATGCTTCTCAAAGGTGGTCTCATCTTCTAGAATGGCAGGTCCCGCTGATACAAAAAAAAATCACACAAGGTTTACTTTGTGAAGACACTGTTGACTTCTATTCAGTTATCAGAAATTTGAAGGAAACGCGTCCCAGAAACTTGTCACGATCATCTTCATTTTTTAAATTGCTTGATCCTGTGATCTTGCATTCAACCGTTACATCTTCTTTGGTACTGGTTGTGTTAAATTCTAGTTGAACAGCTACTAGTGGCTGTAAGTAGTTTGGCTAGTGAGAGAGAATGAGAGAGAAGATCTTTTTAATTAAAAATAATAAAGGCAGGCTTTTAACACTCCTGAAGGCGCCCTAATTGCCCCAAATCACATCTCATTTTTAGACCAAGCAAATGTTGGGCACACAGCAGCACTGGCAAATGGGCTTGTGAGACTTTCAGCTTTATCTATTATTGCTTATTCAGAAGCAAGCAGTCATGCTGTATTCGGCACTTCCTGTTCCCAAGCATGCATAAAACATTGCAGTCTCAGCCATCAACTTTTTCTTACTGGAAAATGACAGAAAATAGATTAAATGGTAAAACATATATCGGGGATGCCAATGCCTTTCAGCCCCAGCTAACATAGCCAATGGTCACAAAGGATGATATTGGGAGTACAGCAACATCCATAGGGTCACAGGGCCCTCCTATGAGCAAGAGCCTCATTTACAATTTCAGTGCCCCATGGAATACTGTACTGCAACATGCCCCTTTAGCCCTGGGCACACTTACGGCCCAATAGCAGAACTCTCGTATAACATATGAACCAACAGGTGGAGAGGCCTAAAGGGATGAATTGTGGCTCCTTGGCTGGGCAGTATCAAGTCTGAATGCTAGCTTACTACCAACCCACCCTCACAAATTTAAAGAAGTGCACAGGGAGTGATGTTCAGTTGCAGGCAGTCTAGTTAAATAACAATAGTTAGTTTAAATAACAGTTTCAAAAGATTGTATTCAGTAAATTGTTTTGAGGAAAAGCAGCACAATTTAGATATACTCACATGTAATCTTTTTCCATAGTACGGGAAATACATTAAATCAAGTTTTCCCTCAGGAGGAAAAGTAGTTATCATAGCCTTGCCTTGTTCCTATAGATGGGAGATTATATATATATTTTAAAATAGAAAGTTTTTTTAAAAAAACAGTTTGTGGGCAAGCAAAAATAAATGCACAATAAATATAGTTAAACCCTTTATTTTGTTCGCTTAAAATGATGTTAGGGTGAATATTCAGAAAGCCAGACACACAAAGTTAAGCTTGCTTAGCCCTTTGTTATCAGGTCAAGTGTAACCAGCAATGCCATACAAATAAAATACCTGATGGTAGTTACTAAGCAGGACAAAGTAAAAAGCAAGCCATGCCCTTCAGTGCTACTCCTTGTCCAGTAAAACAATACTTGCAAGTAAGTCCAAGCCAACAATACCTCCTCATTTAAAGTACAAAAACTTCAATACTTGTGTGGTGGGAAGGGGGTAGGCATGTAAGTAATAAATGACAAATAAAAAGACGTGTGCTATAACACACAAGTGTAACAGTGAAATAGTAGTATCAACAAACTTCACAGACCTTGCAACCACAGCACATGCTACCTGAGCAGCCTTTGCACAACATTTCACAACCGCACAAACAGAACAGAAAATGCTTCCATGGATGTCATAAAAGCTGTGATTTCCTGTCATTGCAATGACCACGGGGATGACACCACCCCTTTTCTTAGTGCCACTGTGTCAGGCATTATCCATTCAGAGCCTGCCTCTCTTGATACCCCAGCAATGTGGCTATGTGTCTAGACTCAATTCAGACTTTGATCACCTCTAGATCTACATGGAAGAGACATCTTTTGGAATGTCCAAATCACTGAACTGTTCAGCTTCCAAAGAGCCTACTTATTTTAAGCAGACAGTGTCCATCGTATTTGGAAAAAGAAAAGAAAAACACTGGCCACTGACATATTATGCACTTGGAAGTATATGCCATGTGTTTCCATGCTGCCTGCAATCTTAATTTGAGAAAACAATATAAACCACTCAATCAAAAGAATCTGTAGTATACATAAAATATAATTAAATCCACATATACATGAATCAGCAAAATTTTAAAACATGTATACTTAACTAAATTATATGTCTGGGTAGGCTTGCTGAAATAAAGAAGTTTTTAGCAGGTGTCTAAAACAGTACAGAAAGGGTGTGTGGCTAATGAGCTGCCATACTAGAAAACAGACTTCACAAATGTAGAAAGAACATTATATATTCCACAGAATGAACAGGACAAAGTGGTCTTTCAAGTACACCAGCCCCACTATGAAAGGCCTTGTACACAAACAGTAAAACCTTGAACTAAACTCAGTAGCAAATAAGTATCCAGTGCAGATTTTTGAGCAGAGGTGGTATAATCGGTTGGCAGGATTCCACTGCTGTCAACAATTGCTCTGAAGTATTCTGCACTAACTGTGGTTTCTGAACCAACCACAAGGCAAGCCCTACATTGAATGCACTGAAGTAACCAATACATGGACTGCTATGGTCAAGCTATCTTGGTCTAGGAACAGCCACAGCTGTTGTATACTAGGGAAGTTAGTAGAAGGTTGTCCTATCCACCAGGGCCTCTAGTGACAAAGCTGGATTCAATAGCAACCCCAGACTATGCATCTGATCCTTCAAAAAGAGTGCAACTACATCCAGATAAGGCAATTAGCAGATTTCTCTTGCTCCTCTGTCTATCAGGATTGAAGCTCAGTTATTTTCCCTCTTCTGGCCCACCAATACCCTGGTTCAGGGTCCCTATGACCACCTGATTCAGTTTTGAAGAAATAGAACTGAGTGTCATAAGCATCCTTGCTCTCAACAGCTTCATGTGGGTATTAAATGGCATTGGGGATTAGTGCCCTGTTAGTGCCCTGTAGCACTCCAGGGGGATGAAAATCCTCCACACAGGTAGTAGTGGAACACAGGGATCCCTAATACCTATCACATGAAGCTGGTCCAGAAACCAGACAGATCTGTGAAAAAAAGAGCAAGGTCACACTTCTTTTGTCCCATTATCGTATTTTTCACTCCATAAGACACACTTTTTTCCTCCTAAAAAGAAAGGGGAAATGTCTGTGCATCTTACGCGGAGGAGGCACGGACTAGGTGCGTCTTAAGGAGCGAAAAATACAGTATCTATCAGGGCGACCAGGACTGTTTCAAGACTGAACCATGAATGGAATGGGTGATAATCCGTATCATCCAAGGAAGTCTGACTGCTCCTCCACAATATTGTCTATCACCATCCCTAAAAAGGGGATATTTATGACTGGTTGATACTTAAATCCAAACTACTGCCTCTTTCCAAGTTATGCAATGAAGTGCTTACAACACATAGAACTCAACCAGTTAACGAGGCATACAGATTACTGGTGCAGGTGCAGAATACTTGAAATAGTCTCTGCTTGAGGATGCAATGCAGACTGTGAAGAGCACCTACTTTGCTATTCACACTACCATATGCTAGGCATGATTATGTGCACTAACATAACCAGTGTTCATTCCATTTCATGGTGAGACTTCCGCCACTTGCACTCTAGTTTTCATGCAGCCTGATTCATGGACCACAGCTTCCTAGAATACAAGGGAGTCTATCAGGCTCATCAACACTGGAAAGGACATTCAGCATCAATCATCTGCAATCTGTTTCTCTGGCTCAACACCAGGAGCAAAGCCTCTAAGCCTGCTGCAACATGAATAAAGTTTTCTGATAAAGGAGATGGAACTCTTCTGACCCTCCAAGTCTGGCCTGGTGTATAACAAAATCCTCCACTAAAAAGAAAGAAAATGCTCCCAAATAATGCCTGAATCAGCCTTGCAACTAATGCATCATGATACATGCATCAAAGCCAGTATATTCCATCACCAAAAATAAGAGCTGAGAAAAATTATGGTGAAGCAAGAGCTAGTGTTCTTTTAATTTGCATAAATTAAACCATTGTGGGGAAAGCTGGATGAAAACTATGCACTTTAAATTTTCTGTTGATTGAATTTAGCAGAGAACGTCAGTTGTGGAAAGCATGTCAAGCAACAAGTTGTATCTCACCACAGGTATAAAACTTCAACTGTTCCAAGTAGTCAGCATGCCGTATATAGTACAAAATGTTTGGGGAAAACATTACACAGTATATTTCACTTTAGTTACAACAGCTGCTTTCTGGTGTGATCCTAATTTTAAGCTATTGGACAGAAAGAAGCAGGAGGAGGTAAAATGAATGTTATTTCACTATTGGGTCACATAAGGTGAAACACATCTCTTTGATTCAGAAGTACAGAACAGCATAGGCTGGCAAAGAGGAAATGGAGTAGCTAAAAGAATTATGCTGCATATGATACACTGCCTTCGTGATATCCATTCTTTATCTTCCAAGTAACTAAAATGTGGTGTACATGGTTCTCCACCCCATTTCATCTTCACAAGCTTGTGAGGTAGGTTAGTCTTAAGAGATAGTGACTGGCCCAAGGTCACCCAGTGAGCTTCATGGCTGAGTAGGAATTCATACCCTAGTCTCCCAAGTTATAGTCCAACACTCTAACCCAGAGCTTTCCAAACTTTGCATGTCAATGACACACTTTCTAGACATGCATCATTTCACAACACAGTAGTTCAGTTTTACCAACAAACCGGAGGTTAAACTAGCCCCTTTTCAGTCCCGGGAAGAGCAAAGGGAGCATTAACGCGACACTGCAGCTGACACACTAATCTGTCACAACACAGAGTTTAGAAAGCTTTGCTCTAACCATTACACCACATCTCAAGGTGTCATCTAGGGGCCATTATTAATGTTCTTTTTAATCTGTCAGTCACATGCATGACAAGTGTTAACCCATGTAAAGACAATTATGGATGTAAACACATCTACACAAATAAGGACTTTAGATGTCTGAAAACAATCAACACCAGCTTTACACCCAGAACAATTTTTGTGCCAGCACTTCCACACCTAGAACACATTGCTAAATTGGGTTAAAAGGGTGCAAAGGTTTTACAGATACAATATTAGCAGTGTTCACACAACACAGTACACTATTGTTAAAGGTTTACTCTGAATGAGCATGTGCTTTGCAAACCCCCCCCCCCCCCGCACAGGTTGTTTTGCACCAAGCAAACCATGATTTGAAGCCAAGGTTTGTTCTTAGCTTACCAATTATGGTCTGAGTGAAATAACCATGTTCGGATGAAATTCTAAACCAGGAAATGTGGTTTGTTGCTCTGGCTTGTATCAGGAGGAGAAAGCATGAGCAATCTGGGCCACTGTCAAAGCAGTAAGAAAAATATGTACAGGTGGCATACACACATGCACATATAATATTCTTATAGTATGTATGCAGATTATATTTATTAGTTTCACTTGGATACTATATGTATTTGTAACAATAATTATATCTGTCTTTTTTTTGCTCATTTCTAAAGTATCTAGTCTTAATTGAGCCTTGCTTTTGAGATCAAGACATTAGTCACGCATACACCCTGCTCTCTCACTTCCCTCACCTTGGCGGTGTGGCCCTCACAATTATAATTCAAATTAAAACTGATTCTTTTGTAGTTTTTATAAAAACCAATAATTCTTTTTAATGAAGCTGATTCAATCTAAAATTACTTTGAGAACCCAGCTTTGATTTAGATTCAGAGCAGGGAAGGATTTGCTGCATAGGAATAAGGGATGAGAAGGACACATGCTTCTGAAAAACAAATTCATTCAACTCTGAATTGGGGGGGCAAGGAACCTGCATTTACTTTCTCTCACTCACACACACAAAAATCTGCATACAGATAAACATTTAAAGCACATGGAACATTTATAACAAAGAAACAGATTTTGAAGAAAATGGAGTGTGCTTACAGATGAACAATTCAAATGCTAAGATGTTATAATCTAAACTACTTCATTGTTCATTTTCTTACCCACCATAAATATATTGTGTAAGGTGCATTTGCAGCATGCAGAGAAAAACAAAATGTTGGTTATGAAATGGAACAAAAGAAAAAAGTAAATATGAGGAACCCATAATATCTATTCTAAATGAAAACTATAAAAACAACACTTTCAAGCTGAGCAACTAACTGACCCAAAGATAAAAGAGAAATTGCTAGCTTTTATAAATGAACAAAGGACTAAAAATACTCACAACATCTATGACTTTATAGTAAATTTGCTTCCCTAAACTTGCTTTAACAACATGAATATATGCACATTCTTATCTGAAAATACTCACCTTAGCTTCACATGTTATAGCTGGCATTCCTTGAGGTTTTAATCCAATTATCTGAAATGTAGAAGAATCTCTATAAACTCCTTTTTGTAGGTGAAGGGAATACATTATTAGTTATGTTGTAAATGTGGAAAAAAGTGAATTATAGCAAGGCTGCAAGGAATTCTCTTTATCAAAAGGTTAATTTTTCTGTGATCCACTTTACAGAAAAGTTACTGTTCCCAAATTAAGAAGTTTGTATATTCAGAGTTTCAGGGGAAAGGGTAATGAAAGGCAGCTTTTCAAGTTCAACTATGCCAAAGCTGCTTATTTTCGGTAGGCCCACTCGCAAACACCAAATGTACAAATCCACAAATATTGTCTCCTAATGTGCCTGCTGAAAATAAGCAGCTTTGGCATGTTGAACACACATGCAATGCCCCTCTCCCTCTTTCCTAGCATCACTGCCAATAAGATTTGACAAGAGGCAGAAGTTGGGCTCTGCTGCAATCTCATTAAGGTAATCAACTCAGTCATAACAGTTTTGTAAGATGTGCAACAAATGTGTGCCTTATCCAACAGCTGTGTTACCTATGCAATGGTTTTTGCACAGAAAAAGAGAGTTCTCAATAAGGAAGCAAAATCTTAATAAGCAGAGTCTTCCGGATCAGGTACTGCAGAACTGCCCTGTTTTAAAGTACAGCCACAACAGCACTCAGAGGGTTCCACTTCCACATGACATTTTGAGCAGCAGCAGTTCATTACTTCAAATTAGGCATGTAACATTAATAGCTGAATCCAGATGGCATATGCAAGAGACATGTCACATAACATGCAGTCAACTGCCGAATAATGAAATATTTTAGCTAAAAAGTCTGCAGCAAGAGGTTGCAGTAAGTCAAATCACAGCCCTTATCTTTCTTTCTAGCAAGACACATTAAAACGGTTTTGTATAGTTTTGTGACGAACAATTTTGGCCAACTGGCAGATAATCTCTTGCATGACGCAGGTAAGGCCCTTGTTATTAGCAGTAGCAGTACTGGCATTCAGCCTAGAAATATACTGCTAATAGTTTAGTGCTCTAAAGCACAAAAGTTACATGATTTCTAAGCTCCTGGGGATACGAAGGGAAAACAGGACAAAATGCTGCTCCTTTATGCAGTAAAAATGTAATAAAATTAGCCTGAAAGAAATGACACAGGTATGCAATTGCTTTCTCTCCAAATTCAAAACTGAGGGTAGCTCCACAGGCGTTTCTAACGGCACCTATAAAGCACTCCAACATGGGTATCAGTTAAGAAGCTTGCTCATGCAGGTGTTCCATAGGTGCACTAGAGTGAACACAGACATGCCTTAAGTGATGCTGCCTGATTGCAAGGGCCAGCTGTCACTACAAACTATCCTTCCACTTGAAACGCAGTTGCCAGCAGAAACATAGGTAAATTTTAGAAAGCTATAAAGAGTCAATATACTTACTCTATTCATTTTTACAATAACACATGGTGTTCCTTTAGCATAACCAAAAGTTGCATCTTGTAGTCCAGAGCATGGTCCCAAGTTAGAACGATTAAATTTGCACACTTTTTTTTCAGCATCAGAATCCTGTACAAAGAGTTGTCCTGGAGTACACAGGATGTTATCCACCTGCTTTGATTCATTATACGCTGGGGGAAACAATTCAATGCATCACATTACGCACTCATTAATTCAATACATATAAAAACTATTGACTTAACAGCTTCAAAGAATTTGGAGAATGATTTCCAAGCTTTGAAATAAAGTAACACACATTCAATATTCAGTATTCACCAGATGACTACAACACACATTCAATAAATACTCTTCCTGAAGTGAAGGACAGAAAGAACTAATGAAATATAGATTGCTTGAAGTCTACTGGAAAAGTATGATGTGGGGACACTGGGGCCATGCGGTTCAGTTAACACTGCTGTAGCATTTGTGCAGTGGCCTTCAATTTGTTAATAGCTGAAATCCACCTAGAAGCCTAGCTGCAACATGAGAATCAAAAAGTTTCAAAAGTCCATGCATCTGGAGCTGGAACCTGTTAGCAATCTCAAGGTCATCTTTGCTGAAAACTAGCTCAAAAGGTAGCTGGCACCAAATGGTAACAGATGCTACTGGTTTTAATTCATTGCAAAACTGATGTCTCCTGCTGGATTTAGAATTTTAAGCTCATTAAAGTCCAAGCATGGTGCAACATGTGCTTTATTATCATTGCACTGATTAAATTTGTGATGATTTGTAAAGAGCTTTGATCTACTCAAAAGAGCAAGAGATCCTCACTGCCCACTCTCCAAGCTCCCACTAGAATAAGGGCTACGACTCTAAGGCCTGGTGTGGGCCCATTTGCGGCCCACAAGAAGTGATACCAGATGTTGGACATGTGCCAAAAACAAGAAGCTCAGTAACTGCTGGAGGAAAATAAGAGCTTCCCATCCAGAAGCTTTAAACTTGCTCACCCTTAAGGGTCTGACAGATCTGGGGACCAGACAGGTGACAGGAAACACAAAAATAAACATACAAGAGCAAACCCCCAATAGGATAAAGTACAAATGTATCAGCAGCAGCTGGCAGAGCAGAGTGGTGATGCTATAAAGGTGATGCTATAAATCTTCAGCCATTAGGTGGCATTTTCAATCTCAGCTGTTGCTAGGGTAACTTTAAAGTATGTCTTCTTGAAAACTTAAGTTTTATTTATTATTATTCTTGTTCCTCTACCTACCTACCAAGTGTATAAAAAGGTAAAGGACCCCTGACAGTTAAGTCCAGTCACGAACTACTCTGGGGTTGCGGTGCTCATCTTGCTTTACTGGCCGAGGGAGCCGACGTTTGTCCGCAGGCAGTTTTTCTGGGTTATGTGGCCAGCATGACTAAGCCACTTCTGGCGAGCCCAGAGCAGCGCACAGAAACGCCGTTTACCTTCCCACCAGAGCGGTACCTATTTATCTACTAGCAATTTGACATACTTTCAAACTGCTAGGTTGGCAGGAGCTGGGACCGAGCAACGGGAGCTCACCCCGTTGCATGGATTCGAACCGCTGATCTTCCGACTGGCAAGCCCTAGGCTCAGTGGTTTAGACCACAGCGCCACCCACGTCCCTACCGAGTAAATAACTGAATGCAATTATAGATCTGATATTAAAATTTGAGACTCAGGGGAAATATTACTTTACGAAAACACAAAACACACAATAAAAAGAACATAATAAAACAATATCCATTTGTTCTTCTAAAACAGGCGTGGCTAACCTTTTTTGGCCCAAGGAATGTATCAACTATCAGCACCCCCCTCCCAAAAGCCATACATCAGCAGTGGGCACGGCCAATGTTTATGTGCACATGCTCTTATACACCAACACACAAAATCAGCATTTCCAGTCCTCCCTATTTCAGCACTAAGGTGGAGGTAGCTGAAAATTTTTGAAGACCAGGCAAATTTTCTTACTGATCTTAGTGCTTTGGTGTTTAATGTTAAGAACTGAGATAAAAGATTCCTCTGTCTTAACCATTCATATGCTAAAACATACATCGCAGCTGCAAGAAGAATATGCTTAAGCATCCACCGATGCATCTAGTGGCATTCAAAAATGCCTGCTTCGTTTTATATATAGTGAGCTATCTGTAGTCTTAAAACAGGATTGTCATCAAGTATAGTTGTAAATTTTTCATGATTTTATAGTTTTATCTTTTGAGATAAACCTTTTAAAAAAATCAATTGTGGTGCCTGACAAAGGTACAGATTTCAGCTTCAAAGCCATTGCTATACCAGGTATTTCAGGGCACACAAAATGGAAGTTGCCAATAAAAGTCTCCAATACAATACCAGAAATGAGGCTTTTCGTGTACGTTCCAATGAAGTTCTAGAATTTAGCAGTTTTCTCTTTACAGCTTAACTGCAGTGTTTCTAAGTGCCTATACAAATTTGATGGTTTCCAACTTAGTTGCTACTCTTTCAGCATGTGTCACACACTGTGTTATTGGCAAGTTACTTTTCTCAATACAAATAAGACCATATTTAATACAACAATGGTTAAACTTGCAGACAGACTTACTAGTTGTTCTTTTTTACTTTCTGGGATATCTCCCTGCAGTGAAGATTGTATTTCATACTGAATAAAGGCATGTCAACAGTACATTCAAGTCTGCATTGTTCTTATCAAAAAAAGCATCCACGCTTGCTGCAATCTCCTCTTTCATTCATCTTTCCTTCCACTGTAGCTTGCCTTCGCTTTCTCAGTCACCTTCTCTTACTTTCAGCTCCTCTCTCGTTTGCCTTCTATTCATTTCTCCTCTCACTTTCCTCCTGTCATCACCTCTGCCACCTTCGTTCACCTTTCTCTGTCTCTTATGCTCTGTCTGTCAACTCACTTTTCACCTTATGTCACCTTTATTTGCCCCCCTTCTTTCTACTCTCACCTGCAACATGTAAAACAATAAATATGAGCATGCCTAAGCATGGGAAGCAGAGCACAGCTACTTAACACCATCTCTTTACTTAAGTTCCCAACCATCAGATTTCTAGTTTTGATGCTGGGCAGTTCCACCACTTTCATCCATTCCTGTGTCCCCAGTGCTGCAAAATTAAGGCTGCAACTCTATGCACACTTACATTAAAGCAACGAACAAGTGGGTTTACTGCAGAATAAATATGCATAGGCTTGCACTAAGAAAATCCAATCTAACAAGAGTTATGGAGGAGGGTGTACCTTGTGTAAACAGGTTCTTGGCTAAACTAAGGAATCAAGTGCACACTTGAACTGGTACAGCACATCCATACCCCAATATAATCTGCTCCAGGAAAGGCCAAACCAATTTTGTTCCCTTTCATCAGCAAGGGCAGTTACAGTCATACCTCGGGTTGAATATGCTTTGGGATGAGCACGTTGAGTTGCGCTCTGCGGCAACCCGGAAGTAACGGGTTTCGCCGCTTGCGCATGCGCAGACGCTCAAAATGACGTCATGCGCATGCACAGAAGCGCCAAAACGTGACACGCGCAGACGCGGGTTACGTTTGCTTCTAGATGCGAACAGGGCTCCGAAATGGATCCCGTTCGCATCTAGAGGTACCACTATAGGTACCACTACACTATCTAGAGGAACCACTATACTCTTATTCCTTCTTTCCTTTCTTTTAAATATATATTTTATACACATACTTTATTTTGATTTTGGCTATAATCAAGTTACAAAAAACATAATAAAGCAATCACATTTTTATAAAACCAGGACCTAGAAAACATAAATCATCTCAACAGTTCATTCATTAATTAAATCATTAATGTCTTACCAATTTAATCTAATCAAACCCAACCAACTACTTATTACAGTCATGACAAATTGTATTACCCTTCTTTCTACAACTCTAATGTCATGCATTTACCTAGGAGAAGCAATCTTATTGTGAATCCTGCAAAACCTGGTCCTTGCTTCTCTGCCTAGCTCAAGTCTGTACTCTGCTTCCATGCTGGCAACAAACAGGAATCCCTCTACCTTGTCCCTCTACCTCCTCCACAGCCAGTAAGGAAACACAGGATAGTAGCAGACTAGTAAAGAACTGAAGGTTCATAATGTTTGTGGGATTATTCACAAGATTCCATTAAATAAACTTTACCAAGAAACTTTACCCATTTCTTCACAGCCTACAATTATCAGTTACAATGTCAGTTACAGATGGAGTCACAAAGGGTAGCACACTGGTGTTTATGTGCATGTAGCAGTTCAAGGCAGAATTTCAGTCTGAACTCATCTGAATACCGTTAAAAATATTCCTGTGGAAAACATGCCATTTCATCATGAAGTCTGCAACTGTGGATAAGTTGCTTCTGCTTGCTGTGAATGGGTGATAGACAAGGTACAGTTGCAATTTGCCAATCTTCCCTCCTCTCAGCTACCCAAATGCACTGCTACAAGTATCCCAGATGCCCACTTATAAACTGTAGCTGGCAGTGTGAAGTGTCCTGCAACTTTCTATCCAAGAATACAGCAGAGAAAACCACACCAGTTTCAGATGCAATTCCCTGACTCCCTTCCCTGTCTAGAAGGACCAGTAGTCCTAGATCCGGCTTCCAAAGCACTGGCGGCTTTGCCAAATATTAACTAGGGTGTGTTACGTCTGCTCAATTTCATTTATAATGGAAGGCAGAAATCAGTCTTGCATGTGTTCTCTCATATAAATACAATTGCACATGGAATGGCATGCATTCTGGAAATGCAACAAGAACACTGTTGGCCTGCCCCTTGCAGAGATTTTTCAAAGTATGTTTGCTCCTTAGCTTTCCACGAGTCAGTAACCTCATAGCACAGGGCATACATTTCATACATAGAAACAATGCCAACATTATAACCATGTATGGCAGGGGGTTGGACTGTTCTAGCCCACAGATTAGTACTTGGAGGGTGGCCATTTAGATCACAAATGACACCCCCAAGTGCTATCCATGTAGCAAATGTGCTGCTTTTTTGGCATGCTTTTCACTCAAGGCATACTTCTATGGCAGTTAATGGCAGAAGAAAGCTTGTTGATGCTAGATGGCAGAACTAGGCACTGTACTAATTTAAGACAGAAGGTCCAGCCCAGTGGCTTTCAACCAAAGTAGCATACAAATATCTCCAGCTTCCAAAGTAGACTGCAATGACACAGGTTTATTACATGCTAAAATGGTTGGGATTATACAGCCTTGTATTATTTGAATACATAGTTGTACATTTTTCCTCCAAGGTTCCCAAGTATGGTTTACAGTGCAGCGTTAGCCCTCTGGTTTTAGGAGATTTCTCACTGCTCCTGAACACCTTTGCAGCCCAATCTCTTTCACCAGAAGGACCCTGGACAATCATACAAGAACCTTTTCACATCCACTAGTGACACACTGCCTCATGGCACCTCTGTCTCCTGGTATGGAATATGCTCCCATTTCCCTTCAACATACAGCGAGCAGCATTCTCTACCAGTTGACATTTATGAAATATTTTCAAGACCAGTCTCATAGCGACTGCAGCAGTGACCAATCTTGAGCATCTACAGAGGTGTGACTGATGGCAACTAGGTCTCCACTCTCAAAGAAAGATGGCAGCATATGTAGGCAAGAAATAAGCCACCAACATAATTTTCTAAAAGTTGGGTAAGGCCTAGAACCTTCAGTAAGAAATTATTAATACAGAATAGAAGCTGACTTGGCACAGAATCCATTTTTCTTTTTAGCACAGAGTATACACAGTTTATGACATGTTTCAATTAAATACAGAGGATGTGCCTACTGACTTTCAGAAGACTTGCTGTTCAGATTGCCAGTAGTTCTCAAAACTTTGAACAAATTTATCTCACTTTTTATACACAATAATTAAATTTTTTTTTAAAGTTCCAAGGGGGGGAAATACAATGACCTGTTCACGTTCTAGACCTAACAGATGGAAGGGAGCTACTTTTCATTCCTCTTAATATTTTAAATAAGTTGCTTGCAAAATATATTTATACATACCTCCTAAAAATTCGTGAAGTTTTGTCACATAAGCAGTGTAACTTGCTGACTTATTTTTGCTCAGGAAAAATTCCAGTGCAGTATCTGGCTTTGGTGAAATCATTAGCCCTACAAAAAAAAAAAGAAAGAAAAAAGAAACCAAAGCTAGCTGCTAATTCATAACACTTCTCAGAAAGAATTATTCTGACACATAAATCCCTCCCCAAAATGTATTTATCTGGACTTTATAGAGATCATGGAGGAATAACCTGTTCACCTCTATTGTACATAATGATCTGAAAGTAATTACAGTATTTAGGTCAATTGTAGAAAACGTATCCCTCAATACTCAAATGATTTAAATGGCAGCATTATAGTTTTACTGATTCGAGATTACATTTCACTTTTACATTTAAGGTGTGTCTTTTTTATGCAGGGGTGATAACAGAGCAATCCAAGAAACAATAACTTCAATCAAATCAACTCCCCGAAGCCAGTGATAGTGAGGCCCACAGAACACCAATGCTGCATTCGTGTACTCAGACACTGAAATTGAAGGCCTAGCCACACTAAGCATTAGCCTGTATCTTACTCTGTTTCAAACTTGTTTGCATGTATTGTTTAATGGAGGGCTAATGCAAGTTGAGTCAAGATTTCAACATTGGGTTTAGCTGTCCAGTCTACATACCACGCTGTGTAAAAATTACTAGTCCTGCTTATCCTCACTAATCACTTTCTGTGGTCTGATGCCACCTTATATCACCCTAGGAAATTAAGGCACATGAGAAATGTTAAAGAAATAGACAAGTGGGGCCCCATAACAAAATGGTGTGTGGGATGTGTGTATCTGAGTCTGTAGCTAAAGGGCTTCAAGAAACACTGAAGGCAGCGGCCCCTGCTTAGCTTGGGTCTTACCTCACGTGTAATTAAAAAAATAATAATTAGAAAGTACAACCAGTCTGCATAGAAGTAAACAGAGGGTGAGGCTTCTCCACACAACTAATGCTTTTATTTCCCTGGGCAGAGGTCCGAGGGAGCAACTTAAGTAACCCCACCTTTGGCATGCGATAATAGTAGACTGCATTGCAGTGCTGCTGTACACTACTCTCACCAAAGTCCTCTTACCTGGAATAGAGGCATATTGGTGAGCTATATTGCATGGTTGTTATATACTATTCTCTAGGCCCAGCCTGCAGTGCAAGGATAAAAGCAATGGATAACACTGCAGGGATGTTGTAAGGTACTCTCTCTTCTCTAGGCAAACCCCCAACCATCAAACCCCTGCAGGGTCGATATAAACCACTCAGAACCCAAGCTGCAGTATTCAGCCCCCTACCTCTTAAGATTAGGCAAGCTTCAATTCCATGGTTATTTCAGAGCCTGTTTTAAAAGTATTTGTTTACTCAGGCTTCCCCCAATTAACTTAACTACCAGAGTTCCCTGGGAAGAGGGATTGGTGGTTAAACTACTCTGGCAACTGTAGCTCTGTGAGGGGAATAGGTGGGTCTCCTAACAACTTCCAGCACCTTTAAACTACCGTAACCTAGGATTTATTATTATTTTACTAACGAGGTATAACAATGCTTTAAATATATGGTGCAGATGTGACTAACATAGTGTCATCAAATCCTTATGAGGCTGTTCCCCATACTATTTTTTCCTAACTTTTTTTAAAAAAAAACTTCTGCAAACCATGGGTGCTACCATTTTGGCCATATAATGGCAGGCATTCTCCACTGACATGCAGAAACTGAAGATGATTAAGATTTTGGCAAGTGCTGGTTCACACTACGCCCTGGCATGTAGCCTCTATGACTGGTGAATCTGTACTTGTTCCTAGTATTTCCAACCACAATTTGGAAGATCATAAATGTTTCTTGTTAACAGACTCATTGCACCAGAGTTGGGAAAATAAAATAAAATCCCTAACACTGTGGATTTGGGTCGAAAAAAGGACTTGGGGTTATCTGTAAATCAGAACCACCACTTCCCCCAAATTAAAGGCAACCAATGAAGTTTGCATTATAATACATAAGGAAATGAATGCCTCTGTTTCTTATGCCATGTAATTACTGACGATATCTTATTTTGTTTTCATGTTTAACTTGTGTCAACTGTTGTAAGAAAACAGCTGCCTATCAATCTGCTTTATTTCTTTTGCTATTTTAATGCTTATGTGAAGGTCTTCAGATGAGTGGCAGTGACAAGAGCAAAGAAACCTAGAAGTTCAAAGTAATGCTGGCAATGGTAAATGCTTCCAACTTAAGAAAACTGCCTATTATAACAAAAGATCTATTGATGTTTGAGTCTGAATGCAAACTTTATCCAAGAAGAGGAATACACACTTACCTGGACTAGAAATGCGGTCACGATACTTGGGTATATCATCACGCAATGTTTGAAGCATAACCCACATTGTGAATGTAAAGAGTGCAGCTAAGAAGCCATAGAATACAAGATAAAACAGCAGAATTAAGCCTGCAAAAAAGCACACAGGATGTAGAAGTTAGCAATATATTTAATGAATCAATACAATACAATACAACATATAATCATCATTACTATTAGTATTAAACAGATCAATTTCCTGCAAAGGCCTAAGTAAAGAGGTACATATTTAACTGATGCTAAAAAGTGAATAATGTTGGTGCCAGCCATACCTCCAAGGGAAGGGAGTTCTACAGATATGGTGCTCCCACAGAGAAGACCCTATCTCATATCACCACACTGCAGAGTTCACTCATCGGCAGGACAGCAAGAAGAGCCTACCATATAGATCTAAGCATATGGGCTATACAGAGAAATGCATCTTCAGGTATCTGAGTTTTAAGTTGTTTAGGGTTTTATAGTTTATGATTAACACATTTGCAAACAGGCAACCAGTGAAGATGCTATGAAACTAAACGCAGCTGCTGAATCAAGGGTAGGTCCACAGAGCACATTACAGTAATGTATATAAAATACTACGGCTAGGCTATCCCCACCCAGGAAGGCCGTAGCTGGTGAACTAGCATTTACAGAAGTAGTAGAAGTAGTAGTAGCAGCAGCAGCAGTAGTATTGCTACTGATGTTACCTGGCCCTCTAGTTATGCTGCTTACTTCAGCTGAAACCTGACACTCACCATACTGAAATCAGCAGGTAACAACAACATTGCTTGAGCTACCTTTTAATAGTCTTTCCCCTAATTCCATACTTGACATTTCAGTTTTTGAAGCTGTATTATTTAGAAATGATTTTGTAGTAGATGCAGAAGAAAAATTTCTGCTACAGCAACATTCCCCGAGTATTGTGCATACCTTACCAACCAACCAACCTGGTGGGCAGAAATAGTTTTGCATTTAAATTAAATGCAATTAAATGCTATTGTGCAAGACGAACACCAAGTTACAACACTGTGTTATCTAGCAGCTCAGCCACTTGGTTGCCCCAACTAATGAAACCCTTATGTCAATGGTCCATTACAGCACTGATGGGAAAACATGAGCAGGTTTTGGGGAACAGAAATGTATAAGACAGCACCATTACAATTGCACCTCCTGCCCCCACTGGACATGCAGTTACCAGCACATCTGCAACATATCTATTAGCACACATACAGTGGGGGTATTATATGTTCCAGAACACACCATACGTGTGTTCTGGAACATATAATAAGGGTTAATATTTAATATGTTGTTTGCTCAATAACTTGTTTAGGGAAACATAAAATTCACAGGGGTAGCCAACATGGTGCCCTCCAGACGTTGCTGGCCTATAACTCCCATAAGCCCTTGCCGTGGACAGTGGTCAGGGATGATGAGAGCTGTAGTCCAACATATGGAAGGCACCACATTGGCTACCTGATCTAGCACATGACTTGAAGAACCAGATATGGCTATTTCCTCTTACAATGCTTTCTTGGCAAAAATTGTTCTTGCCCCCATCCAGCTCCTAATAGCCCTACTGTGGGGAGGAAGGGAAAGTGAGGTACAATGTGGAACACATGCCTTTTTGTCCACTGGAGGGCTAAAAGCAGCTGGAGGAGGGAACATTTTCATTAGAGAAGATCATATGAGAGAAAGTGCCGCAACTCCATCTAATGCAACACAGACCTTTATCAGAGATCGTCTACCCACAAAACATACTTAAATATTCAAATCAAGTGTATTTAGGGTAAAGATTATTAAAAAGCAATATATTAAAAAGTTTGAAAGAACAAAAAAATGAAATAGGCAGACATAGATTCTACAACACAGAGTCTGATAAAGACAAAGCAAGATGTCCATGCAGCTGTTTCTTGGAGCCTTGAAGGGCTATTATCAGAGACAGCAGAGATAAGATGAGTTGGGTTATTATCTGGCCTTGACTGCTGTTTTCATCACATGCTCAATTCCAGGGGGGATGAAGAACCATAAATGAAAGGAAGTTGATGGTATTGTACTATGGCAACACATATGCTTAATTACTGGCATGTATGTGTGTGTGTGTGTGTATGTGCATGCCTGTGTGTGGTTGCCAAGTGTGCAGCTGTGTATGACTCTAGTGTGTGTGCACAAGTTTGCAAATGTGCCTAAGCTCCCAAAGAGGTTGGCAGCCCCTGCAATAAGCTATACTTAATGTTACCTATGGCTTGTTTATACAAGCCAGCTTGATCACTCATGGTTAACAAGCTGACTTGTTAAAAAATACATTTTACTGGTGCAGCTGACACAGCCAGCTGTGGTTAATGGAAAAAAGAAACAAAAACCTCCAAACTCTTCCTCATAGCCATTCCAGCGGAAGGCCATAGCTTAGTGGAAGAGCACATGATTTGCATGTAAAAGGCCCCAGGTTCAATTACTGGTTTCTCCAGGTAATGCTGGGAAAGACTGCTGCCTGAAACCCTAGAAAGTCACTCTCAAGTCAATCTTAACAGTACTGAGATAGTTGGACTAATGGTCTGACCTGGTATAAGGAAGTTTCCCATGTTCCTGTGAGAAGCAAGCAGGGTTTAGTACAATGTTCAGCTGCAGCTGTTTGTCAGTCATCCAGGTGGGACAGGAGTACAAGCTCATTCATACACAGCTGCATACATTATCTCTCACAATCTCCCACCTTCAGATGGCTGCATATTGCTTTAAGTATGTTGTAAGAGCTAGCTAGTGTTACAAGGGAAAAACTCAAAAGTACCCTAGTTTGGTTTGAAAACATTTGATAGGTTGTGGTGTGTTGTTTCAGCTTGTGCTGTTTAGGTGCCTTGAGTTCTCCCACTGCAAAGTTTTGGAATCTTCACTGCTACACAAGTTTTCACCCTATAGTTTAGCTCAGAGGTTTTTCAACCTTTTTGACTCCACGGCTCCCTTGACCAACTACTACATTCTTTCTGTGGCTCCCCTGTGGGGAAACATGCTCTGAGCCTCAGAAGCCCAGTTATGTCACCCATTGCCTACAAAGCCGGCAGCCTCCCTTGTGGAGTGTTCCCCCAGTCTCTTCTGCTCCTCTCCTTGGGAATACTCCAGACAGCCACTGCCTCTCTGAGCTGCCCCCCCCCCAAGAGAGATGCCCCCTCACACCGCCCCACAGGTTGATCTAATTGGTCATCTTTCCTGATTACTGGTCATGCTAGCTGAGGCAGGCAACACATATACTATTGCTGACGGTAAAATGTATGCAACATTAGTTCAGAGAGGGAAGGAAAATTAGGTGGAATTTGTTCTTCGCATTTTGAAATTGACAAGTTAACTAATATGTAACTGTTGAATTTATTATTACTGATTGTTAGTGGGAAACTAACACAGTCTTCCTGCCTCCCAAACATCCATACACAATTCCCTCCCACAAACTCCTGTCTAACAGCTTTCCATAAACACTTCTCTCTACCATCTCAAATTATTCAACTCCCTTGCCTCAGGCAGATGGTCTGTTCTTTGCACTCACCCCTAATCATGCCTTTTGTAGTAAGGTAAAGGGACCCCTGACCATTAGGTCCAGTTGTGACTGACTCTGGGGTTGTGGTCAAGGGAGCCAGTGTACAGCTTCCGGGTCATGTGGCCTGCATGACTAAGCTGCTTCTGGCGAACCAGAGCAGTGCACAGAAACGCCGTTTACCTTCCCGCCGGAGCAGTACCTATTTATCTACTTGCACTTTGATGTGCTTTCGAACTGCTAGGTTGGCAGGACCAGGGACCGAGCAACAGGAGCTCACCCTGTCGCGGGGATTCAAACCGCTGACCTTCTGATTGGCAAGTCCTAGGCTCTGTGGTTTAACCCACAGCGCCACCCGCGTCCCTAGTACTAGTAATAATATTTACTATTATTATTATTTTATTATTTATACCCCGCCCATCTGGCTGGGTTTCCCCAGCCACATTGGGCAGCTTACAGCATATCAAAAAACATAAAAACATCAAGTGTTAAAAATATGCCTGGCTAAAGCCCAACAGGAACCATTTTTAATACTAAGGCGAAAAGGCCAGTAAACATAGTGTTTCCTTCCACAAAAGCCCACTCCAGATTCCGCTCTCTGCCTCCAACTCTCTTTTAAAAAAGCATTTTTACCCTGCTCTTTAACTGAAAATGCTCCTAGAGAAGCTTAAAAAAAATCAGAAGTAAGGTTGTAAGGCAGGTGGCAAGGACTACCTGAAAGACATGACACAAGGAAAAGAGGATAGGAATGAAGGGGGGGGGAGAGAAGCAAACTCAAGCACCAGTTCTTTAAAATCAGCCTCAATGCAGAATACAGCATCTTGCAACTTCCTTTTCTTTCCTAGAGAAAAAGGGGAGAAGAGAGGCAACAGCATTCTGCTCCAAGCCCAGGGCTTCAGGAAAGGGAGGAGGTTTATGACAGGAAAGAACAGCAGAAAAAAGCAGGCATGAGAAGGATATAAAATGGTACAAGCCACTCCTCTGTAGGATTGTGGGGATGTTTCTGATGCTCTAACATACCAGCAGTTGCTTTTTTTTAAAGGCAGGGCTGTGTACCTCAGCAACTTGTTGGAGGTTGATCTTGAACTTCTGAACACCAGAATGAAATGCACAATCTCCATGGTAACTGTGGTTGTGCAATGAGCAGTCTCAGGCTGGTCAAGATATTTTTGTTCATTTCCCTCTTTTTTCCTCAAGTTCACAAACTAATATTTTTCTGAATACCTGCTGAATCTGCAAAATTTGCCAGAATCCTCAACTTGTCTGTGGTGGCCCTCTTTCACTGCTGTGTTGAGAAAACTTCACTATTGGATACAGCAATGAAATAATGATGGCTCTTGCATAGGATGTAAAGCATCTCTCATGAAAGCTCACTTTTCTAGATATATAGTAAACGAAGTAACTGTACTTATAAACGGGACTGGAAGATAAGTGTATGTTTAAACGTTAAAGTAATTTTAACAGTTAAAAGCTGGCTTTATAGGTCAGAAGCATCGCCATGAATTGTGTTTAGAAGCAAACTAACGGTCCCTAAGCTCTTTATGATCTACATGCAACAATCCAAGGAAATTACCAACGTATGAACAACAATGCCAAGATCCTTGGCCTCAGGAAGGCACACTGCAACTCAGACGTTGACCATACAACTCTTCTGGACACATCTACAATAAAAAAATATTGTAGCTTGCAAACTCCCCACTTCAAGGGAAATGTGACAACCCTCCCCCCCAGCCAAAACAAGCAAAACAAGGGGAGAGATTAACAACAGGAAAATAAGAGGAAAGGCTGCATTTTGAAATGGAGCATACATAGCTCCGCTGCTATCCAGACTGGATGGTCAGCTTTATTAAGTAGATGTTAAGACTTTCCAGAGGATAGCCGTGTTAGTCTGTTGAAACAAAAAGTTTTGTGAAACTTGAAGGCAAATAGATCGTGGACTAAGCTTTTGCGGACTACAGCAACCGATGATGTGGATGTGGATGTAGTCCTAGTCTTTAAGGTGCCACGAGACACTCTGCAGTGCACTTTCATTCCCTACCAGCAAATGTTTGGGCTTGCATTCTTCGGCAGGCAGTTTCAACAAGAGTTTTGCATTGACTGCAGAACAATGAAAACACCAGTATCCTATGGATATATGTAATTAATGATAAAAAGTCATGAAGATCTATTAATTGGTTTTATCAATTCTTAGGAACACAGGATTTTTTTTGGGGGGGGGGGGAAATCCACTGCCCTAAAAAGACTGAGATTTAATTTAGCATGTTCAACGTTGGCTAAGTAGGGGGGGGGATGCTTTGAAGTGTGCCAGGTTAATTTTACGTGCTGGATAGGTCTGAAAAAATAGCCAAGAGTATTGGAACAGAAATATTTGAGATAGATAGATAGACAGTTGATAGATATCTCATGCTTAATGTGGATTCAATGTTACATTCAAACAAAATCAGAACTTTAGTTATTTTTACTGAAATCCTTGTAAGCAATAGCATACTTTCCCTATATTAGTTAGCAAAGAAGAAAATGAGACACTGAAAACTGTTAACATAGCAATTCTAGTTTGCTTGAGGAGGTCTGCATGTTGGTGTGTGTGCTTCCTAGGAATCACCTGGATTTTTAAAAATAGATTTGACTGTTATTGCATCCATGAAATACTTTGACATGTTACTTAGTTAAGCTACTAATTTTGTATGACAAATCATTTCTCAAAATGGATGCTTTCATGCAGTGAAGTACAGAAGACAAATCACTGCTTACTATATAACTGGGCTGAATCCATCATCATGTGAATGTGTTCAGCTTATGCAACCTTCCTTTCCTCCCTCTTACAGTTCCTCACAGCCCCACCCCCAAATCTGCTCTATAGGGTCTCTTAAACCTCTGGAGTGGAAGTGAAGGGCTCCGGTGGCGGGGGGGGGGAGGGAGAAGAGGAATGGAAGTCCCACGGCAGAAGCAGAACTCTGTTCCACTAATGCACAGACACCAATGGAAACAATCTTTGTGGGATAGCATCATCGACTGACCAGGGACTCCACAATCAGAGAATAATCTGAATTAAATAAACCATCTTAACTAGGATGCAAGTTCTCAAATTGTGGCTAGGAAAGTGTTTTCTACAGAATGTAGAAGCAAACATACTGTACATATTGTTACAGAAAACAAACATATATACAGTTCTAAGATTTCTGGATGATGCTAACAGCAAACAAGTGACAATCATTTTTATTATATATTGTATCATGACAGTTTCCAACGTTCTGAAATAACTTCTCAATAAAGCACATGTGCATGTGTGCATATGCACAGACAGAATGCTTCTGGAGGCCATGGCTGGTTCAAGGAATTGATCTGGAATGAATAAATGTTCTTTCAAGCCAAGATAATAGACTCAACAATGAACAAGAAGATGGGAGAACTACCCACCTTAAACTCTTTCCCTTCCTATACATCACTGAGCTTCTTGCAGCATAATCTCCAGCAAGCAAAGTAAATGGAGACAGAAAGACCACACTAGCCTTGTATTTAACAATCTGACTGGGTAGCCATATACAGTGGAACCTCGTGTTACGTACCGTCCTCCTTGCGAACGCTGCGGGTTACGAGCTCCACTAACAAGTAGATGCCCCTTGTTGCGAACTTTGCCCCAGGATGCGAGCAGAAGTTGCACGCCGGCAGCAGCGGGAGGCACCATTAGTGAAAGCGCACCTCATGTTACGAGCAGTTTCGGGTTACAAACGGACCTCCAGAACTGAACGCATAAAGTTTGTAACCGGAGGTACCACTGTATGACTAGGAATTCAATGCAGGTGACAGAATGGGAAGGACAGATCACTCCATACCCTCTGTCAGTCCACCTGGCCCCTGCTAGTAACCCGTTCCTCATCTTTATTTCCTTGCCCCCCCAGTCTGTTTGTTAATAGGCATTTTAAACTACTCTGCTAATAGGCTAGTAGCCTGCATTTTGATACTAGTCACAGAAACAGCCAGTAAGGACACATGGACGTCTAGTCCCCTAGCCGGCTAGTAAAAAAATATAGAAAAGACTGCAGGCAAGTAATTTTTGCAGGCTTATTTACAAGGCTGTATCACACATTTCCCAAACTCATACAAGATTCCTGAAAGACTAGTGATCAGTGCTGCTAACCAGTATGCTACAATAGGCAGAGAATTTGGAGCTGGTACATATCAATGCCATTTTCCTCTCAATAATCATAGTAGCTGAGCTGAAATGCTGCCTTTGCTCTGACACCCTTTCACCTTCAGCAATGCTTCCCCCAAAAGTCATTAAAACCCAATATAACAGCTTTGGCATCTTTCCAGATGAGTTTATTGGACAGGGAACATGCAGTCTTTACAACTCCATAACTTTACAAATGCCCTAGGTTGGGTACAAATGCCCTTCCCCAGTATATTAACTATAAGGAAGTTACCTTTCCCATGATCTAGCCTCGAGAGTAGAAAAAAAACAAAGGTATTTAAAGCAGCAACTCAAATCACCATGAGAACCACCATTTAAATCAAGTTCCCTCTTTATAAATCAGGTATTTCCTAACCAAAGTGCACTTTAACGGGCTGTAATAATTCAGACACTGATATACAGATAGTTTTATACTATCTAGGAATTACTTTTTTAAAAATCACCTTTTTTGTTTATACAGCCCATATGCCTTTTGGCATGCAGTAATTGCTGTTTAGAGATGAGAACAAGGGCACCAAGCAAAAACATTTGCATGGAATTGATATATGCATAGATATTTCCAAAAACAAGTGCTGAGAATTTAATGGACAGATCAATATCTTTCTTCAAGATGTAAGACTGCCATTCAAAAGTAACACTTCATTAATCATTTTTGGACAGCAAACTTCCCATTAATTTGTAGGTAGTTTACTTGCAGACATTTATTTTCCCGGCTTCTAGCCTGAGATGAATCCACAGGGAATGTGCCCTCCAAGCCCAGCTCCCTATACACTCACTTTAGGCTTCAGGTTGGCCTTATGCTTTCCTTCAGCCAGTTCACATTTCTATCCCTGGGGAACTGAAGGCTCATGCCTGTGCAGCACTCAGCACCCTTCAATTTTTGGTAGATGAAGGAAGCAGCACTTGTTCCAATGATTGGCTGGTAGACTATTTCATAATTTGAAAAGTGAGCACATTGAATAGGTCAAGCACTGGGCAATATCAACACTGTAGGAACTCAATAGATAATGCTGATGAGGTACAGGAAATTATTTCAAGAGGCCAAGTACACTACATGTAACTTGCAAGTTTCCGGTTCCCAATGTTAACCACATTATGAACCACAATATTAGTCGCACCTGCTGTGCAAATTCCTAATTTGTCTAAAACATTTATCTTGGTGTGTTAACTGGCTTGATCATTCCTTCAAAAATAATCAATAAGATGTCACAGGCAGTTTAAATGCTTTCATTTTATTGTATTTTAAAAGCTGTGACCCATATAACAGTTTTGCAACCTCAATATTTCATCCGTAACTTGGATAATTGTTTTCTCTAAAAGCATAAATAAAAATAAAAATTCAACCTGCAGTAATATGCACAAAGAACTAATGTTTCATGAGTATATGTCCGATATATGGCAATGTTTATTGGAAAATTTGGGGGGGAAAGGTTTTCTGGCACAAGACCTGTGACCAAATTCATTTATAAGGGACCCCTGACCATTAGGTCCAATCGTGACCGACTCTGGTGTTGCGGTGCTCATCTCGCTTTATTGGCCAAGGGAGCCAGCGTACAGCTTCCGGGTCATGCGGCCAGCATGACTAAGCCACTTCTGGCGAACCAGTGCAGCACACGGAAACACCGTTTATCTTCCCACCAGAGTGGTACCTATTTATCTACAGTGGTACCTCGGGTTAAGTACTTAATTCATTCCGGGGGTCTGTACTTAACCTGAAACTGTTCTTAACCTGAAGCACCACTTTAGCTAATGGGGCCTCCTGCTGCTGCCGCGCCGCCAGAGCACAATTTCTGTTCTCATCCTGAAGCAAAGTTCTTAACCTGAAGCACTATTTCTGGGTTAGCGGAGTCTGTAACCTGAAGCGTATGTAACCCGAGGTACCACTGCACTTGCACTTGAACTGCTAGGTTGGCAGAATTCATTTATAGATACCCACAAATAAATGCCTCCAAAGCAAGACCCTGTGCATATGCCACTTTAGTATGCATTCACAAATTTCAGGTCATCATCAAGTCCGTATGGTAACTACTAATTTATGCTTAACTGTGGCAACACTCTAATTGTTTCTTTTTAAACCCAACATTTATCATCACTGGCAGGTGAGAGAAATGCCACAGGAGTTTCCTGTGTTTGTGGTGTTTATTTTAAATTATATTAGAAATTTCAGTAACACTTTGTGTTCAAGGCTGTCTTCAATCTTTTACAGGATTCCCTGAAGCATCTGCCCCAGGCGCACAGCTGCAATAAAATATGTCTCTCCCATATTGGTCTCTACAGCCACAGCAGACACTGTAACTCTCCAAGGGTTTGACTTTACCCCCAATGGTGCATTCCTCCTTTGTCTCTCGAGACAGATGGATGCCAACCAACTCTTCCCTGAAGCAAGGCAAGAAACTTTCTGCTAAATTTTTGTATCTCTATATGAGACTCCACCCACCTGCCATGTTTTGCCCACAGGGGGACCCTCATAAGGATCTGGCCTGTGGAACCAAAAAACCTCCCCATCCTAGATGAACTTATTCAACCTAGCTAGGGAGACCCAATCAGGCTAGGCCTGCCACCATGATGAATCTGAGGGGAAGCATGGTGGGGCTCTAGTAGAGAAATACAAATTCTACACTTTTCTAAACATACCAAATTTAAGTCACTGATAATTAACCTTAAAAAGATATCCAATTGCTAAATGTATTAACACATAAAAATACTATCTTTCTTCTAAAAGCAATAACATCTGTCCACCCACCTTATCTAGCGGGAAAATTAAATTATCAGGGAAGAAATTATGACATTCCTAAAAGGTGGTTTAAATGATACTTGGGACAACACATTTATGTGAAGTAAGTTTCACACTGTGGTGTTACATTGGTCAAAGCAAATGTTGCGTGTGCATTTCAAGTAACATTACATTTTCTTAGTGCTAAGAACTTCAAAGAAGAGAACACAGTTAAAAATACAGATATTTCTTTTTATTTGGGAGCAGGGAGTATGTTTTGTGGCCAGCATAGCACACTCAACTAACTTAGGTTTTACTGCCCTAAGCTAACCTGATTTTGTTCCTACCATAACATTTCTTGCCAATTCACCAAATGAAAAAACAAAACTACCAACACAACAAAGGGTCATTAAGCTATTGCCTATTTTGTTGAAGAGATCAGTCTCTGAACTTTAGAGGGTAAAATAAAGAAATTCTGAGTCATCTCGCATGTTATACTTGTGGCTGTTTTACGCATGTGAAAAATGCCATTTGCAAAAACTCTTGCCAGATAATGAAACCCTGAAAAATATCTTTAAAATTATATGGTTGGCATCTGTCTGTCTTGGGAGACAATGGAGGAGTGTGCCTTTGGGGGTGAGGTCAAGCTGTTGGAATGTTGCAGCACCTGCTCTGGCTGTAAAACATATTAATTATATATGAAAATGAATAATGGAGCTATAGGTTAACATTTTCATGGCATTACACCATCTCTCTTTAAATCCAGTAGTGCATGTAAAGTATTTTTTATGGCTTAAATTCATAATTCACCTGAAAGGGACCTCATGGATCATGTAGTCCAACCTACTGCAGTGCAGGAATCACAGCTTACAGAATTCCTAACAGGTGGCCATCCATCTGCTTTAAAACCTCCAATGAAGGAGAGTCCAACACCTCCCAAGGCAGTCTCTCCCCTCTCCAAGGGGAGCCCAAACCCCTGTCCAGTGCTGGATGCAGCTCTACCCACAGAGCTTCATGCCCAAAACAAGGAGCTGCAGAGGCTGGTGGCCAAGCCAGAGACTCTTATCTGCTCCACATGCCCCACCCAAACCCTGGGAGGACTCCCAACCACTGCACAGGCGGGGCTCTGAGCAGATGCAATAGGCTCTCACTTCTGCAACATGCTGGGTCAATGGCGGGCAGGCTGTTCCCAAAGCCACAGAAGCATGCCTGCCTATCTGGCCTGGTCACCCTCCAGTGGGTCAAGGGGTCCCTCCCTCCCTGCCAGAACAGCAAGAGGAAGATCCCCTCAGGAACCTGTAACTCCTTCATCTGCCTTCACTTAGGTTCATGTATGGGAACGACTTAAATTTTGGCACTCTAGGAATTAAAAAACTGTAGCAACTGTGGATGTAAAGAGTTGTGGGGGTTTTTTTTAAGAGTACAGCAAATGCATGACACACACACACATTATGACATGGTTAGAGCAAAACAAGTTACAGCTAAAAGAAAAGCGGCAGGAGAAAAGCTGAACTATGACTTGGGCTTCTTATATGTGCTCAAAGACTGAAAACTGTGCTATGCAATACACCTCAAGCATTTTGACTTACATCCTTTCACAGAATAAAGATTGTTTTTAATCCTTCCCCATCCCTCTGCGCCTTGATTGAGTTTCTCCTTCCCCACAGATCCACAACAGCAGCAGAAAGATCAAAAGTGGATGAAAAGATAACAGAGCTGGAAAGTTGAGGTTCATTAACTCTTTTACTGTGAGATTTCAAGGGATACACAACCCCGGCTGATAAAAAATTTATCTTGGCTATCTGCTTTTCTACAAGGCTGAGAATATCCACTAAAATAGAATAGCCAAGAGGAATGGCTAAAAAAAATGGCAGGGGGGGCTTTTGCAGTAGGAAAGTTAACATTGTCTCTTACACAGTACTGCTTAAGCAGCACCCACAACCTGCATATGCAGAACCTCAGGACTTTATTTTCCCATCTATACACACTGCAAGTTTGCAAGTGAAGGTAAACTGCTTTTAGGCATAAGTTGCTCTGGAAGCATCTTACACAATGATAGGAATGGTTGAAGTGTTTTAAATAATTGAATCACAATTTGAGGTTTCAACTTCATAACTCCAGATAAGCCAAAAGCTACTGGAAATTTTCCCTTCTCCATTAGCAGCAACACAGAACTGAGAACAGTTTCAGTTTGTACAGGCAAAACTGTTTTCCTCCTATGAGGAATTGTTTCTAATTCCTCTCAATTTCTCTCCCCACCTTCTGTAAAAAGTGTATTTTGAAAATTCCAGTTAATTAAAAAGTATTTCAAAAATTCCAGAAATTAGAATGCCAATTGGATTCTACCCATCAATTTACTCTCTCTCTCTCTCTCTGTGTGTGTGTAAAATGTACTTTAGTCATATTTAGAAATATAATAAACTTCATCATTCAACTTTTCCATGCCCACATGTACAACAGACATTAAGCAGGAATTGTATTCTAGAGTGTCATGGAATAATCCCTCATCATCAATGCCAGCAACGTACAGCAACCCTATCGTAAAACTTACCATCACTTTAAAAAATACTGTTAAAATTAACAATTATCCAAAGTACTGTTTATGAAATTTATTCTTTAAATTATAAAATATCATTTTCCCAAAGTAACAAATTATTCAAACATCACAATATAAACGTCCCAGTCAACACAGCCACAGACCAACACTGCTTGCACAAGAAGTATGAACAATTACATGTTAAGTGTTTAAGTACTTTTCATAATTAGTGGAAACTGTATCAGCATGCATTCCTCTGTCCTCATTTTTTTACCACTTCCCACTTGCTCAACCCACACACTTGAAAGAAACCTAGTGATTGGTGTGCCTGTCTGAGAGGAGTGGATAGTGGAAATTTCCTCTCCACTCTTCATTTTGCAAAGTAACTAGGAGGATTTTATTTCCATGTGAATGGAAAGGCTCACAACACAGCCAGCCCTCTTCTGCCTGACATGTATACTCTGCTTTGGGTTCTTCTTCCTTATTTCAGAGCATGTGCCCAAAGCTCATACTGTATACTAACAAAATGAGCAAGAGTATAGTCCACACTGCACTGTACCCAACAGTCAAATACTCGTTGACTCTGGTTTGCTACACCTCAGCTGCACAGTTTTTATATAATTTATTGTTTTAAGCCACCTTGGATGGGCATTGTCTGGAATGGGGGCTTGGAAGTACTGTACTTTAAATAAGCAATTTCTCTCCCATGATTCTAAAGGCAATTCTCTGCAAGTTCCTCAATTTATACTTCCTTTAAAAGAAAACCCAAGGAAACCTCGCCCTTTGGACAAAACTGGGTAAGGAAGGGGGGGGGACACACAACTATAACCTGGATGAAAGTATCCACCCGTCCCTCCTCTTTCTCTCTCTCTCTCTGTCTGTGTATACACACACACACACACACACACACACACACGTGTGTGTGTGTGTGTGTGTGTGTGAGAGAGAGAGAGAGAGAGAGAGAGAGACTGAATCCAAACTAACTAACGTCGACAGAACAAAAGCGTGTTTGAAAAATAATGAGGGAAGAAAAGAGCGCTTGAGAAGTTCTGATGAAGGAAGAAGGCACATGCCTGCTTGGCGGCTTTTCAAACACCCACGGGAGTTAGCCTAAGCTGGATGGGAGTTACCTACTGGTGGAACCAAAAACGCTGCAGAAAATAAAAGAGAAAACAGACATCCTGTTCTGAAGCCTTTCCCCCCGCCACCCGAGCGCAGCCGGCGGCAGGAGCGTGGCGAGAGCTCCCGGCGCGAAAAAAGAGATGCAACAGCCCCCGGGAGGAGCGCACCCACGAGGGGAAATCCTTTCCTCCTCCCTATCCCGCCCCACCGCCCCTCTCCCTCTCTCTCTCACTGACATGGGGCGAGAGTGGGGGGTGGGGGACTCCCTAAGAGGACCCTGCCCCGTCCACGCTGACGCAGCTTGCCAGGAAGGAGGAGCCTGGCAACGGCAGAAGGTGGTCCCTCCGTAACCCCCGACGGTGGGGAGCAGCGGGGGGGGGGGAGAGGGAGGGAGGAAAAGATAAGGAAGGCGGCGAGAGTCAGCTGGGGACACGAGCTAAGAAAACAGGGCCCCCCCTCCTCACAACGGGCCCCTACTAGTCGGCTCCCGAGGCGGCGAGGCGAGGGAGGAGGGGGAAGGCGGCAGGCGAAGCCACCTCTTTGGTGGGTCTGAGGAGATGATGATGCCGCCGCCGCCTCCTCCTCCTCCCGCTGTCACGTTCGGGTGGTCTATTTTTAGACGCGGGCAAGGCGCGCGCAAGAGCCGCTCCCGGCCCGTTGCTGCCGCCGCCCGCCCGCCTCGTGGCCCCCTCGCCAGCTGAGGGAGGGAGAGAGACGGAGAAGGAGAGAGATGCGTGACGGGCAAGGCAAGCGCCCGCCTCGCCTCCCACCGCCCCTCGTGCCGGCCGCCCCCTCCCCTCCCTTCCCCGCGCGCGCTCGCTCGCCCTCCTCACCCCAGCTCTTGGCCGTTCGCCCCAGGAACTCGCCGCTGTTGGGGTTGTAGATGAACCGCCGCCACTCGGCCATAGACTGGCTGAAGGGCTTCTTCTCCTCCTTGGCCATAGCGAGAGAGAGAGAGAGGCTGGAAAGAGAGGGAGCTCGGCGGTTCGCGGGCGGCGGTTTTTCCCCTGCCGAAACAACAGCGGCTCCTCAGAACCGCTAAGTAACTCTCCCTCAGGCGCCCGGCGGGAGAGCAGAAGAGAGGAAAAGGAAAGAGGGGCTGGGCCAGTCGCACGCACCGAGCAAAACTACTCGCGCCGCCTCTTTCCACCTCCTACGTCAGAACCCGCCCCAGCCAATCGCCGCGCGGCCGAGGACGCCCCGAGCGCGCCCGCCCATCGCGCACCCCCGCAGCGCCACCTGCTGGAGGGATAGGGTGGCGGAAAGGGCTTGGGCGCGCGAGCGAGCGGGGCGGGGGGAGGCCGGCTGGTCCGGAGGCGCCCGCGCGCTCATAGCGGCCCACGAGTGCCCGCCCCCTGCGTGTCAGGGATGCGGAGTCTCAAGCACGCCATCCTCCCGTTTAACATTCTTCCCCCATGCATCACGTAAGGGTCTTCCCGCCGAAAGAGCAGCCTCATGCCGTCAACGGAAGATCCAGGGGGGACAAGAGACAAATGTTCAATTTTTCACACTTTGAGGGACAACTCCCGTCCCGTGACCATATATGGCATGAAATGTTGCAATACCCGTGTTGGAAGGAGTATGGTTAAAGATGCGCGCTTCATCTGTGCCTCCAGGCTCTAGATGTTGCGAAATCTTGTAGCCTAGAAAACGGTAGGTAAAGAAACGCATGGGCTTCCTCCCAGCTCCTTCATGCAGAACTGTACAGGATGTTTGCCTGAGGTCAGAATTACATGTTGGCAGCTAGAGCGGTAGACGGAGGCCCTGGGCGTTTAACACCCACAGTACATGCAAATATATATTCAAGACTTTTAATCTCTTCCTGGTGTGAAGATCTGAAATTCTGCCTCTTAAGCTAAACCGATAAAAGATGAAAGTTAACAATCCTAAAATGGCAACGGTGGTGTACTATCCGACCTGGGGCAGACTTTGGTAATATGGCCCTCAATATTTCTTATCTTCACAATAATTCGGACTCATTGAAGAGGTAATTGTATCAAGAGGTAATTGTATCAAGTGTTGGCAAATAACTAGTTTGCAGTTCTGAAAGAACTGAAAAGTAAATGTTTTATCAATTAACCAATATTCCCATCCAAATATTAAACTGACACTAAAGTGAAAAGTCTCTCTATATTTTCCTGTTCTCTTTCACTTTAATTTCTTTCTTCCTAGACTCTTAACTGCCTTGCCTCATGACCTCTCACTCATTCTAAGTGTCTCTTCCTTCTTCAGGTTCTAATCACTGCCTTGGGATGTTCCTGTCGATCACAAGCAACTCCTCATCAATGAAAAGTATTGCTGGCTCAGGCCAAAGTAGCCTGGCATCCTGTTCTCACAGTGGCTAACTGGATGCCTATGGGAACTCCATAAACAGGACTTGAGCACAATTCAGAACATACATACAGAATCTTCCAACATTCAGCTTCACTGTCTAGGCCCCAAACCTAGTCTTACAAGTGAGGGACTTTCTCCAACCTTATATAAACTATATTAAGTCCACTGCTTACTCCAAATGTTGTAACCTTTCCTCATAGTGGAGTTGCTTCATCCTCTTTTTCACTTTGATTGCCCTTTTTCTGTACACTTCCCAGCTCTGAAAGGGCTTGTGGGTATTGCACACCCCTCCCCACTTCTTGCAGTCAACACCATTGATTTTCCACCAGCTTCCTGAAGGCACTCTTACCAGAACTTTTTGTTGCTCAGGTGTGCATTTGACTTCAGCACCTTTCTCTGGCAAACAATTTATGGATCACAGTGCAGGTGGAGATTGTGTATGATCACTTGCTATTTGTCATAGCTGGGTGGGTAGCAGTAGTCCTACATGAATAAGTTGTTTTAGGTTTACTTCCAATTATAAGCAGGATGCAAACTGGGACTTTCACAGCAGAAGAAATAAATTTCCCAATGTTACCTATGGGGCACTCACTGGTTCTAGGTGTTAACAGAATAAAAGAGTAGGACCAGACTTGCAAGCAAAGTGTCTCTGTGGGAAAGGCCATGAGGAAATACAAGAACCTCTGGAGGACCACAGGTTCCTCATCCCTAGGATGCACAGATTATAGTCTTGCACTGGTTTAGAAAGGGTGAGGGGCAAGCATATAAAGCACCAAAAATGATGGAGGGGAGAAGTATGTCAAGAAAAGCTTCCGCAGACTCAACCATACTGTCAATATAGATAGCAAGCTTCCATTAATTCACCACTGTCCATAGGACAATCTCTTCCAAATCACATGCCTCACTGTAGCCATGTTTAATGGGGGGAAGGCACCTCAGAGGGGTTTGGCAGACCTCTTTCTAAGGTGCCTCTCCCCCTCCATTAAACTTTGCCACAGCTGCATTTACAGTAGCGTGAACACACTTCAGAAAGCGCTTTGCCAACCTCCCTCCATTAAACAGCTCACCTGGGCAACTTGCACTTCTTGCTTATTTGCCTGCCTGCCATTTTGTCATCATGCTGGAGTTGGCATGGCCACACAAACCATTGGCCACACAAACTGAAGCATGATGGCAGCCTTAGATTTTTATGTATACAGGAAAATTGATAACTCTACCTCCTCCTATGAAGCCTTCCCAGTATGCCCATATTACACAGAGAACTGTGTGTGTCACAAGACCCAGAGTTCTGCTGTGATTGAGTTTGGATCGGCAAGAGGAGGAAGATTAAAGTGGAGGTGCTGAATGGCGGGAACCTGAGCTGGAGGAGGGAAGACCTCCTTCTTCTGCCCCAACCTCTGCCTCTTTGGAAGGAGAGCCTTGCTGCAAAGCAGAGAGCCCCAGTGGATATTGGGGAGGGCCAGGAGGCAGCAGTGACTAAATAGGAATGTGAACAGCAGAGTGCAATCCTGTCACCTAGAACCAGGTACTGTCTTTGCAGATTGGACTGAACCCACTCACCGTAACACACATTTGTATCAGGATTACACATTTGTAATCCTGATATCCCCGCTAGTTTGAGTAAGTTTGGCAAGTGAGTGTGCCATTCCTCATCTTTAAAAGCTTGGCAGGCAGGGCATGGAGAGTTGACAACATTGTCATTTCCATCTATTGATGAACTTTTTGCCTTGTTCCTGAACTCCTGAATCATGTCCCCTGAGCTCTATGTCTGCTGCCAAGTCTGTTCCATTACTTGCCTAAATAAATATCTCTTTCTTGCTCCCAAGTAAGAGCCTTTGTCTGTGTGTATTGGGTAGAAGCGAGACAGTGTGGCCAAATTACGGTTAAGGTTTTTGCATGCTAATAGGTAACAGTGTTAATTGTTATATGTCATCTCTGCATGCAGACACTCAGAGCTGTTTTCTTCCGACAACTAATTTTGCTGTCACTGGTACATGACACAGAGCAAAATGGTGTCTTCCATTGCAGATGCAGGTCTTGCTGTCATGATACAACTGTCCAACTTTCATTGGCTATAGGAACATAGCAAATGTTAAAGTTGTAGCCTTTGGAGGACTGATGGAACTTCTTGGACAGCCTCATTGCAATACTGCCAGCAAGCAAAGGATCATTAAAACTACTATGTATATGCCCTCTTGCCATGAGATTTATATGTGCATGCAATTATCTAGAATGTTTTTTGTCAGCACTGTAGAGAAAATTGCAGATTAAGCCTGGTCTAGATGGCAATCTGATACAAGCAAAAGAGCTTCCTATACTAGCAGCCTTCATTTGAAAGTCTCGTGATAAGGAGTCGCTCTGAGAAAATGTTATGTCTGAAAGAGACAGAGAGAGAAAGAGAAATATCAGGGGGGGAATGCACTACAATTAAATTGGTTCTAGTACAACTGTAACAAAAGAAAGCCTACTTGTATGAGTGGCAGTTATTAAAAATAATACAGGAGCTGAAATCCTGCTGAGAAAGAAGACCTTTGTTTATAGAGTTGGAGAGGACACATAAGACATTTTCAAACTAAAGGTGCCTGAAAGCATGTCCTTGAATCTATATTTATGTCCCTAAATAGTCTGAAGACTTAAAATAGTAACTGTCTTTCTGAAATGTCTATACGTACTGTTCTTGGAATTAAAAATATTAACAGCTTTTTCCCTCTTTCTTTCTTCACAGTCCTCTAAACACACACACACACACACACACACACCCTAATTATTTTCCATGGCATTTGGACTACTTCGTACCAGAGAGGCTTTGCCTCAGGTCAACGTTAAATTTTTAGCTGAGACCAAGAAACCACATTTTTCTATACTCATATATGAAAACACAAACATTGAATACAAGATCAAGAAAAATTATGGCCTAATATAATTCTATCAAATCCCAAAAATGGAGTGTTAAATCAAACTTAGCATTTATCTTTGCTCCAACATGAAAAAACTGAAAAGTAGCAAACAGCATTTTTAAAAAAAGAACATGATGCAAAACAATTATTTTGTTGGTCAGCTGATGGAATTGGGTTTTACTGCAGCTAAAGACTGAGACTGGCTGCAATTCTGTACCCACTCTCCCACGAATAAGCCCATGGAGGACTTTTTTGCAGACATGTATAGGATCACACTGTTAATGTACTAGTGGAGAAAAAGGATTCAGAGACACAGAGATCCTATGCTGTGCAAGAGGACACTCACTGCCAGGGGTTAAAGAACAAGTTAAAAATAGAAAGAGAATTCTCCCTCCCTCATCTCTTGGCAAGCAGCTCTTCCTGCAAAATCCCATCCCTCTTTGCTGAGAAAGGATGGGTGTTTTTCACAAGTAGCACGGGTAGCACTTTTTATTCTAGAAGGTATCACTGCTGGATCTTGCTATCACACATTAAAACACGTGTGTGTGTGTGTGTGTGTGTTTAATGCATTAACTTTTTCACCAATGTAGCTTTATATATTTCAGATGCAGGGAATGCAAAAAATAATTTGAGCCTCATTACCCATCAACATGGCTTTAAACATCTTTCCTCATTTAACTGTATCCATTGCACACTTATATGAATAGTCCTTTGCAGAGCCTTGATCCTTCTCTTCTCTCTTCACATTCTCCAAACATGCATACCAAGTAAAGCACAGAAGCTGCACACACCCTATACCTTTAAAGCACATTTCCCCTCTCAAATAATTCTGGGCCCTGTAGGTTGCTGGGAATTATACTTCTGAGAGGGGTAAACTACAGCTCTCAGAATTCATTGAACAGAAAATGTGCTTCAGATTTTCTTTAAAGGTGTAGGGTGTTTGCAGCTTCAGCAAAACACAGGTGTTGCAACAAGAATGTGTTATCGCATTCCAATGGCTTCTTACTGTAAGGCAGAAATTTAAACAGACAGAGGATGTATGTTAATGTGGTGGTTTTTAAAATTCTATCTGAGCCACCCAGAGGTCACATGTTATTAGGGGACCGTAGAAATATAGAAAAATTAAACAATGTTGAAACGAGGATAGAGGTGGACTCAAGCATTTTGCTGGTTAGTCATTGTAATTATGCTGCCACAGGCTGATCCTAATCTATTTTAAAATGCTGTTTTGTGCTGTAGTCTAAACCACAGAACCTAGGGCTTGCCGATCAGAAGGTCGGCGGTTCGAATCCCTGCAACGGGGTGAGCACCCGTTGCTCGGTCCCAGCTCCTGCCAACCTAGCAGTTCGAAAGCACGTCAAAGTGCAAGTAGATACAGTGGTACCTCGGGTTAAGTACTTAATTTGTTCTGGAGGTCCGTACTTAACCTGAAACTGTTCTTAACCTGAAGCACCACTTTAGCTAATGGGGCCTCCTGCTGCCGCCGCGCCACCGGAGCACAATTTCTGTTCTCATCCTGAAGCAAAGTTCTTAATCTGAAGCACTATTTCTGGGTTAGCGGAGTCTGTAACCTGAAGCATATGTAACCTGAAGCATATGTAGTCCGAGGTACCACTGTAAATAGGTACCGCTCTGGCAGGAAGGTAAACGGTGTTTCCGGACACTGCTCTGGTTTCACCAGAAGCGGCTTAGTCATGTTGGCCACATGACCCGAAAAAATCGCCTGTGGACAGATGTCAGCTCCCTCGGCCAGTAAAGCAAGATGAGCACCGCAACCCCAGAGTCGTTTGCGACTGGACTTAACGGTCAGGGGTCCTTTACCTTTGATCCTAATAAAGGACTGTTTTACTCTTCCTGTGTAGTAATAGCATGCATCACACATCTAGATTGTCATGTGTGGATAATGCACTTTTATGAAATTCACATAGATGGAATTGGAAAGGGAAGCAGAAAAATGTAAAGCAACATGGCACAAACCAGAAAGATTAGCTCTATAACCAGTGTGGCGAAAGTGGAATTGTGAAAAATTGCTTTCTGCTTAACTGTAAGAAACAGCAGACACATGCTTCTGCAAACTATCAAAAATGATAAAAGGCTTCCCGCTATAAAGCGAGGATGAAAATGTCTGTGTCACTGTGAAAGCAAAGTGATTGCAAAGGTCTGGCTGGCTGCCACTGAATCAGATGAGTAGTGCACAGCAAAATGGAATCATTGTATAAATTCCCATAAATGCTCCCTACGCACTCAGGCAAGATTCTTTTCTGGCATCAGAACAATGGTGAGAGAGCCCTGTAACCAAGAGGAAAAAAATGGCTTTGATAGTAAGTCAAATGTGGCAACTATTCTGCTCTAAACCTCTCGCCCCATCTGTGCTTGCAATTATAGGATGTTGCAGGTCAATGGAAGGCCCGGACTTTGCAGCGCTGTTGTTAAGACAATTCTGTCAAGTAGTCTGCAAGTTTAAATGGTTATATGAACAACAATGAGGAGGAGGAGACAGTAGATATATTCCTGAAATTATGTATTTAGCCCTCCCCATCATTTGGGCTGTTTTGAATATAAGTAGTAAATGAGGTGCCATATTTGAAAGCCAGTGTGGTACTTGACAAGAAACTGATAAAATTCAGTCTGAAACATGTATAATGCAAACTTTTGCTGGGCTGCTGTGTTTTTGCAGCACGATCGAGTGGCCCTCTAAACGAATGCTCGTGAGTCAGAGAGGACCTATAAATAGACCCTGCATGCATGCAAGCACCCCTAACAAGGGTTTAATTGGTGAAAGTTAGCTTTTATGTAGTAGAGTCAGAAGGAAGATCGCTGTACTGGATTGAATGAGCCACTGGCATAAGTTGTCCTCTCTCAGATTTATTCATTTAACTGTGAGATGTGCGTCGTTCGCTGGTTTGAAAGGCCTTACTCTTCAGATCCTTAACCCTAAACTACAAGCCCATGCCTGTGAAAACTGTTTAACCATATATATTTAATTAATTTTAATAAATGTATAATAATGGAATTAAACACTGCAGTGTGGACGTTGAAATGCTCGAGTTTTTCCAAGTCAGCTCACTGCAGTTCAGCTGCCCCAGATGCTGCTCATCGAGAGAATATTTGCTTATGCTGAAAAATTTAGCTGATCTGTGCATGCTGCAGAGGCATCAAAGGTTCCAACAGATGATGCCTTTTCATAAATCTAGACATGGGATGGGAAAAGGCAGAAGATGAGTAGGAGGAGAGGTGTCCTTATAGTGGCATATAGGAACATAGGAAGTTGCCTTTAGGCAGAACATACCGCATTTTTCGCTCTATAAGACACACCAGACCACAAGACGCACCTAGTTTTTGGAGGAGGAAAACAAGAAAAAAAATACTCTGAATCTCAGAAGCCAGAACAGCAAGAAGGATCGCTGTGCAGTGAAAACAGCAATCCCTCTTGCTGTTCTGGCTTCTGGGATAGCTGGGCAGGCTGCATTCACTCCATAAGACGCACACACATTTCCCCTTACCTTTTAGGAGGGAAAAAGTGAGTCTTATAGAGCAAAAAATATGGTAGGTTCATCCAGCTCAGTATTGCCTACACTGATTGGGCAGCAACTTTCCAGTGTTTCAGGCAGAGGTCTTTCCCAGCCCTACCTATAGATGCTGAAGATTGAATCTGGGACCATCTGCATGCAAGGCAGGCGCTCTACTGCTAGGCTACAGCCCTTCCCCAGTAGAACAAGACATTATCTGTTTTGAATGCATTAAAGGGTCAAAGGAGCCCTTTGGATAGCCTGAAAACCAACAGGACACCATAAAAGGCTCATTCTGCAAGAATAATGACATCCAAAATGAACAGGGGAATGGGAAAGCTTCTGAGCAAGGAAAGTGTAAAGCTCTGTGTGTGTGTGTGTGTGTGTGTGTGTGTGAGAGAGAGAGAGAGAGAGAGAGA